AAACATTTGTTTTAGAAGAGCGAAAACAAAATTTATATAATTTTAGATCCTTTATAATATACGCGACGTGTATAGTATTTTTTTTTTTAAATTTAACATTTTGTTTTGTAGCAATATTTTAAATTTGATTCAATTAGTACTCATAAGGAATCAATTTTACCAATTTTAAGATAATAATATAACGCTCACTGTTTAACGTCGCATATATTATAAAGGATCTAAAATTATATAAATTTTGTTTTCGCTCTTCTGAAAAATGTTTAAATAAATCATGTGGACTTAGTATCTTTTAATAGAACGCCCACGATGTATATATTATGCGAGATGTCTCACGAGAAATTGTTATTTTAAACATTTTTAAGCGGTGGGGCAACGGTATTTATATTACACTGTACAATTGTGTATCTTTACGAGGCACTTTGTACATAGCTATAGGTATATTAGTACATGATAGATAATATTATAATAAAAAATGTTGTTTCATAAAAATATATAGGTTCATATACGTACAGGGGTAATAGCTGCAGTGTATCATGTGAAGCTTTGGCAAAAATTATCTTCTCATCATAATATTATACAATCGTATTGGTATTTATAATTATTATCATTATAATTTATAATATATTATTGCACAATATTTTTCTAAGTGGGTTCCACGTCTAAATTACATATAACCTTAAAAATATTTTCATTATTCAAATTGACGGTAGACATGTCTTAACTTAATTAGATGCCCGATTACCCAGTCAGTGTCGACGAATATTCTCAAATACAAAATTTCGAAAATATCGTCGCCGCATAATACATGGCACATTTTCGCCATATTTACGTTGTACACAATGACATAAATTATACGGTAGTAGTTAGGCAGGTATAGAAAATTATTTGACAATTGTTTTCTATATAGGTAGTTATGTAAACTATATACCTAGGAATAATTACTATTTGTCACACAGGGCTATCATGCAGTACTAAATAAAAAACATTGTGCAATTATTATTTTCTTCAGTAATTACATAAAAACTAATGGCTAAAAAGCATCAAAAAGTAATTTAATAATGTGTCCTCCTAAATCTCCGAATAAAAATAACCAACTTGAAAATATAATAGTGATTTAAATATGAAATACAATGTATCATCATACAAAAAAAAAACTATTTTTAATCTTTTTTTGTACATTTAAAACTGAAAAGAGGTGGAACCTTTACAGGATACTCACTGAATATGTTTCAAAATTTTGGCGAAATGCCATCTAAAAAAGGCCATTAAATTTATTGGAAAAAAAGTTGCCCGCTCCAAATTGTATTTACAACTACGACCTTGAAACGGGATGTACTGTAGTTCTAAAATTTTCTTAGTGCATCCCGGGAAAATTGCATACACCGGGACATATTTTAGCCACCGCTTTTTTGAACTTTTTTTCAAAACGTAAGATATTCCAATGTAAATATTTTGTTATAAGCATCACTGTCAGTCTGTTAAACGAAAAAAACCTTTAATACTATAATAGTTAAATACTATATTATATAATTGGTTTTGTATAGAGTATCAATATAAATTTACTGCCCGCTAAATCGAAGAATCAAAAAAATTCCACTACGAGCAACGAGTGACACTTGCCACCCCCAGTACTCCACCTCCCTCTCCCCCAAAAAAAAATACGGACCCGACACACCCTTTGACTTGACATACCTAACGTGCAATCGTATAAATATAATACCATCATAAATTATGTTCGAACATGTTTTTATTATTATTTTGTACAGGTGTGTGCGTACTACTCGTATTTAATTAATATTGTCGTGCACCTACATAATTATATAATAATATTTTCTATGCTGTACCAACTACAGTAAGTACACCAACATGCTGTATATCTATGTGTATGTATATATATATATATGTGTCTATATATATGTGTATACAGAGTGTCCTACAGTGTTATCCGAATTCAGAATGGTAATAACTCTGACAATAGTCATTTTTTTTTTTCAATTGTGGTCTTGTGTCAGACGGACACAAATATAGAGAAAATTTTTTTTTTCTTCGTGTTATTCTATTGAAAATTAATTGTTTTCACACTCGTTTTATAAAAATTTAAATGGCTGTTACTTATAAACTATTGAACAAATATGTATGAGTATGGTACATTAAAATGGTAAAAATAATATATTTTATAAATTGTCTATTTTGAAAATTTTAAAAAGTGAAAAAATAAAGTTTTTTTTTCAATGGTTATAAGAATTAAAAGAAAAAAAATTAATTTTTTTCTATATTTATGTCCTCCTGATACAAAACTTGACTAAATTTCTTTTTTAAGAAAAATAAATATTGACATAATTTTTCGCATTCGGATAATACTCTTATAGAGGACACTCTGTATACCTCAAAGTGCAACGCGATAACGCGACGTACCTAGGTAAAACAAACATTTGTCACGCCACTCGCTGAACTAAAACATCATACTGCAGCTATAACTGCTATAAATGTAAGCCCGCATAAGCAATACTGGCAAATTTATTTTGTAACTAGAAAAAACAATGATAAGAGACAACGGGCGAACCGCCAAAATGAAATGATAATACCAAAAATTTGAACCCGGGTTGACCATGTTATTATATTATAATTATAATACGGACCACGTGGTAGGAATTTCCTAACCTACTCACAGGTATTTCACCGTCTCAAATACAAATTTGTCTCTCTCGTTCCTATCCCTTTTCTAAAACCAAATTGATCGTGATCTATATTTTCTTCAATTTTATTTTTTAATCTCCTTTTATCTATATTTTATAGAATTTTGGACGGGCGAGATAAGATTGAAATTGTCCTATTGTTCGAGCATTCATCATTCATTTGTTTCATAATACATTCAATTCATAATTATTATATAATTTTATAGAACATACATTTAGGTTATTAAGGTATTATTTTAAATGAATATTACCTAAACAGTATAGACTATTAGGTTAGACCATTAGAAACTTAGTTTGTAGGTCTATACATATCAATAATAAATAATGGACAGGTAATATCCATTTAAAATAATAACATTTTAAATGGATATTACCTACCTAATGTTATAAAATTATTGATTTCGAATCAGCTATAATTTAACCAGTTCCCGATGTACTCCTACAATATTATGTGACGTATACAAATGCAATAACGTGGTTGTTGTTGCTGTACAGTACACGGAGGTGTTAGGTACCTATTTATTTTTGTGCTTATTATTATTATTATTATTATTATTATTATTATTATTATTATTATTATTATTATTATTATCATTATTATTATTATTATACTTGTAAAATATTATCTTCGCAACTGACGTTTTATTTGGTTTCTATGGTTCAATGGTTCTTACTTGCATAGGTATTCAGATAAGGAAAATGTTACCATCACGTTTTTGACCGAAAAATATCATAACGGTAATGATAATATGTAATATGTATTAATTAACGATATACGCACCCCATGCCGTGCTACAGAGGGGAGTGCCGAGGAAGTCATTTCGAATTTCGGCCGCGCCCTTTAAACAATAGATTAGCGTGAATCATACGTATATCCACAGACATTGCGAACAATGACGTGATTTACGCTAAGTCTTATGGTGGATGGATAATTTTTGAAAATTGTATAAAAGGGGGCTACGAACTTATTTTCAGGGAGGAGGGTAGGGTTTAAAAAAATAATAAAAAAATATAAATATATAAGCTTGGCTTCAGAGCCATTTCATTCAGTTTTCTGGCTGAATTAATCGGTACATTTCTATGCGTAGCTAATCCATTTAATCAATTCTAATGAACAAAATAGGTAGGTATTTAGATATTACACACGTACACATTCATATTATATAAGTGCAGTATCTTAATTTTTACTAACCTATGAATGTACCTACCTCTGATCATTGGCGCACATTCAGTCTAAAATTTGGTGCACTAAAATTATTTACGATAGGGTTTCACGGGGGGGGGGAGTGGCCCCCCACACTATTTGATATTTCAAAATAAAATTACATATTATTTGCACATTAGATTAACAAAATTGAAACAATAAGATCCGATTTTCAATAATGAATCTTTCATTGTCTAATAAATAACCAACAATAAGGGATGGATACCTCCTTAAAAATGTGAAAACAACTATCATAAACTTACATAATAATATAATAATCATTATTAATATATTATAAACAGAGTATTATATTTAAAAATGATTAGTAGAATATTATTTTATTTAGCTCAAAATCTGGGGGGTGCTAATTTTATATTTAGGGATGCTAAGCACCCACCGGAAACTCAATATGTGCGACAATGTCTATGTTGTCGTGTTCAGGCATTAATTTTCAACCCTAGCTACCATATACCAATTATTATCATTTTGGTTTAAATTCAACCAAAAATATTTGTAATTTATATTTACCATCCCAAATTCAGTTCCAAAATCATTAACCAAACAACCTTGACTACGCAATGAAAAGAAAAAAATCAAGGGGAGTATATTTTGACACACAGTTATCCTACTCCGTGATTGCGCCGCTGATCACGAATAATAATATTAACAATAATAGGTATCTTATCTGCGTGCCAATATTATTGCACCGCAGCGCCCGCCCGCGATGACGTCGTGTATGTATTAAGTATAAAAGTGGTGATTAACTTTTCTTTTTTTACCAAGGGCCATAAAAAAAAAAAAAAAAAAAATTAAATAAATACTCGGCCCGCCAAGAATTATTTAAACTTTTTCTTTTAAGCCAATAGAATATTATATATTTTATCGCAGATACATCTTGATATAGGTACAGCGATAAATTGAATTATTATTATTATTGTCCATAGGTATTGTTCCCTATTGATAGTCATAAAGTTCAATTTTTGAAATTCGAAGATATTTATTGTTTTTTTTTTTTTTTTTTTTTTTTTTTTTTTGTCAATTTCGATTTAAAACTTTTTTTTGGGCCGGTTAAATAAACGATCGCGGACCCGTAGTTGGTCACCACTGTATTACAATACACACGAAAATACGGCAAACATCCGAACGGTTGGTCTGCAAACATACACAGTATAATATATATATACGCGGCGGTTCACACGGAACATAATATACTGGCGACGACGCCGCGCAGTGTTGCACGAACAGCGTGCTCGTGAAGGACGCGTCGCGTCAAAATTATAATTATTGTAGTATACTTTTTTTTTACACTCACCTATTATCGTTATACATTTACCATTATTGTCATTATTATTATTATTATTATTATTGCAGAAATATTAGGTACTTATATTCCGCGCCGTTTTTCGGGAGCCGTCGACCGCGTTTGTGACATTACGATTTTTCCCGTCGACCGTATACCACTATAATAATAATATTCACCGATTTATCAATACTATTATTACGTCGACAGAAAAATCCGTCGATTCCGAAACAGTGATGAATTTAACGTTTTTCGCTGCCCGCCAAAACACTACAGCATCACGTCCGGACACAGGTACGTAAGTACCCACCACCTACGGTATAACACCGTCTATAATATAGGTATCTATAAAGTATAATAACACCCTGTACTCGAAATTTAATGGCCTTTACTTTTATACGCATTTATCGCATTAGAACCGTAACACAAATAAATTATTATTCCCGATTGTTATTATTATAAACAGTTATTTTAATTTCTTGTCAAACTATATACCTATTGTTGTAGTTGTAGTATATACGAACAATATTATGATAATTTGTGGTGTATTGTATGCCTTTATATTATAGCGTACAAATTATGATGATGTCGAAATTTATTATTACGATTTTGAGTCATAATTTATTTTATTTTTTTTTTTTCATACATTGATCTATAAATTTAAAAATATTGTCACGCGCATTTATAAGACGTTTAGATGACAGGGTAAAATACCATTATTGCCATGCAGTGATATGAAACGCGAGTTCGATGAACATACTTTTTGTCCATTTAAAATTATGTATTAAAATCGAGTAATAGCGAAAATAATATGCAACATAAAAAATGATATTAATAAAATAAGTTAAAACAAAAAAATTGTTCAATACTTAATACAGAAATATACTTACACTATAATTAAAATGGCAAATTAAACGCTGTTCCTTCTGAAAGTTATTAAAAAAAAAAAATTATTTGAGCCGCCTTCTAGTAATATGTCGACGCAACCATTTTTTTTTATCAAATTATTTTATGTAAAATTATTTATTTCAATTTCGTTTTTCGTTTCATCATTCTTCTTTTTTTTTTTTTCTATCATTTGAATGAATTGACATATGTGTTTATCAGCTAATGAGTAAACAACAACAAAAATAAAAATGAATCGATTACAAAGTTAAGTAAATAAATAAGTTTCTATCTATCATAATTTATATATAATTGATCTTATTAAAAACTTAATTAGTAGGTCATATAATTAATTAACTATAATAATATTTGATCAAACATTTAAATATTGAATCTAAATATAGTAAATGTATTATGTTTTATGAGAATTTAGTATTTATATAATTTATGCCTAATACGATAAAGCTGATTTTTTTTTACGAATATCGAAAAACATTAAAAAAAAATTATGATAGGAGGGTAATTCGCATATTGGAAGTACCTACATAAAAATTAATGACTACTATACAGCCTGACAAAATATTTCTTTGCTTTTCCTTCTTTTCACAATTTTGAAGGTATCTTAAAAAATAGACTCTTAAAAATACTTTTATGTTTAATTACTTATTTAATATTGTAATAATTGATGTAAATCTAGTTAGGTTAGTTAGTTTTCGAGACATTTTTTAATTTGTTAAACTTTTGGGGTTTTTTTCGGGATTTTTTGCACAGTTCCTTTAAAATAACATTCATCAAAGGATAATCAGTTATTACACCAGTATCATGTCTATCGAAATCGGCACCCGATGCCAGAAAAATTTACCGATGAGCAAAAAAAAAAAAAAATCGAAATTTGTCCGTTGGACGTTTACTGATACGTTCAATTACAGAATTCTAACAATTTTCAATGGCACCCCTGTGGTCATAGTGCCCAGTGCGTGGACACCTCTCGCACCCCCTAGGCGTGGCCCTGAATGATACCATGTATGAAGTCCTCGTTGAACGGTCAAATTCATCAATCAATTATGAGTAATATAATGTCTTAATGTCTACTTAATTAAACCAATAAAACTAAAAGTATCATTAAGACAAAACGTTTTTTTATTTGTTTGATCATGGTGTGGCATATTATTAAATTAGGTAGGTAATTATTTCAGATAGTTTTCAAATAATTAATTAATGATGGGAAAACGTTTTTAATGCTTATTTTAGGGGTTTTAAATCTATAAGTACTTGCATATTTATTGTTTTTTTTTTGAGTTACGTGTTCTCTGCCCTAATAATAGGGATATAATATCTATAATATAAAATGTAGAGGACAATTTTAGATATCACCGCTGCAAAATTAGATTGTGCCTATAGTTATATTTTTATTTAATAATTCATATAAAAATAAAACATTTTATAATAAAATGTTGGAATACTAGTAAGCTCCTGTAATCAATCATTTATTTTTGGCATCTTGAACGAGTTGCTAACTAATTACTGAAATAATTTAATGGCAAAGAGGCATGTTTATTTATTGGCAGCAATTTGATAGTTTGACCATTTGATTATTATTATTATTACCTACATAGTTAAGTAATTGTTATATTATTTTATACCTAAGGAATAGTTTTATATTTAAGTGTTAAATCTATATAATTTTCAAAGTTATATACTTTAAAACTATTAATACTGCAATTTATAAAATAAGTAGGCATAATACTATTTAAGATTTGAGGATCATTATTAACTATTATCAAATATCCAATGTTTCTGTAGGTACATGGATATTTATTAACAATGGATATACCTATGAAAAATGTACTAGTACATTTATGTGTATGTATTAGTGTTTAGATAGATAGATACTTTTTATGACCTATCTTTGTTTATGCTTTATCTTATTATTAAAATAATAAAATTACGTAGGTACCTAATAAAAAATATTATTCATGAAATACATAAGAACACTATAAAACTATAAGTTGGTATGATTAATTTTTGGTTTAAAGTATTACAGCTTCTTCTTAGTTTAGGTATTTAATACTTTGGTAGTTACAATAATAATTAATATACTTACACAACTACATTCGATATCTTATCACTGTTAATTCAAACCAATTACTGAAAGTAATTATTGCCATGCTCTTTGTGTCAATAGCATCAGCGGAACACAGTTTTTCAACATTAAGAAGATTCAAGACGTAATTAAAAAATCCCTCATTAGGAAGTCATCTTATGGATTTGGATTTATTAAATATTTACAGAGATAAATTAATATTCGACGAAATCGTTTTGAATATGTTCGTTGATAGTGCAAAAGCTTGACAACTACAATTCATAATTTATAGATTTAAGTAACTTACCCATACATTTAATAATTTAAAATAAAAAAATGTGATCCACTTATATAAAATAAATATGGTAAAAAACTACATATTTAAATTTATGACGCTGGTTTGTATATTAAGCCGGTTCCACATGACTCATGTACTTGGCGAGCATCGTTATCGCGCATGTTCGTCGAGTATTTTGATTTGACGATTATGTCACTCCTATACACGACTCGAACATTGGCCGATCTTCGTGACTTCATGCACTTGCCGATCATTATCCGATCATCGCATATACTTTATTTGTCATCGCCAATACTTAAAACATGTCAAAATAGTTAGTGGTGGGCAAGGACAAGTCATGTGGGAAACTCCACGATTACTATAATAAGTAAATACGATTATTTATAATTCCCGTTGACTCGTGTCACATATGCCGACAACCGATGGGAAATGACGAATGGCTCGGTGAGTAAAAATAATCGCCATACTTGACTATTAAACGCCTCTTACGCGATTCGTAAAGCATCACGATTGACGATTTAAAATAGTAGGTAATATTTATAATCAATGGTAACCCTTACTGAATCCGCTGCAAAAAAGTTAAATCTACATCAATGTTATAAAATTATAATAATAAGGTAATTGTTTAATCAACATTAATACAGTAGATTCATGTCGAGCGTCGCTATCTCGAATTGTTCATTTTCTCGAACTACATTGAAATCTCCTAGAAAGCGTTTTACTTTCGATAACTCAATAGAAAATAATAAATCGTTTTTCCTTATCTCGAGTGCATAAATAATTTTATTACGGTAAGAACAGAAAATTGTGCAGTACATTCAGTATAGTGATTGTGATTACGTGCTTTGGTAGTCGATATTTACATTCGTTCGTACAATATAGCGGAATGGAAAATAAGTGTGAATTAAATGACCTTTCAATTTCGGACAAAGTTCGTTTAATACAATTAGTTGAAAAAAGTGACCGTAAAAATGTAAAATCACCAATAAATTTAACATTCCACCAAATACATTATCGTCAATTATTAACCAGAAAAATAAAATTCTGAATTTCAATTATTATGGAAATATGAAAAAAAAAAGGGGGGCGACTCCTTATTTGGACATCAATAAATGTTTATTAAAATGGTTTACTCAATGCCGAGATAAAAACATACGATTAAATGGAACAATTTTACTTGAAACAGCAAATTAATATGCACAACAACTAGGACACACTAATTTTAAAGTTAGCAGTGGTTGACTTAGAAATTGGAAGAAAAAACATGATGTAGTTTATCGAAAAGTTTGTGGAGAATTTGATTCAGTAGACACACATTATTGTTCAAATTGGATAGAGCAATAAGAATGTCTGATAAGGCTTGAAGAAGAGTAACATTTTGTTGCCGATCATCTTAATTTAAACGACAGAACTTTTTCCCATTATGTGAAAATGGATAACAATGTAATGTGGAACATGGAAAGATAAAGCAATTTTATCAGAAACCATCGAAAATCCCAACGAGAGTGATGACGAACCACAAAGTGAGGAGGAAGTCACTACAGTTACAATTCAACATGCTTTAGAAACATTAAGAAATTTTGTTGAGACTGCTACAGGTATTATATTGAGCTATGGATGATGGCGCTTTTTCTGCAATATTCAATTTGGAAGACATCGTGGAAGACAGAAATATTACAAAACAATCTTCAATGACAGAAAAAAAAATGTATTTATTTATTATTGTAGTTCATTGATGTGTAGGTATGTAGTATTAATATTAAATTTTTAATTATTTAAATTATGTATTTTAAGCGTTCAAATTATTTGCCGACTTTTCAATTTTTTTATACATTTTAATAAAACTCGATATCTCGAACTTTTTCCTATTTCCCTTGAGATTCGACACAACAAGAATCTACTGTATACATCTGTTATGTGACGAGTTCTGTTATATGTATAACACGTCAAATAAATTTAAACAATAATGAAATATCTCTTTGGTACAATCACATACGAGTATATATATATTATATTTTGTTCGACAGTGTTTAATAAATTACCTATCTATTCAATGGTTCATTGATGCGTAGAAATAATAATAGTCCAACTCATTAAATATTTAAGTAATCCAATTGAATAAATCATACTTTATAATAATATTCTATATAACAAAAAAAAAAATAATAAAACCCAACGTAAAAATTAAAAACAATTATAACACAAATAAGTTGTACTTACAAGTGTATAAAAAGGGCATAAGATTATAGTCATACTATTAATAAGAAAATAATTTCGAAATTCAAATACAATAAAAGCTATGTTGCGATTTTTATATTATTTTTACAGATTTGTAACCATAAAATATTCATTTATGCAACTCCTCAAACCCAATAAAATTAATTTTCAAATGATAAAAATAATTAAAAATTATATACAAACTGCTGGCATGGGTTTTGGCTCGAATTTCCAATATACGGGTGCCAGAGTGACAAAGCTCACAATAAGTATCAATAATCTTTTATTTCTATCACATTGTATTTTAATTTAAAACAATTATGAGACACTAGTAAATAATTAGGTATTTCATTTACAATTTACAATGAATTACAAAAAAAAAAATGTATTCATTTTTTTAATAAATTGTTTTATTTATTTTACACATACGAGAATCATCCATTCAAATTACAATAAACAATTTAAATCATTCATCGCGTACGTATGTGTTATATCAAAACGTAAAATGTTCTTCATAAAAATAAATAATCTGATACGCCCTGAACACTAAAGCGAAAATAATATGATTTGTAGATTTCTAAAAATGTGAATGACGTTAAAGTTATAAATATATTTGTTAATATAATGTATATTAGCATATAGATTTATTTATGTTATTATTTAAGATTTATACCTAAAAGTATACTTGCTTTAAAAATATGTATAGGGCTCATATTTTAACGTTTTAAAAATATGATAATAATTAACTTGCATTATTATTTAAATACACAGATATAGGTTCCCCTGAAATTATTTACTAGTTGAAAGCTGTAAATAACTACATATAATATTATGACGTATTAGTATTGTTAAAAATTCTTTAGTATACCTACCTACCTATAAGTGATATAACAAACTTGAACTTAATAACATGAAAGATAATAAATCAAAAATTGATATTGCATTATGCGATGTGTTATTACAACTTTGAAATTACGGTAGATACCTCGATAAATAACAAAACTATAATAATAAGTTAATAATAAAGTACAATCATCATTATATTATTAGGTGTATGAGTGGCCTATTTATTTTGAATCAATAACAGTCCATCAAATGTACTTATAATTTGTCATTCTAGTTAATATTGTACGTCGGTTTGCTGGCAAATGCTATGCTCTTGGCCTGCTGTCAAGTCACCAGTATATTATGAGTGTGTATATGGAGATGCATAAAAATTTGACCAGTCGACGTCGTCATTTGGTCGGGTGCGTTATTGCATTTGTATAAGTCACAAAATAATATTGTATACCGGGATAGGGTTGAATTATAGCTGATTCGGAATCAATAATATTACAACAGTTTAGGTAATATCCATTTAAAATAATGCCTTCATAACCAAAATAATGTTCTATTAAATTATGCAATAATTATGAACTTAATGTATATTATGAAACAAATTAATTTTCGAACTACCTATATAGGACAATTTCAATCTTATCTCGCGCGTTCAAAATTCTATTAATTATAGTCAAAAGGAGATTAAAAAATAAAAACGAAAAAAAACATATATCACGATCAATTTGGTTTTAGAAAAAGGATATAAACGAGAGAGGCAATTTTCTATTTAAGACAGTGGCGTACCTATGCTGGACAAAGGGATATTCCTCTCACGTGGTCCGTATAATTATTATATGTGTACATTGTTACCTATAGTGATGAACTAAAATAACAGTAACAGATATGTATAACAGTTATTATGAGATTAGAAATAAAGACCTGTTACTTGGAAGAAAAAATAACTTTTATTGTTATTTTTTGGTTTGGCTGTTACTGTTACTGTGACTGTTATATCAATTATGCCAATAATCAATAGACCTATGTCATATATACAGACTTTGAAAAAGCTTTTGACAAAATTAATCATAATCTTTTAATACAAAAAATTAAGAAAATAGGGTTTTCCGACCTTTTATTTTCATGGCTAAATTCATTTTTAATCAAAATATTCCAATTTGTAAAATATAAAATTTTTATTTCCTATCCAATTTCAGTTATATCCGGTGTCTCACAAGGAGACCACCTCTCCCCGTTATTATTCGATTTATTCATTAACGATATTATTTTTTCAATTAAACATTCTAATATTCTTCTATTAGCTAATGATGCTAAAATTTTCAAGTGTATAAGAAATACAGCAGATGCAGAACTACTTCAACAATATTTAACTAGCTTTTAAAATTGATGTATCTCAAATGATATATCCCTTAATATTAATAAATGTCAATGAATCCCTTTTTCTAAAAAATATAATTTTATTTCCAATGAAAAGTTCTTCTACCAAAATTTATTTCGGTTCTACCCAAGTTACAGATCTTGGAGTAATCTTTGACTCAAATCTTTTATTTAATCCCCAAATATTAGCAGAAAAAAAATCTCTTTCATTAATTAGCATGGTTAAGCATAATTGCTCAAGCTTTAAGAATCGATTTACATTAAAATGTCTTTACACTTCAATCGTTCGTCCTAAATTAGAGTACGCTCCAATCGTTTGGGAAACATATAACATCGATCATGGTAAACAAATAGAAAAAATTCAAAATAATATGCTTCGTTTTATCTGTTTTAAAAGCAATTTATATAAACCTCCTCACTATGGATTTGATGCCATTCTTAATTTTTTAAATTGAAAAACCATTTAAAGATCGAAAAAAACAGTTTTATATAACTTTCTTATTTAAAACTACTTAATAATAAAACAAACCAAACCTCCCATCTAAACAATATTACTCTAAAAGTAAATAAACATAACATTCGTAATAAAGAATTATTTTATATAAAATATTATTCTCAAAACTATATGTCGTGTACACCTATAAATATCTTGCTATCTACTAAGAATTCTGTAAATCATTTAGATTTCTTTTACTCTATTAATCGAACTTAATAACACTTATTATTATATACTTATTTGTGTTTTATCTTTTATTTTTTTATTGTTTAATATATTTTAGTATCTATGATACATAATGTACCTATTCTATATTGTATTTATAATCTACACTATTATCTAATTATATATATATTTCTATATAAATTGAAATGATGTCTGTTAAATAAACAAATAAACAAATATCGGATTGAACTTTCTGGTAGAAAAAATGTTCACATAAAAAAATAAAAAAATAAAAAATATTCATCTTTGTAAAACCAATATATTCTTTGCTCCATTTAGAATCTAAAATATGAAAGCAACAACGGCCCTAACTGCTCTAGTTTTAATTTTATTTATCTATTTTTTATGCTTATAAAAACAAAATTTTAGCTTGTTGAAATCTTACTCTAATTATCAACTTCAGAGATGGTTTCTGGTAGCAAATTTTGTATAGTGGTACATTGAAGAGGTGATTTTTGGATATGCTTAATGAAAAAATACTTCTTTAGGCTCGATTTTTTTTACCACTAAATACAACGTGTAATGTATAACCGTGTTAATTTGTCAAACATAAAACCAAATAAAAACTAAAAACCTCAACAATTTAAAATAGCTAAGTCTAGGTATATATCATAACTAAAAAGTTGTCAAAACGGTTTGATATTTTTACAACGTAGAAAAAATTATTTTATGAAAATTGCTCGTCGATTATTTATGACCTATTCGTATTTACAGTTAAAAATAAAAAAAATTGAAAATAACAGAAACCGCTATACCATAAATTTTTTCCTAAGATTATTCCTCAATTATTCAGAAAATTACTAAGAAAACCAAATTATTGTTTTCAGAAAAGATACTATACTTTTAGATCTGATTATGATGTTTGATTGTTAACAAACATAAAAATAATAATAAAATACGCATGGTATTTTTTTTATAACTAATACATGAAAATTTACTGAAACGTCTCTATCTTAATATATCTAGGTAACCACTTATCAAAACATTTACTAAGCGGGATTGGGAAAAAAGAAAACAATTGAATAAAAAGAAACGGAAAAAAGCAAGTAAAAAAAAGCGAATAAAAAAAAGCAATATATTTATTTTAAATATATACAAAAAGTAACATTATTGGCTAGAACTACATAATATTATATAGTACCATATAATAAATACTTACACTATATTTTAATACCATTGACTATATTATATATTCAATAATAATATTTTAAATGTTTTCACAAAAATAATTATCGGGACAAGTTAAATCTGCAGTCCATAATTGAAAGTAACAAAAATAACTATTATTGTAGTACAAAATATATGTTACAATCAACTTAAAATAAACAGCATATATAGCATATAGTGAAAAAAATAAATTATGTAAACATTTTTATCTCAAAATAAGAACAGTTAGAAAAAATAAATTTGTATTTATACGAGTATGATTTATAATTTATAATTATTTATTCTTAAAAATCAATAAGTATATAAAGTATATTATTATTGGCACATTATATATTAAGCCATATGAAATAATAGTACATTACATCATGCATAGATAAAATAATAAAATATTTGTATAAAATTCAAAAAAAAAATTCCAAATTTAAAAATAAAACGACTACATCTATTTTACAGATAGAGTGTAAAAAAATATGTATTTATTTTAAACGTATGTGACGTATACAACGTTTGAGAAATTTTTGATATAATTATTAACGATAATTTTTATTAACTATAACTGGCATCCGGCTTATGCTATATAATTAAATATGCTATAGCCATAGCTTTATTTAAATTGATTTTTATATATTTTGTACTTATGTTACAATAATAGTCATTTTTGTTACATTCGATTTCGATAACTTGCTCCGATAATTATTTTTGTGAAAACATTTATTGAATGTATTATAATATAGTCAATAGTATTAAAATATTGTGTAGGTACTATGGTACCTTATAGATGGTGTATGGTAATATATAATATGTAATACTAAACAATATTACTTTTTATATTATAATGTGTAAAATAAATAAATTGCTTTTTTTTTACTTGTTTTTTTTCCTAAACTCGTACTAGGCATATTTATACAAGTTACTTTCCTCTTTATGTGACGATGTACATTGTACTTCCCAAAAAATTGCTCTAGTAACTTGTTAACTTGTCACTCGAGTACTAAACACGTATATGGTAACCACTAGTCACGATTCAGCTAAGCTTTCTGAAAAATATTTACGTTAATAAAAAAAAATACAACTTCTTTTCATAAAAATTTTGGCAGATTGTACGGGTTTTATATTATACACTATAATAGTCTGTCTGGCACAATATAATGAAAATCACAATGCATTATCTTTCCAATCGAATCCATTATAAATTCAACTAATTTTATATTGCATATTATTATTATTATATTTCGAGTACAACACGCCTCACGACGCTATCGTGTACACTCGCTTTGAGTGGCGCAGTAATGTAATTTTCATGATAATCGCTACTGTAAAAAGAAATAAACTTTATCATGAAATATACGTAATACTGTATTATACATATGATAAAATAATAATATAATACATAGGTATTTACATTTTATTTGTATTTTTAACTAAATTTGGTAAAACATAACGAACATTAGTCTGAACACTCAACGTTTAAAATATTATAAATGTTATACGTCTGTACTTAATAAATAATTAAATAATAAATACAAATTATTAACAATAATCATAATTTATATTACAAATGCATGCCTATTTTTAAATAAACATTGGGAGATCTCCCAATTGGGATATATTGGTGTCTTCGATAGTATATTACTATTTGACAATGGCGGTCAAATGATTAATGCATAGGAGAAATAATGATAATTTTTAAGAGCAATCTAATTTTTTACATAATCTTTTTTATAACTATGAAGATAAAATATAAATTCAAATTCTGATATTTGGAATTTTTAAGTGTAGTGAAAGACGATGTTTTCGACTATATAGATTTTTTACAACACTTAAAAAGCAGTAGCTGCTCCAGGATTTTTTTCACGATGAGTTAATAGGGGCAAACAAATATTTGGTCGGGCCGTTTAGAATACACATTTTGAAATTGTAAAATTAAAATTTAATACCTAACACATAAATAAATTTAAAAAATATAGAAATGTTACGAACTCTGATTTTTAAGATCAGACTTAACCGAACCGAACTTTCCTTTAAATTAACAAAACCCGAGCCTAACCGAACTTTTAAAATATTTTATCGAACTCGAACATTAAAATAGTGTAAAAAGGTTAGGTTAGGTTAGGTTGACCTTTACGACCTTTACCAATTTACGATATGAGCCCAACTAATAAGAAAAAATGGAATTTCCAAACCCAACTTTCATAACAAGACCGCTGTTCTTACCACAGAACATCGTATTGGTAACCCCGCAGAATCGGCGTTGAATAATTTTTGAACAGAGCTATTGAATATTTGGTTTGGTTCGATTATTTGCAATTTTCAGTTCATCGTATCTCTAATAAAATATTGTTTTTCTTCCTTTATTACATAATAATTACAATTTATCAATAATTTCATCAATGTCCAGTAACTTTGATTCCGATTTTTCAATAGAAATTATTCTTAAATTTGATAGATTTGTATGTAATCTGTTTTTCGAGTAATTTTTTTACTCATTTCATACGAGAAAATGTACGTTCACATGCAGTAGATTATACAGGTATTGTTATAGCAATAGAACAAAACTTATATGTTTCTGAAAAAGCTATTTTATATTCATTAAGGAAATTATGAAATAAATAAATATATCATCAAGCATACCTCTAATTTTCAAGTTTTTTTTTTCTTCATAACGTTGCAAGCATTTAAGTATTATATTTAATTTCGATTTTAGACTTTCTGTATCGCATGCATAAACTTTAGTAAACGAAAACATAATAGTTAAATAGTAAAATATAATAACAATAACCACAAACCATATATTATAATAATATATAGGCTATTGTACTATTTTAAATATTACTTGAAGTTCTTGAAATAGATTATTCAGGTTCATTGGTTGAATCTCATCGTTAAAATCGTTACTTTTATTTATGTTTTCCTTAGTCAAGAATCACTGATGTTTCTTTTAGACATATTTTTGACAACAATTTAATAATAAAACTCAATATAGATTACAGATAGATTAGGTTAGGTTATCACTGCAATTCTAGTCACCCATTTCACACTACTTTTTTGAGCATCTAAACCATAGTACCTACTAAGAATAGCCAATTAAAATTATATTTCAAACTTTGAAAAAAATTATTTGTCTTTAACTCCTCAAATTTAACTGGATGTTTATAAAAATTGACTATAAATAAAAGTTAAGTTTGTCCAATTAAAACTAGTTAAGTTAATAATCTAACCCTAAAAAATTAATTAGTTTTTATAAAGTTTAAAAAAATTAACTTTTAACTAGTTAATGTCATACTTTGCTATCTGAAATGTGTTTCTGTTTAATTATTATTATAGTTTTATTTTATTTGAAATTTTCCGGTTCTCTTCACAAGTAATATCATGTCATCCCTTTTTTTTACAACCCGCGACTTGCTTGTGATCATAGTCGTATTACTTAGGGAGCGTGTGGGCTAAGTTTACTACCATTATTAATTTTAACCCTCCCAAATGACCCTTTCAAAATGTTTGATTAACGTTAACACCTTAGTATATTTCACACTTATATAAAAAAAATATCCGGTTACATTAAGTAAAATTATTGATATAATTTTACAAGCAGATATTGCTTGTAAAATAGCTTGTAGAAAAGTTATCTATAAAAAAAAAAAACACAATATTTTACTAATATATTTCGTACATTTTCCCGTTTTTCCTCAGTATTTTTTTTCGGTTTTTCACATTTAATGAGAAAACCCTTGAGAAAATCACGACCAACCTTTAGTATCTCTCTATACCGATTTCTTTACAAAAAAGGTGCTACACGTAAAAATTGGAGCAAGTTCTCTGGTGGAAAAGTTATCCACAGAAAAAATAAAAAAATCTTTGTAAAACCATAAGCTTCTTCACTCTACTTAAAATCTAAAATATTTATACATTAACTATACACAGCTATACCTAGATACCAATATAACTTAGTAACTATTTAAATATAATTAAGCATCATCATATGCAACGTTTAATGCAACGTTATATTATTTTTAAGCAGGATAGTAATTTTTACGGTACAAAAACCATGAAGCAATTTACATAACAATTATAATGAAGACTACTAAGAAGCACAAGCGAATATACAGTAATCAGCAAACCATAGAACCATACTATACTATTAGATACCTGTTCATATTTATCACGACATTGAGTAAGATTTACGTTTAATTGACAGTTTAATTTTATTGATTTTAACCTGAACATTTTATTTAATATTTGTTATCATATAGCAACGGTAACGGTGTATCATATTCATAAAGAGTTAGTGAGACCAAAATTAGAGCATTTAGTAGTTTACGAAGTAAGTAAAAAAACAATATACAAACGTACATGGTACATGTTACTTATGTAGTATTTTAAGTGTAATTAATAACTTTGTTTAATGTTATAGAATTTAACTGATCGTGACCCAAGAGTCACTTGTCAGTTTCCTATACTTAATCCGTTTCATCCGTCAATTCTTAAATACGTGTTTGTACCCAAGCCGATAAGGTGAGTTGCATATTTTTTTTATCTTTAATCAGCTAATTTTGATTTTATCATTATTTCTGGTTTTAGATGCATGGAAAGATCGTATCGGTTAACTTATATAGACATGGACACAGGACTTTTACAGTTTAATGTATCAGGATTCAAAGAATCTGGGTATTCCTTGGATTCAAATACACTACGGTGTTATTATCAAGAAATTTATCGTCCAAATGAAGATGACTACCGTGTGGAGTATGGACCACAAATTCCTATTACTGGTCTCCACGAACCGCGAACGGATTTCATCTACGTATCTTGCACTAATTTTTTAGGTTTCACGGTGTATAGTAACTTCCATGCTTATGCAAGAAGAAGGCCCGAAGTTCGAAAATTTAAAGTAAACAAAAACAAATTATAATTTAAATAATTCATATGTAAGATACCGAATCAGATTATCTTAGTGTATAATATTTTCAATATAGGATGATATAGAACTAGGCGCTGCTATCATCGGCATTGATTCCATATCGCGATTAAATTTTATGAGACAGATGGTAAATTCCTATCATTTCATTACCGAAGAGGTGGACGGCGATGTATTGCATGGTTTTACCAAAGTAGGTGAAAATACGTTTCCAAATGTGATCCCTATGCTTACAGGTCGATCGTTCATCACAGAACACAATAATAGGTTTGATGTAAGTAATAAGTGTTATGTATAATATACGTATAATGTCTATTAAAAATGTTCACAATTATGAAATGAATTTGATACATTTGATCGTTTACATATAAATTATTAATATGAGTATACGATAATAATAACTTCCCAGTCATAGGCGTGTCTATGGTGGCAGCCTAGGGTGCCTGGGGTGCTCCTACAATTTTCAAAAAGTGCCGGTCAACCAAATTTTATGTCTAGTGGCTTACGACTTTTATAAAAAAAAAAAGATTTCTTATGCATTATTTATAAAAAAATAGTATTCTATAATAGTCTATCATTTTTTTTATTCTATATATTAATACATCATTTATTTTGTAAATTACTTGACTATATGACAGTGTAATCCAGTCCTGAATAATATTTTTGCAATTAAATTTAAAGGTACTGAATATATTGTGTATTATTAATTGTAAATAAATAATACAGACTTTTTTAAATTATATAAATATTTAATTTGGGGAGACTAACCTTCTCCCCCCTATTTAAAGGGGATTTTTTTTGGTTCATTAAGTGGCACCGATTATTAGCTAGGCTGCCGCTGCAGATAAAGTCTAGTCACGCTTATATTCCCATTATTTTAATTGTACGTTAAATTGTTAAAACGTAGGACTGGCCATACATATGGAAAGATTTTAGTAAGGAAGGCGCCGCGACTCTATACGCCGAAGATCAGCCAGAGTTTAATATGTTTGACTATTTAGCCAAAGGGATTACTTTACAACCCACTCTGCATTACATGCGTCCGTATTGGTTGGCTGTAGAACAGTCAATGTTGTATAAGATGAGCTCACCTGGTTGTCTCGGACCGACTCCTAAACACCTTATCTATTTTAATTATTTGAAATCATTCCTAAAAATTTATAAAGACTCACCAGTGTTCTTATTTTCACTTTTCAATGAAGTTAGTCATGACTTTGTCAATACCGTTGGGGTAAGTATGTTATTTTAGATTAAAATGTATTTAATCAAATTTGTATATAAACAAACTTAGTGTATTTATTTTTTCTAGGTCATAGATTTAGATTATATGAAATTTCTCAAGTCTTCTATTCACGAGGGAATTTTTAATCGAACTGTAATTTTCGTGCTTGGCGATCATGGAAACCGAATGGATTTCATTCGGCGAACTAAAGTTGGAACCATTGAGGATCGGATGCCAATGGTCACCGTAATACTTCCAGAATGGGTAAGCATGAAGTATCCCTCTTGGAAAGCATCCCTTCGTGAAAACCGTATGAGACTGACATCCACCTATGATATTTACGCTACATTAAGGCATATATTAAGCACATTGAACAACCAAAGCAAATCAACAGATATAGAACAATATTTATTAAATAATATCCAAGACAAAAACGTTAAGAATCATTTTGCAGCTCCGTGCACTGGTTTATCATTTTTCGAACCTGTACCATTAGTTAGAGATTGTAATGAGGCCGGTATAGCTCAATGGCTATGTGTTTGTCACGAAGGTCAGCAAAAGCGACTCGAGCAAGAACATCCTTACTGTCTTGCAGCTTCAAACGAAGTCATAAGGTTAGATTTACACAACCAAATAATGTTAAAAACGTCAGTTTTTAATATTTTTTTTTTATAAAACACATAAATATAATAAAATGTTCTACATATCATTTACAGTTTACAAATATTTACTAAATTCTAGTAATTATTTGTTTTTTGTTTTTTTTTAAAAAAAAGATAATTATAATATATATAGATCTAGATTTTAAACGACCATTTATATCATATATACTTTTTACAGATACTTTAACGAATTATTGGATGGTCTCGAAAATTGTGCGAAAATGAAATTGGCTTTTGTAGAACACGCGTATTTGTACGAAGCACCGCAAAAATACGACGATGGGAAGGTGTACGAAAAATCTGTTCAGATCACATTCAAAGCCATTCCAGGTAATGGATATTTTGAAGCTACACTAGGTATGGAAATAAAAAACGGATCACGAAAATTCGTTGTTATTGGACAAGTCTTTAGAATTAACAAATACGGCCATCAAGCAGACTGTTTACCGAGAACGATGCTTGCTAAAATGCCAATTTTGAAAGGAATTTGTTATTGTGATTAAATACATTATATATTATCTATATTACCAATTAATACTACTATGATATGTATATTACTCAAATGTACAGTTGTTTAATTATACAAATGACTGAAAATTTAAATTTAATACCTAAACTAATATGTATTACTATTTACTCATGAACTATACAAATGTATTATATTTATAGATATGCAGGAGGTAAAATATTAAGAGAAATTAAGACACTTAATTGAGTCGATTTCATATAAATTGTTGTTAATGTTGATTATATTTATAATATATAATTTTAAATTAATTATTTCTTTTAAAATAATTGTATTTTAGTACCTATATTATAAAATATCCATATAAAATTTGTTTTAAATATATATGTGCTGGATACATACCGACTTATATATCGCATTTATAGTCCGAAAATAATCTCATGGATCGTATAATTCCGCAATTTTATACAGACTGATCGTATTATCACGGACTATAGAAATCTGTAAAGTTACTATCGGTATACCTAGTTCCGGACTGTATTCTCCCGGAAAAAATTAACACACAAACAGAATCTAAATTTTAATTGATACTAATACCATCCAGTAGTGTGATATATATCACTACAATTACTCGTATAAAATATGATTTAATTTTGCTATGTTTTCAAATAGGCAAAAAACGGGATAATCTAAATATATTTCTATTTTTATTAAACACGATCCACTTGTTTTGTAATAGTTGTATTTTTTTAGCTAATTTCCGTCAAACCTTTGACGAAATATTTCGCTTCTAAGTTTGGGTAGGGGAGAGTAGTATAGAGTACCTACTATTCTAATGCCGCACGCCGTAACACCACTCAAATGATGCTCTTCTACTCTCCCCTATAAAACTTAAAAATGGAATATCTCATCAACGGGTTTACAAAATTCAATAGTTTTAATATACAAATTCATTCAAACTAGACTCCATCTATTTATGCAATTTGTAATATAAGTTGTCATTTGAAAATCAAAAGTAGGTAAAGTCGTTGTTTCACCCATAAAAATAAGGAAAATGAAACATTTTAGAATGCAAGATTCCAAAAAGTTTTTAAATGAGTCATTTTTTAAAAAGAAAATAAGTATTTTATGACAAATTTAAATCTGTGTTATTGTTTATTTATATTATAAAATAATTAAGTCCGATTCCTACGTTCCTACGTTTGGCATGCTTGCCAAATATTCGTCACTTGTGAATACCTATCAAGTTGTAGGTACAGTATATATGTAGTTATACAATTATTTATCACTTTTCCATTTTTTAGACTGTTGGTAAATGTAATACAAGTCAAAGGAACGACAAGTATACTTAGAAAATCAAAGAAAACTGCAGCATTATTTGCGTTATAATTAATTTAAAATGTGTCTCTGCCACCAATATTGGCTGACTTAACCAGCCATCCAAACCCGTATATTTGGGGGAAGGTTAAGCCAAAATCTTTCAAATTGTTTCTAACTTATTTTCGGGCTCCCCCCCCCCCTTCATTGAAACTGTTTAACAACAGTCGTATATACTGCTGTCGTATCTAAACAGTTTACTTGGCAACTTAGTAGACAAATATCGAGTAGACGAGTAGACAAGTATTGAAATTCCGGGAATATTTATCGAGTAAATCAGTCTTAGAAATATCATATTCGTTCTCTTGTTCTGTGTTCAGTTATTGACATAACTGGTAACTGCTAAAAAAGACAGTCATGGGTGATGGGAATCCGATACAACTGTATAAGTGTTAATATTTGAAACTTCTACGAATGCTGAGACTTCAGCCCTACCTTACTTATTTGTACCTATATCCAGTAGTCGAAGTGGCTCAAAATAAGTGGAGGGATGCCTGAAATTTTATACTTTTCTAATATTATGGCTTATTTACGTGAGGGTGATTGGAGGTGAAGATAAATTGAACGCTATAACCCTATATATTGTTATTATAATACAATTTTATGTACAGTATACATTTTTGTATTTCAGTTTGATGTTTTATTTGTTGATGTATTTAAATTTATATGCATATACAATTATATTTTTATTTAAAACATAAAACATATTTACATATATATATTTAATTTATGCACCTACAGTTTATCAATAGGTTCTAATAGTATGAATATATATAAATTACTGATCGGGATTTACAGCCTCCCAATCCTATACCTTATAAACTTAACCTAAAAAAAAAAACGGACATACTTCGTACGATGAGTGGGTGATTGTTTTAGTCTTGTAGATGAAAAGTTAGGAATGTAGAGGAGGAAATTAAATTATTTCTGTAAGCAGTGATTAATCATTACTAACGAAAAACGATTCTGAGCAGAGTTCGGTTATATATGTTTTGAAAAGCCGTATATTTACGATTCAAAAATAATTAATTTCGTAAATTTTCCAATTTTCCTACATTTTTTCTATTTATTTAAACCATAGGAAAATTAAAAAATGTTCTCATTCAAGAACCACCCCAGTTAAATTTACTTTCAAAAGAGCTGCTACACTTGAAAATCGGAGAAAAATTTCTGGTAGAAAAGTTTTTACAGACAAAAAAATAAAAATAAACATCATTGTAAAACCAATACATTCCTCGCTCCACACAGAATTTACAGCCTACATTTATATGCCATAGGATTCAGATTTTGATATCTGTAGGTATTACTTCAGATTCCAGATTTATACGAATTTATATATTATTACCCGTTTATCCAACTTATGGCACTAAATTGTATTAATCTCAGTAATTATAATTAAAAATTCACAATTTTCTTACGATTTACAATTTTTTTTTTTTGAGTACTATATTTATAGTAATTTTAAATTAATTTTAGTATGATATATACATAGCATATTGTAACAATATTTTATTTTATTTTACAGTAAGTATCCGTAATATATATAAATTGAATTATTCAACAGTGTTTATAACAATGTTCATTCAAGCACTTGATGAATTTTCTTCTCTTTGACATTTAGATTAGAACACATGCCTCTACTATAAATAGGTTTTGACAGCAGTAGAGTTTGACTTGTGCAATTAGCCGGTAAGCCGGAACAACTAACCACGAACTAATATTTCATACACGAATAGTATTTATTATTTTAAATATACTTATACCTACTTGAACTTATATTTAAATTTTCTCAGATTGTAAAATTAAAGTTATTATTGATTTTCAATCATTTCCAAATTAAATTTCCGTAACTAAAATAAAAATGGGCAAAATCAACAGGAAATTTCAAGTAACGGTAAGACAACAGAAGAGACCAAATTTACCAAAAGCTGCCGTTAACATTTTAACTAAATGGTTAGAAGAGAATTGCACCAACCCTTATCCATCTGAGTCTACGAAGAAAACATTAATGGAAGTTACGAAATTAACTAAAAATCAAGTAATTTTTTTAATAAATGATGATACAATTAGCTTTGTGTAATAAACTTATAAGTATTAATATTACTTATTTTGTTTAAACTGTTATTATACATTTATATAGATTTATAATTGGTTCATAAACAGCCGTCGTAGAATTCTTCCAAACATTTTAAAGGAAAAGGATATGGACAAAAGTCTTATTTTATTGAAAATTAAAAAGTTCACATGTTTCAATCGTAACAAGTTTGCACACCATTTTGAAAATAAAACACAATGGTATGAATTAAAATACTTACCTACTTAAGAAAATATCTTTACTACAGAAAAAAAGAAAAAAAATATGTACCGCATATTTGTACTTTCTATTGATACAATTTAGATACAAATTTGTTGAAACCGTTTTTAATAAAATTCAGTGATACTAAATTAGTAGTATTCAGCGGCTGATCCAGAAATTTTTTAAAGGTGGGGGGCAATATTGTTTATATTCTCAGTAAATTAACTATAAATTATATATTAAATTAATATAAAATATATAAATGAAAACTGTAGTCCATTGACAGGGGGCACGTGCCCCTATGTCCCCCTGAAACCACCACTTGTTGTATCTACCAAGTAAATATGTACCATTAAATTTTAATTGAATATAAATCAGTATGTATATCTAAACAATGTAGTAATGACGTCATCTATTTTTAAATAAATATTAAGATAGCTATCTATTTAATAGTTAATATTGATCTCAACTTTTGTTTAGAATATTTTATGCGTATAACAACATCAATACTCACCTACGAAAGTAATATTTCTTTGTCCTTATAGGTACCTATGGCTAATATTAATAATAGGAATACATCCTACGTATTATTATTTATACTAATACTTGGCATTTGCCAGTAGGTATTATAATAACTTATTGGTATTTCTCTGTTACTTTACTTCCTATTATCGTTTAAAAACTTAGTTTGATATTTTTACCTACCTGTTAATCATAATCAAATTAAACACAAGTTTAATACTTATTATGTACTTTTATTATTTACTCTTCAGGATTTTCAGAGTGAATATTATGAAAATAAATTAATTTAATGGATTATTTTTTTCAGTACACCAAATAAACCAATTTCCTATTCGGAAACAAAAACTACATCAAAAAACGAAGAATACAATTTGCAGTTGCTTGCAGAAGTGGCTACTAAACTACCGCGAATCACACCAATTTAATATTTAAAGAAAATAAAAATGTTTTATTATAATATAATATACCTACTTATCATATGAATGTGGTAGATGCCTTTATATTATTTTAGGTGAGATTAGTGAATAGGTTTATTTTGTGAGCATTTATATTTTGTAAATTATAAGTTTATCTGTTAAGTACTTATGATACCTGTACTATATATATATATATATATATAAAATAAAAAGCATTGTGATATCATTAGAATTAATTTTTGAAAATATGAAATAAAATATTAGGTATGAAACTCATAATATAGTTAGATATGTAAATGAGAAGGTGTAAAATATGAATACAGAGGTGAGCATGAAAAAACAACCATTTTTGATCATTTTTTATAGCTTTATAAAAATATTTTATTATAGATTTAAGAATAAGACTAAACAGAATTAAACCGAAAAAGTTCTTTTTAAAAATGAATTAGTCACATTCACGTTTATCTTGTTAAAATGGAACTAATAATGCCAGACTTGTTCCAGGATTATAGAATGCAACTAATTCCTTTCCTTCTTCTTACCTTATTTTTGAAATATTTTATGTTTCACTTTTTCTTGAAAATACCGTAATATTTATGATTTTCGTCAATATGATATTTCTTTAGGATTTACAACAAAAGATCAAAATCGAAAATAACGAAACCATTAATGCCATAAACTTTCCATTATTTCCCATGTTTTTCCGATTTTTCCTAATCATCATGAAATCAAATTGCAAAATCAGAATAGGATTTTCTTAACAACCAACTATAGCTACAAAAAAATATTCTCGATATTAAATTTAAAATAATGAAATCGACATGTATTAAATATTAATATTATAATTTCCCATTTTAAACACCTTGGAAATTCATAATATAGCACCAATTAAATTCAAAATTCAACAATAAAGGTTTCTTATCATTCTTTAAATAGTGCAAGATTTCTGATAGAAAAGTTGCTCATAGACATAAAAAGTACGAAAATAAAAATAGTATATTAAAACCAATATACACAAATTGAAACTAAAACTTAAATTAAAAATAAATAAATAAAACATGCTAAGAATAACTAAAACAAGTACCTAAACACTAAGTCAAAAAAATGAACAAGAAGGTTCGGAAATGCATTTCATGTAGCCTATAATAGGTACTTAGTTCCATGGAGAACCAATAGTATAATAAGAAAAAAAAAATTGGAATTATATTATAATATTATATTTATTATGGTTTTATTTATTTATTGAATATTAACCACCAAAACATTTACTATGATATATTATTTTTAATACTTGTCTATATGAACCACTTTTCCATAAGAAATTTCGCTATAATCAACTTTAGAGGTGGGTATCAAATTGTGTAAAAGAAAAAGATCGGGGAGAAATTTTTTTTGATTTTCCAAATATTTGGGAAGAACTGGATAAAACGCTGGAAAACGGGCCAATTTACGCAATAACGATTTCAGTCATTTTCAAATTTGGTTTTCTTGTTGTAATCAGTAGCGTAGCTAACGCAAAAGCAACCGAGACAGTCATCTCGGGGCGTAATAATTTTTTTGGAATCTTACCTACATGTGTGATAGGGGCGCTGATGATTTTCAAGTATTTATTAGACAAATTATAGTTAAAATTGAATACTTATAAAGGCTGTAGGCCTAATAACCATGTTAAATACCAAGTTCATGCTAAATTAATTTACCGCAACTTATGTATCACAGCGGATATAATTATAACCATACGATTAATGAAATATACATAATACTTATGTTTAATTAATAAAATACTAAACAATTTCTGTACAAATTATTTTATATTTTAATAATAATGTGTTTGACATGAATAAAAAATAAAAATGTATTTTATATTACACGTTATGTATACATATATGTATTATTTATTGAGTAATAAGTATCCCAACAAAAACCCTCTGTCAACTACGTGTAAAAACCTCACTAAGAAAAAAAAAACTAAAGTTAAAAATTTGCAATATCAAAAAGAGGCTAAGTAATTTCTTAAATTCATTAGAGTAGAAATTGATTATAATTGTTTGTATTTGATGAAGTGTGATAATTTAATACACATAGTTTAACTTAGCTTGGCGGCTACTAATATTTACGACTACAAATGTCGATATGAATATTTACATCACCATTTTATAATTTATTAATATTACTATAATACTATTTATGTACATACTACGAGTTACATACATGTACATACTACTACATAAAAAAAAAGTCAAAAAAGGAAATCTATCACCCATATCCCACCCCATTAATACGCCACTGTAGTTGCTATTTTCATAATTTCATCATTAAATTCACACGTAGTTGGTACAATCAAAAAAATAAACACATTTCAAAAAGTATGAATAATGGAAAAATTTCGTTTTGAAGGTAGAATAAAAATAAGACTTGTGTACAATTTTGTGTCCCTTTGCAATTCACGCCCCTGGTGTAGGCACAGTTCGTCATACCCTTCCTACGCCACTATGTCACTATAATCTATTATAACGGTCTGCCACTCCCACGGGCCAAACGCATCGGCATGCAGCCATACAAGTGCCGACTGCCGGGTGTACAAACATAATAAATATCACTAATAATTTTTTACGCATGAAATATATGTAGATATATAATAAATCAATGTTTTAATGTTGATATTTTTCAACCTATATACAGATTTCCCTTAATTATTATTTAGACCAGTGGTCCTTTTGAGCTTAAGCCCTGTGCATTTGAGGATCCTATATATGTCTATGTCGTCAGCAGCATTAATATTGGTATTGTTAACTATAGGTATCATATTACCTATAGACTATAGGTATTAAGTACGTCTACTCGACGTTACGCGGTTGCCGGCCGTAACAAGCGCAGCGCGCTACTATCGCGGGCTAAAACGTTTATTTTACAAAAATTATTGGAAAAAGAGAATTAAAATATATTTGTGAAAATTACATTTTTTCAGGACTTCGGGTGGAAGCCCCTGAGGGCAGTGTTTATTATCCCCCTCCCTTTTGCAGAAAAATGTGTACCACCTCTTGAAAATGTATGACGTTACTGAGTAAACTACATGTGATATGATACGAGAAATTAGTAATGAACCGATTATGAGTCATCTTTTTGACAATAAAATAAAACAATATTGTGTTATGTAAATAATTATATTTTAACGAACTATAAAAAAATATCATCATAGAACGTATGTTCTTAATTTTTTCCCCAGGTTTAAAAATTCCTAGATCTGGCTCTGTCTTTGGCATACTCATTTAGACATTTTCAATACCTCCCATCACCATCCAGGGATATAAATCGGTATCTTCTATTATTTGTATAGTATTACATTTTTCTTTATCGTACCAATAGACAATAATATAATTTTTTGTCAGAGATTTTTTTTAATAGTATGTATTTAAGTAATACGCCATTATGCTAGTAAAAAATTATATCATAAAGTGCCTAGATTAAAACTAGAGTAAACTGGATTAGAGTAAATTAGAGTAAAATTAGAGTATACCTAAACATAATCTGGTCTATAGGTTACAGAACTCCGATCAGCTGTAAATGTTTATGTTTTTTTTTCTAATGTGTGTTTTCAAATGTAGCGGGGTGGTAGAAGTGAAGGTCAACGTTTATACATTGATAATGAGACAATGCCTAACTGTTATGTTTTCAGTATTTTTCGATCTTAGTCTACGGATTATGCTAACCTGGTGGATATAGATAACAGATAATAACACTATGATCAGTCTCATTTATATATTATTATTATTCACGTGAGAAATTAATTTCTATTGTTCTTATTTCCAGTATTTCAACAAACACAAAACGTGTTAACATTTAATATTTTTATTCTGTATTGCTCAATATGCCTAAATTTTTTTTGAACTTTTAAACAAACGTAATGTACAGTCACTGGATAAATAAAGTTTTCTTAAATACTTATTTATGTTCATAATTGTTTAAAACTCATCAAGATGTTAAAAACTTTACTTTGTATGGTTTTATGGCCACTGTTGCTAGTGTGGAGTGAATTGGCTGGTAACAAATATGCTAACTATCAATCAAATGATCTTACACCAATTGTTATAAAAGGAAATTACTCTGTACCTTACACATTTTCTCTCAATAATTTAGAATCGTATTTATTTATTTATGATTATATGCCGGTAAATATATACACAAATAATAAGATAACTATGTATTTTATTATTGAATTTTGTTCTCAAAATATTGTTCTTTTTAGGACTCAATTATTAAGCCACCAAAGGTGAAAGTTAGATTAATCAATCCAAACAATTTTGTTGTTATAGATCCATTAATAGTTGTTGTAAGACACCATACTGGTGTGATATCATGGCAACTTCCATACATAGAAAAAGAACAAGAAATAAGGTATTATGGTATTGATATATTAAGAGTAGAAAAGAAATTAAAAAATTATTTTTAGATTAAAACTATTGAATCCAAGTTATCATGACAACAATTATTTAGGTCTTACGTATTAGAGGTTTATCACTAAACTCTAAAGTACTTATCCCTTTCTAAGTCTTAATTTGTGTATAATTATTTGTCTATTATAATTTATTTACATTTTTTATATTTGTGTCAAAAATTGAATTGTAACAAAGAATATGTTGGATTTGTTGTTTAGCTATTATAAAGCTGCTCATATATTATGTCCGCATTTAAGTGCTCATAGCAATGAAAGTGGAATAGTTGTAAGTTTATCAACAAACAGTAAAATAAATATCACCTTCATTATAACTTTGGAGGTTCAAAAATCATTCAATGTATTGTAAATATTTAATTATTTAGGTACTTATATTTTAAATATTAACATTGCACTAATTAATAAAATTATACTATTAAGTCTAAATCAGCAAGTGGCTTTCAATTTATCGCCATCAGAACCAGTTTATTATTATTATAGTTTCAAAGAAAATTCTTCTATGGTATTACTTCATGTTACTTCTGATGACTACATATGTATGACATTGTCCATACAAAATTCATCGGTATGAATAAATATTAATTATTGTATTGAATATTTGTTTAATAAAACAATTTTATTTTTCAGTGTCCAGTTTTTGATTCGTTAGAAACAGTACAATACAATGGGTTACGACAAACTGTCAGTAAAACTGGTGGTATTATTGTATCTGTATGTTTATTTTCTATACCTACTATAAAAAAATAATTATTAAAAAAAAAAAAACATAATTGAGTGTACATTTGTATATTGTTGTTAAAAGCAGATAAAAAAGAATTAAAAAATTTACCAAGTTTCCAGCTATTTAGTTTTAAAAAATGAAGTGCATTACCCAAGATAATAATAAAATATTTTACATCCTTAAAGCTCTAAAAATTGATTGCTATATTTGAAATAGAAAATTAATAATTATTATAATTCCAACCCAAGTTAGAAAAAAAAATATATAATACATAATTATTATGTCATATTTTATTTGTAGAACTGAAAAATCCCAATACATTGGCCGCATCCAAATTATTATATTTTTATCTCTATTAAATTTCTATTGTGTATATTATCATATATAATAAAATGCATCAATATTATAGTGTTTTTCGACCAGGACTAAATCAAAGGCCTAAACGTCAGTAATTATAGTTAGAATAGTTGTAAACCAAAGATAATTCCTTTAAATATTAAATTGTATTATTAAATATTAATACTGTTTATACATCATGTTGAGAATCTCTGAATTTATTATTATTTATTACTGTATTTTAATCAGCTTAAAAGAATACCAATACAACATTTATTATCTCAGCCTTACATATAAAATATGAACATTATACCTAATTGTTTTTCTTTGTATTATTTATATTAATAGAGTTGGTATAATTCAAACATAAAACAGTAATTTACAACCTGATATATTAAAAATTGATTGAAATATCTTAATTTTTAATGTTGCTAAAGTGGCTTCTTATAGGTAATTTTCAATTTAAAATGACCAACCAATATAGTAATTTACTATAATCTCCATTTACAATTCATATTAAATATATTGATTCAAACATTTAAAAATTATTCAAAAATGAAAACTGGTTATAGATATTGTTTTCGATAATGTTTAAAATTTATTGTTTTAACCTAGATATAAAATGATAATAAAATAATTAATTTTACAATAATAACACGTATGATAGAAAATGCTACTTTGATATTCTTTATAAATAAAATGTTAAATTGAATATTATATAGTTATATAATTATATATAAACTATTTTTTAATGTAATATTGCGGAAATCTTATTTTTTTGTAGAAAGAAGAATACCCACTTGGATTATTTATAGTTTTTGTAGTTCACAGTGATGATTTAGCATGTTATCAAGAAAGCAATAGAATTCAAACACAAAATTCTAGAACAAAAAATGTTAACTTTGTGATGAAACCAACTGTTGATTTTAATTACCAAATGATGAATTGTGTTATAGTAATTTGTATTTCTATTTTAATATTGCTATTTACTGCATTTTTATACAAACCTAAAGGGTAAGTATTCTTACTGTATTTGCTCCTTGACAACTTTTTCACCATCTGATTTTTCTGAATTATAAATGAAATATGCAAGTATAATCACAGCTGCTTGAAAAATAAAAATTAGTTTAATATTAGGTCCTACAATATAGTTTAAATTTACTAAATTTTAAACATCTTAACATTTTGACCTACAATAATCTAATAATATTATTAATATATTTTTTTTGATACTAATGACAATTAATTATAATAATTTAAAATTTGATCTGATTATATGAGATGTATATATATATTTATATTTTTAACTTTCATTACCATTCCTCACTTTTATAATCAAAATTCAATTAAATATAACGAATAATTAGTTAAATATTAATTTAATTGATATTTTGATTAATTAGTTGATTTTTGATGAAATATGTTGAACTTAAATTTTAGATTTGGCATTGAAAATAAAAAGTTAATATTATGTGCTTTAAGGCGTTTAGAGTCAAAAAATGTCTAAAAAAAAAAAAAAACACATAATTATAGAATTATTAATTTTTTTTGCTGTATTTAGAATTTACTGTAGTAATATTTTTAAAAAAAATTGATGGTTTTAAGTTAGTTGATGTGAAAAAATATAATATAACTTAGTGTACACTACTTACATTTAATAAAACATGTACATTTTTGCAAATTGTATAGAAATGAGTTGGTTGTCAAACAAGATGAACCATCAACCAGTTTTTGTTCAACATCTGTTCATGGTAAGTAGGCAAATATTGCACATACATTTTCAGATAACTATTTCATAACATATTTTAATTACAAATACATAGTTCTTGTAATATCATAGATGATATAAATTAACTTTTTTCTTTTAATCATTATTAAGAAATGTACTATACAATAAAGTTATGTAATTATGTGCAAATACCTATTTAACTGTTAATAGAAATTTAAATTAATAATAAAAGTGGACACATTTTCTATCTTATATAGTTTATCCATAACCTAATGTTTTGTTCTAAAGTTACCAAAAAATTGGATATGTACATGTGACATATTATACTCGTGTATACAATTAGAATGTGACACTCAAAATAGAAACTAAAAGGACATTTTATGATGCAATCTTTTAAGGTATTAATATGTAAAACCTACTCCAATAGTTTCTTCAACCTAAACAAAACCATGCATTTAAAGTTATGAAACAAAAAAAAATGTGTGTAAATGTGGTTAATAATATATGTGACATCAGTTTAAGATTACTATAAACTAGTAATTTTTATATTTTTTTAGATTCTGAGTGTAGCAAGAAATTATTATTTTTATTTCACATGGCAAGAAATGTATAGATTTAATTTTTTTTTGTTTTTTCCCTGTAAACAGCTTTACTACTAGAAATCTCGTTCTGCCAAGAACTGTTTATTAGCATTTCAGATTTAGTTTGTGCACTGAGAGATAATTTTTTTAATTTAATAGGAGTTACAATAATGGTTCAAAAAAAAATATATAGGAAACAATGGGCAATTATTTATGGCACAACCGATGTTACCAATTTCATTATTTTAAATTTTCATGACATTTCAAACCATATGTTACCAGTTTATCTCAGAATCTTTTTTTGTTAGCAATGGTTTAACATTGTATACATATATAAATTGAATAACTCTATATTCCCAACACTTACAACAGTGATACAGCCATCCCCAGTATCAGCTCTATTTGTTGTAATTTTTGTAAATTTGTTTTTATATTTTATAGCTCAATCTGATAATGTGAGTTATGATTCATCTTTAGATGAGACTGATGTTGATATTTTAAAGTCTCCAGAATCTTGGAAAGACTTAATCAGGTAATATTACACTTTAATTTTAGTTGGAGGGGGGGGGGTGAATTTTCAGTTTAAAAAAGTGTTTTTATTAATTAGTAGAATATGATTGTATATAATAATAAACTTTTTTGTTGAATTGAAATTAATAAATAACTTATTTTAGTTTTAAAACGTGTAATTCTTAACAATTCATATTTTGCAGGACCAAAACCTGTTTGTATGTTAGTGATTTGTCAAAGAAAGATTACAGAATTTTAAAAGCTAAATCTAGATTGTATTTATGGAATTTAATAACAGTAGCTGTGTTTTATTCATTACCTGTTATTCAATTAGTATTTACTTTTCAAAAGGTAAATATATTTTCATTTTATTTATTTATTGTGGAATACTTAAAAAATAACTCTTATAAAATATAATTTAGGTACTAAATCAAACCGGAGATCAGGATTTATGTTATTATAATTTTCTATGTTCACACAGTCTGAAATTAGGACCATGGAAGTTTAGTGATTTCAATCATATATTTTCAAATATTGGATATATATTTTTTGGACTTCTTTTTATGGTGATTACTTATAAACGAGAATGTGCTATTGTACTTGATAAAGTAAGTACTCAATTTTAAAATAGTTAATTTTTTTTTTCTATTTATTTTTTAAATATTTAATTTTTAGAATTTTGGTATTCCTAATCATTGTGGTTTGTATTATGCAATGGGAGCAGCTTTAGCTATGGAAGGTATAATGAGTGCTTGTTATCATGTGTGTCCTAACCATTCCAACTTTCAATTTGGTAATTATTTAAATAACATTTTGTAATGATTTTTTGAAAATTTGTTTAAATCTATTTTTAGATACAAGTTTTATGTACGTTATATGTATGTTGAGTATGATCAAAATTTACCAAACCAGACATCCAGACATAAATGCTAAAGCATATTTAGTATTTTGCGTGTTGGCAATCGTCATTATACTCGGTCTTGCTGGTATTATGTATGATGGTCCTGTAGTCTTTATTTTGTTTACTTGTATACACTTAATATTATGTTTTTGGCTATCGGCACAAATATATTATATGGGCAGGTGGAAATTAGGTAAATATGAAAATAAAAGAAGAACTATGCCTATAATAGTAAAGTTAGAACAAGTTATTTTTTTAATTAAATTATATTATTACTTACAGATAAAAAAACGCCAAAAAGAGTTTTAAACCACCTAAAGTCTGCACCAAATCCTTGCATACCAAAGTATCCAAACCGTATGGTTTTGTTGAGTATTGGTAAATATATTTTCTATTCTCTCTATAAATGAAATAATTAATAATCAACATATTGATCCAGGTATTTTAATCAACTTGGGATTAGCTATAACTCATTGGTTCATAAAGTTTGGTAATTTTGGAAATTATCTTTTAATACTTTTTATGGTTAATTTGATATTATATTTATCATTTTACATTGTAATGAAGTTGATATCAAATGAAAAATTACTCTTTTGGCCATCATTATACATTTTATTAGCCATAATATTTTGGGCTGCTTCAATGTATTTTTATGTGCACAAATCATGTTCATGGACTGTAAGTCATTTTATCCCCTTTATTATAATATACATTTATTTATGTGCTTAATAACTACCGCCTGTCATTATGATTTAGTTAAGTGCAGCTGAGTCAAGAACATTTAATACTCCGTGTACTTTTATGGATTTCTACGACAACCACGACATTTGGCATTTTCTATCTGCTGTTAGTTTGTTTCTATCGTTTATGGTTTTACATACATTGGATGATGATATTTTCACTAAACCTACAACGACTATACCGGTGTTCTAATAAACAATTTGTTGTACCTATATGTTTGTAATCACAAGAATTGTGATTGAAGTTAGTAAATGTCAGATAGATAAATTATTATTAAAATAAAATAAAATGTATGAAATACATTTAAAGATATTCAAATAAGTAAATGTAATAAAAAGATTCAGGAAAAAAGGCTGCAAGACTAATGACAGACACCCAGTGTCGGGACCCATAAAATGTTTAAGTTAAAAAAGAATTCAGAATAATGAGAAAACATTTCAATAATTCTATTTTAACCATAAACTACATTTAAGGATTTTTATTTAGATTTAATTAAACAAATATTCAAGCGATAATAAAGTATAAGACTAGGTTGGATACCAAAAAATTAAGGCTAATATTATGTAGTTAATATCCTATTCTTGGTGTTAATGGTTTTAATATTCATTGATGATAAAACAAAAATAGGTATAATTTAATTTGTCACTTTTATAGTTTATTAGTTAATTAACTTAAAATTGTAAAGAATCTTAATATAATTGAATATAAATATTTTTTTACTAATTAGGCATTCAATCCTTCAAAAAAAAATATTTTTCAAGAAAAAATTTTATGAGTGCCAAATAATAAAATAGAAATAAATTATATATTGTATATTTCTTTTAACATAATTTTGTAAATATTTATATAAGTATTAAAACTGTGATTTGTTATTATAAATAAATAAATAAATTTATTATTTTTCTATATTGTGTGTTTGTTATTAAGGATTACCTATAGAATGATACATAGGTATATCATGTATTATAAATAAATGTACATTATAAAATGTATAATATAATTCAGTCAAGTAGAGATACCTATATAAAATAAAGATTGCCAAAGAAAAATTAATTTAATATAATCTAATGCATGTACAAAAGTAAATACAAAATATTTATTTTTTTTTCTGTATTTTGATGTAATCATCAAAGTTAGTTATATGTTACGCTTCAGTATTTTTTCCCCCTCAACTTTCGAGAATATTGTGTTTCCTCGTGAATCGTAATTGATGCTAAAGATTAATATTAAATATATAAGATTAAATTTAGAACGATATAAAATCCAAATACAATGGAAATAGATGCCAAAATTATAAAAATGTTCTAACGTTTTTGGCTCATTTAGTTTACGGCCTAAAAATAGTACCTCCGCGATGTAAATACAGTTTTTTTTCTGCGTTCAAGATCCTCCGGACGTTGCCCGCCCGTCGCCGTCCAATAGGGAAATGAAAAATCTCAGTTAAAAAAAAAAACAATTTTTTTTCGTCTATCTTAATCGCTTGTATTGCTTGTAACACTTAAACAGAAAACATTACGGGGACAATAGTATTATTTCACAGATCTGACTACACTGATTAAATTACCCCTTTTTCACTTTACGATTTTTGTGCGTGTGTGTGTGTGTTTTTTTTCACTGATAATGGCCATCACTAATACAAGTCTACAGGAATAGGCGAACAGCAGCAGTGGTTCACCAGTTGTTTAAGTGTCTTCTCACTTTTCCGATATTGTTTGTTTTAATCGTGTCAAACGCTCGACTGACCGATGTGACCCAATAATTTACCGTCTGATCCGTGAAAACCCGACGGGCCGGTGTCGAGTTTTTATTGTATTCGCGCAACTGGCGATCGTCGTGTGTGCTGTGCAGTGAAAATTATTATGTTGACCACAAAAATCTTGTGGCAGCATCCAGCGGCCACTATAATAATAATATAGGTAATTTTCAACAGAGTAGTCCACCGATTTTGTTCAACCGCAGTTGACAATCAGTATCTGTCGCTCGACGGAGTCTGTTTATGATTCGTTGTCATCACCATGTCTGCGTTGTTCAAGAGAGCCGAACAGCTGAAACGATGGGAAGAATCGGATACCAATCGAGAACCTCACATATGTAAGAACATCAAGTCCGTTTCCTTTCCCATCGACTGTGCTTTCCTAGCGTCAGTCTCATCAGGCGATAAGAATGAAGTGAATAGCCTACTCTACTTGGCTGCTGATATCAACGCTGCTAACGCTGACGGGCTTACGGCTCTACATCAGGTAAGAAAAACTATCTTCTAAACTTAACTTTTAATTGAGTTAGATAGTTAGATACATTTAGTAATATTTAATTTGCTAGGCCATTCCAATGTTATAAATGCAAAAGGTAATTCTAATAATGATCAGTTTTAAATAAGTTTTACTTAATCATATTTATAATTGTCCAATTTAATTTATTAAACATAGAAATTATTTAAATTTTAATGTTCCCAAAATAGCATATTATACACCTTAGTTACCTACTGGTAAATAGTTGAGACTTTATACCTAGGTACTTGAAGATAATAAATTCATATAACTTATACCGACCATAAATTATTTGCATTTTTTTGTTTGTAAATATTTGTAGTTTGTACCTACTATTGTCACTATAGGTAATTATAAAATAATTTAAATAATATTTTTAATACTTACTTATATTTTGTTGAGATTGCATTATAATTGTTTTCTCATTAGTATGGAATTTTTTAGAATATTAATATTATTTAGGCAATTCAAATATTTTTTTAAAATAAGCTTTTATTCATTTATTTTCTTTGCAGACATACATTAAGAATTAATATGTTATCCAAGGAATTATTCATGAATGGATTTAAAATGAGTTAAAATATATAGAGCAAGAATTAACAACTGTCATGACTTGCACAATCTAGTCTAAAAGCGGTACTAATAAATAGACAGTAATTTTTGAAAACTGTTGATCAGTATATATTTGTTTATGTTCATAAAACAAATTAAGAAAACAATCATAATGTCAATATGATTTAGATGCTTACCATTCTAATAAACTTGTATAGGTACTTTACATACTTTACATTGGAAAATCCAAAACAATAAAAAATAAAATACCATACCTATTTTATTTTGTAATTTGTATTAGAATTCAATTTCAGCAGTAGGTACTAATTTAATAATACCTAGCCATTTAAAGTAATACTTATACATCAATGTCATCAATGTATAAAGTTTAGATTTTCAAAAATCTTTATCTAGCTACTTTTCAAATATTTTATTCTAATCAATGTAGTTATTTTAATATTTTGGTAATAATTTTTAGCTTTTAAAACATAATTGGGTAGTTTATATCATATTTTAATTATTTCATAAAATTAAATCATATAATATTTCTGTATATTTTATTTTTTTTCTTATCTGATGTTACTTTGTCCATATATGGGCACAACATTGACCTACACCTACCTAATTAGATTTTCATTCTTGCTCTATTTGGTGATGTCAACTAACTTTGAATACCACTGTATAGGTTGAAATGCATTATGTAGGTTAAGTACAAGAATAACTTTATTTTAAAATTATTTAAATACTTAACAATATTAATATTAGTTAGATAAATAATATTAAGTATTAAAATGTTAGGTACCTATATTATCTATAATCATGGTCATTGATGTAGAAAATGGATAAATAATAATTGTAAATCTTTCTATATTATAAATGTCTATTCAATTTTTGTTTAAACTATCATGAAAATTAATGTTTGATAACTTAAAATCATTTAAAAATGTATTAATCAACAATTTAAACATTTCTTATTCACTTAAAATTAATTAACAATAATAATTAATAATAAAACTTAAATGTTTTATAAACTAAATTTAAGAAGGTACCTATCATATTTCACATATTATGCAAAAAAATATTTCAAATTTATAGCATACTTACCTAAACATTATAATTATGTTTCATATAAAAACACAAGTGTTCTAACTAGCTTGGATATTATTTTAAGTTGGTAAATCATCTAAATTTAATGCAATAACCATAAAATATATAACATTCCTTGATAACTATTAGTACCTCAGTGATGCCAGAGCAGTCGAAGCACTTGCCCTCTGTTCAAACATAGCATTTCATCCCTCCCAATGAAATATAGATAACTTTATAAATAACATAAACAAATATTTAAATTCTATTTCCAACTATCCTTATTAATCCCTCGTGAATAAAAATATATAGTACTAAAATTTCAAATAAATATTTTTTATTATTTTATAACAGAACTGATAGTATGATTTCAAAAAACAAGTCGAAATTGATAATAATTCATAATACATGACTATTCACTACACAAATTACATGTAATTTGATACATAATAATCTATGACAACATAGAACTGTATATCTATAGACATTTTATTTTATTTTTACTTTTAAGTTATGTTTGGATGTACAAAGGATGTACATCAAGTCAAGGTTCAAAATTAACAGCAATGCATTCCAGTTCACATTTTCATAAAGAATAAAAGTTTTTTTATTGCTGTTCACAAATCATTTTATAAATATATTACATAAGTTTTTTTTTTTTTTAATGATGTGTTAAACTATAGTTCAATACATTTATCATTTTGTAAACTGGTGAAATAGTAAAAAAAAAAAATAATAATATTATAGATTGGGAAGGTAAATCCCCATGATATACATGTTCCTACATGTTTATCATGGGGAGAAGACAGTTCTCATAAAAGTTTACATATTAATAAATTATTTATTTATTGTATACTGGTATAAAAACATTGTAAAACTGCTATCATACAAATTATTGTTATACAAAATAATTTAAATATGAATTTTTATTTCTATTAGAAATTCCTAGTGGGACAATGCTCTATATATATTTATATATATTCATGTTTTTGTTATATTTATAATTATACTTCATCAATGTTTTATTTTAGGCTTGTATTGATGACAATCTAGATATGGTTGAATTTTTGGTTGAACATGGAGCTGATGTAAATAGGGGTGATAAAGAAGGATGGACACCATTACATGCAACAGCATCTTGCGGATTTGTTAGCATTGCAAAGTTAGTATTAACTTTAAACAGTATATTATTTTAATTTTCAATCTAAAATAATTAATGTTGAATTTTTTTATATTATACTATCAACTTTTTAGATACACATTTTTTATATGTTTAAAATGTAAAACATTTGCATTGTAGTTTTTTCAATATTCAAATGGCAAATTTACTACTCACAGGCCATCAGTTATAGTTATTTTTAGACAGCTCTTCACAATCCAATTTAAAAATGGGATTGTTGCTACTGTTAGGAACTCTGTAGTGTTTGTAGACTTTGCCAGCTGGCTCAGCCTCTGTATTTTACATAGCTTATACATTTTTTAGAAATTATGTTTTCAATAATAAACGTAATAGGTTAATATATTAGGATGTTCTGGATATCAATGAATTTTATTTAAACTAATTGTTGGCATAACAAATTTCAAGTTATATATCAGTTAGTCAAGTTTATTACTTCTGAAAAGTAATAAATAATTTTGAATACATTTCATTACCTACCTCTTTAAAATTATTATAAAATAGAAAAAAGTTTGTCAAATTTTAATAGATTTGGGAGCATAGTTCCTACTAATATTAATTTTGGAAGTTATAATTTGTAAATACCTTTAATAAATATTTACTTATTGCAATGAAATGTATATTTAATAATAAAATATATCAATTAAACGATACAATTTTTATTTTTTTGCCTAATAAGTGACAATGAATAATTCTTACAACAAAACGAAATTAGGAGATGTGAAATATATAACTTTACTAGACAACTATTTCTCGAATAATGGGTAATTCTAAATTAATCAATATTAATAAAATAATGTGTGTCAAGTCAATATTATTTAGATTAGATTCGCATGTATATTTATTAATTGAACTTATACATATGATTTCGATACATTACAATGATTATAAATATAGGTGGTTTTTATTTTAGATATTTATTAGAACATGGGGCAGATGTATCAGCTATTAACTGTGATCAAGAACTAGTAACTGACATTGCAGAATCTGATGATATGAGACAACTTCTAGAACAACATTTAAGAGATATTGGTGAATAAAAAATGATTTTAAGTAGAGTATATTATTATCATTATATTTAAAATATTCTTTTTTCTCAAGGTATTGATTGTGATGAAGCAAGAAACAAAGAAGAAAGACTTATGCTAAAAGATGCGAGAGATTGGCTCAGTACTGGAAAATTTAAGGATTCTCCTCATGCTACTACTGGTGCAATGGCAATACATGTTGCTGCTGCCAAAGGATACATCAAAGTTTTAGAGTAACACATAATAAAAAAAAATTAACTTAAAGTTAAATTTTTTGAAGTATTATTTCCTTGTTAGGCTTCTTATTCAAGCTGGTGCAGATGTTGATTGTCAAGATTATGATGGATGGACACCATTACACGCAGCAGCATATTGGGGCCAAAAAGAAGCCTGTGAAATATTAGTTGAACATTTCTGTGATATGAAAAAGAAAAACTTTGTGGTATTTATTTTATGTATTTTTTGATAATATGAAGTTTAGAAAAGGGTACATAATATGTCATCTAGCACAATTATGTTATTGTAACATAATGTATCTTAGTTACATATATAAATTAAATATCTTTATTATCTTGGTTATTTAAATTTAAAAGTGACTAGTTAGATAATAGAAAAATGATAGATTAAATTAATTATGGTAAAACGGAAATTCACAGTGTATGTATTAGTCAATGTTTATTAAATTGTATCACTTGGGGAAAAAGAAATTATTTTTATAAAACTTCAGAGCTATTGATAGTGTATGGGACTGAGTGTTAGACATTGAAAAAAAGATATGAAAATAAATTAAAATGATAATATTAATTTGGATATACCCTATTAATACATTAATCAATTAATTAATTGTTAACAAATTATAAATTTATAAAATTCTTATATTTGGTAGTTTAAAATGTGTGTTTATATCTGGTAATTCATTTAAGTGGGTACACTCATTATCTTAAAAAGTATTAATTTTTTTGGAATTTGTTTTCTAGAACATTCAAGAATGCTTGTTTCTTAAATTATAGAGCTGCTTGTCTTTACAATTTTATATTTATATTATTTTTTGTCACCCTTATTTTTGGGGGTAAAATCACTACTTATTTTTGATTTTCAAATAGCAGCCTATATTAAAAATTTCATAAATAGAGTATTAGTTAAAATAAATATTGGTGTTGAAATTTTTGATTTCTGTCAATCCGTTAATGAGATATTTCACTTTTAAGTTTGGGTTGGAGGAAAGTAGTGGAGTATCATTTGTTTGGCGGTACGTCATGCGGCGTGTTAATAATCACTACTCTTCTCCCGTTTAAAATTAAAAGTGGAATATCTTGTAAACGACTACAGGAATCAAAAATTTCAACACTAAAATTTATTTTAAATAATACTCCTTCTATTTATGGAATTTTTAATATAGGTTTCCATTTGAAAATCAAAAGTAAGGAAGGGGGGGGGGTTTACCTCCAAAAATTAACATGAATATAAAATTGTAGAACTGCTTGTTTCTTGAATTTTCTAGAAAACAAATTCCAAAAAAATTAATTATTTCCAAGATAATTGTATCCACTTAAATGAATCACCGGTATATGGAAAAAGGGCAAAATAAGCTGTGAAATATAAACATAGTGAATAAAGAAAAAAATAATGCACTTTTATCTGACCTCTCTTAAAATCATACACAAAAAAGAAAAATGATTTTTTTTTTATTGATATGAATATATTTTCTTCTTTGCCATCTATCCCTATCTTAAACTATCTCTCCAATATTCCCCTCACAAAGTTTTGAAATATTTAAATTTTTCTTCTTTTCATATTACATATTATGTAACGACACACCTCACTTATATTTTGATAATATATTTTATTCCTTCTAAAAATGACATCCATGTTTTCTGAAAATTTAAAAATATGGTGTAATGTTTATGTAATTAGAAAAGTTCGGTACACAATTTTCCTGTAATAAATAAGAAGGATCAAAAAATTAAATAATTCTAATTAACACTTTTTTTTTAACTTTTAAAAATGTTTTTTAAAACATCAATAACACTTAGTCTAGTCAAATCTTGGATTACAAAAATTTTTAGCTTATAAATTATATTTATTCAAAAATGTATTTAATTATACTTTTGGGTAGACAAATATATACATAAATATTTTGTTTAATAGGGTCAAATACCTTTTGATGTATCTGATGAAGAAATGAAAGATTTATTAGATGAGTTAAAGAAGAAACAAGCTTCTCAAAATAAAGATATATCCGATAAAAATTACCTTATAAGTAATAAATTACCAAATTCTCTGAATCAGAAAAGAAGGTTAGTTGTATTGGCTGTTTGCTATATTTTTTTTACTGAGCTTTCTTTAAGTTTACATGTTTGATATATTGGTTGGGTCTTCTACCTTGTGTTTGTGTTTTATGCTTTTATATTCTTTGCTTGTTTGCATGTTTTTTTTTTTATGTGTTCTGCTTCTGTATTCCTGTTGGATGCTCTCTTATCACAAAATCAATGTAGATCTTCAATCAGCAGGCTTTCCGGTAATGATAAATCAACATTGAAGAAGGATAAAGAAACTGTCTTAGATCGAACTCGGGTGATTCAAGAGGAAGAAGATGATGTTAAAGTCAAGGATGATTCCACGAAAAACCAAAAAGTGGAAATTGAACTTACACCCATTGAACAACTGAAACCTGAAAATAATATTGGTAAAATGCATTTAATTTAATAGTGGTTTTTTAAATAAACAATTACATAACTTCAACAGGGAATACTATTAAAGAATTTAAACAACCTACAGCTCCACCATCGGACAATAATGAACTAAAGGTTCCAGAGGTGGTTTTGCGCAGAACTCAGAGTTTTGAATCTGATGAAAAGTTAGTATTTATTTTTTTTAATCACAAATTATTATATTTATTCAAGTGTGTATTATTATTTAAAATACAATTGCATGCATATAAAATTGTATCTTTATTAAGCATTAATGCATGTAAATTATTTAAGATTCTATGAGTTAATAAAATATTAATACAAATTTTAATATAAGTCATATTTTAAAATATGATATTTCTTACGTGCACTAAGTTACTTATTAAATTATATACTTCAATTTCATGACAGTATTCAATTTCATCATATTTATTCTCAGTAATATCAAACTACAGTTAAAGTAGTTAACAAATAAAAAGTGGTCTTTGTTTATATATTCAAAATCACATGTGAGCAGCAGATTTCTGTCAACAGAGTTAAATTTTCCTTAGTGCTTGTAACCACTTCAATTTATTATTTTTTATTTAAACTCCAAAAATCACTAAAAAAACATTATTTTTTGCATACAAATAGTGGGACAGGAGATTGAAGAAGAGATTGTGGTTATACACGGATCTCATGTACATATTACACATAATATTAATATCCGTTTTTTTAATACAAAAGTATTTTATATAACTGTGTATTTCAATATACGCGTAAAGGAAATCCTTAATAGAAACTTAAACCTTCAAAAAACGTATCCTGTGAATACTTATTTAGTAAATATCACTTATATAAAATTGCTTTCTTCTAACTTCATTTGGAGAGCTGTAGTTTTCAAAGTTTTAATAAACATCAGTCTTTCCTTAACCACCACACTGAAATTTATCTCCACTTGTATTGCTGCTATTTGCCTTTAAAACAACAAGAGTTTAAACTTATTTGGTCCAGAAAAGCTAGAAGTATCCAAAAGCAGTAGTTAAAAGATCATATATATTATTATTAGATAAATTATTCATTTATTATATATCAGACAAAATACAGTGCAATAGTTTATTTTTTGGGGAGACTAAAGTAGAAAGAGTAGGATAAAATAATGGGGTTGTTGCAGTTACTAGTATAAATGGGAAGTTGAAAAGTAGAATATAGATGGGAATTTAATTTATATCTGTAAGCAACGATAAACCATTGCTTATGGAAAAAAAAAGATTCTGAGCGGAGTTCAGTTGGTAGTGATGCTTTGTCAACAATATACATGTTATTTTGTAGTAAAAAAATTAAATAGGCTTTATATATTTTCTTTAATAAAATTTGTTTAATGTTCACAAGTTTTTCTAAGATTTTCCCATGTTTCATCACAGTTTTTCACATTTTCTGGGAAAACTCTTGAGAAAATCGAAAAAAAAACGTCTCTAAAGTACCTCACTAATGAAATTTCCTTTTAGAAACATTGCTATCATTAAGAATTGGAACAAAATTGCTGGTAAAAAAGTTGTTCAGAGAAATAAAAATTTTAAGATTATATTTATTATATTTCGTAAATTTTCCCATTTTTTTTCCCCCGTTTTTCGCATTTGATGAGAAAATCGAAAAATGACCTTCCTAAAGTACCTTCCCACGCCAATTTCATTTCAAAAAAGGTGCTACATGTATAAATCCAAGCAAGTCTTCTGGTAGAAAAATTGCGTACAGATGGAAAAAAAAAACTTCTTTGTAAAACTATAAGCTTCTTCACTCCACTCAGAATCTAAAAGACTATTTCTCCTCCAAGATATAGCCTTTAAAAAAATTATTAGTGCTTCCTATCCATACAAAGTGTCATTCTGTTAGTAATTATTAATTATAATTTAATTTGTTATAGCTTTATTATACAAGATACTATGCATGCTATCAAAATATATTTTAATATAAATATATGTAAAGTTTTTTGAATTGTGTGTTTATGTGTAGTTAGTAATTATTTAAAACAAAAAATAAATAATAAATAAAAACAATGAACTAATATTAAGAATACTCATAGATTATTTTAAAAAGTTGAATAAATTATTTAACTACTTGAAGCACATTTTTTTTATGAAAATAATCCCAAAAATATATATTATGATTTATGTTGCTGCTATATTTATACATTTTTGTATGAAAACCGATCGTGTGCTGTTAGTTTTAATATGAGGGTGTATGTATTTGTGTAATATTAAACCTAAACATAAGAACATTGTCTATGTTTGTACATTAGTTTTTTTTCGATATTTTTATTTTCATGTGAGTTACGGATATGTAAAATATTTCAATTTTAAAATCATCCTATTTCGCTTAAAAATTAAAATATTGAGAAAAAAATTCAATGTATAAACGCAAACAATATTTTTACCTTTATCTTTGATAATAAGTCAATATACTCAATGTTCAAATTAATGGCACAAAATAGGTTAATATATAAATATAACAACATTAAACAATTTCACCACATTTACCATAACATATATATTTTGTACTGAAAATACATTAAATAATATTTTACTCATAATAAAGTGTACAGGGTGTCCCATGAAGATATACTCATTGCGATATCTCAGAAACTATTAACTTTTTTCCAAAATTTTGCTTTTCACTAATTTAATTTAAAGAAACAGCTCTATAATGTTGCATTACTTTTTACAAATAGTAACATATATTAAAAGTTCCATTTATAGATGGAATAGTAGTTTAATACATGTTTGTGTTAAATTTTTGTATGATTTCTGTCAATCCATTTACAAAATATTCCATTTTTAAATTTTGGGTAGAGAGTAGTAGCACTTTAAACACTGCCTACAGTCCCATTTGCTACACATTATGGTGTTCTACTAGCCTTCCTTCTATCTAAACTTTTAATAGTATAAAATTGTATAGGTTAATGGGTTAACAGAATTCAAAAACTTCAACAAATTTTTCTGTTTAAAATAATACTTCATTTACTTATGACATTTTTAATATAGGTTGCCATTTACTCCATTTACATTTAGTGATTTTACTTCCAATAATAATGGTAATGTAAAATATTAAAGTAGATTGTTTCTTAAATTGTCAAAAAAAAAAATAAATACATCTGAAAAAGGTTAATATTTTCCAAAATTTTGCAATGAATGCATCTTCATGGGGGCATTGTATAGTATTGTTTTAAATTTTATAGACATATATAAATATAACGTTTAATATATAAATTAACATTATTTGTATTATTTTGTGTGTTTGCTTTGTGTGTGTGTGAGCAGATTTTATCGACGTTATTGTGAATTGCGTGCTAAAATTAAAGGTAACCTGTGGGGAGTTATACACCCTTCTCCATCTACAGCAAGTGCTTCACCTCCTATGAGAACGGCTTCATTAAAAGAAAAGCCTGTGTCAAGGTATTGTAAATTAATAAAATGATTATAACAAGATTGTCTATTTTCAGATCTAAAAATACAAATATATTTGTTTATGTATTTTTATTTGTTTATTTTTATTATTTTTAGGCGGAACAAAAGTAATTTTAGAGATGATCAAACTAATTTAGCAACTGCACAGAGTAGTTTAAATTCAAATGATACAACACACCCGCCTCAAAACATTCGAAGGTATTATTTGAAAATTATAATAATTTATGCGTTTAATTTTTTTTTTTTTAATTCCGGATTAAAAGTATGAAAATAAGTTACTATTTAACGCGTTTATTTCATTTTTTTAAGTAAAATTTTCTAAAAATTATACTGGTTACACTTATATGTTAAGACATTATTTTTATTTCCATTACGATGTTATACTCGACAATATTAATAAATACATAATTATTTTATATAGAAATAGTTTGGATATATTACATTTTTGATGTATAATGTGAGTTTCATATATTATTTGAATTATAAATTAAAGTAGAAATTGTATGCTACACCATTTCTTAAAATTTAATTTTTACATCTACTGGTTTTGGAAATAATATTTTTTCTAGTAAATTACTGTGTGTATAATTTCATATTTCAACTATTTATAATTTTAAGGCAATAAAATGATTTGTGATTATTATTTATAATATGTTTATGTAGACAGACATTTTCTGTGTAACCATTATAAATTTAATTTGAAAAAAAAAAAAATGTCAAAGCATTTTGATAAATTATTGTATAATATAATTATAATTTAAAAATTAATCCGGGTTCACTTTACTTAATGTATAATTATATTATAAAGGAGCAATAAAACATGTTTAATATTATTAGTGGTGTCAAAGCATTTATCAGTGGCCTACAAATGCAACAGAAACAATCAGAAACAACTCATAAGATAGTCCCTGGGAACATCTTTAAAAACTTTTTCAAGTTTGTTCTTGGAATAGTAAATAGTTGTTTGGTTTATAAAATAACAAACTTTCTGTGAAAACTGCTTATTGACATTATTTAATTTTACAAAAACTTGGAATCTAAATTTTATTATTTCATTTTTGTTGGTTACTAATAATTAAAATAATATTTAATATTCACTGATTTTAATCTTATTGATTTCTGTGTATTTGTGAACAGCCATATTTATATTTTTATTATTTGGTGTATTATTCTAATATATTGAAATATATATTATACATGCATAAATTTGTTATTCCTAAAATATTACTTTATACTTTCTTGATAAAACTTGAATATTTAATTAAAACAATGTCTTTATTTATTATTAATTATAATCTTATTTAATATTTGCATATTATGAAAACTATTTAGGTAATGGATTCCAAGTTGTAAATTTTTGTATCAATATTGTACAAATCTTGAGTTACATGTTTTGTGATATTAATATTTACATTTTTGTCTAACAAAATTGTCAATATTTGTTTTGTAAATTTTGAACTAGCACTTTGTATTCAATTTAATATATTTTATATTAGTATAAATGTTTTACAATCAATTCTTAGTAAACATATAAAAAATGTAATACAAATTTTATTTTTAGGTCATTTGTTCCTCCAGTTAGAGATGATGAGTCAGAAACTCAACGAAAAGCACATGCCAAACGTGTTCGAGAAACTAGACGGTCTACTCAAGGTGTAACATTAGAAGAACTCAAATCTGCTGAACAAATTGTTAAGCAAAAAAATCAGGATACAGGCAAAAGTAAACTAAACAACTTTGCCCAAGTAGAAACAAACAACAACTCTACAAATAATATTGGAACACCTCAAGTTAGTATGATTTATTCATTAAAAATCTTTAGTATTTTATTAAATATAGTAGATAAATATAAAAATAAACAAATTAATAAATGTGTCGCCTGGATTATTATAATAAGATTAAAATACGACCGGTTTCGAATTAAAAATTCATCATCAGGTATATCACAGTCAAAATGTAAAATGCGACTGAATATAAAAATTAAATGAAGGAATAAATAGAAAAAAATCATACAAATTGGTTGTTTTACATAGAAATAATTTATTAAAATAGAAGAGATTATTTAAAATGGGTTATTATTAGACATAGATATGTTAAGAAATATAAATCATTTGGTTATTATTTATTATCTAAAATGTATTGATATAAGATATTATTTTTAAAATCTGTTTGTACAATTAAAAAATTATTAAAATTAGTTTTCTTTATTTCATTGTATATATGTATTCTTCTATAACTGAATTAATGTAAATATTATTTTGGGTATTTAATATCTGTGTAAGTCTCTTTAAGTCTGTATTAATATTAAAGTATATTTATATTATAGTTATTTTCTATGAATATAAAAAATGATTCTAAAATATGTTTAACGATATTTGAATTAGGGGCAGTCTTTTTAATTTTATTCCAGGAATGTATTCTTTATATCTTATTTTAAATTTTTTTTTTGTCTTACCAGTATAAAATGTATTACAGTTACATTTAAGTTTATTTATATCAGTATTTTCAAAAGAAGGGGGATTTTTGTGAAGTTTTTATTCTATTGTTTATATGTATGTTTAAATTATTATTAGTCTTAAAAGCAATTTTTACATTATTTGTATTATTGTTCTGAATTTTAACAAATTCATAAGACATATTATTTTGATATTTTATACTACAATAGTTAACAACATTATTTGGTGAGTTGTGTATTATTTTTTCCTTAATACATTTGTGAATTTTTTTAATAGTATTTAATTTGAAATTAATTCTATGGGATATATTATAGATAATATTGAGCTAGTGTTTATAATTATGTTTATTTAATGGAATACGTTCAAGCCTATAAAAAATTGAAATTTGAATTAAAAATGATATATATTAAGAATAAGGGTGATTAGAATCATGTGGTATTATAGCATCAGTTTGTGTAGGTTTTTCTGTAAATACTAAAATCAAATTTGTTGTTTAATATAGAAACTGTAAGATTTAAGAAATTGTATTTCAAGTGTAAATTGAATGTTTTTATTTATTTTGTTTAACCAGTTAACTAAATTTTCTGGTTGTCTACTTGAATCTCTAAATAAAATCAAGGTGTCATCAACATATCTATAATATGATTTTAAATATGGACTGTATATTTTGTTGTTAATACTGGGTGATACATTTAAGTAAGTTCACATATTATCTCAGAAACTATTAACTTTTTTCAGATTTTGTTGTCTAGAACATTAAAAAACAAGCATATCTACAATTTTATATTTATATTATTTTTTGTCACCCTTATATTTGTTAGTAAAATAACTACTTATTTTTGATTTTCAAATGGCAGCCTATATTAAAAATTCCATAAATAGATTATTAGTGTTGAAATTTTTGATTTCTGCCAATCCGTTGATGAGATATTTCACTTTTAAGTTTGGGTTGGAGGAAAGTAGTGGAGTATCATTTGTTTGGTGATATGGCACGCGGCGTGTTAATAATGTATTACTACTCTTCTCCCATTTAAAATTAAAAATGGAATATCTTGTAAACGACTACAGAAATCAAAAATTTCAACAATAAAATTTATTTTAAATAATACTTCTTCTATTTATGGAATTTTTAATATAGGTTCTATTTGAAAATCAAAAGTAAGGGGGGGTTTTACATCCAAAAATTAACATGAATATAAAATTGTAGAGCTGCTTATTTCTTGAATGATCTAGTAAACAAATTTCAGAAAAAGTTGATACTTTCTGAGATAATGAGTGTACCCACTTAAATAAATCACCTGGTATTATTGGTTAGGTTAGGTTAGGTTAATAATTTTACATGTAAATTTCAGATAAAAGTGTATTTAAAGGACCACCCATAACTAGCCCTTTTTTTTGTGAATATAATTTATTATTATATTGGAAATAGTTTTGATTAATAATTACATTTATAAATCATAGCTGTTTGTTTTTTATAGAAGTATCAGTATTCATGTTTAATTTTTCTTTTATGAGAGAGTAAATATTTAGCAAATTTATAAGCTGGAAGAGTTTTAAAGTTAATTAATTGATGGATTTGATTACATATCTTGTTTATGTAATTTTATGAATAGATGCAAGTGTGTAGCTTCGATTTTGTAATCAGATTTTAATAAAAAAAAAAAAAATATCGGACTTTAGGTATGATTTCTTTCAAATTTGTTATCAGTTTATTAATTTGTTTAGTGTAAATTATAGTTGGGTCATATATTAAGTTTTGAATATTATTATTTTTTATGAAATCTAAAGTTTTGATATTAATTCAGTTTTAGAAGAATTACATATAAGCAATGAAATAATGAAAAAAATAATTTTAATAATATTTTAAATGTACAAATGGTTTTAAAAATAATATCTTATGTCAATACTTTTAGATAATAAATAATAACCAAATGATTTATATTTCTTAACATATCTATGTCTAATAATAACCCATTTTAAATAATCTCTCCTATTAAAATAAATTATTTGTCAATTTGTATAATTTTTTTTTCTATATATTCCTTCATTTAATTTTTATATTCAGTCACATTTTACATTTCGACTGTGATTGATGATGAATTTTTAATTCAAAACTGGTCGTATAATACACTTATTATAATACTCCAGGCAACGAAATTATTCATTTATTTATTTTTATTTATATATTTATTTATGAGTATTAACTCTAAGAATTATTAAGTACTTTATTGTTTCCGTTGTGGTGTTTAAAATTTGCTGCAATAAATTAATTTTACACGAATATAATAGAAAGTATGAAACAAAAAAAAAAAATTTTCAAATATGATTTAAGACATTCATTCTTTGTTAATCTTTTGATAGTATCTAATGAGTTATATTTATTATTTATAGTAATGTTTGATTTTTCAAAAAATTAAAAAATATTAACAATTTTTCAAATTCTATAGTTTAAATATTATTTTATTTCTTCAATTTTTTAATTAATATTTAGATATTTAGTTACTACTTTGACTTTAATATTATAAGTACCTATTTGGTATTTTTTAATCATGATACGAATAGTTTTCATCATTTTTTCAATTGTTTTTAATGAAATAACCTATATTTTTCAAGTTTTTTATTCTATTATTAAAATTAGAACCTAATAATATCTGTATAGACATGCATCTAGAAAATTTTCAAACTCTTTAAATGTTTACACAAATTGTAATGATTTATTCATTTTCTGTGGTTTTGATATTTTAAAATTAACAGCAAAATATCTGGTTTAGAATATGAAAATAATAACGGTAAAAATATAATATTATAAGTACTCTAAATAAGTAAACAAGTTGTATTATAACAATGCTTGATAATTTAGAGAATAAATGGTTCACTTTTATTTGTAATCAGTTGTTTTTTAGTATAAATGTATGCCTTTATAAACTAAAAGAAGTAAACACATACATAAATGTGTAGTGTATAATGGATAAATGTGTTAGTAGTGTAGTTAATTTATAATTAATGTATTTAAATTTTTAATAATTCTAATAAAGTAACATTTGTTTCCACTGTTAAAAATATGCTTAGGGTTTTTAGTTCAATTTATTAAATTATAAATTATTGTTTACTTTTAGTAAACAGTACAAAAAATTATTATGTTTATTTCTAGTTTATGTAGAATATAAATAATACAAATTCTATTTGACAAAATAATTGTATATCTTCTGTACAGTCTGGACACACCAGACTGTACAGATACTTTATTGTATTTCTTATATTTTGTTTCATTGATTGGATGTATTTTATTTTTTGATAAATATTATTATTTATTTCTTCGAAAAGATAATGGGCCCCACTGAATATAATACAATAATTATTCTCCAGTTTTTACGGTTCTTGACAGACTTTCGTTGCCTCTACTATATTCTTCTATCTATTTCTGTCCATGCTATTTGCTATGGTTATACCATTTGAGCACTTGTTTAAATTGTTAACCCTATCTCCCAGCGCTGTCTAGAACGCCCCCTGGGTCTTTTCCTGTTTATTTTTCTAACTACAGCATTTATCAGAATTCCGGATGACCTCCAGACATATTCTATTCCCCTCGATTTGCTTACTCCTAAGGTATGTACCAACAAATCTGTTTTTGAGTAAATTTGTTGCAAATCTCCATTAGTTTTTCTTCTGTACATTTCATTTTCTTTAAAAAGCCCATATTTCCTTCCGGATATTCTTTTTGAAAAAAGACTATTCTTTCTTCGTCTCCTTTAGTGGTTGACTATGTTTCACACATGTATGTTATAACTGGTTTTAGAAAACTTAAATATAGGTATTTCTTTGATTGATTTTCTAGATAGAAGTTTTCACTAGTAGTTTTTCTTAAGTACAATAACCCTTGTTATCTGTCTAATTTCTCAAGTACTAAGTTAAAAAGAATAGGAGACTTCGCAGTTCTCTGTTCAAGACCAGTTTTAACTCAGAAACTCTGTGATATACAGTTTACAAATTTAACTTGACACAAGGTATGTGTATTGCACTCTTTAAACAGATTTATGTGTTTATTAGAGATTCCAAAATTCTTTAAGGCCACCCATAGTTTATCTTGAAAAATGTTATCATAAGTTCATTATTTAGTGTTTTTCTTGATATATTTTCACTACTATATTTTCTACTAGTTTTAAGTAAAAATTGGATATCTCAGATCAATATTAATAAACTAGAATCACAATTCACTGATTAGCAGAATGAAAAAAATTAGTTGAGAAGATATTGGAGATAAGTAATATATAGCGGACATGAAAAGAACTTAAAAACCTAAACTAATATGACATACCTCTTTATTTTTTTCAATCTACATTTTCTAGTATTTTTTCTTCGACTAGAATCTATGTGGATAAAATTGTTTAATCAAACAGAAATGTTAGAAAATTGAACTCAAGGTTCATTTTAAAAGTTTTATTTAGTAGTAAAAATTTAAGCCTAATGTGAAATTTTTTTTTTTTAATAATCCTTTTAAGATCTAAATTTAGTAAAAAAAAATTATAAATACTACGGCATTTCAAAATATTTATAGCTGAATTTCACTCAGAACTGTATTCTGTCTTCCCAACTTCCCACCTACAACAGTGCTACTGATCAGCAGTATAAGCTTATTTAATTTTACTTGTTATATTTGGATCAAAAAATGAGAATCAATACGAGTAGGTTTGATAAATATTAAATACCATGATGTAAAAACCCACAATTCTCGCTGTTGCTGCATCTTTATCTGTAAGACAGCTGTTTTAATAAATTCAAATTAAGACAGATATTGCATAAGAAACTTTAAACCAATATTAGGCATATTCAAGTATAAAAATATTATATTTTAAGGTATGTTATATGAATATGTATATATACGTGTATACTATACTATCACATATGTTAAGTATTATATTGTAAATTGTTTAATATTAAAATCAATACAATTTAGTGTTTTTCATACTGGTAAAAATTACCAAAATTTAATTATAATACTCATAACATAAACATCTTAGTAAGTCTGGCACTGCAATTTGCATTGTTTTCCAAAGCTATTTCATGTATTTGTTGACAATTTTTACTTTTTAGTCTTTTTTTTTTTTGAGGGGGTTGGATTTAAAATTTAATTTTATGATTACTACATGATAGCAAGATTTATATATAAAAACCTATTAAGTATTTGTATTATATTATCGGACAATAATAATATCAAAACGTAGATAACAAGTGTTTCATTTTATTGTAAATTCAATACAATGCCTTGCTAAGGTGCATATTTGTAAGTTGGTTGAAGATACACAAATATATTTTATCATTTTACATTAATTTATTAGATATTATCTATTATCAAAAAATAAATAAATAACAATGGAAAACCATTTATCAATTTTTTTTTTTTTTAAATATCCAATTACCATAAACTATCAAAGAATGTAGTGTTGTTTTTTTGGGAGGGGGGAACAATAAAATACATTTAAATTAATTTTCATTTCTATTCTCAAAATCTGTAATAAATAGTAACAGTTGCCAACAACAACTTTATTTTTAATCTTTTTTAACTTAACGAACCAATTTTCCTCAATTAATGGGTTCATAAACATGGATAAACCCGTTGACAACATTATTATCTAACTATCTAGAAACTTTTAATGTTGCTATATGGCTATAATTTAAAAGTTTTTGATGGTACACGAAGACACGTTATTTAGGCACTCTGTTTCAGCACTTTAATGAATATTCCCAAAAAAAAAGACCAAGTCCAATGAATTCCTTATATCCCAAAATCTGTATATACTAACTTTCAGGAAAATCATATAGTTAGGATATCAATTAAAAAAGTATATATATGTATACAATTAATACTCGTATTATATTTATTTATGAAATGTAAGGGTTGCTCAATGGTATACGAAGTTTAAAAAGCACCAGGATTTTATTTTTAATAATTACAAAAATAAAGTTAGATATTATTTAAAGATATCGCCTTCAAAATACTGTCCTCCAGACAATATGCAGTGGTTCCAGCGATCTTGCCATTTTTCGAAAGTCCTTTGAAATTGTTCTAAAGTTATAGCTTTGAGTTCNAGAAATCGCACGGGGCTAAATCAGGTGAATAGGGAGAATGTGGGACCACAGGTATTTTTTTTCAGCCAAAAATTCACGAATTGACAACGCTGAATGTGCTGGCGCATTGTCGTGATGAAGAAACCAGGTTCCACTTCGCCATTTTTCTGGGCGCTTTTTACGAATTCACTCTCGCAAACCTATTAATACATCTTTATAGAATACCTGATTGACTGTTTGTCCATGGGGCACAAATTCCTAATGAACAATACCTTTAATATCAGAAAAAACAATCAGCAAGTCTTGAAATTCGATCTCACTTGGCGAGCTTTTTTTTGGTTGAGGGGAAAATTTTGTTTTCCACTGAGATGACTGTAACTTTGTTTCCGGATCGTACCCATAAACCCATGTCTCGTCCCCTATGATGATGTTTTTTATTAAATTTATATCAGCAGATCGATTTTTAAGGTCTTGACAAATCGTCAAACGATTTTCCTTTTGTTCCGATGTCAGCAACCGCGAAACGAATTTATTAGCAGCTACACTTCTCTTTTGTACATTTTCCGTTAAAATTTCATGACAAGATCCAGTTAAAATTCCTGCTTAATTTGCTAACTCGCGAACAGCTAATTTGCGGTCATTTCGCATTTTTTCGTAAATGTTCGCCACATCATCGTTTCTAGATGTCGACGGTCTTCCAGAACGTGGATCATCTTAAATTAACTATCGACCATCCTTGAAACGTTTAAACCACTCGAAAGTAACAGAGCGACTTAAAGAATCGTCTCCAAAAGCAGTTTTAATCATTGTGTACGTTTCAGTTGCATTTTTACCAAGTTTCAAGCAAAATTTGATGCACACACGTTGTTCGTTAATTTCGGATATGACGAAAACGGAAAACGAAACAAACTGAATAGATTTAACCACGTTTAATATTAAACTGAGATCAGATAGCGACTTCGGGTTTTGTTCAAAATATTCTCAAATACGTTGGGAATACATCTAATTATAATTTAAAACGTTATCATGTATAGATTAGCCGCAATAATATTTGTCCTGGTACTTTTTGAACAGACCTCGTATTATAGTATAGTTTTAAATAAAAATAAAAAAAAAAATTTTTCTTTTTTAAATTCTGAGCATAGCAAGAAATGTTTTAATTTTACTTGATGTGTGCCTTTTTTTTGTGGCGCTGCCGGAGGCAGATTTTCGTGAGGGTTTCTTAAAACAAGTAATTAATCCCACGTAATGTGTGTATTGTGTGCATGTTTAAAAAATCACGGAACACGGAATTTCGGTATCAGGAGTGCTATTGTGGAGTCACTAGTTTTGTGAACCGCACTGTAGTTAACTTTTCTATTAGAAATTTTACTCCAATCAAAAAACGTCATAATAGCTTTCATATATTATTTTGGATCAAGTTTGTGTTGGAAAGAGTGTTTTTTTGATTTTCCGTGTAATTTTCTTAATTAACAGTTTCATTATTTCTTATTTTGTTTTTTATTTTAATTTGGTTAAAAATAATCATAGAAACTTGACATTTTTTCAGAGTACTTAGACTATTATAGAGTGGTAAAATGTTTGAAAACTTTCAAGCAATTTTTTAATTTTTTATAAGCATTTGATATGATTGAGTTTTTATTTTTTTTTTTGCATAAATGCAAATGTTTGAGTCGAAATACTTGAAAATTGAATACAAAGTTCATTATAAGTTGTACTTTCCTGATATCTGTTTTTCGTTAACAATAATTTATTGTTGGGTACAGGCATAAATACAACAAATCTATGTTTACTGAATTTGTAATGTCCCACCTACACTGTGGCACATCTATCAGCTGTTTTTTTTTAAACAAATTTAGATATTTTTTTTATGGAACTTTTGAGGTTATATGGGCTATTACATTTCCAGCCTTAAAAATACGTTGACCAATATAAATTTGTACTTAAAGCATAAGAGTTTTTCCAAGTTAGTCAATTAAACCTAGTTACTGCAACTTGAGCCATACCGTCATCACTCATCACAAACAATTTCTTATGTATAGTATTAAAAATGAATTAAGATTATACAGATGCCATAGCATTGCTATGGCAAAATATATTGACTGATTAAATGTAAGCATCCACTTATAGTGCTGCAGTTTTTCCATAAAAACAAATGAAATAACTACAGTACGTAGTATTATAAAGCTCTATTAAATCTATATTTTTAGATGTTTAGCGGAATGAGGAATGTATTGATTTCACAATGATGTGTATAATTTTCTTTTTCTGTAGATAACTTTTCTACAAGAAATTTTGCTCCGATTTTCCAATAGGGCACTTTTTCTGAAAGGAAATCTAACTCGGGTGGTACTTTTGGGTTAATATTTTAACCTGAAAATTATAATATCAAATTTTGATAAAATATATTACAAAGCAACACTATTAACCAGGCGCCACTCAAAGTCGTTTTTTCGTTAGCAATGGTCAATCATTGTGTACAGATATACATTGAATTTCCCCTCTACCTTCCCAACTTCTCACCTACAACACTGGCCTACAACCTAACCCATCGTGAGAAGTATGTCTGTATCTTTTTAATTTAGTTTTTATTAAAGGACATACATCATTTTTAGATATTTGGCTCTAAGTAAAAGCCAAAATTTTGTAATTTTGCCAAAATATTGAAAGTTTTTAATTTCAATATTCTATGACCTATTTTATTTTTTACCAAATATATAATCTATCTGTCGTTTTAAATATTAATTTTAGAAACAAAAATTGTTTTTCATATTAAAACTATTTTCAACAATTATAATTACACTGAATGAAAATGTTTATAACTATAACATCTACATTGTTTTCCAGAGTTTCAGAATCACTATTATCAAATATCCATTACCAAGAGACTTATTTAATGGATAGTTAAACACTGAAAATAATTTAAAATGATAATTTTTCAAAATACTTACAAATATTTCATATATTATTTCAACCATCTGAAAACAATTCCAACATTTAATTTTTTTTACTGTACCCAGAGTTTAATTTTAAACAACATGTGATTCCTAAAGTAAAATGAATGCTCTGACTATTTGAAGATATAATTTAGCATAGCAATTATGACCAATTGTTTACTTAATATTCCGATCGATGTAGTGAAGCAATATGAGTTCTGATAACAGATTTTAAATTCAGCATTAAGTAATCATGAGATTGGTCTAGACACTGTTTTCAAATTTGAAAAATTGGCCTGGCAGTAAAATTATTTTTATTAGGTATACAACTTTACTAAACATAACAGCGCAAATAGTGCAATATAAGACTACATTACAGTTCAATAAATAGCTTATTGTTTTCTTTATTGTAGCTAGCATCGTATTTATCTGGTACAATTGGTAAATCTACAATACATTTTAAAAATAGCAATATGATTTTTTTTTCTTTTAGGAGGAAATCTAAATAAATTTTACCAAATTTTTTGATAACTCAATAAATTTTATAAAAAGAAGAAAAATGCCTTAAAAACCTTAAAATGCAACTAAAGTGACAAAAAATGCAAAATAAGTTTCATATTTTAATTCTTAAAACAAATTTTATGCTGGGAAATCATTGCTTTAGGATATTCAAAAAAAAATTGTAATTTGCATTATAATCCACACCCTTATTATCCACTTATTAGTTATTATTTATATCAGAAATACTATTATAAATTTAAAATATAATGAATGGTTAAAAAAATTTAAATTTAGACTGGAATTGTAGTAATTTGTGTAATATGCAAATATGGCGTTTTAATGTAGAGCAAATTTCTTAAAAGCTTTTCTAGTATTAAAGTTGGTTTAAATGAATCAAAGAAAATTAAGAGAAAAATTTCAAAAAAAACTATAAATTTTACATGAGTATGGTTTTTAAAATTTGATAATAATATTTATATAAATAATGACCATTAATTTGAGTATATTTTATGCTAATTATAGTTTTAAACAACAATAGTTATTTTATGTTATTTTGTTATTATTACCTAGTTTAATAATTTGTCAGGCTAAAACAGAAGAGCATGTAACTGTTACGGCTACGATTACTCCATTGCCCCGAAATATCCCATCTAATATGCCAGAGAGCTGTTTGGAGCGAAGGCCGTCTTGGAGGCTTAGAGTTGAAAACGGCAGCAAGGTTTGTTGAAGTTATTGTGTGTGAAGGAATAACATAAGATCCAGTTTGAATTATTTTAGTTTGTGTTTGGTTTGAAAGTTTGGAGCATTATTGTGTTGTCTTTCTTATTTTTAAGATAATGCTGATGTTTTTTTTTATTATTATTATATTCAGATCTACGTGCAATTTTCATTTTTCAGTTTTTACTTGAAGATGCTCGATCTAATGAAACAGTTACTAAATCTACTAAGTTACACATTCCAACATCTCTAGACACAAGCGCAGATACAACAGTAACGTTACCATTAAGGCGTCCTTCACCTAAAGAAATTGAAGATAAAGGTGAATTGTTTAAGTTAACACAGTTTCAAAATAATCTTATAGTTGACGTCATTGGGATATGTAATACAAATATATATAGGTACATTGAATGTAAATTCTGGCCAATAGCCAGCTCATCATTATCTTTGTTTTTTAGTTTCATAATAATATAGATTATATACCACTACTGAGTAAATTAAATTTGAATTTTTATGTAGCACACATAAATTATGAGAAATTTAAAGAGCAGTAGTATTTTATATTTAAAATACTAAAATTGAGATTTTTTTTTTTTTATGTAGATCAGGATAAAGAAAATGAATTTCGAAATCACCAGGCCACTCAGGCAGTTATACAAAGAAGGAAAAGACCAAAGCGAAGATCTACTGGAGTAGTTCATGTTGATTTAGATGAAATTGATCCTGACAGACAAGAAACCCAATGTTTTAGTGGTACTGATGACAATTTAGGAGAGGTGAGTTTGTTACAAATATAATATTTATTTACTTATTTATATTGTGAAATAACATGAATATAACTGTGGTCAGTGTATTATAAATAACATTAGTTTTTCGTGTCAGTGTCATAAACTTGTAACATAAACGGTGGTCGTACATCTGTGTAAAACGTGTTTATTGAAGTAAAAAAATAATAATAATTAAAAATTGGGGGTTTTCCAATTATTGTTTTTGGGTGTACAGTGAAAAGTTTGACTAATGTGTCGTTTGTTATTTTTGGCAACTTTAAGCTTTCCTTCGATCATTTATTTAGAACTGCTACTACACAATATCAGCCCCATGTCAAATAACACCTTCTCTATCGCCGCTTGTATGCAATTCTATTTTCGATTCAGCTATAATGTTCACTGTAGTAAAATTCTATTTTTATTTAAAAGTTGGCTTCTGTCAAATCAAGACCGTATTAAATGAATAATTAAAAACAATACGCGAATTTTAAATAAATTTGTTTTTTTATTATTTTACTATTCCATAGTCTATGTAGCACTACCATTGGGGGGCTGGTGGGCGCATGTGTGTTGATCATCGTAAATTTCCTCGACAGCGTACACAACTCAATCTGCTTAGGGCACGTTTTTATTTAAAACAGAACGACGTTTCACTACATACCAAAAATAGATCATGGTCACTACTACGACGTATCCACGCGACCGCGACGCTATGTCTGTTTGCTTATAGTGTATCAGTTTTTCGTAAATTGTCTGCTGATCAACTTCTTCTTCATCCTACCAGCAACTACCGCCGCATGCACTGGCACGTTCTCCATTATCATGAGTTCTTACAACAATAATATTCGGAAATCTCGTCCATCATCATCTTACGCCAGGCCCAGAAGCGTTTACAGTTCCCCGTCTCGTGCTGGTTCCATGTACTCGTCACTCAGCCTGTCCTCTCCGTACTTGAACACGTCGTCGTCTTACTCTTCCAGTATTCCATCAACTTATTCGTCTCCATCGACTTACGGAGGTACCGCTTCCGGATATGGTGGATTGACCATATCCCCAGCTTCGTCAGCTTCCAGTTTTAACTCTTATTCTACCGGCAGAACCGCCTCCCCATCTTCCCGACAATCGCATCACGCTTCTCCATCATCCCGACAATCGCACGCTTCTCTGTCATCACGACAATCACACGTTTCTCCGTCATCCCGACAATCACATACCTCCCCATCGTCACGACAGTCTCACGCAACACTAAAACGAAATTACTACCAAAGTCCACTGTCCAGATTCGACTCATCTACTTCATTAGCATCTAGTAAGAGTTATGGATCTGAGGGATACGTGGTAAGAGCGGGAATATATAATAATATAAAGACTTATGTAACACAGTCAATTTATAACATTTAGTTTCAAAAATATATTATATATATTCAACATTTTCCTGGTTTCCTATTAAGTCCCTCTCATTTTAGAGCGGTGGAGACAACAAAACCAGTCCGTCATCACGTTTATCTTCAATATCGTCCTCTCAAGACAGCAGTAATAGTAAACCCAACAGTGCTGCAAATTCTCCTGGTTCATTCTCAGAAAATGGAGAAATTGATTACAAAGCTGTAAGTTTTCATTGTTTATAAATAACTGCATTTAACAATTTGCTCATTAATTGTTTCATTTAGTTATATGAAGAAGTAGTCGTAGATAATGAAAGATTAAGGCGACAGTTACAAAAGACTGAAGAAGACTTACTAGAAGCCAGGATCACTATAGAAAAACAGTCTACTAATGTAAAACATTTAACTTGATTTATTTTTTTAAACTGTATTATTTTATTTATTCTACTAACTTTTAACTTGTAAACTATTTTTCAGGCTGGAAAAAGCACAACATTGTCTGAAACGGAAAAACGAGAAAGACGAGCTATGGAGAGAAAACTGTCTGAAATGGAAGAAGAACTCAAGGTAGTTATATTAATTTATTTACTGGAGATAACTAAAAGTATACATTAATAATATAATAATATTTAGGTCATAACAAAAAATTTGTCTATTACCTATGTTGCTATATGTGCTAGAATATTTAGAGCTTACACTTGAGTTTATGTTCTCTAGCAATTGCAAAAATTGAAAGCAGAAAATGAACGGCTTCGAACCGAGAACAGAGCCCTTACCAGAGTTGTTTCTAAACTTACTCATACCTGATTATGTGAACACCATTTTTTTATGTATGTAGATAACATGCAGACAGTAATGTGTGGAGTTTTCATGCCAAGTGTGTTTATAAATTCCCATTCCAGTTAAACTAATAAATTAATTTTCATTTGGTTGAAAATTCCATTACAAAATGTGTATAAATCTTGTGTTGATAAATCTAAACATTATAATTAACTCAAAGTAAACATAATTCTTTTTTTATTAATACTGTAATATTTTATATATCGAAAGCAAACCCAATGGGATAAGTATGAAAAATTGAAATTTATTTCATTTTAATTGACAAATAAATTGTTTGAAGACAATATAAATACATTAAACAAAAAATTATAACATAGTTTCTTCTTACTAAATTCACCACTTCAACTAATTATCAATGAAATAAATCATGAGAAGCATTACCTTAATTAAATCTATCTGTTCTTAATTGATGACAATATATATTTTTGAAAATCATTTTAAAAACTCATAATCAAATTATGTGGCATTATTTCATAACTCATAAATATTCAATGATAATGTTAATGATAATTTAACTAAATTATATGGTTCTAAATGATTTTAAATTCATATCAAGAGTAATAATGATAAATAATTTATTTTCATAACAATATTTGTCCTTTAGTTTTACTTTTGTGGTATTATGAAGGCTTTAGCATATTATTGTGTTTTGTTAAAATATTAAATAATCATTTGAAAACAATTTTGCCTAATCTGCTACATGCTAAAAATTTAAATGTAAAATCTCCATTTATAGTTTTTTTCGAGTATACCATTTTAGCTTTTTTTTTGCTAAACTTAACAGTTTTTGTTGTACTATGAAAAGCTTTTTATTTTGGTAAAAATCTCAGAATTTGTTTTATTTAAAACTAATTTTCTTTTTATAGCAAATGGATCAGTTACGCCAAGAAAATCAGAGATTAAAAGACGAGAATGGTGCTTTGATACGAGTAATAAGTAAACTTTCAAAATAGTGATAACTTTTTTAGACTACTCTAATTAATTTACAAATATTAAATACCTACAAAAATAACTGCTTTTATTCATATATAAATAAATAAATATATATTTGTATAGCATTCAGTATTAATTCATTTTTACTAGAAGCAATTTTTATAATTTATTTATACCTATATTAAATTTTAATTTGTAATTGTAAATGTTTTTTTTTTTTTTTTTTTTTTTTTATTCGCCACAACCAGATCTGAATTATATTTTGTATGTATTGACTATGTTATAATACGTAATAGCAAAAATGATATGATTTTGTAAACAATTAACCCAAATTTCATAAATTTCTATTATTTTATTATAGATTGAATATTATTATTATTTTTAAATTATATAAATACAAATCAATTAATATTTTTAATGTATATACTACGTACCATTTTTCCTCGTGTATACTATTTTATATAATTATTGTATTTTGTTGTTCTGTTGTATGCGGATGTTTATTTTGGTATACTATGAAAAATTAAAAAAAGATTTGACCGCATTTATTTATTTATACATTTCTTTATCAATTTGTATTCAATACTTTACACTCACATACCTAAAGATATTTTTCTATTTTTCCATTTGGTATGAAAATGTAGGTATAATTTTCCTAAATTAATATACTTCAATAATTACTTGGGAATTACTGTAACAACAAATTTATTTATTGAAAAATCATTTTTTTTTTTTTTAATAAAAAAATTAATTCATGTTTTTAATTTGCACCCATTTAAATACATAGAATATATAATTAACAACGGAACTAGCAGCTCGCATCGGTTTAGTAAACTACATTAAGATATGTAAGTGTAACGAGTTCAGACCATGAACATAGACTAAGATTTTCTTATCTACTTGTTGCTGGAGAAGACATAATTTCTGAATAAAAGCTCATTGTTGAACTCTGTTTTGACTAGTCTGAAATAATAAATTCAGCATTTTAACCAACATCAAAATTTGCATCCTAAACTGAACTTGTCCATACCAAGGAAACTTCTTTACTATTTCGACTATCAAATTGCAGAAAAACTCTGTTTCATCATGTTAATTTTGAACCATAGCACTGCTATTTGTTTCAGTAGGTACAATTGTTCTTCCAAGTGTGTTAATTTGTTTTCTTTTTCTTATCTCTTATAATGTTATCTTTCCCTTTTATTATTATTATCTTCATTACATTTAACTATTGTCTCATTTTCTGTTTCAACAATCTAGGTAATGTGATCTACAATATCAGCCTGTGTATCCTCTGATTTCGCTCTCGTTCAACATAACATTGATAATTATGTTGTCTTTGAGAAAAAAACAAGGCCACATAAAAATGATAGATCAAATTTTTTCTTTGCTTCTTCTCCACCAGAACCAGTATCAGGGTTTCTTTGACATGAGCTCGTACAAACTCAAGTTGACAATTGAAGCTAGACGTATTTGAAACGTATACACATTCATCAGCCAAAAATGTTGCTATTTGGAAACTTTCATCAATAAAACAATAGATTTAATTTAATTTATTCTATGATAAAACATTAATGTTTTAACAAATTATTAGATTATTCGTTATGTTTAACGGGTAATTAATAAACAGTATTTCAAATAAGATTTAACGATCCTTGATGAAACAAGCTATAAACATGTTTATCTTGTTTCACATGGAAAATTAAATTTTATTACTATTAAGTGGCAAAAAAATATCAAGTTAAATTTAAAAAAAAAAAATCATTAGTAAGCGAGAAAACTAATATAAAAATATAATTTTTTTTTCAACAACTTAAAAATATCACATACAGGACTGTTTCTCATACAACATATACATATATATATTTATAAAATAATATTCTTAATATTTTAAATAGTATTAAAAAGCAATAATTAACTACTGCAACACCAACGTGATGATTGAGATGGCGGAACATCTTCATCATCAACTATTATAGTTCTCCTTGTACTCCCTGATCTGTTTAATGTAACCAAATTATCAGCTTCCTGTTTATCAGCCTTTTCAATCATCATACGACACAAGCCCAAAAATATTTCTTCAATACCCGAATTCAATTTAGCGGATGTATGAAAATGTACAGCACCAACTGAACGTGCATAACTAAATTCAACAGTTCCTAATTAGTCAATAATTATATATTGTAAAATTGATGAATCTATCATGAATATTACTTTTCTGCGTCTTCAACTGAAACTGTACGATCTTTATCTAAATCAATTTTATTACCAGCAATAACAAGACAAATTTCACTTCCCAACATTTTCTTTAATTCTTTTATCCAATTTTTTACCTAGAAATATTTTTTAAGAATTTAAGTTTAATAACAGTTATCAAATGTTTTAAATTAATAACATATTGGTTGATAATTATTTTCACAACTATTAATAATACATTTTGTACAAACACTAAAACAATTATCTGAATAATAAAATAGTCCATTTTATAAAAATATTTTACTTCAATGATAAAAGAAACGTATACATATTATTTTTTTTTGATTTATTTACCTCACATCAATTCAATAAAATTGAAAAACTAATGTCAACCAATATTTGTCTATAGATAATAAATCTATGACAAAGGTTTAGTGGTCACCCACAAAATTTCGCAAAATCTAGTAGTTCTTACACTTCCTCACAACTAATATTTTTAATACTGGTCTAAAATAAGGATTAATTTTAAAATGTTATAATCGATAAAAGTTGTTCTTATAAATACACTCTCGGCAACTCATTTAAAAAACATATACACAATATATATATAAGATTAAATGATATAAAACATTCAATTACTTTTTGAAAAGAATCTTCATCGGTGATATCATAAACGAGTATTGCGCCATTAGACATTCGATAATAAATTGGCCCTAAAGCGTGAAACCTTTCTTGTCCAGCAGTATCCCAGATGGCCAAATTTACTCTTCGTCTATTGATGTTTAATTTCTTTTTGACAAAAGACGCCTGTTAAGATAACAAAAAAAAAAAAATGAGTATAGGTATCTGGTATAATGCTATTGATTTCTGGTACCTGTAGAGTGCTGACATGTTTGTCATTAAATTTATCTTCGGTATACCGGAGTACAAGTGACGTTTTGCCTACGCACCCTTCACCCAATAGAACAACTTTGAAACTCTGTGAAGTAGTCCTGCCAGCCGTAGTCGGATCCTCTATCGAATCGTCCATTTTAAAATACTATCGTTGCGATGAAGCGTAACATTTGGGCCCGCGGCAAACAATACGATCGCTGTTGTCTCCGATAGGTGTCAAATTACGACAAATTATTACTTACTATTCCGCCCACTTCACATGATTTGTATTACGTTCCAAACCGTTGTACAGACATTCGATATTCGATAATATACATATAATATTATATAGGTAATAATAATATAATATATCAATTTATGCTCGAAAAAGATATTTATCAAAAATCGTGTTATGTTCACAGGCGGACGTTATCTGAACAATAAAAAATTTAAAATGATAATCGCAAAACGTTATCATCAAAATGATAATGAAACAAGTTCGAAGTTCACGTCAAGGTCGTGTCGTGATAATATGTGAATACCTATGTAATAAACGCATATTATTGTTTATTATACATATCACGGTCTTAAAAATATCTTATATCACGACAAATACCTATTAAAAAATGTAAGGTGCCTCACCTGTATAGATGCCTAGTAGTTGGGAAAATAAATTGCAAAATGACACGATAATAATTATTACCTATAGATATAATAATTGTTTTAATTTAATATGAAAATCTACTTCCGTTCAAAGTAGGTACCTACCTACCACCATTAATTTATCTATCGCACGTATGGCGTATACAATTTATTACATAGTTTGTACAGCATAAAACGGAAAATTTAAAGTTAGTTAATATCACAACTTGGAAATAAATATAGCTTTGACAATACGATAAAATAAAAATAAATTACATTATTTGGGTTTACATTTTCATTAAATAATATTATAAAGGAGTGTAATAAATCAAAGTAAGCAGTTAATAATTGGATAGTTGATTTTTATAAAGGTTGGGGAGTTAAAGTCCAATGATTCTATCATTATCATTATACCCCAAAAATTCAAGGGATATTATTCTGGACGATATGGTTGATATTTTGTATTAGATTTCCAATGTGTCCATAGTCACATTTGATGTCTGTCATTTCCCATTTGAAAAGCATTAAAATGAAAACTGACAAATTTACGGCGTTACGATTTCATTATTTTAAATTTTACATTTTCTACCAGAAATATTGCTCCAATTGAACAACATCAAGAGATTTTTTTTATTGAATTTTTAATTTAGTTAGTGACTAAGAAAGTCGGGTTTTAATTTTCTTTTATAGTATTTTTAACAATCAAGCAAAACCGAAAATTAAGAAGAAAAAACAGGAAAATTTACGAAAATTATTATTTTAAATTTTGTTTTTTTAATGTACTTAAATTAGTTTAAAATATTGATAAAGACTTAAAATGTTAATAGATAATTTATATTTACTTTTTCTAGGCTTGGTAAAACTCAACATTTTAATTTTCTGAATTTTTATCTAATTTTTATTTGGTAGGTACTCTAGAATCTAGATAAACTGTTAGACTTGACAAATATGATTTCAAATTTGATAGGAGATTCATTATAAGTCTTACTTAGTAGTCAAAAAAATAAATTAAGTTTGATATAGTATTATTTTTTTTTTATTAAGTATTTTATAAGAGTTTTAAAATCAAATTTTGACGAAAATCGTTAGTATCACGGCCTTTCAAAATATGTATAACCGAACTTCACTTCGAATTGTTTTTCAACTTCTCAACTATCTACGTATACAATAGTAGCCACACCCGTCCAGAGTATCAGCTATTTGTTTTAAATTTGTGTATTAACTTGGGTGCCCATAGTTTTAAAAAGCTTTGACGTCACGGGTCAAATATTGTCCTCCTCTTAACACTACCCTGGTTATATTTACAATTTAAAAACATATTCAGTTTTTTTTAAATACTTGAGTACTTGTTCAATGTTTTTCAATTTGGTAAAACTTGTCTGTATAAAAAAAAAAAAAGTGAAAATTGAAATAAAATACCTTTTATTTAACAATTCAATTCAACAAAACTCTCTTGAAACTGTTTTATACTAATACGCTAATAACAAGCACGTCGTCAGGATCAATTTTTAGGGGGGGGAGAGTTAAAATAGTTTTAATACATGAACTTTTAGTTCGTATTTGTTATATTATAAATACATCTCTACTTTAAAAATATCGAGGAAGTTGAACCCTTAACCCCCCTCTGTATACGGGCTTGAACAATATGGCAATAGGTGCGTAGGTATAGGTACCTACGATTACCTGCCAAATTTAACCTTCTAACAGTCAACAATATTATTAATTATAATTAACTTATAACAGACGATTTTGTCATGTTTTTCTAATTCCTATTTTTTTTTTTTTTTTTTTTTTTTCAATCCGTAGATTGGTTGAACGATGAAATATTCTTCCATTCCTCTCTATTCATTGCGACTCTCTTTAGTTCTATATATGACTTTCTTCCTATATCCAACATGATTTGTTTCATATATGCCTGTCTAGGTCTTCCTCTTCCTGGTTTTCCCTCGATTTTTCCTTCAATTATAGTCGTTATCCATGAATTGTTCCTTATGAGATGTCCTATCCACTTCTTTCTTCTCTCCACGATTGCCGTCCATATTGCTCTTCTTCATTTATTCTTTTATATACTTCTTCACTAGTCACCCGATCTGTCCAAGGAATTTTTAGGACCCTTCTCCAGTACCTTTAATAATTCCTATAATAATTTTAAAAAAATAAAAACTAATACTGATAAATTTGCCACTGTTGTAATTGAGAAGTTTAAAAGTTATAGGACATAATATAAAGTTATTTAATTTATATATCTGTACGCAACGATAAATAATTCCTAACGAAATACGATTCTGAGCGAAGTTCAGTTGAACATATTTATTCAACTGTCGTTTTGAACTTGAAACGCTTCTATAAAAAAAAAAAATTGTTACACTATATTCAAATTTTGTTTTACCACTAAGTAAAACTTATAATGATCTACATGATAAATTTTCAATAATTTCTGTATTATTACTAAATTATATTTACATAAAACCAAATATCAACTATAAAACATTCGAAAATATCAATAGCATAGGTAGGTTTAAGATTATAAATAACTCAAAGATCGCCAAAAAGTATTTTTTTTAAATTTGACGTCTAGAAAAGGCTAATATAAGTACGTAAGTATTCTTAGAAAATTTTAAGTCTACCATTATTTTACTGAATTACAAAAAAAAAAAACAAAATTAAAAATAATGAAACCGTACATTTTCCGGCTTTGGTCAATTGAAAAAAATCGATAATTTGTCTTCCTGATACACCAACTAAATCTAAAATTCATCAAAAAAGTTCTTCTGTCATTTTTTGGTTGGAACAAGATTTTTGATTGAAAAATAACTCAAATAATTTGCACACATATCATAGTAAAACCAATAAATTTCTTGCTACGCTCTGTAGAATCTAAACCAGGATACATTTTTGTCAAACACTTTCAGGTCCAGTACCTTAAAACAGTTTAAAAATATAAATTTGAAAAATGTCCATGGATACAATATTGTATTTTGAGAATCATTATTTTACTAATGGGCATCATTAAAACGTCGTGCTCCTTCCTATGTTTTCACAAAATTCCCATTATCCAGAGTACCATTGTTTTTTTTCCCCGCCTCAGATTCGGCCATAACCACCTCCCTGCTCACTCCTACTACTTATTCCTCAATGATATCCCTTTTTGTCTTCGCCTTGACGGCTCCGCTATTTGCAACTCTTCCCATCTTCTCTTTAACTGTCATAACCTTTCCAATAAGCGTGATTTTCTTTCTTCTGTATGTGCTTCTAATAATATTCCTTTTTCATTCTCTTATATTTTCCATCTTTTAATATTCCCCTTATCTATTCACTAATTGAGTTCTTTTCCTCTGAAGGCTTTCTTTTATAATATTTGTACTACTATGTTTTATTATTTTTATTACTGCTATGTTTTCATTATTTGTTTAATCTCTTAATGTAACCGCTGAGGTATACATGTTTTATTACACTTCTAATAAAAAAAAAAAAAATAACGTGCACCGTACCTCCACACAAATGATACTTCACTATTCTCCCCCAACTCAAACTTAAAAATGAAATATCTCGTCAAGGGAACAACGTAAATCAAAAATGTCAACACCAACATTTCATTTTAACTAATATTCCACCAGTTTATGGAATTTTTAATATATGTCGCCATTTGAAAATCAAAAGCAAGTCGTGATTTTATCCCCGAAATTAAGAATGACGAAAAATAACATAAACGTAAAATTGTAAAGCAGCTTGTAAAATAGATTCTGAAAAAAAGTTAATACTTTTCGAGATAATGAGTGTTACAATAGATTGATCACTCTGTATTGTAGTTAGTAGGTAGTAGAGACAGGAAGTTTCTTTCAGTTAGATGAACTATAGTTCGTTCGATCATTATTCACTTAACTGAAGTAGGTTATTGAACTAGTTCAATGATGATAGTCGATACACGTTAGGTAAACTATGAATAGTTCGTTCATCGTTCATCATTCTTACGTAAGATGGTATGAACTACGAATGAAAAATAAATATAACTACACGGTCGGCTCTTAATCACTTATCACGACCCAGGTGGTTGGACTAATAGATAATAAAGAAATTGAAAAAAGATGATTTTAGATCTGGGGCCAAACAATTTTAGGGGTCCATAAACATATTCAAAATATTGGTGTTTATACAATATTACTAGCCAATGCCGGGGGCCCACAATATTACGAAATCCCGGGGCCTGGGGTCATGGCCCCCTCTGCCTCCCCTTAAACCGGGCCTGATTAATGTATTATTATTGAAAGATTGAACCATAGAATCTTACTCTATGGATTGAACGAATCGATTTTTTATGTCGTTCGTTCGTTCGTCGTTTGCATAGACATATTAATATTATTTATATTATTATTATTATTATTAATATATCTATGTTCGTTCATTTATCAACCAATCGTTCGGTGAACTAGGTCATTTGCGAACGATATAACCCTAGTAGATAGGTATTTATACAACTATCATCGTGTGGACCGCCTGATAGTTGAAAGTCATGGACGAACCAAGTAAATTCCTATCAGGCCTCGAATCGCGACTAAGATATAAGATAAGATATATTATTATCTCGGTCTGTGGAGTCACTATATTTTTATTTGATATGTTTGTTATTATTTTCAACGATATTGCGATAACAGTATAACACATTAACACTACTTGTGTCAAATAAATCCATCCAGTCCATGCAGTATACTGATTTGTGTGTCCATGTTTTTTAGTATCAAAATACACCATACACCATAATAATTATTATATATTATTCAAATATTCTTATTTGTTTGTCTTTGCTCAAAGAGTATTGTTAAAGACGTTTATTTTTAGCGGTTAATATCTTGTAAGCTTATAACTGTAATATTTGTCTCGTTTAGCAGTAAATACCTAATAATAATAATATGGCTCGTCACAGGAACATAAGGACCACCCAATATTCTGATGGTAAAAGTTATAATTTCTCATTTATTTTTTTCTTTTTCATGTCTCAGTACTAATTCAATACTACTATATGTGTATATTAAACCAGTATCCTTTGTGCATTTTTTTTTCAATCATAATATATTACTTAAAAGTCAAAAACATTACAAATTCATGAGAATTTACAATATTGTAGTCAAGTTAAGTATATATTTAGTTATATATCTAATTAACAAAAAATTATATTTTTTAGATGAATATTACGATGACGATGACTATTCTAATTCGTTTGAAGAAGATTATATTTCTCCAAGTGACGGTAACTAAAAATAAATTACTTATTTAAAATTTACTTTAAAATTTAAATTCATTTAAAATTATGTTTTAGCAATTTATTTAATCAACCATAAACCAAAATTAAATTCCGAACAAGATTTAACAGATGCTAAAGTGAATTCCTGTTTACAAAGAATAACAGAAATCTTAGGTATTGAACTTGCTAAAGATGTCGTGACTAATCATTTGATTAACAATGATTTTAATATTGATAAAACTGTTGACCAGATATTAAATTCAAATATTGGTAAATTAGATTTTGCCTCAGCCAAGTATATTAATTAAATAGATATTAACGAGGACATTAATAAACATTTTAAGGTGCTACAAAAGTTAAAGATCTATCAGGAACTGAAGGGAGATTAAGCAGACCTCCTTCAGTTGTTATTGCTTCTTCATCTAAAAATAAAGACAATATTATTGTTGGTTTCGGAAATGCATCTATTTCAGGTACATATATATTTATTTAAATGTATACATTTGCACTGTTTAATGTTTTATATATTTTTTTAATATTTTTAGGTTCAAAAAATAAAAATTTAATTACAACACCTAAACAGACTCCATTTAGTACACCCATATGTTCACCAGCTGTTACCCCTCGTAATCGATCTCCACAAAATACTAATTTAGGATCACCACGTGTAGATCGTAAAATAAATTCGCCTAAGTAATTTTTAAAAAGTAATGTAATTTTATTTTTATTAAAATCCTTATAATTTTTTAACAGGAGTAATAAAGTCAGAGATGATTTAACAGTACCTTCCACTCATAAGGATCAACTTTATTTAATCATAATTGGTCATGTTGATGCAGGAAAAAGTACATTAATGGGACATTTACTTTATAAATTGGGACATGTACAACAGCGTACTATACAAAAGTATGAACACGAAAGTAGGAAGTTGGGTAAACAAAGTTTTGTATATGCTTGGGTTTTGGATGAAACTGCTGAAGAAAGGTAAAGTATATAAATAAATTATATAATATTGTAAAATATTGCATATAATATATTTGCAATAATAGAAACCGTGGTATCACAATGGACGTTGGTCATTTGAAATTTGAAACCAAAACTAAAGATGTTACTTTGTTAGATGCACCTGGTCACAAAGATTTTATACCGAATATGATAACAGGTAAAAAATATACACGGTGTTCAACTAATTTCCTAAACTATATACTATTATACAAAATTAAATGTATTCATTTTACACACCTAAGTCAGTTTATAATAATAATAGGCTAGTATAAAAAGTTACTAGTTATAGAATTATAATTATAAACATCTCAATGATCCAATATATTGATGATTGACTATTTTAGTGCTTCTTAGTATTTATTTTTTTATTTTTCTGATGACATGTTTTTTTTATTATACTGTAATTTTAGTAAAGTCATAACTAGGTGATATGTAGTTATTTGGTACCCATTTCTATATTACATTACTCATTTCTACACATATTAGTAAATTTAGCTACTAGATAGGTCACACACAGTAGAACTGAACTTTTATGTGTATGGTGCAAACATTTCCCTATCTTATACACCCTCAAAAATATTTTACCATTTAAGCCTAAGGTCAAAATTTCCTATAGGTTTTTTATAATATTGTTTTATACATACATCTATTTGTACTATAATTATAGGTGTCGATTGGGGGTTGTTTAGAGGAGCTCAACTACCCAGAAAATATTCTAAGTCATTTAATTACTTTTTTAAAATTATTTTACACAAATCAAATTTTTTTGAAAAATATAACTTATATTATTATTTAATGTAGTATTTAACTATTTATAAAATTAAGTTATCAGTGCATTGCTTATTTTGTTTAATTATGTATGTTTCTTTTATGTGTATTTTAAAATTTAAATCATTAATATATTTACTCAATTCATGGTCAGGTAGTTTTGCTCACTAAATCTGACTCAATTATGTATATTAGATGAATTATTTAGACCATTTTGTAACCAGATTTTGCTCAAATTTTTAATATATAAATTAAATTCATGTTTCTATGGAAAAGGGTGTGATAAACAAATAAAAAAAAAGTGTAAGGAAAGAAATAAATGGCTAGAGAAAAAAAAATGTTTTAAATAAATAAACTTGCATACCTGTTATCTTGTTACCCTTGTTGCTAATAGAAAAACAGGTACTTTCTTTTGTAGAAAACTACTACTATTCAATATTCTTATATAAATTGAAGTCTAAACAAGATTATGTTTGAATGTTGGTTTTAGGTGCTTCTCAGGCTGATGCAACTATTTTAGTTGTAGATGCAACTAAAGGAGAGTTTGAAACTGGATTCGACAGTGGAGGACAGACCCGGGAGCATGCACTTTTAATACGATCTCTGGGTAAATAATCTATGAATAATTTAACTGATTATGAAAGTATAATTATTATATAATTTAATTATTTTTGTCCCAGGAATTACTCAACTTGGAGTAGCCGTGAATAAAATGGATACTGTTAATTGGTCAGAAATTCGATTTGAGGAAATTAAATCAAAACTTGGACTATTTTTAAAACAAGCTGGTTATAAAGAATCTGATGTCACTTTTATACCATGTTCTGGGTTAAATGGTGAAAATTTAGCTATAAAAGCAAATGAATCATTACTAACTCATTGGTATAACGGTCCTTGTCTAATGGACGTTATTGGTATGTCAAAAAAATTCCTATGTTCAAACTAAACAGATATTTCTAAAGAACTGATGAAATAATATATATTAACCTTTAGATTCATTTAAACCACCAGAGCGTGCAATTTCTAAACCCTTGAGATTATGTGTAAGTGATGTTTATAAAAGTACAGGGTCAGGATTTTCAATTGTAGGAAGAGTCGAAACAGGTCAGTTAAGAGTTGGCGATAAAGTTCTTGTGGAACCACAAGGAGAAATTGCACAAATTAAAAGTGAGAGTTATGCTTTCCAGTTATTTAAAAATAAATGTTTCAAAACAAATGTTCAATTTAATATACAGGTATTGAAATAGATGAGTTGCCACAATCTATTGGATTAGCCGGTGATTTCATTAGCATTTCACTTAATGGATATGATGCACAAACTATATATTCTGGTTGTGTTTTGTGTGATATTTCATCTCCAATACCAGTAACATCGGTATTAGAAGCTAGGGTAGTTGTATTTAATGTAGACTTCCCTATTGTCCGTGGACATCAAGTTGTATTGCACTACCAAAGTTCATCAGAATCAGCGGTTGTCAGTAGACTGTTAGCAGAACTAAATAAAAGTACTGGAGAAATGATTAAAAAAAATCCTCGCATAATTAAGAAAAATACACATGCTCTAATCAAAATACAATTATCAAGACCAATTTGTGTTGAGGTATATTCGGACATCAGACAGTTAGGTAGAGTGATGTTAAGGTCTAATGGTACTACTATAGCAGCTGGTCTTGTTACTAAAGTTAATTTTACTAAATAATAAATGTATGGTTTGTTAAATATGCAGTTTATTCATTTTCTACCTTAATCTATTCACAAATAAAATACTCTAAACATTAGGTGAACCAAACTGATGTACTATGTTAATCAATACAGTACTTACTGGGACATTCCAATTTTCACTGGTTTATACTGAATTTCTAGACTAGGTTTTTTTAAAACAAACAAATCTACTTTGACATTCTTCATTTTCATACATAATCAATATATATATATATAAATATTTTTTTCTGAATTTGGTATTTTATTAAATCTAATAAAAAAATAAATTATGGTTTAATACAAAATAATGTCATAAAGATAAATGCAAATTTAGAAAAAACATAATATAAATAAATGAAAATATAATTATAATAAATATATAAAAACTATTTTCATTTTAAAAAAAAATACATGTATATATTTTTTAAATTTATCAGTTTAATTTTATTAACACTGGCATAGAATACAAATTAGTCAATCAGTATTTTTGTATTTATAAAAATATTACTGTGACATATTTGCAGCGTTATTATTTTGAAGACTGGAACCATTTGTGTTATTACTAATTGCAACTGCTGCAGGATCCGCACTCGGTTGATTCATAGCCTCGACTTCAGCTAAACTTAGTTGTGTGATAAATCTTAGTTTTTTCTGTAGAGGCAATCTAAGACGGCATACAATCCCTTCCACTTCAGACTTCATTAAATTGCCTACATATTGATATTTTATATGATATCTGAGTACTTTTATTAAGGAAATTAAAAATTTAAGTTTCCATAAACAATAATTATTTATGGAGCAATGTAATAATTATATAAATTCACTAAAAAATACATATTTTAGTTTCTAAACAATTTAATGCATACAAATAAAAGGATACAATAGATCACAGATAGGATCCATGTAAAGAAGAGTCTGAACATGTTTATCCATTCTTTCCAGTGCGTTGAATAATTCAACAGTTATGTCCAATATGGATGGTGATGGCTTGTCTAGATTATAACGAGACAGAAATGGCGCAACCAAGTGACATAAAAATATAAATTGTTCCTCACTATACACAGATGGTCCAAGCTTTTCCTTAACAAATCTATACAAATAAGAATCTGGTTAATAAGTAAATAATATTTGGATAATAGTCCAAAATATTTTAGCTAATACTTACAGTGGTATAGAGGCAATGTGACCGACACCGGCATGATGCCATGTAGCATGTGCCAATGCTAACATGTAGACAAACCTGTTATCGAGCATACATCCATGAACGAGATCAAAATTGAATAACTGGAATGGTGTGTGAGCATACTGCCATGTTACCAAACCAGGGCTTTGCATCATTTGCATGATACGGTCTTGCAAAGTCACCCAGAATGGCTCTGGCATTGCAGACATAATAAGGCCAATACTGTTTATCCAACTGTGTATTTCGTGGGAAGGAATTTCTGTGTACCTATAATAAATTTATATCATTAGAACAATCATTTACCAAATTTTAAAATTAAAAATATTTTATTACCTTTGCATTATTACATCGAGTATAGAACTAGCTACTGAAGCTGGAGATAAAGGTAAGGCCATGAGTTCTGCACACGTCATATAAAGAGCATAAACGGCAGGATTAGGGAATTCGTTAAATCTCCAATCAATGTTTGGAAACTTAACATTTCCGCTCATGGCTTTAAAAAACAAGTTAAGGAAAATTGATAAAATTGGTTTAAAAATTAAGAACCAGTGATAATATATCGTTAAATGATGAGAACACTCAATAGAATTTGAAGGAAGATCTATCTTCTCATAACTATTAAATATAAACATTTAACAACAAACAATAATATTGAAGAGTAAAGTTATTATTTGTAAATAAAAGGATACTGTCTGTAATTCGTTTGACCAGCATTACATAATATTCCAGATCAGGGATCCATATTGGAGCCGTAGGAGTAACCGAGACATCATTGTTAGGAATCATCGAGTTGGCATTTGTAGACGATGGTATCTGAATGTAATACCTTTGATATGATTCTGACAGAGTCCAACAGCCACGCGTTTCACAAAGGGATCCTAGTACTGCATATACTAGTTTGCGTTTTAAAAATGGACGATCGCGTAATTTAGATTCATAATAATGCAATGTGTTGTATAAATAGGTAACTGGGCGATCTACAGAAATAATAAATAAATTAATTAAAAATACATATATACCCTGTTTCAAAAGAGAACATATTGCTTTCGCGACTAGTTTTCGTTCAGCGATGCGAAAGTGATATGTTCTCTTTTGAAACAGGGTATATTTATACACATTATGATAAATTAATAATAACAAAACCAATATAGTACCGTGAAATTTATACAAACATCCTAAATGATCTAAAAGAGTTTCTAATGATTTGGTTACAGGTGGTAATTCAAGGTATCTATGAATCACAATGTCAAAAACCTGTAAGAGTTAAATAATAAATAATAATATAAATATAAATTATTGAAAATTAACAAAAATTAAGTTAATTCTAAATAATGATTATGCATTTTTTTAAAACATTACCGGCAAAAATCTGAGACACACATTTCCAAAATAAACAGGCAAAGGCTGATATGAAGTAGGATCTAAAATTCCTTCTGGAGCAAATTTTTCAGGATATTTCCGATGGAACGCTATATGTTTGTCATGCCTTTAAAAAATATTATTAAACTTGAAACTAATAAAAATAGGTAGTCTTTTATTGTTCTTATACAAATTAAATTACCAGTTAGATTGTTTCCAATGTTCTGGCGAGTTTTCTTTGACAAATTCACAAACTCGAGCTCTGAACTCAGCACCTTTGAATAGTAGTAACTGTATAATGAAAAAACAAACTTGAGCTTCACTGCCTTCTTGTGTACGGAGTGCCTACAATTTACACATTGTTTAATGAATTTGTTTTAAATTATATTATCATTAGTTGCGGAATTTATTTTAAAATATTATAATTAGAAAAAAATTGTAAGACATACGAGACATAAGACAAGACGGTCAATTGTAACAATGTTGTACTTCCAAATCATACTATTGATAGCGTCAACACATTTGTTGACATGTTGACCTTCCTCTGACACAGCAAATTTAAACACCAAATAATCACAAAACTTACGTAGATGTGCTGATAAAGCTCGGGCACCAATTCGCTCCAATATTCTAAAAATAATTTTAAAATCAGTTGTAGTTATTTTATTATTTCCTTGTTTTGATTTTCCACAAGTTTTACAATAACTGAGAAAAACCAGAAAAAGGCGTAAAATAAAAATTGGTAGGGGGAGAGTAGAGTAGTATTTATAAGCCGCGGCATAATGCCACACAATGATACTCCACAATACCTTCCCCTATCTAAACTTAAAAGAGGAATATATCATAAATGGGTTGATAGAAATCAAAAATGTCAACACCAAAATGTATTTTAACTGATACTAATCTAATACTAATACTAAAACTGATCTATTTAAGACATTTTAAATATAGGTTATTAAACAGAACAAGGAATGTATTAGTTTTACTATGATGTGTGCTAAATTATTTATTGTGTTTACATTATAACAACAAAATCTCACACTAATTAAAAAAAAAGAAAGTATTATTTTATTTTCCTTGTAATTCTCATAATTAGGGAAAAATCATATTAAAAAAACGGACAATTTATGGCAATAAAAATCATTATTTTCTACTAGAAATCTTGTTTAATCTTGATCAAAACTAGTAAATTTTGAGCACTTTTCGAGTTTAAACAATGGGAGGCTAAAAAATACTAGAAATAAAACAACCGGAATGTTGTAACTACGAACTATAACTATGCTGAATTACTAAATTTTAAGAAATTAAAATATATTGACAGAAAGATTTAGAGAATATAAAATGCGGAAAATAGTTGCGGATCGATCAATAGAATTTAAACACATTGACTGTAATCGGTTTGGAACTTAAAACTAATGAACAAAAAAAAAAAAGGCAAATTTAGTTTGTGAACTCACATTTCGTACTGTAATTAACTAGAAAATAATATGCATGGAATTGAAACAAATTTACATTGCGAGCATTTTACGGTCAATTATTTAATTCCGGCAAATTTATGTTTCTTGTTAATTTTTCTCTCATAATTACATTCCATAAACTTAAATTTTAATTTGTTGCAATTCCATGTATATTATTTTCTTATATTTTATTCAGGAATTTTAATTCTTCAACTTTTACGGTCCAGCTGTTTTATTTCCTGTATTTTATAGGTAGGTTTATTTAAAAATTTAATCAAAAAATACAAAGAGATCATTTTTGTTGCATTTTGGATCTAGTTGGTGAGTAGGAAACTAGTGTTTTTTATTTTTCAACCAGTTTTCATATTAATTGGAAAGGAAAATTAGGAAATTTTGAAAGTTTAAGACATTAAAAGTTTTGTTATTTTCTATTTTGATTTTAAATTGTAAATTAGTTGAAATTAATGTAGAGCTGAAATTTTTTCTAGGCATAAAATTTCAAAACATTTTGTACATTTTTTTTGTTTTTACATAGTAGATAAAATTAGATAAATATATAAAATTAGAAATATAAATATAAATAGATAAAATTATTTGACTAAATAAAAATGCTTGAAAATTTAACATAAGGTTTATTATATGTTGTACTTAGTGATCAAAAGAAATTTGTTTGTATTGTATAATAGTTTTGTTCATTGATTGTAAAAATTATGCCATTTAAAAATATATAGGTATAACTTTACTTCAGAATTTTATTTTGTTATCAATGGTTTATCATTGCTTACAGAGACAACTAAACAACTAACTTAAGGTATTCTTGCTTCCAACTTCCCACCTAAAACAGTAGCATATTCATCAGTAGTATCAGCTCTAATTTTTAAATTTGTTTACAGCTAGCATAATTTTAGGAGATAATTATTATGATAAATTCTGTAAAATTTTGGAAAATATTGATTTATTCAATATTTCGATATCCAAGCAAAAAGTGAATAAGAAAAAATAAACCTATATGCACATTTACTTCATTATACATACTTATAGGCAATTGGATTGATTCTATCAGTCTCTATTATCATTTTCCATAGAAGACATAAGAATAACGGATGAGCTGTAGGTACAGAAAAATGAGCAATGATGTCATTTTCATTGGTCATTGATGCCCAATTTCGATACTCTTCTTCTACTGCTTTCTAAAAATATATTAATTTTACAAATTGAAATCAAGTTAAAATTAAACTTTATTTTGATTTACTTTTAGTTGTTGTTTATTTTCTTTAGTGATTGGGTTATGAACAAAAAAATCGGCAAGTGCAGGAGGAAAACATTGCATTGTATGTGGAGCCCAAGTATGAGGTGTATTAGCCATTATCGTAGTCAACAATTCTTTGCACCAAGACCCCTCTTGGCTAGCAGATGTACCTGTAATATGCATAGATCTGGCTAATGTTAAGACAAGAGCACGGTTGAGTTCTTCACATTCAGCTGACACCAATGTTTTAGGTTCACTCAAAAATCGAGATAATTGTGGCTGTACTTCATTGCTACCCAGACCAGTAATCAGTCTTAATGCAGTGCTTTCCACACTAAACAATAAACATATTTATATATTTAAATAAATATTTACTTTAATAACCAGTGAATAGTATTACCATAAATGAAGCTGAGTTTGATTAGTTTGAGGTACTGCTGCCAAACTATGCAAATGAGAAAGCAATTGAACCCTGTAGTGTGGTTGAATATGATGCATTCTATAACTGAACATCTCTAATAATGTGTAAAGAATTCCCCAGGCATGAGATTTAAAAACAGTAGGTAATACTTGACCTGCAATAAATATATAATATAAATATGAAGCTATTCAAAATTATGACTTAATAGAGGTTGCAAATCTTTAAATTAAATTTTAAATATATGATATATCCAATTTCATACATTGAATTGAAGTTATATATTACAAAAAAAAAATTAATAAATTTATTAGTATTGTTAATGTTTAAAGTCAGATGTGGTAAGTATATCAATGAATTTATTTTCAGCTTATTGATTATTTACTAACTTATAAATCCTTTGATTCCCAACGATTCTATTTCTGTGTAAACTAGAAGTCTGCTGTATGTTTCTGCAAGTGCGGGTGCTAGTGCTGAACTAGATTTAGACTGAGCTAACTTAAGTACATGAGTAACTATGCTATGGATTAAACTCATTTTTGCATGAATTGTCAATGAATCTAAAACAGCCATGCTAAGTGGTGTAGTGGGACCCATGGCATTAGAAGAGGAAGCATTCCCACTGATTGGACTTGTAGTGCCGCCAGAACCCGGTACTGAGGCTACTGGAGATGTTCCTCCAACAGCTGGTGTAATTACAGGAGATTGAGTAGATTGCTGAGTATTGGTAGTTACCCCAGATAAACCACGGTTACTTCCACTACCTAAAACGGCATCAACAAGAGCAGCCATTGGACGTGATAAACACTCATTATTTGTGGAATATGCATTGCACAATAATGGCACGCGGTAATCTGTACCCATACACAAAGCACCATTTGTAGGTTGTACTAACATCTGTAAATAACTGAACAAAATTTGTTGATAAAATTAAAATATATCAATAAAAGTTTAATTATAATACATAACTTAATACTTACTCATGATGGGCTTTTAAAGCCAATGGTATAGGTCTATGAAATTTGATGTTATCCATAAGAGCTTTACGTAATAAATGAATCCAAATACAAGTAATGGCCATTTGATGTGTACAAAGTGCATTACTGGTGTCAGGAACAGGTAATGGTTCTTTTTCAGGATACAACAAGTCATATAATTTTAATACTGGCAAAATATTTTCGAGCTAATAAAATAAATAAAATTGTAAGTATAAATTTGTTTTAATACTTAAAATGTTTTTAAAATAAAACTTTAAATACTAACTGAATTACGTTGAATACTTCCTGATATGTATTGCAAAAGTACCCACATTAAACGATCTCTTGATCGGTGTAAATCTTTTTTCAACAGCTAAAGTTTGAGAAAAATATTTATAGGTAAATAAAAAGTATATATTTAAGTAAATTTATCCTTTTATACTTTTTCATGAAGAGCATTAACAATATTTGGAAACACAGCAAATTGAAATAGAATAAAATAAATTAATTGGCTTGAAATATGTAACCAAAGCCAATGGTTCTCTTCTGGGTCTGCACCTTCTGCCACTTCTTTGTCACTTCTTTCCATTGATCTAATGATTAATTCTACTAACTGTTCTTCCAAAACAATACATCTTTGTTTATTCTGAATAAGAAAAGAAATAATGTAGATATTGATTAAATCATATTGGGATGAAATATTATAATAGCTAAATCTAATATAAATATATTAATGAATAAATAAATACATTTATGAATAAAAGATAGTTTAAAAATAATAAATATAACTTTATTGTGTACCATTTTCTGTAAACTAAGCATAGAGCAAACCATATCCCTAGAGTAAGGCTGTTCAAGTACATATCTTAATAATTTTGTCTGTGGCTGTAACAATTGTTTAGGATATGGTATATTTCCTTTTAATATCAACTTTAATGTATTTGAATCTAATTTCCATGGAGTGATTAAGTGGTCACCATAACCAGAATGTTCTACAACAGGTAACATTGAAGAATGGCCAATCATTGATGTCATTTGTGCAGCGTTTCGAAAACTCTCAACAAAATTAGACACTAAACAACCAAGTTTCTATATAAAAAAAAAAAAAATCAACTATATGAAAGACACATATGAACAATATTTAAAAACAAATAAAATAAGGTTTACCCAATGCGGCCACCCTTTATTTTCACTGTATACTCTGAGTATTTCATTAATTACAAAATAACCAGGAAGAAGACAAGCCTCTCTATCAAATATATACCGAATGACTTCTTCGAGAGCAAGAAACTGAGGTAATATAGAAGCAGGTAATGCTTTTGGCATTGCCACAACTTTTTCTAAACAGCCCTAAACATTATAACACACAAATTTGATTAAAAAGTTTCAAAATAAATTGAACATAATTTTCAGTTTAATCTTACCTTCATTATTTCTCTAACTCCTTTATAGTCAACTGTTGCTAATATTGATTTAATTATATGAAAACATTCTATCCAAAATTCAGAATTAGTATAGACAAGATATTCAGAATGAATTATACACTCACACATCAACCTAGAAAAAAAAAAAAAATATTAACAATTATTTTTAACAGAACATTCAATCTTAAGTTTTAAATAATTTAAATTTTATTTACCTAGATGAAACGCCATGTTTTTTAACTAATTTTTGAAGCATATTGAGAAAAACTTTTTGACGGACACTAACTGTTTGAGTAGAAGCAACTTTTAATATCATTTTAATACCAATACTTAACTGTTCATCATTTAACCGAGTTACTATATTAGTAAGCATTATGAACAATTTTTCAATTTGTTCATAATTCTTCAAAGAATCTTTTTGAATATAGCCATTAAATGCTTCAACTAATTCGTCAACTTTCTGAAATGATTAAAATAATGTTATTAAATTATCATTGATATATTTTTTATAATGTCAGCATATTAATTGTTTTCAAAATATTGTAGCCATACAATAAAATCCACTATTATAAAGAGTTTAGATTATGTTTATAATCCATACTTTTTTGAAGTCGACAAGCTAAAGTTAAAATATTTTTTTTTTATAAAAGGTAAGTCAATTTATGTGTTAAATTTAAAATGAAACATAATCATAGGATTATAAATATTAAATGAATCCTTTCTCACCATTTTCTTATAAAATAACAATGTATATGATGAAATTTTAATGTAAATTATAATTTTTATACTATACAAATGATACACACTAGGTAGGTAGATCCTATAATTTTAGAATATTAAAAATTATTTTATAATTTTTGATATAATTCTGCATGAATATGAAAAAATACAAAAATATAAACAAATCACTCACATGGGGTCAGATACTTTTATTCTCGTAATCCACATCTGTCTATCAGTCATACTTATTTATCTATTCCCAATGAAGAATACAGGGGAAAAACAGTAGTAGTCCAACTTTTATCGGTTTTTATTTTATCCTTTGATTTTATTAAATTAAATTAAATTAATTAGTGAAAAAAGATTTAATTTTGTTAACATTAAAGGGAAAAGATTAGATAAAAAATTAATGTGGTTCAACTTTGTTTTTACTCCCCTGAAAAATGTTCACAAATTGATTACTACTGTTTTTCCTCTACACCCTTCAAATGCTCTCATTACTCCCTTAATAATTTGTACACAATTTTACTTTGCCCCAATTTCTATATTTCTATCTACATTTAACTTAGACATATTTTTGACTATCTCATTCGAAGTGAGTAAAAGAGTAGTTAAGTACTAAAAAGTGAAATTAATTACCGCTATTTCGTTGAGTACTTGACTAAGACCATTTTCTGCTGTTACAGTGGGGGTAGACATATTGTTATTTTGTGCAATTGTTCCGTTGGACTATCCTAATTATTATTTATAGATCAAACCGTTCTTAAAATAACAAATCCAAAAAAATGAATTACTCCATTATCATTTTGTTACATATATATATAATATATTCCAACTATTAAACATAACTAATCATTCCAGACGTATTAAATAAATTAATAATTATGAAATTATTTATTAAGTTCTAGCGAACCCGCGTAATCGGCATATAACACTAGTACTCTTTAATGTTGTTTATTTTTATATTGATAAGTTATCAAAAACGATTTTATGTTTTTTGTTATCAATACATGGTAACATAGACCGTGTGTCTATAGATGGAAATACAATTTTTAAACATTTTCGAATAAGTAAATGATAATTTAAGAAGAAATTAATTAATCTCTTTATGTTTTACATATTATTATTTAGATATAAATAAATATAATTATGAAATATGTGCGATATGCCAATTAAAATTGAATATAAATACTCTTGATCCAAATAAGTTCATATCAAATAGCTAATATTAATACACCAATTAATATCAGATGAAAATATATAAATATAGTATTTAAATTAAAACCTAGCAAATTCTGTAAATTTTCAAATAAATTGTATAATGTTTGATTCATAGTGTTTGTGTTTTTTTATCAACATTCAACAATGAACGGTTATTGAACTAATTGATATGAGGTAAAATGGGTAATGGGTAATGTGTGAGAGTATGGCTACTTTTTTTTAGTAAAATTGCCATTACATGTACTGTATATCTGTATTATAATCAATTAAATATTCATCTGATATTATGGGAAATCTTCCAGAGGACACAAATTTACATTTTACACTTCAAAGAGTCCAATAAATTAAAATTTAACCGATTAGCACCAATTAAAAAAAAAAAAAATTTGATTGAATATATTGAAACGTTTTAGGACATTGAGATAAATAACACGTTTTAAAAATTTAATTGATACAAAAATAAAAAAAATTGAATCACTAGTTCAAGAGTTGTGTACTTTTTAAAAATACCTATTAATTTTAGTTTTCCAGATTTATTATATTTTTAACGCCATCTATAGGACTAAGCTTTATCTACAGCTCACCGTGATTGCGGTATATATGGATCCGAGCACGATCTTAAAAGACTGTGAATTCAAGTTTCCGTCTCCCAACACCAACGCTCAACGGTACACGCGGATGTCGCTACAAACAAAAACCATTCAAAAAATTAACCGTTTTCCAGTTCGGCAGTCCAGTGTATTTTGTTTATTCCATGATAAAATTATTTTTTTAATTTGTTTTGTCATGGTAAAGCAATACATTCATCTTCCCGCCAAATTCTGAAACATAAATTTAACAAAAAATGAGTCAAAAGTTATAAACTTATAAAAACAATAGTACTTATATTATTAGTAATTTAACTCAAACGATACCTTACCTATGGTATTCACAATGTAAGTCATTGTGTTAATTATTTAAAATGTTTACTTATAAAATAAAAACTTAAGTTGTTTGTTGGTTTAGTCTTTGCTATTTTTAGTCCACGTCTTATAATCGTGCAAAAGGCCTAGTTAAAAAAAAAATATAATATAAATAAATATTTTATAATGATTATAAAATAATATCATTGTTATTAAAATTACAGATCGTCAAACGTCGTTGATAGATTGCAGAACTGGTATAGAAGAGTTCCCTCTTCGGTCAATAAAAGCACATTACATGTTAATTGCATCCTTATGGCTGATATGATCTAAAGGTATTGCCGTGATACCAAAGCGAGGTTGCATTATTACAAATAAATCAATTCGGAGTTATTGCCTTTCGTAGCAGATTTTATCAAGTTTAATTTAATTTCGGAGTAATACACATTCGTAACAGTTGTTATTCGAAATAATTTGTTCGATGTAGTATATAAGAGTAGCAGTTGACTTTCGTGGTAGTTGTAGTTACCTTTTTTTATCCATAACATATTAAAATTATTTGATAATAGGTTATGGTTTTATCACACCACTTTACGCGGCAATAATGCGACAAACATACAAATTTGAACAGCTCCGATGGGACAATATGACGTATCGATTTAATGTTGTCTGGTGTATTAGTATAAATGTTATCATATCTAAATATTTAGCACTCATCCAAGGTTAAAAGATGAAATGTATACACTTGCCCAACTTGTGAAAAATTATCAGAATTAATTAAATATAGATAATATTTAATTACTAACTAGGATTAATCTAATATTTATATAATAATTATTATGACGATATAATTTATCTTTATTAAGATTACATAGCAATTACTTTTGATTACTTATGAAAATTATATTGATAACATTAAAAAAAAACCACATGAATTTAAATTGAATTTCAATATCTTTTTTTTAATTTTTGAACTTCAGACTATACATAAGAATACTAGATTTCTAAGTTCTAACATGTTAGGTTATATAGAATAATTGAAATAGTACAATATTGTTTTTAAACTAATAATTAAAATATTGAATCATTCATATAACTGCATATTGTACAATGAATGAAAACGAATTGAATTTAAAGAATTCGTTAAATTCGATTTCAATTTCTGATTCTCGACATTATTCAACTTCTTTAATTGTAAGTTTCATTTTTGCACTATTTTATTTAATATATATTTAAATGGAGGTAACTGTGATCAAACCTTATATAACTTGGGGTCATTTGAAAATGATAGCTTTTCAAGATACAAGTAAGTATATACCTAAGTATTTGAAATTCCAGAAAATGTATTTTATGTAAAATATTTTATAATGTTTACATATAAACTATTATTGAAAGAATCGGTTTTATAAAAATCATGGAAACAAATAAGTACCTATGTACCTACCTATCTATAATTTATTATTAAATAAATTATTTTATCTATCCATTATATGTAATCACTACCTAGTATCTAATAATAATACTTAAAATTATACATTTGTTAATTTAATTATATGTTTTTAATTTTTGATGTATAGTTTTTCGATCTTAAATTCATAAAAAATCTTGTTGAAGTTAACAATAGAAATTTAAGTTAAATATATTTACTACTCGTCCTAATATAACAACCATCATTGAAGGTACTTATATAGTATTAATTTTTAGTTTAATAAAACAAGATCTAATAATATTATATTATAAAATACAAACACACTTGAATAAGTTGTATGGTATTTATCACTAACTACCTACTTATATTAATTTGTTATTGGTTCAGTTTATTTAAATACCTATATCTTATTATAAACTATAAAATATTTGTATTTTAAACCCCTATGTTAACTGTTTTATTTAAAAATGTTTGATTAGAATAAAATATTTAATTTAAATGCATTTGTTTGTTTTAGGCTGGCGCAATAGCTGGAACAACAGTTGATGTAGCATTGTTTCCTTTGGACACATTGAAAACTAGGTTACAAAGTCAATATGGGTTTATTAACTCTGGAGGTTTTAGTGGTATTTATAAAGGACTAACACCTACTATTATTGGTGCTCCTTTTACAGGTAAAAATAAGGTTATGGTATTATGTAAAAATCTAAAAATAGTATGTTTTAGCGGGATTATTTTTTGGAACGTATGATGGTTTCAAAAACCTATTTCCTAATGTATCTAATAATACTGCTCCATTAGTTCATTTATGTGCTGGAATTGTTGGTGAAGTGGTATATAATCAATTTTTTTTTATATAATATATGTACACATTTAATATTGCTATTCATTGTTAGTAAATAATTGTTTAGGTTTGTTGTACAACTAAAGTCCCAGTAGAAATAGTGAAACAAAGACGTCAAGCGTCGCCGAATCAAGAATCTATTATAAAAATTATGAAAACTGCATATAACAATGAAGGGTTTTTTGGATTTTATCGTGGTTATTGGACTACTGTTATGCGTGATGTACCATTTTCTATGTTGCAACTTCCAATATGGGAATACTTAAAAAAAGAGTATAAGATATTTACTGGTAAACCTCTTACCCCATTTGAAGTTGCTGTATGTGGTTCTATATCAGGTTATTATTATTTAACAATTATAGTATTATATAAATTAATGTATAATTATATGTAAGAATAAATGTATGTTTAAAATATTTCAAATTTTATAGGAGGGATAGCTGCCGCATTGACTACTCCTATTGATGTAACAAAAACTCAAATTATGTTAGCTAATAGTGCCGTTGATCAAAATTTCTCAACTGTTTTTATAAATATATATAAAACTAAAGGAATCATCAATGGGTAAACATTTATTTTTGAAAAATTATCTATAAAATATAGTTGTTAAATAAGAATTGAATTCTTATCAATGTTAAAATTTTTGTAACCAAATAAAATAATCCAGTTACATAGATTTTATTAGATTTGAAGCATAGCAAAAGATCTAATTTAGTTTCTGAGCAGAGCAAGGAATGTATTAGTTTTATGATGTTAATTTTTTTTTTATATATATATACTGTGTACAAAAATTCTACCAAAAATATTTCTCCAATATGTACTTGCAGCACCATTTTTGAAAGGAAATCTTGGAAATCTTAGGGAAATTATTTTTTGATTTTCCAAACAGTTTTCATTATATTTGGAATTTAGATACAAAACTTCTGTATATGTTTTCTATACCCGGTAAAATTTTCAAAAATTTTTAGCCATTTTTAATCTATTTATAGACATTTTAATTTTGAGATTTTTACATAATTTTTATTCGGCAGGTACCCTGAGGTAAAATTGTTAGACTAAACAGAAATGCTTGAAAATTTAATAAGAGATTCATTAAAAGTCGTACTTTATGATAAAAAAAAAATGAGCTGAGTAAAGTATTTTTTTTTTTTTTTATAAAGGTATTTTAATATTGATTTTTAACAAAATTGTTTAAGTAAAAATGTATTTAGAACACATCTAATATTTTTAAGTTTTGGTTTTGAATATTAGTGCATTATCGATTTAAGAACAATAATGAAATCAGAATTGAGCGGAGGCTTAGTTTCGAAATTATAGCTTTTTGAAGTTCTAATATTGTGTGAATATTATACGTGTTATATTAAATAATGCAATATTATCAATATTATATTATGTTTCTTGTAGTCTAGTAGTGGTACGTATCTGTGGTTATCCCAAATATCAATTTCAAAACCCAAATTCCAAAAAAAAAATTTACCAATACAGAGAAAAAACATATGCCTTTTGGATGCACTTAGAAACTAAAGCTATCGCTCACTCGGACTATTTTAATCACAAATTACTCCTCAGTGTGTTGTACAAACTTTTCTACTAGAAATCATGCTCCGATGTATTAAGTGTACCACCTTTTTTGAAAGGAAATTTTATCTACATTTTAGGGAGTTCATTTTTTGATTTTCCAAGTGGTTTTCATAATAATTAGGAAAAACTTGAATAAAGTGTTTGAAAAACAGGAAAATTTACAAAATGTAGGTACTTATTAAAAAAAAATATTACAGCCTTTTTTTTCCTTTGAATCACTCTTCTACCAGCAATTTTGATCCAATTTATAATGATAGCACTTTTTCTAAAATGAATTCTAACTAGAATGTTACTTTAGGGAGGTCATTTTTTTATTTTCCCCAAGAGCTTTCCCGATAAATGAAAAAAAAAATACATAATAATACATAATACGGAAAATAAATACAATATAAACATTAGAATAATTAAAGAAAATATATATAGCATATACCAAACTCTGCTCAGAATTGGTTTTTAGTAGCAATGGTTAATTGTTGTGTATAGATATATATATATTAAATTTCCCTCTACCTTCCCAACTTCTCATCCACAACAGTGGTCCACCCATGTGCTTAATATGTCAAAGTAGTAAGTTAAACGTAATGTAAGTTTTTTTAATAGTCATATTAATATAATAATAGATAAGATAATCTTTTTATGAATATCACAAATCTTACTGCATTTAATAACTTCATTTAAAATTGCTTACAGATTAAAATGAAATAACTTAATGTATACTTTTTTAATATATATATTTTAATTCAATTTATTAGGGATACAACAAAAACTTAATTTATATTTATAGAAAACTTATACAAAATTAATATTTTTGTACATGGTTTATTTTACAATTCAGTAATATGCCATTAAACAATTCCATCCCTTAATTGTATTTGTTTAAATGATCGATTTATTCTTAACATAAGATAATATTTACACAATTTTATTGTTTCAGATTGTTTGCCGGTTTTCTACCAAGAGTTATCTGTATAATGCTAGGTGGCGCTTTATTTTTTGGGGCTTATGAAAAAACGTGTAGGTATATTGAAGATAAAAAGAAAAATGTGATTTAAATATATTAACATTCAGACATCATATTATGTTATTAGTTATCTAGTGTTTTATGTTCAAAAATGTATTTTATCATGAATTTAAGTAAATTAAATTAAGTAAACTTTAAAAAAAAAAAAATATATTTTTATTAAAGGAAGTAAAAACACCTTATTATAAAAAATTAAAAAACTGGCAGTCTTCAAATAATTTAGTTTTTGCTAAGTTTTGACATAACATAGAAATTGGTTTTAATGATATTCAAAATACCAAGAGCAACAAGAGCAGGAACCCGTGCCTTGACTTAAACTTATTAGAGTTTGTGCAGAACTCATACAAGCGGCACCACGCTACTGTCCGGACAGTTTGAGTAGGGGAAACAGTACCTCAAGCCGTTGAATGTTGTGTCGCCGTCAGATGCATGCGCAAAACGACTTCTTTCATTTGTGGACTGCAGTACAGTAAAACTATTGGTGTTAGGTCATTAAATCTGGTTTGTCATTACTAGTTTCTATAAACAATTTCTACTGTAATATTGTACTATTTTATATAATATGCAGTATAAAATAATAGTTTTTATATTAATTGTTATCTATGTTTGTTATATTGTTTTTTATTTTGTTTTGTTATAGTTACCTACATTTTATAAAATACACTTAATATACATTTTTTTATAATTTGTCAAAATTAATTTTAAAAAAAAAATGTTGATTACTGCTCATGTTTTAATAATATATTAAATTATTAATTATTGAATTATTATAAATTATCTCTCTGTTTGACTTTTAAATGAATTGGGTGCAGATTGTGGGTACTTATAGAATATTAATTATACTTCTTACAGGGTGATCAACATAATGAAAGACACTTATTATTTCAGAAGTATTAACTTTTTTGGAATTTGCTTTTTAGAACATTTTAGAAATTATTAGTTCTAAAATGCTATATTACTCCTTTTTTTAGGGCTTTACACTACATACTTTTTGTTTTAAAATGGTAACCTTTATTAAAATAATAAAGTAAAAATAAAATTATCCAATGGTTAATAATAAAAAACCACTTATGATTTCATTAAAAAAATTAACAAAATTAAGCAAAATACACGTAATAGTAAGAGAGATTAACAATTTAGAAACAATTTTTTTTCAAAATTTAAACCACTTACAGACTTCACACTTTAAAAATCACATTCAACAAAAATTACTACATAAGAAAAATGAGAATTGGCATAAGGTTAATGATAAATTTAATATTTTAGTAGCACAAAATACACAAAAATTACTACATAAAAACCAACATTCTTTTCAACCATGAGTTACTAATTTAACTTCCATAATTTTTAATAAAGCTGAAAAAAATTCATTAAATAAAGGTAATAAATCCAATACTATATATATCTATATGTATATCAATACTATATAATAATAATATATCAAACTAAACTTTTAATCAATTAAAAAACAATACAATGTGAATCTGTTATAAATTATATACAATTTCAAAATCAAACAAGATATAACATAAAATAACACCAATAAAAACTACAAAAATAACCCTGATAAAATTAAACTACAAAAGACAATTATTTATTAACAACAGAGTGAATAAATTAAAAACAAATAATTCAGAAATAGTTCCGGTAGATAAATCTAATGCTATAGTTATCATTTATACTAATGAAATTCATATTAAATTATTCATAAAAATTTAGATTTTATAAATAATAATAATATTGTAGGAAACGTGCATTTAAAGAAGATACCGCAGCCAGAGTAAAGAAAGCTAGGCTGGCTCTAGTGAAAACACCGGGATTTATTGAAATCGATTCTTCTTTCAACCGCAAAATCGTATGGTACTACATCAAAAATCTCACAAACAGACAATTTCTCAGCGCACTCAAACCCGCACTAATAGACCTACTCGAAAAACTTGTACAAGAAAACCCGATTAAACTTAATTTGGAACTCGAGGCTACGTACTACAAACCACAAGTAGAAAATTCGGCTGAAAACAGAGCGTTCAAGACCTCAGCAAATATTTTTCGATAAGGAAATAGAAGATAATGTGGTAATAATGTTGAAAGTGGGCATGATCTAAATGGTCTATGAAGTGGTGGACAATTAGGGCGGCCATGTATTAGGTATAGTGCCTGCACCTGGCGTAGAACCGGCTATTTTATACTACTCAAACTATATAAAATATAATTTTGTAAAATTCTTGTTATTTAAACTCGACAACAAATATTTTATACACTGTTATAAATGTAAACTACCATTGTTAATTTTATCAAAACAATAATATTTGTCAGCATTTTTTACTTGGAATTTTGAAGGCATTATACCTTATGCTTTAGTAGTTGGCATAACATTATTGTTTTTTTTTTATGCGATTAAACTCAATGAACATAATTATTATATTGAGGTACCTGTATTATATAAAATTCACTGTAATTTCGGGCTCAATATAATTTATGAGGGGCTAGAATAATTATTTATTTATTTTTTATAATTTTTTGGGTCATTCACCAATAAATTATTTCTTAATATTTCTTATTTCAAACTAGATAATTGTTTACAGTTAAATATTTCTTATTTCTTGAATTCCACAATGTGAGATATGAGTATATGACATTATGATCTATGAGTAGAAATACGGGTACACCTCCTGGCTTTTATAGTTGCCAGAGAATACCGTTCTATTTAAAAACAAATGACATATTCTGAGAGGAAAGGACGAGAAAAGCCAGTGATATTCTTATTGTTCATGTAGCAGTTAAAAGTTTCAAAATTGGTGGCTGTAGAAAATAACATACTTTTAAAATCAAACCAATACAAAACAGGGCGTATCAAAATATTCAAATAATAAATATATCAGGAGTAGGCAGCCCTAGTATCTTAATAGACTATATAGTCTAGTTGTTTAGACCGGCTCTCATTCTGCGTGAAAAATTAGGGACTATTAACTGTATATATATTCATGTTAGGGACTCAGTAAATTAGTAAATTAGTTTTTTGTTGTCTAAAAAATAATAGATACCTATAGTTTTCAATGACATAAATTTTTTGACACATGATTGGAAAGTGCGTGGGTACTTACAAGTACCTGCTAGTAAACAAACATAAAAGTAAATAATAAATATAGATATAATTGTTTTAATTATTTATAAAACGAATTCCTAAATAAAATTTTACCAAAAAAAATATATTGTTGAAGTCATCGTAATTATCAGTAGGTTAGGTATTCATTAAATATGTATACATTTATATAGGTAGGTACTAAATAAGTTGGTACATCATTTCTTTTTTTTTTCCTATACGATTTTTTTGAATGACTAAGCATTAAACCAAAAAAATATTATTTGTTGTGTAAGTAAAATAATTCAAAATGCAATTTGATCACATTAAATAAGTATAGATATCTATTATATAATTATGTATTAAGCAAAATATTTAAAGAATTGCATTTGGAATAAACATTACATGATTATTTGTTCTGATTAAATTATTATAAACAACTAAATATTTTAGGATTATTTATTTTTCATTAAACATATAATTTTATAACATTAATTTTTAACCTTTTAGGAGGTACCTAAATTTTACATTTAATATTGTTTTAGTGAATACAGCCTAAATGATAACGTACCTAATTCATATTATTGTGATGATAATGCTGACTATACAATATTGCCACATATCAGTTATAATTTTCTAAAAGCAGGAAAACCACAAAAAATTAGAAATGATTTTTTAACATTCATAACAAAGTAAACAATATTTTTTTTGTGTGAAATTAGATTTGTAATTAATTTTTATTGGGATTTCTCAGTATAATGAAGAAGTTATTATAGTTTTACAAAGATGTGTTATTTTTTCCCGGAATACACATTTACAGTTAGTATGTAGTTAAAAATGATTAGATATTTTCATGGCACAGGTACCTTAAAAGATGCAGATTTTTCACCTTTTAATAGGTATTTTATTTGACGAATTTTTCGAAATTCCCGGTATTTTTCCGAAAAATTGCTTTTTATAATTTTATTTTTATTTTTAACCCTGTTTTGATTAGGCATATATAATTTTTTTACGTAGTTCCTAGGTATCTCATAAACTCTGAAATATCTACCCGGTGATATTTTATACGATATATTTATCGATATTTGAGTAGTTCACCCTAGGTCCTTATTCTAAATTCTGAATGCAGTGAGGAATGTAGGTATTGGTTTTACTATGTTTTTTTTTCTATCTGTAAACAACTTTTCTATCAAAAATATTGTACCGATTTTTAAGTGTAGCATCTTTTCTAAAAGTGAATTGTATCTATATTCAGTACATTAAAAAGGACGTTTTCCCTTTAGTTTTTTTAATAATTAGGAAAAAAGGTACAATTTAACCCGGACCCGGGTTCTTTTGTTGATTTATGAGTTATCTTGACAACAAAAAGGAAAAAATACAGTCAATATTATTCCACTAGGAATTTTTTTTATCATAATGATTTATTATTGCATACAGTTTATAAACTAAACCCAGTATAGTGTATGGCTTCCTAACTACACTTACTTACAACAGTGGCCTATTTGTGTATAGTATCAAATTTCAAAAACAATTTACCCACGATATAGGAATTTCCGTAGTCACACAAAGTTTTCAGAGATCCTGATTCCCAGAATCGCCAAAAAATAAAAGATCTGATACTGGGGTCGGGTGTGTCCACTGCTGTAGGTAGATAATTGGGATGGTAGAATACATTAATAATTATTTATAATTATAACTAACGATAAACTATTGCGAACAAAAAACAATTTAGAAGTTCGGTTACACAAGTTTTGAAAGAATTTTTGTCAAAATTTGATTTTAAAATTCTTATAAAAAAAAATTACTGTATTACACTCAATTTTTTTGGTCCACTTTTTAGTTAAAGTACGACTTATAATGAACTTCCTGACAAATTTTCAAGCATTTCTGTTTAGTCTAACAATTATATCCATAAAGTACATATGAAATTAAAAATACGTAAAAAACTCTCAAAATTAAAATGTCTATAAGTAGCTCAACAATTTCTCAAGTATTTTGAAAATTGATCACTCCTAGAAAAAGCAAAATAAGTTTTCTGTCAAAATTTCAAGTCTCTACGAATATTTTTATCATATTAATAAATAAATAAATAAAATAATTATACTAAAAAAACAAAGCTTTAAACTAATAACAGAATTATTTTTGTAATTTTTCCAGTCATTTCTAAGTATTTCTCAGTTTTGCTCAATTATTTAAAAAACTACAAAGAAAAACATAAAACGACTTTCTTAATCACCAACTAGATTCAAAATTAAATAAAACAGATTATTATTTAAAGATTATTGTTTTTCAATTGGAGTAATATTTGTGATAGAAAACATAAGCCGTAAACATTTTAAATTAAGGAATTCTAACGTCGTAAATTTTTCAGTTTTCATTTTTCGTCTTTTCCGGTTTTTCTCAATTATTACACAAACTACTAAGCAAATAAAAAAATTAATTACTTTCTAACGAACTAAACTAAAAATGAAACAAAATAGGTGTCTTGTCATTTTTCTATTGGGACAATATTCCTGGTAAAAAAAATCTTGTTAACAAATTAAAAACGATGAAAACGGTGTTGGCACGGCAAGTCGTAAATATTTGTAGTTTTACTAATAATTTTCTTTCAGATATTTCTAAATTATTTAGAAAACCTCTTGGAAAATCAAAAAAATGACCGACTTATTGCACCAACTAGAGAAAATTACCTTTCAGGAAAAGTGCTATGCTTGATACTTCAGAGCAAGATTTTTGGTAGAAAAGTTGTTTTTAAACAAACAAAAAAATCATTCTCATTGTAATACTAATAGATCGCTACGCTCCGAATCTAAAAAGGAACGAGGAACGAGAACGAATTCCTTTTTAACATTAATTACCTTTCTATAGGTAATTAAGTTTCAAATGTATACCTAACCAAACATTATAACCACCACTGCGATAAGCAACACATTTTTTTTATTTCACTTCAGTAGCTCACTATTATTCGATAAATTGATTATTCGTTAAAATTCTTTTAATGTGACGTCTATTGAATATTAATGTAGAAACATGATACTCAAGTTTATAAGGTATTATTATTTTAAATTGTGATGGTTTATTATTCAATGCGAAATAAAATATTATACTTTTCAAAGGTCATAAAGAATTTTATATTTGTATGCAATGCGATTTTAAGGAAGTACCTATCAATATTAAATTAATTTACTTAAGTTTTATTTTCGGCATCGATGGAAATTGGATTAATTTAGTATACAAATTTTACTATTAGATCTAATTTATGAATAATAATTTACCTAATAGATATTTTTTAGGAACACTAATCATAATACATATTAATTATTAAGTATCTAATAAAATTGAAAGCTGGTTTTTTTATTTATGAGAAAATTGTTACCTTATTATAATAGATATGTTTAATACTTATAATGTCAATTTCCTGTAAACGAATTAATATAATTTGAATTCACATACATAAGTATACGCAATTGCTTGATTATTTAAATACATAATTTTCCTATTTATAACACTAGTATAATATTATTAGGTACTTATACATTTTTTTAAAAAAATTCATTTTAAATAATATATTATAATATTATATGGAAATGTCGGTAATTTATAAACGTGTAAAATATTTGTTTAACTATTATCTAAGTTCTAAGTGTTGGATAAAAAAAACAAATTTTACATTAACTTAAGTAGGTATCACAGGTTAGGTTAATTTGACTCTACTTTTCTTATTTTCTTGAAAATTAATAATAAACGAAACAAATGATTTTAAATTGAATACTTTACAATACATAAATAATATTATTAATGCATTTTTCATAAATATTCGACCCGCGAATGGTATGTACAATTTTAGCAACGCAATGCAATTTAATATACATTCAGGCCTTAGTGAATGAAGCAATATTTCCATTAACATTATATTATATTGTTGATTTTAAGCGATTTTTTTGCATATGTATATATAATATTATATATATGCATAATGTATGTATACATAACCAACAATGAACTGCCAATTCAGCACATAACTGTCTTCAGTTTTGAAATTTATTAATCGAATGACCATCATTGTGAAATGTGCAGTGATCCGAATTAGATATTTGTATTTGACTTTTTCAATTTAATTACCAATATTCAATCATAATATTATGATATAATACAATATGTCATTATAGTTTATTATAGTTTAATTGCAAATAAAGTGTTAACCAATACGATGAATAACATTGGAAGACAATCAAACTCGAGACCAAAATCATTTAATAGTACTACAGGTAATAAATAAAAATTATTTCATAAAATATGCCTACTTGATTAAACAAATATTTTAAGAATTTGAATAAGTTTGCTCGTTTATTTTTAGGGTTGTTTAATATAAGTTCATCCGAATTAAAAATGTCGTATCAAAATCATACGCCAGTTTGGAAAAGAAAATGTTTTCTGTTTCCTATGTTAATTTCCTGTACTGTTCTTGGCTTATTAAGTTTTTTTGCGGTAATGATTTACGAACAAGGTACGTTTTAATATTCATAATGAACGGGTAATATAAATAATACAATAATTTAAAAAAAAAAATGTATTAATTTAGATAAAATCCATAATTTACCAGAGCGTCAATTTTCTGAAAAGACTGATAAATCAATAAAAAATTATAGCGAGACATCCGGTGCCATCCAACAACGAATTAAGCGGTTTCAAACAAATTTACACGAAATACACGAACAAGAAACATTAGTGACATGCAAGTTAAATAATGGGATAAAAGAACTAAATAATCAAATAAAAAGACTCTATGTCGGTTTAACGCGGTTAGATGCTCGAGTTAATAGAATAAAACGAGGACTGAACGAACAAAAAGCGATTGCCGACTGTGTACAAATGAAAGACAAACTTAAAAACATTTACGTTGAACTAAATCGAATATTCAAAACTTTATCGATGATGGACGAAAATGGAATATGCCGTTGTAAATGTCCGTTAGATATTACTAGTATTACTAGTACTAAACTAACACACGTAACTGATATACCGTTCGAGTTAACAACGTTCGGTTCGGAGAATACCGATGATGCACAATTTATTAGTAGTAATCCGACTGAAAAAACGAAGCAATTAAAAAAAATTGTACTGTCCAATTATGAACCTCAAAATGCAGTACATAATTATATGAAAATTACGCCCAGAAGCATTTTTACCGACAAGGAAATTATCGTTAAAACAACAGACAAAGGACACGATTTCACTACGTCAATAACTATAACTGATACCACTACTACTACGGAAGAAAATATCAAAACCACGGAAATAAAAGAAGACATGTCTCCAGCAATGTCGAATACAGTTACTAATTTTGTAGATTTTAACAATAACAATAATGCTCAAACAGTTGAACCACGACCTTTTACTACCGAGACACCGACAAGTACAACTGCAGAAAGTATGGATTTAAACGAAACTACTGAAATTACTAATTTAAATTATGACGGAACAACACAAAAGGAAAGTTTAAATAAAAATTTAGTATCAAAATTAACGACCGTAAATGAAAATGTTTTAGAATTTAATACAGAAACATCGGTTTCTAAAAAATATGATCATAAAACTGAAGTTACAAGGGATTTCGAATTAACAATCACAAATGACAGTATTTTAAAGTCAACTACAGAAGTATCGAATTCTGAAAAAAATTATAACAATGCTTATATCACTGAAGAATTCTCTTATGAATTAATAAATAAAAGTGAAGATATTTCCGAATTTACCACGGAACTATCGGTTACTAAAAAATATGAAACCAACACGGGGAACATCAATAATACAGATATTACTTTGAAATTAACAAATGAAAACTACAATACTAAAGAATCTTCATCAACTATGTCTATGTCGATTTCCGATACGAATAATGTTAAAGGAAGAACATCTTTGGAAGTTCAAGGTGAACTAAAGGACGAAAAACAATTTAATCAATCGACAATGAGTAATACGAACCAATATGTTTGGTATCCAGTATGCTTTTATCCAGTACCGTGTACACAAAATGCATCGAATCACCAAAAAACTATTCAAAACGTTAGTAAAAACACGATACTGTATTCCGCACAATCGCTGAAAACTTATAAAAAAAAAACACCTATTACCGATGCCACAATAATTCAAAATAGTTATCCAATAATATCATATTGTCCTGTAGATATGGTTTGTTCAAAGACCGATTTTGTAAAAGAAGGAAATATAACTATGTTACACTGTATGTTACAGCCCACATTTTATAGGTCTATAAATATAAACACAAATACTATAAATACCCCATACCGACATAACTACGAATATAATAAAACAAAAAGCTCGGTCACGGTGGAATCTAAACTTTCAAGAGAAAGCGACGAAATTTTAATAGGTAAAAAATTAATATTGTATAGTTTATAAAAGTAAAAATCTAATCAAGAAATTATGTTTTTATTATTACTATTTTTTTTTTTTTTTTTTTTTTTTTTTTTTTTTTTTTTTTAGGTAATGTGAAATGTCCTTTAAATACGTTCCCATGTGTGGACAATCTCGGGTGTGTGGACACACAAAACTGGTGTGACGGCAGAATACACTGTAACGATGCGAGTGACGAAAGTCAATGTAATTGTAAAGAAAGAATAGACAGGGACAAATTGTGTGACGGATATTATGATTGCCCGAGTGGAGAAGACGAACTGGGTTGTTTTGGTACATAATTAAGGGTATTAAATCACCATAAATGCTAATTTAATTGAGTGTTCTATTTATGTAGGCTGTAATAATGAAACATTTAGCTGCGGCGATTGGGATATAGTTTCACAGCGTTCTAGCTGTTTTGAGAGAAAAAATCGCTGTGATTACATCAACCATTGTCCCAACGGTCGTGATGAAGACGAGTGTACTTTGCTATCGAGAGATCTCGAAAATCAAAATCAAGTGAGTTTTTGTATAGAAATAAAAAAAAAATATATTTATATACAGTGTCCCACGATGATTTGCCACTTGAAATTACTTTTGTTCCGTTCAACATTTTTGATATATATATATATATATTTTATTTTTTAATAATTAGTATACAGTTTATATATAAATATTTTTTTTTAAAGGGGACTTAATGTAAATAAAAAAAAATCATTTTGTAAAATAGATTTTTAGATAATTTTTGGTAGTTGAAACTTTTGTTAAAATATGGTATTTTATTTTTTACGATTTTTTGAAGGTTTTGCAAATGTAAATATTACCTATTGTGGGTATTCTATTACAATATTTAATCAGTTATTAATTAGGGTATACGCCAAGGATTTTCTTTTCCATGAGTTAATATCGTGCAATATTATCATATTATAAATAATGGGTATTGGAAAAGTAAATCAATATTGGTAATTTATGTTGATAAACAATATTGTTATGATTGAAAAGAAAATTATTCAAATTTTCAAAAATCGTAGAAAATAAAAGACCATACATTAACAAAAGTTTCAAACACCAACAATTTTCTAAAAATCTATTTTACAAAATGACTATTACAAATTTTTTATTTAGGGTCCATCTACCTCTAAAAAAAAAAAAAAATATTCATATTTTAACTGAAGAGCAGAGGCATACTTATTATTTAAAAAAAATATATTCATCGAAAATATTGAATAAAACAAGTTATTTCAAGTGGCAGATCATCATGGGACACCCTGTATATATTGGTAAATTGGTATACGTTGTATATTATAACTATATAAATTTGCGTCATGTTATGTCCTAGATATTTTTCATTTCGTATTCGTCCGGTTATCTACATCACAATTGGAAAGGAAATTGGTACCCAGTATGTGATGACGATAGAATTGGAACTCGGGCTGAAAAAACCTGTATAACTGAATCCGGAGAAAAATCCAAGTACCTACCTATATAATATTATACAATTATTGTAAACAAATATCGTTTGTCGAATTATAATTTATAAACAAATATATTTACTTTGCGATAACAGGCCAAATAGTATACAATATATTGTAAACGAACCGATCTCTTACAATGGGCTTTACATCAGCATCGACGGAAACAATCACATCTCGTTGCTTGATTCGTGCAAGCATCAAGGGGTTCTAGTGGAATGCGAACCAGAGGTCTGCGGTATACGGTCCGATTTGAAATTCAATAAAAATATCGATCCCGACCGAATGAAAAGAAACCAATACTCTGAATACTCGAATAACATTACATCGCGATACGCGAGGTCCAAAGACCCTAGAGTAGTAGGTGGCATTGCCAGCAACCCGGGTGCGTGGCCATGGCTCATAGCACTCTACCAGGATGGCATATTTCATTGCGGAGGTGTTATTTTAAGTGATAAATGGGTGTTGACCGCAGCGCACTGCGTTAATCAGTGAGTATCTATCGAATTATTCAATCTTGTTATATATATATATATATATACAAAGTGATTTTTTTATCATGGACCAGCAATTTTTTCGGGGAATTTTAAATGAATTTGACTTCTGTTTTTTTTTAATCATTATGTAATCGGTTAAGCTTTTTAAAACCATTTTTAATTTTTTAATCCTACTCTACAAAACCTTAAATACTTAAATACTTTTGTTTTTCAAATATGAATCCCCCTTTTTGAACACAGATTTGAAAAGAGAAAATTTGTCTAGAAATGTTGATATGCATAACGCCATAACACTAATATTAGATTTACCGTTTATAAGTTATAACCGTTTAAAGTTTAAACTGGAGGAATAGGGAAGAGTTATAGAGGTGCAATTTATTACCCTACTCCATTCCTCCAGTCTAAACTTTAAACGGTTATAACTTAAAAATGGTAAATCAAATATTAGTGTAATGCATATCAACATTTCTAGAAAAATATTCTTTATTCAAATCTGTGTTCAAAAAAGAGGGGGGGTTCATATTTGAACAACAAAAGTGTATACTTATTCAAGGTTTATGAAGTAGGAGTAAAAAACTAAAAATGGTTTTAAAGCGCTTAACCGATTCCATAATGGTTAAAAAAAAACCAGAAATCAATTTCATTTAAAATCCCCGAGAAAATTGCTGGTCCATGATAAAAAAAATCATTCTGTATATTGCATATACGTTTAAAATGTTCTATTATATAATATAGGTACCAGAAACATTTTTATGAAGTACAGGCAGGAATATTACGAAGGTTTTCGTTTTCACCCATGGAACAATTGCGAATAGTTACGCACGTAATTGTCCATACTCAGTATAGTAGAAGTACGATGGTGAACGATTTAGCAGTATTAAGATTAGAACACGGTCTAGAATTCAACCGTTGGATTCGTCCGGTTTGTTTGCCCGATAATAAATTGAATTGGATTCCGTATCCGGGAACAATATGCACAGCTGTAGGATGGGGAGCTACAGTTGAACACGGACCGGACCGTAAGCCAATCACTATATACATTTTTTCTCATTTGCTCTCGGTCATTGAGACCACGCTGCTAAACAGATTCCTCTCCATTTATCTCTATCTTCTGAAGCTATCCTTCATGACACATCTGTCTTATTTTTCCCACATCGGCTCTCACACAATCTTCCAATCTTCTTTAATCTCCCTAGAAGAGGTCTCTTCTTATCTTCTACCACGTATGCCCTGCCAACATCAACCTCCTTCTCCTAATCTCCAATGAAATGTCCGGTGTCTGGAAGAATGCTTCAAGTTCACGGTTGTGCCGTTTTCGCCATTCTCTCGTGTGGTTATCAAAGCAGGGACTTTTAGTCTAGTCTCCTCGGTTTTCCTAAGTGGCCATGTCTCTGAGACATTTAGCAATATAGACTTTCAGCCTGGCACACCAAAGGACCCTTGATCTTTTTTCTGAGGCCCCATCCCCATGGTTTAATATAATGTTAAAAATGTATATCAATATAAAACAATATTCATTATACAGTGTGTCCCAGATTTATTTGACAAATGCAATAATTTTTGTTTTATTCATTATTTATCACTTAAAAAAAAAAAATATTACAATATTTTGCTACAACAATAATGTTTTAAAATATTTTTTTTATTTTTGGACTCAAAATTTAAAATTTAAGAGTAAAATTGTATAAAAAAATGAAAATAATTATTTTGTAAACCCAATTTTTTGAAAATTTGTAATGTTTATTTTTCTAATAAATGTTAATCCATTCATTTTTTAAGTTTATGAAAAATTGTATGAAATTGCATATTTATCTTATAATAACCTACACTTCTCTTATCTTACTCCATGCTTATCATATAATTTTAATGTAAACACACAATTTTACAAACATTTGCACAAACATAACATTTGTAAAAAGTCAACAGATTAAAATTTATTAGAACTGTAAGCACCTAAACTTTTCAAAACATTAGTTAACTATACAAGTCACTATATAATTTACTATTAAAAGAAAAATAAGAAAATATGTAATAATTTTAAGATATTTCAGCGGATAATATGCGTGAAGTAGAAGTACCAATACTTGCCGAGTGTACACACAAAACTGACATAGACGGCGGTGAAATATGTGCTGGATATTTGAGCGGAGGTCACGACACATGCCAAGGAGACAGTGGAGGCCCACTACTTTGTAGGGAGCCGAATAATCTGAACAAGTGGTATGTGGCAGGCATAGTTAGCCATGGTGAAGGATGCGCGAGACCAATGGAGCCCGGTGTGTACACTAGAGTGGCGTTATACATGGAGTGGATCATTAGCGTCACTGGTAAATTAAAATAACATTTGTATTGCTATTATTTTTCCAATACAAAATTTAAATTCGATTAATCAATGTTAGAGGATGACCATTTGACCGATGTACTACGTCCTCAACAGAATTGTCCAGGAATCCGATGTAAAACCGGAAGACACTGTATACCGACTAAACGCCAGTGCGATAAGTACGTGGACTGTATGAACGCGGAAGACGAACAAAATTGTGATTATACCGGTTCTCAGTATCATGTAAATTTGTATCGGTCGATAAATACAGACCATAGTAATTTGAAATACAGTCAGTTGAAAACTGCAGAAGAAGCGTCTACGGATGTCACGGCAGTAACCACCAAAAGCCCCGGGCTGTCATCAACAGTGGTGTTTCAAAACACGAAAACAACATCACCAAAGCCTAATTTCAAAACGACTCTTCGTCAGAACGAATACTTGAAAGTGGAAACGTCAATGGTCAAAGTTACATCAAACAAAACCAATATTACGTTAGGTCAAAACGATCAACTTTATAACGTTTTTTTAAAACAGTTATTAGACAATCAGTTTACCGAAAAAACTTTCAGCTGCAGAAGGTATTGTATAATGAAAAATATGTATATTTTTTTTATCAATATTAATTACTTTCGTCGATTGATACCAGAATAACGCAAGTGGTGTTGTTGAACTACCGGTGTGATGGGAAAGTAGACTGCGAAGACGGGACGGACGAAGAGGCGTGCGACTGTAAGACGAGATTAGTGAACATGTACAATTCGTCGGCCATTTGCGACGGGGTCGTGGACTGTCACGGCGGTGCGGACGAAACGACATGCGGTGTGCCAATGAAATGCAAAAGTGATGAGATGATTTGCGATAAACCAAATAAATGCGTGAAAAAGAGCGCGTGGTGTGACGGAATCATAGACTGTCACAATGACGGAAGTGACGAGAAATATTGCAGTAAGAATTGGATACCTTTATAATTATTAAATAACTTATTATGGCATTCAAATTTAACAAACAAACCACCCAGTTACCTTTATATACATATATACATATTATGTATTATACGATAATTCCAAAATTATTTTTCAGCGACAATCACTAACGGTACTACAGCCGTGGTGACAGACGCCATTGGACGGCTAGAGTTACGGCGGTCAGGCATGGTGGCCGAAAACAGAAACGGGGTCTGGAAGGTGCGGTGTGTAGATGAAAATACGGCTTCGATTATCTCACATGAAACCTGCTATAAACTAAATTTCATGTAAGTATACTCCTGATACGTTATAACAATATTTCTGTACGCGTATTTCATTTTTCTGTTAAAACTCGATGGGGTCTTTTAACGGAACGTTTCTTTTCGCTACCGTAGGGGTTCGGTATACCACACGAGAAAAATGGCATGGAATAATCCGCTGCCGCTGAACTTGAGTAAACTGGCGATCGCCGCTGATATCTGCCAAGGAGTTTACGTGGAATGCGGTGCCAGGGTAACGGTCGACACAAGACTGTACCATTGGCACGTCAACGTCGTAGTTGACGGAAAGCTCGAGAGGACCGGAGTGTTGATACACGACTCGTGGGTGCTCGTTAAAAGAACTGCTGCGGATTTAGAGTACCTATACCTTCCTAACTATACTCGAATAATATATATTTGATCCCAGGGAATTAGGGTTTAAGTCAATTTCGTAGTTTTCAACATAAGTAAATGGAATTTTGAAAATACGTCATATGTGTACTAATGCTATACTTAAACCAAAAAATGAAGGGGATAAATTACGTAAGAAAAAATTTAACAAAATTCAAAAATCGACTTAAGCGCTTCTTTCTCGAGATCAAATATAATATAGCCGTTAAGAAAATGTCAAATAAAATAACCTTTTTTTCATTACACAATCTAATCAAGTTTGAAGAAAACGTACGTGATAGCGGTGCTGGGTAGCGGTGCGTATTCTAGCATTTGGATCAAGTCGCCGTACGAACAGGTCGTGCGGGTCGACGGGATTAGACAAATGTCTGAATCTGATTTCGACATGCTTCATTTGGCCGTTCCAGCGACCGTCACCCGGGGCGTCACGCCGTTGGACATTCCGATGTTTCAACCGACGCCTGGACCACACCACACGTGCTACGCTATCGGCTGGTCGGACGACCGAGGCGACAGAACCGAAACCGCTCGTTTGCGGCCAGACACGACACCGTGCGACGACGGTCACATATGTTTTACCGTATCGCAAAAGCCCCAATCGTGTTCGGTAATATAATAAAACGATACTCCATTATTATTATTTCTTTGGTCTCAGGGAACAAGGGTTCAAGTCAGTTGTAGGCACTTTTCGATTTTGTTTTTTACCATTTTTTCTAATGTAATTATTTTACCTCTATTTTTCGATCTAAATGGCATGAGTATAATGTAGGTATGTTCTAACACGTGTTATACACGTGCCAATTAAAATATATTATGTCACTGCGTTATACTTACTTTTTGTTAGGCAAGAGATGCATCATAAGTCATATTTATTATATAGAAATTGGTTAGCCATTTAGTAATTATGTCATTATGCCGTTTAGAAATATTTTTGTTTTCGAAACAAAATTTACAGCTTGTATTGAAAACTATGTACAATTGATTTAAACCCTTCTCTCTTAGGACCAAATATGTTTGCATTTATTATGACATACAATTCGATAGTTAGAAAGTAAATTAGGACTTTGATTTTCAAATAATTGTTTAGGAGACCCAAAAAAACAGAATTTGTAACATATACACTTTGTTAAGGCAATGAGCAAATTTCCGCCTAAACCTAAACAACTGTCGCTTACTCCTTCAAGAAATTATCGCTTACGCTCTAATAAAATTAAAATGGATGTGCAATTACGCCGTTCATGATATAATAATAGTATATACATAAAAATCTATATTTTTAAAAAAATAATAATTTACGCCATTTGGCCATTTTATATCATCTAACCTCGTAACACAATAGTAATATGTTAATTCTAATTTGATTATAACATTGTTCAGGACGGAAAAAATACGTCTCACGTGACCGCGGTTGTCTGCGAGTCGATCATCGGCCTGTTCCTGGCAGCACCGGTTATTCAGCACACCGTAAACTTTTGCGACAGTAAAACACGCATTCAACTGCCCGAGGCTGAAAATTTAATTAACCAGATTGTGGACATTCTCGGTAAATATATTGCACAGCTGACCGTCGTTTCGGTTAACAGGAGGCATTTTCAAAATATTATTATCGGTTTTGTGCGTTTATAGACTGCGAATTCATAAAACCGACACCGGCGCCCGTTTGCAACGGCAACCGTTGTAAACTCGGCGAATGCGTACCGTGGGAAAAAGTGTGTGACGGCATACCCAATTGTCGAGACGAAGAAGACGAAATGATTAAAATGTGTAAAGCAAGAACCGATAAATGCAAAACCAACGACACCCTATGCAGTAATTAAACATAATTGCGATTTTTTTTTTTTTTCTAAATAACGCTAAAAATGTTAATATTTTTACGTTAATACGTTAATACTTTAATATACAATATTATAATTATACCCATAACGTTATAATTTAAATCACCATTTAATTACATCTGTGATTATTTTACACGTACAGCGTACTTACCTAATTTATAATGCGTACTACGAATAAGTAATGCGTATAATATAATATTTTCTTTTTTTAGTATGCGACGTGGGCAGTTTCCGTTGTGCCAACGGCAAGTGTGTAGAGAAAACTACGTTTTGCAATGGAATCAACGACTGCGGTGACGGAACCGATGAACCGAAAAACTGTCAGAAAAACACATGCGTCGAATATCTTAAGCTCACTGCCCCGGAAAGGTTGTGCGACGGACGTTGGGATTGTTTGGACAAGACGGACGAGGAGTTCACCAACTGTCCAGGTTACTGCAATAAAACGAACGTTTATCAATGTCAATCGTAAGTATAATAATAGTAAAGAAAAAAAAAGCTAATATTGCTAATGATTGAACCGTTATATATTGTTGGTGAGAAGTCAGGAAGGTGGGGTACAGATCAATTTAATTTATATCTATACGTGGCAATTAATCATTGGTAACAAAAAATGATTCTGAGCGAAGCTGGATATTAAGCATAGAAAATTGTACCACATCAAGAAAATATTAATATTAGTATTCTATGAAATTGTCAAGACCCTATGATTACTATTAACTGAAAAAAAAAAATTGAAATAACAGAAACTGTTGTGTGTAAATTTCCCCGTTGTTTTCAGTTTTTCTCAGTTATCAAGAAAACTATGGGAAAAGTAAAATAATAACCTTTTCAGTGGACTAACTATACAAAATGTAATATCGGAAACAACCTCTGAAGAAGATTTATGACAAACATTTTTTTCACAAACAAAATAAATAATTATAAAAAATAGTACACATCATAATAAAACCAATACATTTATCGATTCGCTAAAAATCTAAAAAAAATAATAAATGTTATCTGGAATAATTTTAAATTTTTTAAACTATGCATATAATGATAATAATTCATAGCTCTTCTGAACTAGATTCCGTATTTGTCTTGGTATGAAGTATTTACAGTACTTATTTTACACATCTTAAAGTAAAACTTATATACAATAATACATGCCTAACTTCGCCCACAATCTAAAATATGAAAATAAATTTTAAAAATAATACTTAAGTATTGTTTTACTTGTCTTATATTATATTATGCATGTAGATCAAATAAATGCATATCGTCGGAAAATGTATGCGACGGTGAAGGAGATTGTCCCGAATCTGACGACGAGGCTGAATGTCTCGGATTAATACATCCGACTAGAAGAAATTATGCCAAGTACGTATTACTACAACAATTTAATTTACTTATTTCTATATGCTTATGGAAGAACAATAAATTTCATACATTTCATGGCAAGCACGGTTTAAATTTATCTCTATTTACTAGGCCGTAATAATGAGGCTGGGGCTGTATATACTGCGAAATAGGTTTAAATCAAGTCGGCCATACGATTTCGTTGCCGGGTAACGATTATTTTCTTTATACTGAACTTATACTGAACCTCCGGTTAAATTTTCAAGCAATTCCGTTAAACAATTTTATCCTAAGAGTATTTCTAAAATAAAAATTACGGAATAAAATTTAAATTAAATAAAAATAAAAATATTTATTAATAGCTCAAAAATGGCTTAAATAATTTTAATATTCATCCATGTCTATAAAACGCAAACTTAAGTTTTCTGTACAAACTTTAAGTCTCTACGAATATGTTTAACTGAATAATATCAAAAAAAAGAAATTAAAAATTATTTTGAAAAATGTTCCCGTTCTTTCTATCTACGTTTTTTTCAGTTTTGCTCAATCATTAAAAAAAACTATAGAGAAAATCAAAAACGATTTTCTTAATCAACATTAAAATGCAATAAAAAAAGGGTCTCTTGTCATTTTTCGATTAATTCAATATTTCTGGTAGAAAACATTGTGCGTAAAAGTTTAAAATAATGAAAACGTACACCGTAAATTTGTTCGTTTTAATTTTTTGTCTTTTTTCGGTTTTACCCAATTACCTATTATAAAAACATCATGGAAGATCAAAAAATAACTTTTTTCTAGAGCATCCAGACTCAAAGTGTAACAAAAAAGGTTTTGTTGGATTTTTTGATTAAAACAATATTTCTAGCTATTAAATATTAAATACAACGGTACAAACGACAAATATTGCGCATACTATCTAGCCGACGACGGGCGTCTTATTATATTATTTAAATAAATAAATAATGGACTATTAGTAATAGTTTTTAAAAATTAATTATATATAATTACATTAAACATAATAGGTTACCTATAAAACCCGACCAAGAGTACGTAATAATAATTATTTAAAAATGTAATATAATAGTTGTCCCTAAAAATCGTAGTTGTTAACTTTTATATTGACTTTTTTGCGTACCTACTAATATTCCAAAGTCGTGTCATGATTTTATTATTGTGTTGTTATATAAATACAATATAATATATATGCCCAATATATGAATTTTTAACCGGAGGGGACGTAGCAAATAATAGAATTGTGAATAAATCGTAAAATCACCTTCTAGCTCTACTCGACTAGACCCTGAAAAAAGCCAATTTCTAATCAACACATCGAGCTTTTTTTCGTGACTTAGCTGAAATATTAGCATTTCGATATTATAGACCCTCCCCTGTGCACACCACTGATATATAGTTATTATTACTTCATTTTGCTTCAACTTATTTATACGAAACAGTATTGTCAATATTAGCGACAATAAAAAACAAACATCGCTTCAGAATGAATGTCGAAGCAGATTTAAGAGTGGCAGTTTCAAATATAAAACCCAATTCAAATTTAATTATGTCTACAATTCAACCACAAGGGTCTCAATGTCTCATTAAATCATGCAGTTTTATAATTTAAAATTATTAATTATAAGTATAACAATTTCGTTATTTTTTTTTTTATGTTTTGAAATCAAAATGTTGAATAAATTAAATTAAACAAATATTAAAATTGCCTAAATATAACGATTTAATTTATACGACTATAATTATTGTATACATTAAGTAAATATATACGTATTATACACTTATGTAATGTTAATAGGATGGGGGAATCGCCTCATCGAAATAAATTAATGTGGGGGGCCGTGGACCAAAAAATATTGCGCACCACTGAGCTAGTACACCAAAAATTTCATTATCAGTAACTTACTAACGAAATTCGTTATTAATGTCCTTTAAGTAAATGTAATTTTCTCTTTTCAGTTATTCAATTTAAATTGATAAAAATAATAAAATTACTGATAACTGGTACCTATTTTCTAGGGGGCCCTGTCTTAAAATGTTTAAAAAAAAGGGCCTACCAGAATTTCCCGGTATCCCTGTAGCCCAATACGTGCCTGCACACAATACATAATCGTGAATCATGATACTTGATGTCACTGGACAACTTGTACATTTATTTGCACGTTACTTAAAATATTTTCTACTTAATACCTATACAATTTGATGAACATAAATATATATTACTGCAGTATTTTTACCAATGATATCATAATTTAAAACATTATTTTTAGAAACGAAGGCGTTTTGGCGATAAGATCCTATGGAAATTGGCACGCGCAGTGTATAACCGAAGACTACACCAATGTCAATTACCAATCGCTATGCAAAGGATTGGGATTCAAATACGCGGTGGGCATTAAAAAAGTAACTACCGCTAAAGTAGAATTTGAAAACTTCATGATTGTTCAGCTGAATCCTAAAACAGACGTCGCCATTAGATCGGCGACTAAAAATATTCTACAGTTCTCGGGCCACACATGTGTGGCTGTATATGTGGTCTGTTCCAGTTCATAGACGTCTACGTATATAGTATAAATTATTCATGTATACCTATCTAGTTCACTCCCTTTTTTTTTTTTTTATATATAAATTACTGTATAAGAAAAGTATACTAGCGGTAAATATAATCATATTTAAAGACATCGGATTAGTTTTAAGGAAAGGTTAATAAATATTGTACATTTATAATTTTATGAAAACTTACAATATTGTATTGCTCTAAAGATTGCCTCTAATATATTAATAAAGTATTAAAATAATTACATCATACAAAATGTAGGTATAGATGTATAATTATATTATAATGTTTAAAGGTATATAGCAAACTAATATTGTTGTGCCTACTTATAACATGACGTATTGTGCAATTTTCTATAATACACATATGTATTACAAGATTATAATATTATTATATAGTTATTTAGTAAGAAAGTTGTAATAAATTATAAATTGAATAGGTTAAATATCTTTATTGAATAATATGAATTAAATAATAATGTTTTACATTACAAGATCTGCATCTAAAATTCTTATACACTTATACAAAAATAAATGTATTTTAATAAATTTATATTTGTATTAAATTATAGTATTAGTACCTATCTACTTCAGATTATTTATTCCCAAGTCTTAAAGACTTAATAAATATATAGGGCTAAATTCATCAACATAAGTAATGTTACATTTATTGTTGTATATGATTTAATACTTTTTCACAAAAAAAAATGGCCACCTCTACAGGTTTGGGTGATACCTTAATATAGCAGCAGGCTATTGAAACTTCAACAATGTAGTTTATGTAGTTACTGTTATATTTTATCAAGGAAAACCACAAATTATCATCAACAACACTAATTTTATTTTTTCATAATTTATAACACACATAGAATCAGGCATAGGTCAATTTGGTGTATATAGTCTGTGTATATTATATTGAAACAAATGTTTAATTAAATTTATGAATTTTATTATAATAAACACGGTACGCTCAGAAATGAAATTTATATGTTATTTTGACTTTTAAATTCTTCACAAATTGAGTTTAAAAATGGTAAGATAATGGGGATGGGTGCAGCCACTGATGTAGGTGGGAAGTTGGGAAGGTAGGATATAGACGGGAATTTAATATATATCTATAAGCAACGTTAAACCATTGCTTATGAAAAAACAATTTTGAGTGGAGTTCATTTGATAGTGATGTTTTAAGTCAACAATATATAATATGTCATTTTATAGTAAAAAAATAATTAAATAGGCTTATATATTTTCTTTAATAAAATTTGTTTAATATTGTACCGATTTTCACAATTTTCCTACGTTTTTCTAGGTTTTCCCATGTTTTTCACATTTACTTCTCAGCAGAAGCTGCAAACTGCAGAAAACTCTTGGGAAAATCAAAAAATGACCCGTGCTAAAATTTTCAAAAATCGATACAATATTAAACAAATAGTATTAAAGAAAATATATAATGCCTATTTAATTATTTTACCATAATATGACGTATATATTGTTGTATAATCATCACTATCAACTTAATTGCGCTCAGAATCGTTTTTTCGTTAGCAATGGTTTATCTTTATCTGAAATCTAAGTAATATAACAACAGACGGCACTCCAAATATGAGAGGAGAGAATATTGATTTCATTAGTAGAGTAAATAAACTTTTAGAATCGAAAAATATTGAACCTCCGTATATTTATTATATTATTCATCAACAAGCTCTTTGTGAAAAAGTTATAGGTCTCAAAAATGTTATGTCTATTGTAATAAAACCTGTTAATTTTATTAAATCTCATGGACTTACTCGTAGACAATTTAAAAGTTTTTTTCACGAAATAGAAGCTGAGTTCAGTGATGTGTCATACCATAATCATGTTCGACGGTTAAGCTGAGGAAAGGTTTTAAAACGATTTTTTTGATCAACAAGAGGAAATTGAAATGTTCATGATCGACAAGGGAAAAGAAATTTTTAAACTTAAAGATGATAATTGGGACTTAGCATTTCTTACAGATGTAACAATATATTTAGATATTATAAACATCTGGAAAATCTCATAATTGACATGCTTCATACATTAACATAATTCAAACAAAGCATTTGATGTATTTTAAAATTATTTATTAATCAAATTAAGCGAAGTGAATTCATTTTGAAAACTGCCAAATATTTAAGAATAAAACAAAATTATTTTGTTCAACAAATAGATTTGTAGAAATGTTAAACAAATTGCAAACCGATTTTTCATCTCGATGTTCAGACGTTAAACTACACGAAAAATCGTTACGTTTATTTGAAAATCCACTTAGGAGAAAATGATGTCGATACTTCTCTTTAACTTGAACTTATAGAGTTAAAAACATATTCATTTTACTATGATAAATTTCAAAAAATGAAAAAAAAAAATATGATATTTTAAAATTTTATTCACGACTTTCACATTAACAATTTCTTGCTTTAAAAGAGGTTATAATAAAAATGGCAACTGTATTTGACTCGATGTATATAGAGTGATCCATTGAAGGGGGTACACTTATATCTCAGAAAGTATTAACTTTTTCCGGAATTTGTTTTTTAGAACATTTAAGAAAAGAGCTTCTCTAGAATTGTATATTTATGTTATTTTTTGTCTTATTTACTTTTGATTTTTAAACGATAACCTTTATTAAAAATTTCATAAATAGTTGGAGTATTAGTTGAAATAAATTTTTAACACTAAAATTTTTGATTTTTGTCAATTCGCTGACGAGATATTCTATTTTAAAATTTGGGTTGGAGGAGAGTAGTAGTGCATTATTAATAGACCTCGCACCGCACAAATGATACTCTACTAATCTTCTCCAACTTAAAAATGGAATAACGGGTTGATGGAGATCAAAAATTTAAACACAAACATTTATTTTAACTAATACATTATTTATTTATAGACTTTTAAAATGTAAGTTGCCAATTAAAAATCAAAATTAAGTAGTAGTTTTACCCCCAATAATAACATAAATATACAATTTTAGAGCTGCTTGTTTCTTAAAATTTCTATCAGTTCATAAATAGCAACTTACGGATGAACACATACATTCAATTATGAGGATTGAAACAACTAAATTCTCTTCAGATTTTTCATTATTAGTAAAGAAAATACAAGTTCAAATTTCACATTAAACATTTTTTAAATTTTATTATTATTACTATTATAAAATAAATAATAAATATTATTTTTTTATATTTTGTTTTAATTAAAAAAGTTTGTGATGGGTCACATGTGGCCCGTGGGCCAGGCACCACTGAGCTATACTCTTTACTTCTTTAGTCTTTTCATAGCCAGTGAACTGACAGTATTTATGTGTTAGCTACGCTCTAAGCTATTTCAGTTTTTTTTTTGCTATATTTAGTATGGATATTGTGCTTAATTTTATAATAATTGCCTACTGGCTAGTGTGAATTTTCTGTAACATGCATTGGTTTTGGTCAGTTAACTCATAGTTTTGTTATTTATTTTGTCAGCTAATATTTGGCAACACCATACTCCTCTTATAATTTCAGAAGTGGGATTTGAACCCACGCCCTCATACCTAATCACCACCATACACATATTACTGAACTTTTCAATCTTCATCTTTATCTTATAAGCAAACGAGGTCAAATATTTTATTACTTCAAAATTATTCTACAAATTACTATTGATTTAGTTATTTTATATTGAATACAAACTATTTAGTTGTACCACTATTTAGTGGTTGAATAAAAAGGAATATTACTTAAACTGTAAAAGGAAAAAAATTATTTTTTGAACAATTTAAAAAATGCTATTTATTTAGTGTACATCAATTATATATACTTAAAAACTAATATAAAACACAGTATAATTATTGTTACAATAAAATAAACAATAGGATCATTAAAATAGTACATATTTTATTAAAGGGAAAGTATGATAAATAAAACTATACTCACAATACGAACAATTAATAGTTAAAATTTACAAATATGATAATAAAATTAATTGTGACCAACACGACTTACAAAATTTACTTAGGTTAACAGATGGATTAAATTAATTTTAATTTTTTTCATTAACAGTTTAAAATTTAAAATAATAAAAGGAAAACAGTCATAAAAAGAACAGTAAGGTATTTACTGTTATTTTGTCCGCATAAGATATTTAATACTTTACAGTTAAATGAATTATAAAATCATTACAGGCATGGTGGTATGTATAACATAAAAGGATAAATTTAAGGTTAAAAACATTTAAATACACTATTGTCAATCTTAAAATAATATGATAAATACACCCTTACGAAGAAGTGCCAGGTATACTGGAAGCATCTGCTTGTAGTTTTTCACACTTGGTTAAGTGTTTAATAATCATTTCAACAGATTTTATTCCTTTAGTGCCAGGCTAAAATTATAACATCATAAGAATCCAATGAGTTCTACATAAAATTAAAGTAATCATTGTTGTATATGTTTGTGCTTTAAAACTTACAGCAGCAGTTAGTTTCATGAAATTTAAGTATTTATCCAAAACGGCTAACATGGCTGTAAATCGACCATCTGGTAATTGCTGACCAACAAATTCTAAATACTTCTGTAAATGATTTAAATAGATATAATACTGCAATAAGTTCAATTATTATTTAATCACCTTATCATCCATTGTAATATATCCAAGTAAAATGGCGATATATGATGCTAACATTGTGTGCTGCATATTTTGACCTGCCTTTTCAACAACTAAAAATTATAAAATAAAATGTCTTTAAAATTTGAATCAAATTGCAACTTGAAATATACAATTTAATTTTTCAAAAATTATTATTAAAATGTTTAGCATCTATGGAAAAATTCATAAATTAAACTTACGCAAAGCAATAGTCTCTTCAATATATTGAGTATGTGCTTTTAATGGTGCATCTTTAGCTGGTTTTTCTGTCTGCTTGTTTTCACCATCTAATATTTCATCAGTCTTTTTTTCCTCAGTCTTCGCTAATTGTTCTTGTTGGAAAAACATTTTCACCAGCGCTTCGATTGCAAGAGATGGGACTGCTAAAAACAAATTTTCAACATAATAAGATAGTTTACAAGTTTTTTAACAATTTCTAACATACATCCATGGAGATTATTTTTTTTAATAGGAGCTTTAGCTTCTGCTACAAGTTTTCTGTTTTCAATATTGATCTCCACTAGATTTATCAGCAATGTAAGAGCCTATGAAAAAAAAAATACTTATTACTATTATAGAATGATAATACCTTAAAAAGACTGTAGAGATGAAAAGAGTAAATGGTTACCTATTTCAATAAACACCTTTAAAAGTTGTATATTTACACAGCGTGTCCAATAAATATGCAAACTGGGTTTCTACAATAGTCAAAATTGCAAATATCAGCGTACTGACTACCGAGAAAAAGCTAAAGGTTAGCTAAAGCTTTTATCCAAACAGTTATTTGTTGGACAAGGAGCACAAAAGACCACAACACTTCCGATGTTTTGATCGTTATGTGAAGTGGAAGAACCGTCTTTGAAATCATTGAAACACTTAATCCACTTAAAAATGGATATTTTCTTTAAAATAATATCTTTATAAACAATTGTTAACAATTCATAAATCTCCTGTGATGTTTTTCTTAGTTAATAATCACTCATTGTTTTATTTGTTCCATTAATTTCAATATCGACAAAGGATGAAAAAAAGTAAAACAAAAACGAGTACAGAGATAAGGTAGTCAATACACTGATATTTACAAATTGGTCTGCTGTAGAAACCCAGTTCACATATTTATTAGACATACTAAGTATATCCAAATACTACAAGACATCTGAATAGTATTTTAAACTATTACCGAAAAAAAAATATTTTTTTATGCCACGACACATTAATACATTTATATAAATATCTTAATAAATATAAAAATCATTAAATGAAAAATAAGTGAATAGTTGTATCAAATAAATAAGTTTATGATGTAAACAACAAGTGTCAGGTATTCACAGGTTTAAATGCCAAAAATTGGCGTAAGCTACTTGATTTATATTTGTTTAACATTATAGGTACCAACACTATCACTTACATAATATTATAAAAAATAATATTGGCAGTTATATTATAATATATTATATTTATTAACTATTTACATTTATAGAACATAAATCGGTAAATTCGAAGAAAACAAAAACAAAAAAAATCAAATAGTTATTAAAATAATTATTTTGATGTCCTGAAAATTTTCAAACAATTTTTGCCACTTATTTAATCTAATTCATTATCAGCTTTACAGAGAAAATTTAATGAGATAATGTTTAGAAAAAAGAATTGCATAGCGTATAACTTATATAATATGCCATAATTAAAAAAAATGTACATATTTTTCCAATATGGTAGCTACTAATGTGTATGCAGCAACATAGCCTGCCATTAAATTGCATATTATTTGAAGTAATCATTTTCTGATTAGTTTCTTTGTCTTTTAAGGTAAAATATAATAGTTAAAGATGTTAAACTTACAAAAAACATAATGTCAAACTTCTCATCATGAGGAACATATTCTGATACTTCAAGAAGAACATGCAAACTTGTGTCAATCACTCCATCTTTTTGTCCAACTTTAGAGCCATGAGCTAATTAAAAAAAAATAATTTTAATAACATAACATGTATATAAAACATATGAATATAAATAATTTTAATACATACTTATTTGATTTGAGTCATGTGTTAAATTTATAAGCACTTTTAAATTAGCAGTAAGACACTCTCGTAAAACTGCACCTATTGAGTCTTTATCATTTTCATTATAACTTGGGTATAATGGTATCTCAGAGTTACACACTTTAAACATTCTTATTAATGTGTCAATCAAAATACTATTTTCAAAACCTAATAAATACACATTATTTTCTTCATTTTGAATTGTTACCTAAATAATAAAATATATTAATAATTAATACAATAAAGTTTAATTATTTCTTACATTTTCGAGTATCCTTAAACAACGATCAACTTTTTTAATACGCTCAAGTAATAAGGGAGACCACACATTATTCATCAATTCAACATGGTTGCAACATTGCACAACTGTACGTACAATATGATCGAGACCACCAAGCTGTCGCATTTCTTCTTTGAACCACTCACCAGCTCTTGCACTTGTAAGACTCAAGAGTGTCTCCATAGCCAACTGCCCTACTGTGATATTATCCGTGTTTAAATATTTAGCTGCTCCTTGAGACTTAATCTCTGAACATAACTGAATAACTCGTTCTCGTGTCTTTTGTAACTGATGATCAGTAAGACCACAATCATCAAGAGCTTTATCATGACTTGTATCACTTTCTAATAAATTTAACATAAGTTCAAGACAATCGCGGTCTAAATCCATATTTAGACGATCTTGACTTAAAACAAACATAACTGTAGCTGTACACATTCCTAAACTCTAGATAATAATTGGAATGATTAATTCAAAAGAATAATTTAATAATAATGGTGTACAATTATAAATACCTGATCTTTGGTAGCATCATGCAATGCACGAAATATTTTAGCAACAGTTCCATGTGCTTTAACATGCATCCGAAAAGCTGGAGTCATACATTTAGTTGCCAAGGTTATAGCAGATAGACATCTGAAATCATTAGTGTACACTATAAATGTTTAATGTCAATGTAAAATAAACTAACAAATAATACAACAAACCTAGTTCCAATTGGATTGTTTGGTTGTAATGCATCTAAAATATACTCAACATCATCATTAAACTCTTGAAATTCACCAGACTCTTGAATTTGATGTGCTTTTTTAACATTTCGAACCACAGTATAAAACTAGAAAAAATACTTTTTAGTAAATACTATTTCATATTTTTAAATCTTAAATATGTTTCAGGGTATCCTATGAAGATACCCATTATCCCCATTGTAATATCTCGAAAAATTTAACTTTTTTCAGAATTTATTTTTTTGACAACTTAAGAAACAAGTATCCAATTATTACATTTCTATAATTTTTTGTCACCCTTATTTTTGGGGGTGAAATATAAAAGGAGATATAGATCTCCTTTTAATTTTCAAATAATATTACTACATTGTAACTCAAACTAAAAATTTCATTAATATATGAAATATTAGTTTACTACATTTAGGTGTTAAAATTGATTTTTGTCAACCCGTTATAAGTCGCTTGTTTCTTAATTGTTCGAAAAAAAAGTTAATACTTTTTGAGATATTGCTATTGGTACCTTAGGACACATTGTATGAATATCTACTACTTTTAGTGGCTCCCTCTAGACCAAATGAGCTAAATCTTAGGAATTTAAAGTTTTTTTTATAGATAGACTGAAGTGATAAAATTTTGGTTGAATTCAATATGTTGTTGCAAAAGAATGGTGTTTTTGTAGCTAACCAACCATGATAACTCCCCAAAGGAAACTAGGGGAATAAAAAGTTGTAAATACATGGGTTAAGTATCATTATCGAGGATATGACTTTTGAGGTTTTGATTTTTATCTCTCCTTCTAACAATTCGTATACTATTATGTTTTCATAGGAAAACAGAGTAAAATACCTATAATTATGCTGCAGGCTAAAATTGCATTTGTCAATTGATTATTATTTTTATAGCTTGTTGACTTTACACTTCTTTTCTCTTAACTTTCAAAAATTATTAAAAATTACGATATTAATGAACATAAAAAGTTGAAATGTCAACATTTTTAAAAGAATAAACAATGAAATAGCCATCTTCATTTTTTTTTAGTTTTTTTTTTTACTAAAACATGAAATATAAATATTTTAAGTTATTATCCCTATGAGTAACATATAAAAAAAGGATGGTATTTAGACTTCATTTTAATCAATTAGGTTTTAAAGTATTATCTATGGTGTTTTTTTTTTTTTTTAAAAAAAAAAATGGTAATTATATTTAAATCATCATAATTTAAGTAAATTTAGATGAGGTTGATAGTTTTGATTACCTTAGAAATTTTGTACAAAATAACGGTGGCTTTAACCAAGAGGTGAAACATAGGATTAAGTGTAGTTGAATAAAGTGGAGAAAACATTCTCAGGTGTTTTATGCAACAAGAGAATTCCAATAAAACTTACTAATGTTGTATGGTTCGGTTGGGAGGTAGACAGAAAAATAGAACAGAGAATGAGTGTAGCAGAGATGAGATTGTAGACAACATGAGAGAAAATATTCTCTCATGTTGTTGGAGAAATGAAGACTGAAAAAAAGGTGGTTGGATACGATTGAGAACAATCAGTTGGGAGATCCGGTCAAGTAGGCATTTAGGATAAGGGAAGTGAGCCCAAATAGTTGGGTTGAAGTTGAAACAGAAGAACTTTTGATATGTTTATAACTTAAATTAGTTTTAGTTTTCAATTAACTATTTTTCTGAGGAATACCTAATATTATACATTTAAAAATTAATCTACTTACTCCTTTTTCTTTTCTGTTGCATTTTACACTTGTAACTGAATCAAAATCGTCATCAAATACATCAGAGGTTTTTGTAATTCTTTGCAAAGGTTTTTGTTCAAAACTATTACTGGGACTTTCATTTGGAATAGACTCTTCTTTTTTTTCTTCGTCAACTTTTTTCTCTTTATCAACCCAAGAATGTTTATAAAGAAACATGCCTTTTTTATTTCTTTCATTTCTAGATTTGAATATACTTTTCTTAGCAGGAATGACTGCTTCTGACTGTTCTACTTCCATTGTTTCACTTACATCATCATCAAGTTTTATTGGTTCAGTTTCTATAAATATACCCCGGACTTTGGGAGGAATTTCTGATTGAATTTTAATTGGTTCTTTTTTTTCTTCTATTTTATTAATAATAGGTTCATCATCAGACTTAAATTGTGTTTCAAGCTGTTTAAGTAAATCATCAGTATCGTCAGTTTTTTCTTCTTCGCGTTCACCTGAAACATCCATTTTAGGACTGGATAATGAATCGTCACTACCTTCTAATACAGCCAACAACTGATTACGGTCATTTTCTAATTGTTCTATTTTTGATTTATCAACATTAGTATTAATTACTTTTTTTTCGCTTATTTCACTTTTAAATTCATTATCATTTTGATTAATAATTGTATTTTTAGATAAATTGATTTTTAAAGCAGGAACAGTGAATTTAGCCCTATCTTGGCGTCTTTTTTTTGGAATATCAATAATTGGAGGAGATTCCTCGATTTCTTCAGGTTCAGGCTCAGTATAAGTAGTTTGTGGGTTTCGCCTTCGAAGACTTCTTGTAGTTATGGTAGGAGTTATTTGATCATTACTTTCAGGTACTTCAATAGCTTGCAAAGGCTTTTGAGTAGAATTTGGCTCATTCACTAATTGTGATTTTCCCTTAAATATTCTAAGTACAATAGGTGGTTTACTTGGGTCTTTAGTTGGTGTTAATGATGCAAATGACAGTTCATTTGCTTCTGGAATCCGATCTTCTTTCTCAGGAGAAGATTCTGGAGTTTTCTGCACAACTGTTCTAGCTTTTTTTGTTGTCTCTAATCCACTATATTTTCGGTCAGATCTGTTTGAATCAGCATTTCGACTTTTAAAAAACTTTTTAGGTCTTATTACATTAACAGTGGGTTCTGGTACAGTTATTTTGGGTGCAGGACTAGGTTCCTGATGTTGCCTTTTTTTCCCAACACTAAATCGTGAACCTGATGTTTCTTCAGTTTTTCCTAAAAAAAAAAATTCAATGCCTTTAATTTTTATTTTTAAAATGTATGTTTTAGTATTACCTGTGACAAAATTATTACTTCTAATAGAAGTAAATGATGTAACGCCCCATTTTCCAACAGTACCAGCAGATTTAGCAGCTGTAGGTCTATTAGTATTTTCACACAATAACTTATCAAAATTGATGGCCGTTTGTACTACACTGTTCGGATTATTGGAGTACTTTGCACGGCCATATGACTTCATGTAAGATCGAGGGCCCTTTGCAGTACTCTAAAACAAAAATACATTAAAACTAGAAGTATTCTATAATACAATTTTAAAGTTAAATTAATTATATGAGATAAATAATTTATTATATAGGTTAAATCTCAAACCTGATGTGATATTTAAATGTCTCATATTGATATGAGATTAGCAGGGGTACATACACTTTATAGAAATACCTGTAATATGTTTAAATGTATTTATACACCATTTCTCTATACAAGTATCTATTCTTATAATTTGGAGTAAACTAGTTTAGGTATATTAAATTAATAAAATATTCTAATTAATTTGAAAAAAAATTTGTTGGAACCTAAAATAACTGCAAGTAAAAACTAATCAGAAATAATAATCATTTACTTAACTTCACTAAGATTAACTTTAACTTGATCATAATGAATAACATAAGCATTACCTATCATAGATAAAATTAATATGAACCATGAATACCTACCATGAATAAAAATTCAATAATCTATGTTTATGGTAGGTAGGTACAAATCTTCATTTTGAATATTATTAATTATCTTCTATAATTTTTAAATACTTGAATAAAGATGCCTATTGAAAATAATATTTTCATACATTTTAATAAAATTTCAGTAATAATGTATAAAATTATTATATACTATCATTACTTATACAAAATAATGTAGGTACACAGCAATTAAAACAGTACACAATTTAATTTAATTATATAGGTAAGTAGATATTAATAATTTACTTGATTGTAAATCTTAACTTATAGGTATAGATAGAGGTATTAATGAATTTGAGGCATTTGGTTACTTAAGTTATAATATATTTAACCATTAAAATAAATCTATGTACAATACCTATGTAAAAAAGAATCTTCTAAGCATTACCTTGATTATAAATTATAAAGTACATATACAAATCAAAATGAAATAAAAAACTATGAAAAAATTATAGTTAGACAATAATCTTTATGTTCTATTTACTCATGAATAAAACTATAAGCAACAGGGCAATAAGAATAAAGAATCCAAATAAGAACTTGAGCTACTGCTTAACTTTGTACATATGTGCAATTATAGTATACATTTCAAAATTTAAGCATTAGATAAGTACTTAAATTAAAAAAATACCGTTTCTATAGGACCCATTGAGAAGTTTTTAATCTTTTATGGTGTTATTTGTAAAAAATCCAGTAACACCTATCGTTATAGATGATCGATTTTGTTTATTATTTGAGACAACTTTCATTCGTTCAGTCATGCTAATGTAAATACTCTGGAACAAGGAAATTCAGACACATGGCAATCTGACAGTCAAAATATAAGGAACATAATGCATTAATGCAGCTTGGCATTGATATTAACTTCATATTATAGAAAATGATATTTATTATTTACTATGCAATGTATATACAATGAATATTATTATACCTGCATGTTAAATCGTCAATAGGCGTAATCAACAACAAGTCATAAGATGCATCTGACTTCGACCGTTTTTTTTAACGCACAGGGACAGATGTCCAATCTGTAATTTGCATCCGACACATTTTACGTATGTACTTTTTAATTTTATATAGACAGCGCCACGGCGGAGAAAAAAAAATACACGAAATATTACTTTCGAAACTCCAAAGTAAAAGGTATATAGAATTGCCAATTAGCGATCGTCGATCGGTATGAATGTATGATTATACAAATTTAATATGAAAAAAATAATAATAAAAATTGTATATTGTAAACAAAACACTCTCACACGCGCGTACATGCACACACAACAAACACACATAAACAGCAACACAGGCTACCGTCAGTATGAAAGAATAAAAATGAAATACATTACAAATGCAACAACGCGCATGCGTAATGGGTTAGAGTCGATAGCAGTATCGATCAGTTTAATGTTCCATGAACATATGCAATCGTTCCATGATCTTTCTATATACAAATAATTTTTTATGAAACGTTTAAACTTTAAACAGTTTATATTATAGCAACTTACTAGTAGTTAGTAGTTACTACACACGATAAACAAAATCATGTACAATTTATTACCAATGGTTTAAAGAAATAGGCGTGGCCACATAGTCCTCAGAAGTCAGTACCGATCAACTCCCACCATTTATATACTAGATAGGTATTTTAAATTTTTACCAACTAGTAACTTCTATAGTACTAAAGTACCTACTAAGTAACAAAGAACCAATAAAATACAAATGTACTAATTATGACTGTGGTATAGCCAGTATCGTAAAATACTAAAAAATCGAAATTCAGTATAATAATAATATTATATTTTCATAAACTTATACTACTTACTTTTTAAAACTTTAGTGAAGTCCTAATAAATTATACATGTACTTATGTTAGTTAGATATAGTTTTTAGGCCCTATGTAATGTACCTACCTATATTAATTCTCATGGATCATTGCTATTTTCAAGGAATTGGATCATTTTTTATTTCTTGACACTTACCCTACAATAATTTAATTTCAATTACTTATTCAGACTCCTTGACAACCCCTGTAGCGCTATAGAAAAAATTACCATTTGATAATTATTCAATTATTTATTAGAAAACGTATAATTAAACACCGTTCTTAATGTATTGTAAATAATTATAACTAATAAAAACCCCAATATCAGGCTACAGACAATCTGTATCTTCTTGTGTTAAAAAAATGGACGTGCTCAAGGTGAAGTATATATCATTGACTTGATTTGGAAACAAATTTATAATTTGCACCACTGAAAGAATAATATTAACACAAATAAAAATATAAAAATAGCAGCAAATTAATTTTTAATGTTTCATAATTTTTCCAATGAGTTACCAATAGTTACTTTTGGGATGTGACTGTATTTTAACTAGGAACATATTGTGTAATAATGATTGGTAGGTCAGAATAGTCACATATCAAAAGTGTCATATTTAAACTGGAAACTATATATTGTTTTAGGAGAAATAAAGACATTTGACCTTATACTGTTTTCAATATTAAAAATAAATTTAAAAAATTCAAGTATACTAAATTATAATCATAAAAACGATGAAATTACAAAAATTGTAACTATTCTTAGAGTTTTGTCACTATTCTTTCAGGGGTATTAATTATCATTGGTTCAGACCATAGACCCATTAGTTATGCAAATTGGTAATATTATTTTGGTAAAGTGCTTAAGTAATATATCAGAAAGTAATAAATATAAATTAGGTACCTACCTACTTACCTACTTTACCATTATATAAGTAATTTTTTTTTTAATGATTGATTTAATCAAATAACCAATAATTAATAAATAAACCAATAAATAACCTTACTTAATCATATTAACTGGTCAGTCATGGTAATATTGATCAGTATGTAATTGTTTTAAAATTTTGTTTTGTATGACTAATAAATTTAATATTTGTGTACCGAAAAGATTACAATTTACAACGCATTAAATAAGATTATTAGAAGGGAACTTAAGTTTTCACAGTTATAGTTTAAATTTTTGTAAATAGCAGTAGTTATGGTATTTAATAGTTTAATTATTTCATTAATAATGATTTTTTTTTTATGAAATTTCTTCTTCTTCTCTTTAACCTTCAAAACTCCATCCCAGCTATTTGGGTCTTAGGGTCAGCCACCCGCGTCTTAAATTTCCACTTGACCCAATTTATCACCTTGTTATACGGCCATCTTTTAATGTTCTCATGATCTCATATCATTTAAAATCGCATCCAACCATCTTTTTTTCGGTTTTCCCATACCCCTCTTCCTCCTATATTTATTTTAATTATCATTCTTATTGCATTCGATTCTTTTTCCCTCATGACATACCTAAACCATATCATTCTACTTTCTCTCATTTTAGATTCTGAGCTGAGTGAGGAATGTATTGGTTTTACAATATTTATTTTTTTTTTGTGCATAACTTTTCTACCAGCAGTTGGGTTTTAATTTTCAAGTATAGCACTTTTTCTGAAAGGAAATTTGACTGGAATAGTACATAGGGAGGTCATATTTTGATTTTTCAAGCGGTGACCATAATAATTCTAAAAAGCAGGAAAAAACTTAGAATAGATAGAACAATATATAATAAAATAATAATAATAAAAAATAATAAAAAATGAATGCTTTTATTATTTTAAATTTTGTTTTAATTCAGTAAACAATATTCCTTAAGACTTGACATTTTGACAGAGACCTTATATTTGTCTTTTATAGACCTGGTAAGATTTTTAAACTATTTATAGACATTTAATTTTATGAGTATTAAACGTAATATTTATCCGGTAGATACTCTATGGATAAAATGTTTAGACCAAACAGAAATGCTAGACAATTTAACAGGAGGTTCATTATAAGTTGTACTTAGTGGTCAACAAGTTAAAGGAGAAAAAGAAAAAGTTGAATTCAATGTAATATTTTATTTTTCATATAAGAATTTTAATTTCAAATTTTGACTAAAATCGTAAATAGTACATCTTTTTAAACATGTATAACCAAAGTCTTCTCAGAATGGTTTTTCATTAGTAAAAAATAATTGTTGCATACAGATATAAATTAAATTCCGCTTTATATCTTACCTTCCCAACTTCTTACCTATAACAGTGGCCCACCCATTGTGCTAAGTATATCGGTCATTTATTTTCTACTATCAAAATCATACCTATGCTACCTCCTAAGTACTCATTTCTTATCCTATTTTCTCTCATCAGTTCATTCATCCACCTAAGCATTCTCATCTCTGACACACTAATTCTCTGTTCTATTTTTCTATCTACCATATAACCAGAGGCAGTCAAATGATTTTGTCATGAAGGATAAGAATAATTTTTAAGAACTATTATTAATTACATAATTTTTTTTTTTTACTAACTAAAGATATAATATAATATATATTATAAATATTTAAGAAAAATTAGGTAATGAGAGATATATCCCTCCCCGTTTGATTACCATTGCATACAACATAGTTGGTCTTACCAAATCCTTGTAAAACAAACTTTTAAATCTTATTGGTCTACTCTTGTCAGATAGAATCCCTGACGTTTTTCTTCACTTTATCCAATCACTCTTAATTCTATTTTACACATCCTCTTTTTTTTTGCATGCATTCATATGGAATTTGACAATTCACCCGACCATTGTTTAAGACTCCCCGCTCTATTTTATAAAATGTTTAAATCAGTTATCAACCTGATGCAAACCTCATTTGACACCAGGTAGGCAGACAAGTAGAGGTACTTTTTTGTTTAATTTGATATAGATAATTTACTTACATAATTAATCTAAAAATAATTGACCAATAATGGTCATCACAATATAATAAATGTATGTTTAGACATCAGATCACAAGTAAATCAAAATCGATCGGCCGATCAAGACAACTCTATATTCATTGCTATTACCTAACTAAGTAAAAGAATAAATTACATTTTGAAAATAAATTTTTGGGTGTAAAACAACTACTTTTGATTTTAAAAGGACAACATATGTGAAAATTCTATAAATATATAGCTTATTATTTAAAATAAAAGTTGATGTTGAAATTGTTGATTTCTGTCAATCTGTTGAGGAGATATTAAACTTTTAAGTGTTGGTCGAGCGAGAGTAGTAGAGCATCATTTTTATGGCGAGATGACATCATTAATGCACCATTACCCACCCTCTAACCAAACTTAAAAGTAGAATATCTCATTAATGGGTTAACGGTAATCAAAAATTTCAGCACCAACATTTATTTTAACTATTAAACCATCTATTTATGGAATGTTAAACATAGGTTGCCATATGAAAATCAAAAGTAGGTATTGGTTTTACTACTAAAAATAAAATAAAAGCAACATTTTAGAGCTGCTTGTTTCTTAAATGTTCTAGAAAACAAAGTCTGGAAAAATTGAATATTTTCAGAGATAATGAATGTACCCACTTAAAAGGGTCACCTTGTATTTACCTACTAATTTTTAAATTTCAGTTGTATATCTATATCACGGACCTATAGATATATATCTTTATCATAGACTAAGATAAACTGATAACATGGCTAGAAATAAGAATGCATAAGGGATACAGGACATAATTACCCTATTAAGGTATCCTTTCATTTCAGTTAGTTTTTGTGGACAGTCCTACAATCGTCCTGTCATTTGTTTCCAGTCCTGTATATCTTAGTCTGTGATCTATACATAAATCAATATAATTATTAAAGTAGATAGAGGGACTTCTATCATTTGCAAATTTGTTTTATGAAACTGAAAAAAAGACATTGTTTAATTATTATTTTTTTTTTATGTGTTTCTCTTTTTTATCTTGTTTTTAAATAAGTATTGTTATCATTTGTGTATATAATTCTTTAATAAATATGTAAAAGAATAAAATTTTATTTACTCAAGAACAATTAATTGATTTTAAATTTATAAGTAAGGTTGAGCCACTACCTTTGGCCGACTGTTCTTTTTATTAATATTTGATTTAATCTATTTATAGTAATTGAGCAAATATTCATAATATAATCATAAATATATTATAAGTTTATCAAACTTAGTTTGAATTTTAAAGTATTAAGAAAAATATGAAGTCTCTCTGTGTCACTGGGTACTTATTTTAATTAGGTAGGTGTCTAATTATGTTTAATTTGATTAAATCATAATTACCTACCAATTAATTTAAATTAATTAAAATCATTTAAAAATATTTATTTTAACTTTTGAGTGTACATTACCCTTATTTTTATCTATAATATGTTGGTTTGTCTTTATATTATATTAATAAAGTATATTCTGTTTTAGAACTATAAGTTATTTTCAAATTTATAATCTTATTAACGCAATATTATATTTTTTAGTTTAAGTACCTTTTTAAAATTTTAATCTTTTAAAACGATTTAGAGTTAAACACTTATCATTAATTTGATATTCTTCTATGGTTTCCAAAATGTCCATATTATTTTGATTCTGATATAAAATTCAATACTTATATAACCATAAATATTAAATCTAAATACATCTTTACACATGTCAATGTTAATTTTTTTACCTACCCACTAAATTATTTATAATTATAAAATATGTGTACAAAAAAACTATCTTTGATGCAAAAAGTATCAATGTCAAACATTTTTTTTTAAATGAATATAATATATTAGGTACAATAATTATAGGTTTTTGGAAATTTTTAATGCCTTCATTTTTTTTAAAAATTACAATTGTTGATAAAGGATAACTTAAAAATTTAATTTCTCAATATTTTCTTTTTTTTGACATTGGCTCTTTTTACACCAACCCACAGTTATTATATACAGGCAATTGCAAATTCCACCAATTTATAGGTAATCGATATTAGGATTGGATTAATAACATGTAAATTCCACCAGTACTTTTTACTATCTGCCAAAAAAATGTCAATTCCACTGGTTAGGAAAATATTGGCGCCTCTCCCAATAAATTATGACCATTTCATTAAATCAAGAGCCTAAAATTTTGAATTCTGGTGTAGAAAAGTGGCATTGTGAAAACAAAAAGTGTTCCGTCGTTTTAAAAACTATTAATTCTGGAAATAATCAAATTATAACTTTCCAACAAACACTGCATAATCATAATGCATTAACCAAAAATACACTTCATTCGATGCAAAATTAAAGACAACAGAGCATAATTGTAAAGCACCACTTTTTCCTAACTGGAGGAATGTACATTTATTTTTAGGTAGTAAAAAGTACTGGTGGAATTTATATAAAAAAGGTTTAAAAAGGTCGCAATCGGTGCAATTTATATGCACCTATTATATACATATTACCATTTATTTTTTTGTTTTTTATAAAAATTAATTTTTTCTTTCTATAAATGAATAACTATATATACAACAATGCATCTCTCTCAAGAAATTTAAATGTGTCCATAACACCATAAATACCAATCTACTGATTGATAAACGTATTTAAATTTGTTTTTAGATATTACAAAATTTTTCTTTTAAGTTCATAGGTATATATATGTATAGAGATAATTTATGAAAAAAATAAAATAAATACCATTATCAATTTTAAATTATTATTAGTTTTTTTAGAAAGCAAATATATATAATATTATATGTTAAGTATCTAGATAAATTCATTTTCTATTGCTTTCATATTTTATACTAGTCTAATAATGCCCTATATTATCATTGATAAATGCACTACAACTTGCAAATCAAAATTAATTTATAAAATTAATCATATAAGTTACAATTTAAGCTAATCTATAATTGAAGAGCTATGTACAACAATTAAATAAGTCCACTTTTTAAAATTGTTCATGGAAAGAAAAATTAGTTTAGACTTATCGGGTGTTTCTACATAAAATGTTACTTTTATAGATATTGTATATAAATTTCAGACTTATCTTGTTCTTGTTTTGTTGCACACAATTGAAAGAGAAAAAAACTGTATTTAAAATTACCAAATACTAATTTTCTGAAAAAGTAGACTTATCTGGTTTTTGCACAGGACCTCTCAATATCAAGATTCAATTAAATTTAAACAAATGTTCTCTAATGCAACTTGAGTTTCCTGTTATAAAATATTGTTATTCGATTTGTACGCTTGTAGTAATTTATAACCTGAGGATCCTTCAGACTCATTTTTAAGAATATCTAATGCTTTAGATAATACTTCTTTAGCTTCATCATGCATTCCTTTACTTTCAGCTTTATTTTTTGATATTCTAGCAGCTGATTCCAATAAGGCCAAATGAAGTTCATATAATATCACTGAAGAGTAAATGTTCAATCGTATGTATAATGGATCTATGATGTTTAGGATGAAAAACATTTCTCTGCATAGTTCTACAGGAGTAAAATAATGTTTGTTATTTTTTAAAATAATATTTTGTTGAGTTTAGTTCATACCCAATTTTCTTTTTAATAAACTGTCAGTAAGCATTGAATGTTTGTATCCCATTGCATGACCATACAGCTGTATTAATGTATGTTTTATGTTGAAGCTTAAGTAATGATTTGGATGAAGATAATTAGTTAATTTTGAAAGAGCTTTTTCTAGTGAATTTATACTTGGATTCTATGATCAATAAGAATATATTATGCTAGTAAGTAATTATCATTTATCAATATAAAATTATGTACTTGTAGTGCTTTTTCAACAACACCATTTAAATTTGTTAAAATTGTATCAATTTTGTCTGGCATAGCAGTATTTGGACATCTATCGCACTCCCATTCACTAGAAATATCTAACGGATTTTTAGAGGTAAGATTCCCTTTACAAAAATCTTTCACCTGTTAAGTATTTAGACTTATTTTAAGATATAATTTTATGTAATATATAGTTTAAATTTAAAATATGTATTGCTATTTAATCATAAAAGGTATATTTCAATATTAATACTTACATTACATATAATTGTACTAAAATTAGTACCAAGTTCTGTAGGATCAGAACATCTTTTACAACTGCATTTAAAATATTTTGTTGACATAAGATGTACTTGTCTTTCCCGAGTACCCCATAGTGCATTTGTGTACATGATACTTAGATGTTCATTCCTATTATTATGTAATATTTATAAGTATTTTTGTTTTAGCTTTTACTATATTTTAATACAATTGTTGTTACTTAGCAATTTTTCGAGCAGCGTAAACACTAATACATCCAAATTTATCATATGAAAAGCTAATATTTGGTAAACAATTGTGTTCTAGGATGCTTACAGTAGAGTATATGGCTGATAACTCCATTTCAGGTACTTGAATATCTAATGAATTTACGTCTAAAATACCACATACTTTATGTATAAGATCTGACGAGACTTTTAAATCTAATTTTTTCAAAAAATTTTGATTTAAATAATCACAAATTAAATTAATTTCCCTAAAACATTGGAAATATATTTTAATACAATATTTAAATATTGAAACAATTAATTTATAAGTATCATACTCATATACTTCAGAACCTAAGCCTCTATGTTCCATGTGAGAAGGAAATTCCATAAGACAATTCCATTTGATTTTATCCGTAAATTGTAATAAAATACATTTTAAAGGAGTTAAAACATTATACATGTAATTATTGGTTTTTGCAATCTTTTCTGCTCCTAAAACCAATACTTTGCATTCTTCATCATGAATATTAGCATTAATTGATGTTATACATTCAGCACCACAAACTGGCCACAAACATTGTTCACACAAAGATTCAATAGTGGAATGTGACCTTTTCAAATGGCGTAAACATTTTATGCACACAGGTTCTGTAGTTGGAAACTTAGAACCCAGAACTAATGGTTCTTCCTTGATTATAACATCAAATGGATTAATGGCACGCTTAGCAATTAGATGACGACCTAAATTAGAATTGGTTTGAACCTAAAAAAGTGAAAACAATAAATACCATAAATAAACAATAAACAATAGTTAATAAAAAATATTAATTGTTTTAAATTACCTCATAAGATACACATTTATTTTTATGTTTTATCCAGTGAATTTTTTGATGTTCCTTAGAACAATAAGCAACCAATGAACATGCTGCACATTTACTAATAGCCGTAATACCACAAATTGCACAGTTAAAATTTGTTTTTACATTTTTAGAACTCATTTGATCACTCTTCATCATGTTTAATATCAATAAACTGTTTTTAATAAAGTGAGTCGCCTAAGCATATCTGCTGAGGCACTCAGCATGTTAGTACTAATGTCTATTTTTGAAGCCACTATAAATACCATGATCAAATGGTTCCCAAACATGAAAACTAACACAATATTGTATTATAATAAACTGTTTAATTTTAATCTATTTAATAATATACATAAATTATGATTATAAATACAGAAAAATAACTTAAAATAAAATAAAACAATAGGATACAGGAAATAATTCATTAATTTATTAATCAATATGTCCATGTTGTGCTTCTACTTCATACCAAATGTTAACAAAGAATTCTAAAATCTTCTGAAAGAAATTTAAAGTTCTAGCATAATATAATGCCCAGAATATAATAACGAACCATGCTAACCACAGAGAATAGTCATTATCAAGTTCACCAAATCCAGGAATAGGCTTTACAAAATCTGTTACTGAGATTTCAACCTTTTCATTAGGAGAAAGATCTGTAAAAAAAAATATATATATATAATAGCATAATAATGTTAAATATATATATATATATATATATATATATATAATAGCATAATAGTGTTAAATATATATAATATAATAGTGTTAAAAAAAATTAAATGACTAAATTTGTTTGCTGCAAAATTACAAAATAAAGAAAAATATTTAATATAAAAAAATATTATTATATTATTATATACATAATTCTTTAGTAGTTTTATATTTTAATACCATATTTTTACTAGTTTTTAGGTCAACTGAATTTTGAACACCCACAACTTTTTCTTATATATCATTTAGACTTCAATGCTATTTTTAAAATTGATTTTAGCGTTCGAAAAACAATTTTTTATATCTAGCTTTTAGACTGGCAGTGATTCAAAAAATGTATTCAATGCAGATAGATAACAAGAACAGTACATTTGCACATGTTGACAAAGTGCATTGAACATATGCAATTTCTAAAAAATTTGAATCATTGCCAGTCAAAGTGTTTTGAATTATAAAATACTTTATACTAATCATGCCACTTAATCTACTTTCATCCTTCTATACACTCAAGATACCTAGATATTATAACTCTAATTGGATTCTTTAGTTTATCATTTCACTTTTTTTACACTTATTGGGCAAAATCTCTTAATAATGTGTTTTGAAAATCAAAAATCCAACTTCTTAAAAAAATCTAATCACAAAAACGAATAGACAATTAATAAATTAAAGGATACAATACAAAGTAGAATTAATAAATGCTACAGATTATAATTTATAAATATTAAATATCATTAGTAAAGAATAAAACAATAACATGAGTTAAGTATCAATTAATAACAATGTCAAATACAAAATAATGAATTATAATTTATTAAATTTATTACCACATATATTAGTATTAGAAAAATGTCAACAGTTTATATTTTCAATGAAAATAAAGTTATTATTTTGTAAAAAAAAAAAAAAAATAATAATAATATGGTTATCGGTTAGGTATTAATTATAACAAAATAATTTTGACCGTTAATCTTTTTACTGCTACATTATTTATGCTATGCAACTTGTCTATGCTACATAAAAAAAATTGTTTGTTTATATTTTTATTAATAGACTAAGAAAACCCACAAAAATTAAACTGCTAAGTTAAAAGGTTTTTTTTTGGCATTTTACTATTTTAGTATAATCACCATATTGATAACCTGAGTTTTATTTTGTATACAAAAGAATGAAATTTTATGTCTAGAGTAGAATATTATGTAATTGTTTTAAGTATAATAGTATTTTTGGAGTCATAAACAGATGAGAAAAATCAAAAATCAACCTCCTCAATGCACCAACTAGATAATAATTTTATACCAGAAATAACCCATGATGTTAATGATTGGAACAAAATTTCTATTAGGAAGAGACAAAAACAAATAAAAGAAAAAAAATACAGACATACTTTGCACAATGGATGCAGCCACTGTTGTTGGTGAAAAGTTGGGAAGGTAGGATATAGAGGGAAAATTAATTTGTATCTATAAACAACGATAAACCATTGCTTACTATGAACGATTCTAAGCAGAGTTCAGTTGACAGTGATGCTTTTCCAACAATATATATATATATATGTCATATTATAGTAAAATAATTAAATAGACATTATATATTTTCTTTAATAATATTTGTTTAATATTATACCAATTTTCCTGTTTTTCTAAGTTTTTCCTGAATTTTTGAGTCACATTTGTTGGGAAAATTTTTTTTCTTGCGAAAATCGAAAAATAACATCCTTAAAGTACCTTCTTACTCAGATTTTCTTTTAGAAAAAGTGCTTTCATTGTAAATCAGATCAAAATTGGTGGTAAAAAGTTGTTCATAGAAAAAAAAAAGGCTGAAATATTTTTCAACTAATACCTACATTTAGTACATTATCCTTAAAGGACTACCCCAAAAAAATTTCCTTTCAGAAAAAAATCTACACATCGTATACAGGGGAGTAAGCTTTCTAGTAGAAAAAATGTTCACATAAAATAAATAAATAAATAAACATCTTTGTAAAACCAATACATTCTTCACTACATTCAGTATCTAAAATAGAGGAGTTTAGAAAGTATTCATAATTCATGATTTTAATTATTTTTTTTATGTATTATATATATACACAGAGTGATTCACTAAGTGTGCTCACCCCTTTATTTTGCATCTATTCTAATTCTGATTTTTAGAATTTTTAAGTAAAGTTAAAACCGATATATTCAAATACTTGGATTTTTCACAACATTTAAGGAGTATCCTGTGGTGATACCAATTTTCTTCTTCTTCTTCATCGGTTTTTTAAAGGCCATTAAGACATATTACCGCAACACAAACTTGCTTCCATCTGTCTCTGTCCTGTGCTATTGTTTCTCCATTTCGTATTTCAATCTCTGCTAAATTCTTTTCCACCTTGTCAATCCACCTTTGTTTCGGCCTGCCAAGTGGTCTTTTTCCCTAGGGTTTCCATTTTAAAACCTCTTTCATAAGACCATTTGACCTCCATACATGACCGGCCCATGCCATTTTCCTATTTTTTAATACTGCTACTATGTCTGGCTCTTTATATAATTGTTGTATTTCTATATTATTTCTTTTCTCATATTGTCGTGTCATATTATTTATTTTTGGCCCAAATATTCTTCTTAATATTCTNATATAAAAGGACTGGTCTGATAATTAACTTGTATATTATAATTTTTGATTTGAGTGATACACGTGATAGCATTTATTTTCTGCAGTTAGTCTTATTTTAATTTCATCGTGATTATTATTTTTGCTATTTATTGTAACACCCAGGTATTTAAAATTTTGCACTCTTTCAAATTTATAATTCTCAACTTCTAAATTTTCCTCGTGATTTTCTCGCCTAGATATTACCATATATTTGGTTTTTCCTTCGTTTATTTGTAATCCAATGTCTTTGCTGTTTATTATTAGTTCTTTGGTTCCTGCTTTGACTTCTTGACTGTCTATGTCCCAATATGATAATATCATCTGCCTACGCTAGTACTCCGCATTGTCTTCTGTTCTCTTCCAAGTTTACCCCACCATATTTTTTTTTAGTTTTTCTAACTATCATTTCTAATGCTATATTAAAGAGTATTGGGGATAGGGCATCTCCCTGTCGAAGTCCAGTCTTAACTTCAAATTCATCTGATATATGTTGATTGAATCTAACTTTACATCTGGTTTTATTCATACATAATTTGATCATTTTCACTATCTTAGCTGGTATCCCAAAGGTTATAAGTGTGTCCCATAGTACTTCTCTATTAATTGAATCATAAGCCTGTTTATAGTCAATAAATAGTAGATCATTGTCGAATTTGTAATGTTTCTCAACTAGTTGTTTAACAGTGAAAATGTGATCTATGGTGGATTTACCATTCATAAAACCACATTGGTAGTCTCCAATGATATCTTTATGATACCAATTTTAGTTTTTCAAATGAGAACTTTTATTAAAAATTCCATAAATAAACAAAGTAATACTTTAAATAAATTTTTGTGTCAACATTTTTGATTTCCGTCAACCTGTTAATGAGATATTCCATTTTTAAGCTTAGGTAGGGGAAGAGTAATGGAGCACTATTAAAACACCGCACGCCGTGCCGTTACACAAGTAATACTCCACTATTCTTCACTACAGTACTCTATGGATAAATTGTTAGACTGAAATTTCTGTTCAGTGCTTAATAATTTAATAGGAGGTTTATTATAAGTTGTACTTTTTGGTAAAAAAAAAAATTGAGCAAGGTAAACATTTTTTTTTTTATAAGAATTTCAATTTTAAATTTTGACCAAATTTGTAAATATTACAGCCTTTCAAAACATGTATAATAAACCTAACTTTACACCAAATCGTTTTTCGTCAGAAATAGTTTATCATTGCATACAGAAATAATTTAAATTTCCTTCTATATCCTACCTTCTCTTCTACTCACAACAATTGCTCACTCATCGTGCAAAGTAAGTTTTTTTTTTTGATAACCAAGTACAACTTATAATAAACTACCTGTAAATTTGCATGCATGTTTGGTCAAACAATTATATCCACAAAAAAATTCTTACCTAATAAAAACTACATAAAAAAACTAATAACATAAAATGGCTATAGATAGCTCAAAAATCGCCAAATATTTGAAAATTTTACCATGTCAATCATATAAGTTTTCTGTCAATTTCAAGTCTCTAGGAACATTTTTAACTGAATTAAAAACAAAAAAAAGGAAATTAAAAATCATAAAATCATTATTTCTGTTAACTTTCCTGTTCTTTCTACATTTTTTTTTCAGTCATTAAAAAAACAACCAAGAAAATGTAAATTGACTTTCTTACTCCATCAACTAGTCTAAAAGTTTAACAATAAAGGTCTCTTGTTGTTTTTTGATTAGACAAATATTTCTGGTAAAGAACATAATGTGTAAAAATATCAATTACCCTGTGGCGTCTCTCCTTTAAAAATGAAGTATGGGAGAGGGGTGAAAGTATCCTTTGTTATTCGTGGTTTAGAACACCTATGCAAAGTTTCTGCTCAATCTGTTCAGTAATTTGAGGAAGTGATAATGAACCCATCCAAACACAAACTTCCATATTTATAATATTAGTATAATTTTAAATTATTTAATATTTATAAATTTATTTCTGTTTGAGTATTAAACATCAAATTTGTATTTTTACATTGATAAATATAATTTATTAATAAATTATTATGCATACCTGTATGTCTAATGACAAACTTTGTAAATTCATAAAGTGTATAATCAGAGCCATTGTACTTGGCAATAGGTTTACCATTATGAAACAAAACTAATGAAGGTACTCCAGTTATACCATACATAGTGTTATATCTAATAAACAAGTTTAAAAAAATGAGTTTATTACAATTTATTTATTGTAGATTAAATGTGTAAATATTTTAATGTGCATACCTTTGTTCAGATATAGCATTAAAAGCCACCATTTTAATTTGAGGAAATATTCTTGGAAGTATATTGAAATGAGGTGCAGCCAAAATGCTAAATTGACAAGATTTAGCATAAAATAATACCAATGAACAAATACCAGCCATACGCCGATTAGTTACTTCAGGATCAGTTTTTAAAACATAACTAAGTCTAGTTGAATTAACGATCTTAAGAAAAACATAAAAAACAAATTTATCAATAATATATAAAAGTATTTTTATGTAGTTACTTATATATGGCATAGAACAAAATAAAAATCCAAAATATTTAGGTTAATTTTTTAATGTAGAACTATAATTATTCAAAATTTTTAAATATAATTCTACACAATATAATTTTGTCAAACTATCTATTCTAAAAGTTTTCATATATTTATATAATGAGGTATACACATTTTACATAAACATCAAAATTATTGCTAAAGTATATCAAGCTAAAATTGCAGTGAATCAATTTAAAAATTATGTTTTGACAATCCACAATTTTATTAAAATTAAAATATACAATGTAATGTTAATATTATGTTGATTATATTAATAGGCTGTGATTTTGAGTAATGGGAAAAATGTCAAAATTTAAAAAACATTTTTGATCTATATCTATCTTATATACAATAACATATCCTGACTGATGACTGATTCATCATTGTCTAGCCCAGACCACTAGATCAATCGAACTGAAATTTGGCATACAATTACCTATTTTAATTTAGGTATCCGCTAAGACAGGAATGTTAACACTCAATACTTAGGGAGATTAATAATGTTGGTTTATAGGTTAGGTTGTTACAATATACGGATAAATACACAGTAAATATATAAACTGGTAAATTCACCAATGATATATTTTTTAATCATTTGATTGTCTTGCAAAGCGCATTTTTTTGAGTTAAAATAACACAACATTGTATTCTGGCCTTGTGCTGAGACTAATCCAGTAATTTTATTAATTAATTTAATATTTGGGCAATAATAGAATAGAACATTGCAGATCAATTAAATTACTGAATTATTGAAACAAAATGAATTCATAGTCCTAGTTTCCTACCCAATAATAAGGTTTTGCCTAACAAATAGGGGTTAATTTTTTATATTTTTTTGGTTTTTTCAAGTCTAACATTGAACACCTAATTTCTTATTTTTAATTTGTATTAATTTTTAAGTTATTTAGTTATTACTTCTAAATTAAAAAATACGAGAATTTCGTCACAAGAAAATTTCAAATTTAGTAACTGAAACTTATGATTTGAAAAAAAAAATGTCCATAAATGAGTTTAGGGACTTAATTACATTTATACCATTTTGGTTACTATAAAATACATTAAAATATTGAAAAATGCTACCAAAGCTCTAATTGTAAAGCCACCTAAAACATAAGAGGTCCATAATTAAAATGTTTAATTTACTATTTTTATTTCTTAAGCAATCATTCTGAAATTAGTACCTACTTTATGCTGCAGAATTCAAAACCAAAATTGGGGTGAAAAATTAGAAAATCCAAATCAGATACAATATTCGATTTTGGATTTTAAATGGTTAAATGGATAAATGATCAGAACGGGTTTTAAAATGATTATTATATTATATTATATAGGATGTTCTTTAATATTTTAAAATATTTTTTCTGTTACCCAAAATTAATTCAATCAAAATTATTATTATATAATTATAATTATTATTTGGTAATCCTTAATATATTATGATCTTAAAATAAAACATTATAATAAAAAAACAAAAAGTAATATTATCTACTTCTCTTTGCTATGATCATAATTTTTTAGATAAATTATCAAATATATTACCTCAACAGAAATTTCTGTCTGATTCAAAGGTACAAAATTAGTACAATTTACTATTCTTGAATTATTAGCAGCTGTAACATTAGCTAATTCGGCAATGAATGGTGCACTAGTATTTCCACTGTCAAGAACAAGTTCTGCATATAGAACTGATGACAAAAACAAACTGAACTTAAATTCCTTGCTTGTATGGCTAGAAGTGCTTGTAGTTAAATAAGCTTGCATGGTAGGTAAATAATTATATTCATCTTCCAATTTTTTCTATAATATTTATAAAGAAAATCAAACAATGATTAATATTCATAAATCTAGAAATATAAAAAAATATCACACCTGAAAATTTTTTATGGCATTACTAACTGCTAAGATATCGCTGAAGTCAGTCACTTGTGGTGTAATCGTGAAATTTTTTGGAGAATCTGGTAGCTCCAATGGTCCAAATTTACTATCATCAATGTGTACATTTTCTTCAAATTCAGCTGTAATATAATTTAAGGATTTTATTTATTAAAGATATATGATTAAGTTGAAGTCTGATTCTTAGGTTCAAAAAATATCAAAAAACCATCCCTATATTTTCTCTTCTCTTCCCTTACCAGATTCACGCTATGCTGTCAGAATACCCATTTTTCAATTTCCTGCATTAATATGCAAGATTTACTTTCACATTATATAAAATAATGTAGAATATTAAATTAAAATAAAGATGCATAAAACATCCTGTAATAAACTATGTATAATTTTTGCTGGTCTTTTTGCTACATATTAAAAACATATGTATAAGCATATGTATGCATTATAATACATATTATAAAACTATTACATACAATTGTAAATAAAAACAGCGACCATACAGCTGCAGAACTATACAGTACCACAATAAGTGGTCAGAAAATTTAAAAATCGAAATATTAACTACTTACTGATATTTAAGATGGCTATACAAATCGTTAACATATTTATCGTTTTCGATGTTTTGAAATTTTGACACGGTTATATTAATAATAAAATCATAATGCTGCAGTCATAAGACATGTGTAAAAATTACATAAAAGGAAATCTCGTATAGGGATTATTGTGGGAAAATGGATAATAGATATTCAGACTGCATAACGTGAAACGAGTAAGGGAGAAGAGAAAATATGGTACTTGTTTTTCGATATTTTAACATTTTTTTTTTTGAATACAAGAGCCAAACTTCAACTAAAGTACCCATATAAAATTGTCTTACCATATGTTAATTCACAAATAGATAAAAGTGACAAAATGTATGAAAAATGCATTGTTATATAGTAGATGTCACTCTTACACTTAAACATGCATAAGGCATAAACAAGTTGAATTATTATATTTTGTTCTTACAATAGATCATTAGATAACTGCAAAAACTTTGTTTACATCAAATTCAATAAAGACATATTACACGCTGTTAAAGAAATCAACGATAAGGTAATATTCAAAAATTAATGAAAATTGAAAAACCAAAAATTGTTACGCGAAGTAATGTAAGAATTAAACAGTTTTAACAATTTTGTATCGGAACATTCTGCGCACGAAATATAATATACAGAAGTAACAACCAGCCACAGATAGTTCTTTGGTAAACTGATAACTTTAAAATGTTGGTTACCGTGTTATGATTTTAGTAGGATCAACTGCAGGTTGGAGGGGATGAGATTAGAACCATTTTAGTATCAATGTGATACCATAGCTATATTATAATATCTCTGTATAATATTATATTAATATGCGTTATGAGCTTATATAATAGTGACCATGTATAATTATATAATATTATAATATATCTATGATAATGACTAAATGATTATATTGACTTATATTTAAATTATTCTCTATTTGTATATTATTATGATCTTGATTTTATTGCTTTTTAAAACCAATAACTTAATAAGATACTTGACGCTGTATCGTAAATTGTTTATTCTAATATTATAATATAAACAATTACAAATAATAATTTTAAGAAAAGGAATGAATTGAATTTGTAGGTTTTGAGATATTCACGGCCGTGGAGATATTTAACTCAGTGCAACAGACAGTACCTACTGTGCTAACGTATCATTAATGCCTAAACGGCTAAAGTTGATATCCATTTATAATTTGATGTCCCATACATTTATGGAACATTCACTGACTTAGAGCAGTTTCCCCCTCCCTTTAGTACAGCCCTAACAACAAACTACATGTATCCCTTTCTCTCCTAAGAAATATGGGCACAACAGTTACCTGTTTTAACCCCTTTTCATTTAATGAGAATAAATATTACCTCCTTCTGTAATTTTGGGAAGGCAAAAACCACAAACCACTTTCTATAGGTAAGTACTGTATATTGTGTTATCGTATACTAACTATGAACTAGGACAGCTGTTACGTCATACAATTATATCCGTCTGTCATGGCTGATGTAACTATAGATGGGATAACCAAAGTACCACAGTGTTTCACCGTAAATTAAGTTTTGGGACGCAGTGTGCCATTTTACATCATCCCTTCTTTCAGCATCTTTGGCGTATCTATGGTAACCCTGAGTCTGGAGTAAAAATCAATAAGAATAACTACGCAGAACAAGTGTTTACTCTGCAGGTATTTGTGGTGTAGACAAAATTTTAAAAACTTAAAAAGTGCATTGTGCTTACCTATTTTGTACATATATTACCTAGCTAATTTATTACTTATTTTTACTATACTATAAAACAAAATGTCGTCAACTACATCATTGAACATCGATGGAATGAGTAAGTTGACTTAAAAAATGATGCTTAAGTATTTATAATATAAGTAGGTAGGTATTATTCATTTTTTATTAGGTAGATTCCCAGGTAACTATTTTTAACACCTTTTTTAAAATTACTTACCTACCTAATAATAAGAACCTACATTAGTGTATTACAATTTTATTTTGAGTCTTAAAAAAAACACAATGTATTTTTTTATTAGGGCATTTTTTCTTCATTTTTTAACCTGCGACATCTGCATAGATTTTTATAAAGACCGGCGGTCCTCTATTGCATGTATATGGAATGTAAATAGGTTATTAATATAAATAAAATCTAAATATACTTCCAATATGAGCAAAAAAAAAAAAACAGATATTTTAAAAAATTCTTGATAGTTAGGTGACTTAAAAATATGAAACCCTATACAGTTACTTACCTGTCATCACTGGAGTATCTTGGTTTATGACTAACGAAACCATATCCACTCTGATCTCATCATTAGAACAGTTAATGAAACCGCCGCACTCGTTTACAAATGCTTCTGTATTAATTTCTATTAAACACTAACCCCTCTTTACTTAATTTGCTTTAAACAGTTTCCAGTGACTGAGTTACCCATTTATCCGCTTAATCACTTAAATCACCAATCTTGTTACTAGGTATCTCTGGTATTTTTTGTTCTCCTATATAAAAATAACGTATTGTGCTTTTTGTAGAAATTGTGATTTTTCAAAATAAAACCATAAGGTAATTTAAAAAAAAGTTACTAACAGTCTATCTACACGATACATGTGTACATTATGGTACACTATTTAGTTGTATACGCGTATACAAAAACAAAATCATCCGTTATTTACTTATGTAACTCCGTTGTTCCAATTAACCATATACCTATACCTATATATATTTTAGATTCTGTGTGGAGCGAAAAACCTTATAGTTTTACAAAGATGTTTATTTTTTATTTGTGAGTAACTTTTCTACCAGAAGACTTGCTTGAATTTCTAAGTGTAGCATCTTTTCTGAAAGGAAATCGCTGTGGGAAGGTACTATTTGTACTATTTTAGGTCATTTTTCGAATTTCTCATCAAATGCGAAAAACCGAAAAAAAAACCAGGAAAATATAAGAAAACTAGGTATTAGTTAAAATATATTACGACCTTCATTTTTTCTGTGCACAACTTTTCTACCAGCCATTTTGCTCTAACTTTTAATGATAGCAATGTTTTTAAAAGGAAATTTTTCTAGGAAGGTACTTTAGAGAGGTAGTTTTACGATTTTCCAAAGAGTTTTCCAAGAAAATGTGAAAAATCGGGATAAAACATGGGAAAATCGTATGAAAACTGGGAAAATTGGTACAACATTAAACAAATTGTATTAAAGAAAATATATAAAGCCTATTTAATTGTTTTACTATATATTGTTGACAAAGCATCACATCAACTGAATTCCGCTCAGAATCATTTTTCGTAAGCAATGATTTATAATGATAACGATATTGCTTACAGATATACATTAAATTCCCGTTTATATCCTACCTTCCGAACTTCCCACCTACACCAGTGGCTGCACTTTTTTCACACGTTTTTAATGTACCCTGCTCAATATTTAAGGGGTTGAATATTGAATTTCCGAAATAATGTTTTTCATCAATTTAGATAATTTTTTTTCTTTAAATATCAATCTATTGATAACATTTATTTTCTGGGTACTAAAAAGAATTTATGTCTACAGTCAGGTAATAAAAAAATTAAATGGAATTATTATCTACTGAGTTGGTACATTTGTTAATATTTCCGCTGTGTATATGACGGGGTAAATTATAATACGAATAACAGACTAGTTCGTTTTTGCTGACTACCAGACCGTTTCAGTTGCCCCCCGACGATGATTTCTTTAATGGAAGGCTATAGACTTAACATAATTGTTTACATAGGTACTTATATACATATCTACTCATGGGTATTGTTGCCCCCACACTTACTTAAAAGTAATAGGTTATTTAGAAGTGAACAAAAGATGGGTTTTGGGAATTCAAACCCCCAAGGAGGGAGCCCTACGAGAGGAGATTCGATCTCAACACACATTTTCCTATATAAGAATTTTGAGGCCGGAGGTAATTTTTTGGTAGTGCCTTTAAATTCAATGATTTAGCTATATATATATATATATTATAGGTATATCATTTTTTTTATATTCAATTTATTTTTTAAGATTATAAATAAATTACACCATGTCTAAAAAAAAATGACTAAAATAAAAAATTATTACATATATTAATATATGTGTAGTCCTCATCCATGTGAGTAATATAAAACACCCCGAATTTGATTAACTTTATTATCTCTAGAGATAATCAAGTGGTATATTTTCGTGGAACAGCCTGTATGTATATAGTATACGAGTATGTATAGTGTTATCCTTATGCTTATAATACTGTCAAAACTTTTTTTTTTTTTAAAATAGATATCAGTTTTTATTATTTTAAAAATCAATTTTATTTTAGGTGCTGACGAAAAAATTGAACACATTAATTTGTTACGTGAAATAATTCGTCTCAAAGAACAGTCTGGAACTGGTTTTAGTTCTCAAAATAACGGAAATAAAAAAAGAAATATTATCAGCGGAACAGTAATGTCTATTATATTTGTTACTTGCTTCGTTCTGGTAGTGGCAATGGCTTTTTATTCTTTCCGCACCCTATACCTTGCCATACAGAAAAAATTCCCGACTCCACATTCAGAATTGTAATAATGGTCAAAAAGTAATTTATTAAGATAATTTTCTAATTGTATTTACACATTTTATAACATTATAATAAAGAGATTAGTATATAGGTACTTATATTTATAATGTGTAATATATATATTTATTAACATTGTATCTAATTGTAAAAAGAGAAGTATAGATATTTCAATTTATAATAGTAATAATTGTTTGATACTTTGCTATAGTTATTTGTATGGTTTTATTACTATTTTTTTTTTTTTAAATTGTTTGAAGTATGTTCTTATTATTAGTAGCTAAATTCATTTTAAATAAATAGATACTTATCATATTGATTTTAACTTCTAGATCCCATACACGAAACGACTTGTTAAAATTTTCTGTATTAGTTCAAATGTCATGGTTTCAGTGGTTTCACAGAAGTTATTGTTGACACTGATGACCAACCAACTAAGAATTACATTAGTTTTAATTTGTAGGCTATATTGTCAAAACAGACTATAGGATCACGTAATTCCTTACTTATTAAAGATATCAAACCGAAATAAATGCTTACTAAAATATGTTTTCAGAATTAACACACTTATATATTACGTCCTAAGTATAATAATACGGCTTTTTAACGAAACTAATTGGAGGTTTTAACTAGCTCTCCCCTTCCCTACGAAGTTGTTTTAAAAAATATTTACGAATTCTATGTACCTAATAGGTACATATGGTTGCATAATTTATATTTCAAAAATATTTCCTAACAATTTTGAATACGTGTATAATGCACATTGTATGTCATGCACTAAGCATTTATTAAATAATTTAATATCCCAAAAACCTGTCCAGAAATAGTTATTGTTCTGGCAGGGCATTTATTATCGGATTTATTAAGGTTTACAAAAGCCATACAGATAAAAATGGGTATAGTATTTAAATATTGTATCTTGTATCTAAAGATTTCTCATTATATTATATTTACACAAATACTTTTTTATAAGCCTTATTTTATACATAAAAAAAAAAATCAATACATAAATCCAAATAAATACTTTTTGTAAAATTTACAAATGTTGATAAAAATTTGTCTAAACAAGTTGGTCGACAAATAATTTCATGTATAATCGTATGGAACCATTAATAAAACCTATTTATTTCCAGATTCTATTAATTTTTTTAAAACTGTCATATTTTCTGAAGCTACAGCTTGTCGATAAATAGATATCGTGTCGGTTTTATTATTATTGACTGAAATTAAAAAAATAAAATTGCATTATAGTACTCTAGTTCATGAGTCAATAATTAAATACGCATGCGGAAAAAAAAGTCTCAGCAAAAAGTCCTAAAACAATTCCAATCACGGGGAGAAAATTCGTGTAAAAAAAGTACTGAAATATTAATACTTATAGAGTTATATGTACTTTATTTGATGGAATTGGTTAAGTCTTAAGTAAGCATGTACTATATAATTTAAAATTCACAAAAGTACAGTAGCGTATTTAAGGGGGAAGATTATAAGGAAATATTTCTTCCTCTGAACTTGTTTTAATATTTGTTATTTATATTACTACTATTTTTTTAAATTCAAAATCAGAAAAATTCAAAATAAGTCAGTATCTATAGTTAATATATATATGTATAAAAAAAATCCTAAATGATCTGATCGTACCAATACGTTATTTTATTTAAAACAAAACCTATTATAAACCCTATTAATAAACATACTATATAAGAGGTTAGCAGAGTGGATTCAAGGACAATTTGCTCAAAGTTTAGACTGTAGCATCTTTTCTGAAAGGTAATTTTCTCTAGTTGGTGCACTGAGAACGTTATTATATGATTTTCCAAGGGGTTTTCAAAATGATTGGAAAAAACTCGAAATAAAATTATAGGTTAAACGGCAAATATTTATGGCACGCTGCAGTGTTACCATTAACATTGTTTTCATTGTGTTGTTGTCGTTATAGATACTAAAGTTTTCTACCAGAAATATTACTTACGAGGTCTGTTCCAAAAGTATCCGATCTTTGTCCGTTATAACACGCTCGTCTTATTTATCTTCATCTGGCTCGTGGAATCCTTCGAAGTAGTCTCCATTCGACTGGAGAACACGCTCCCACCTGTGCTTCCATACCCCGAAGCAGTTCTGGAAGTCCGCCTTTGCAATAGCCTTTCGTCGCATTTGTCCGTTTTGTCTCCGTGTCATCAAACCAATGTCCTTTAAGTGGAATTTTCAACTTTGGGAACAGCCAAAAGTCGCAGGGAGCTATGTCGGGACTGTACGGAGGTTGGCGTAGTGTTATTTTATGTTTTGCCAAATACTGTTGCACCAGGTTCGATGAATGCACTGGTGTATTATCGTGGTGAAGAAGCCAGTCGCCACTTGTCCAAAAATGCGGCCGCTTTCTTCGCACTGCGTCACGCAATCTTTTTAAAACTTCAACATAAAATTCCTTATTGATCGTCTGACCTCTTGGAGCATATTTATGATGTATAACACCTTAATAATAAAAAAAAAACAATCAATATCGTCTTAACATTACTCCGAAGTTGACGAGCTATTTTCGGTAATGACTCGGATGGAAAGTTCCATTGTGAAGATTGTAACTTTGTTTCGGGATCATAACCGTTAACCCACGACTCGTTACGGGTAATGATCTTTTTCATCATTAGTGACTAATTCCAAGTTTTCCTATGCAATTTAAATTCGAAGATTTTTCTGTTCTACCGTAAGCAATTTTGGAATAAATTTCGCACACACGCGAGTCATGTTTAAATTTTCAGTTAGTATTCTTGAAACACAAGTTTTCGGAATTCCAAGATCATTTTCTAGTTCACGTACAGTCAAACGATGATCTTCTTCAATCGTAAGTCACACACGATCGATATTTTCCGGTGTTAATGTGCTCAAAGGTCAGCCAGAACGCGGGTCACTGTCAACAGACATGCGGCCATTTTTAAACTGCTTGTACCATTAATTTATTTGTGTTTTGCCCATACATTCGTCTCCAAAGGCTTTCTCTAACATTTTAATAGTTTCCGCACAACTTTTTTCGAGTTTAAAGCAAAATCTGATGCAAATCCGGTGGTCACGTATTTCCGTCATATTCAGTAATAGCAAAATCCGACGAACGCAAAAAGATATTGTTTACAATTGTAACGTTGCACTTTTGTGGCAGCCGAAACATTCGTGAGATGTCACTGGTTACGTTTTAATCCAACAGAGGTCACTCGAACGTTCTGGCGTGGAAATATAAACGCAAGTCGAATACTTTGGTACAGACCTCGTATATTGCTTCAATCGAAAAATGACAATCTATCTATTTTGTTCCTTATAATATTTTGCCACTGATAGAGTAAGTCGTTTTTCAATATCCAAAATAGTTTTTCAAATAATTGGATAAAACTAAAAAATTAAAATTATTTCATATTTATGACAACGTAAGCATATAGCGTCCGGGTGTACTAGGTAAAAATGACGTCAGGCGATTGTGACGGGCAAATGTCGACTTCATGGCGATTGAATTCATTTTTACTTATATGTATGTTTTAAATTATTTATATCTAATTTATTTTATGTTTCCTTGCTTATTGATTTTACTATTTTTATTATTTATTGGAATAATGAATATTTTTCATTCATAAAACAGGTATTTTATTGTATTCATTTATAAGCACTTTAAATTTCTATTTTTGTCAATAATAAAAGATCAATTTTAGATTCCGAGCGTATTGAAAGAACTATTTGTTTTACTAGGATGTTTAATTTTTTTTCTTCTTTGTTCTTTGTTCTAGTCTATGGATACATTTTTTCTTAGTAAACCTGCTCCGATTTTAACGTGTAACTTTTCTGAAAGTTCAAGTTGTCTAGATTATATCTTAGAGAGGTCATTTGATTTTCGACACCATTTTTTTTAAATAAAAGCACTTCAGTGGGACAAAACGTAGGAAAAAGTAGAATTTCACGATTTCATTATTTTATAAAAACACGGACAACGTTTTTTATCAGAAAAAATTATTTAATCGAAAAATCACACGACACCTTTTTTGTTGTCTTTTTGATTTACTTTCTTACGGTATCATTTCCAAAACTTTTGATCCACTTTTAAGCTTTAAAGGAATTTTAATTTTTGTGAGTTTTTTTGCTATAATTCGGTTACGAATACACGAAGAGACTTGAAACTTGATAATAATACTTATATTGGACTTACTCAGACGTGATAAAATTTCCTAAATCATCGGAAGACTTTTTTTTTAAAAAAAATTATGGCACTTCAAATTATGTATTACCGAACTACACTCGGAATCGTCTTTCATCAAGCTATGATTTATCGTTGCTTACAGATAAATGAAATAACCTTATGTATTCTACCTTCCCAACTTCTCACCTACAACAGTAGCCACTCCCATCCCCAGTATCAGCTCTTTTTATTTACTGTATTTAAAAACGGTAAATAGCATTAATTACTTAGGTTAGTGCTTTGGGTATTTATTGGAATCTCTTATGCAGTTAGCCTGTGTTTCTGTTCGCTAGCATCTAAAAACTAAATGATAATGAAGTACTTGCTGATAAAATTGTGAACTTAAACACGCGGAGCAGGTTAGTCTTATGGAAATATGTGAGCATTTTTGAAAGTTATAAATGAAATAATGTCCGATAAGATAGGGCTCAAACTCGTAGGATAGGTGTAAAATTCATGGAAATATCTTGTTTCCATATTTCACACTATGGGTAGGCTACTGTTGTAGGTTGAAAGTTTGGAAATATTTATTGATTCTTATCTATATAACTACGTACATAATTTATTTTTTATAAAATTAATAAAATTATTCACATCGAATTCTAGTTTTTTTTTTATGGATTAATATAAGTTTAATAATCATATTTTAAACAGGGATATTATATATTTATTTAATGCATTATAAAAATATAATTTCACTGAAGGGTTTAAATAATTAATTTACAAAGCTTTGTGGACACAACGACACAAACATCCAACTATTCAGAAATTAATTAGAAAAATAAAAATCGATATTTTTACAGACGAATCAAAATTTGTATTTGGGTACCTACAGCAGAAAAATGCTAGGATAAACTGTTAACTTTAACGTTTCAAACATACAACTTAAAAAAATTCAGAATATTAGAATTTTAAATATCTGTAAGTCATGATATGCAAGTGATTGAATGGTTTTAATTCTGATTTTATACATAATTTTTTATTTATTTTATTTGGACTGCATTCTAAGATATACTTACAGCAGGTATAAAATAATATACTATATTCATTAATTATTTAATATTTTCTGGGACTTTTTTTCTCTAGAGTAGGAACTTTTTACCGGGAAATGTTTCCTAGATTCATATTACCTCTAAGTCGAGAAGCATTCTGTATAATAGTATTTATTTTCTTCAATGTCATTAACAATTGTTCATGGTTTTCACAAGTAACTTGATGATTTTGAATCATTTGTTTATCAATATGATAAATTTCATTCAAACATTTTTCCATATTAGACCTAAATAAAATGAAAACATATTAATAGTATGATTAAAAAAAAATAAGTTAATATGAATTTACATATCATCTAAAAGCCGAAAGTCTTCTGATTGTACAATGAGATTTTTTAACAAAGCTGAACTATCAGCTATTGAAGCATTCAATTTAACTGAATTTTGTTGAAGAGTCTTCATAGTTTGTATATTTTCCCATAAATCAGCAAGAACTTCGGGAAATTCTGCTGATGACTTTTTAAAAATAATAATTATAATAGGTATAATAATATTATTGTACCCAGTAGGTAGGTACCTAATTATTAATTAATAATAAACTGACTCACATCAATTTGTTCAAGATTAAGATATACTGCTAGTGACTGTATAATATCAGCTGTAATATTTATGTTTACAGAATATACACACATCATTTCTCTTTCAAATGTTATACATGTAAGTGTAGAATCTCTCAATGATTTTATTGATATTTTCCAAAAATCTTGGCCATCAGTTTTTACCGGAGTTTTTTGAGGCACAATAAAATTTTGACTTAGCCATAAATCCAACTTGAAAATATAAATGAAAATTATTCATTAAATATATTTATGCTCAGTTTTAGTTTATAAATTCTTACCCTTTGAACTCTTTCAACTAATCGAAATTTCACATAACTTTTGGGAATATCTTCAATTTCTGGGTAAATAACTAATGAATACATTGAAAATTTTGGTAATTGACGAGTAAGTTCAAATACATGAAATTGATCATTATCTAGACTTGAACCAACAAAAGCCTAAATAAAAGTATATTTTATAATAATCATTTTGAAAGATAAGTTATTATTTATTAGAATATTTGTAATAAACACAGGCCATTCAAAATGTATATTACAGTAATTTTATCATGTATATATTATTATGTTAACATAATATGATAATATAGTTTTTACTTTAATGTGTAGTCATGGTTCTCAGAGAAATATAGTATCTACCTAAATATAAACAAACCTCACAATATTATTAAAATATGTGTTTTCATTTGTAGAAATGTATAAAATTCATTAGAACATAAGGAAATATAATTCATTATATGACATATATGACATTAAAATTTGTGACTGATATAGTGAAAGTAAGTATAATGTAAATATAATGTATAAGTAGTAAATATAATGCAATTTTATTATATCCGATCTGCATTATCATATCATACCATATCCAACGTAAATAATTACATTTGTTAAATTTACAAATATGTGTATGTATATTTGTTGAGGTATTTACACTTATCTGTTCCATGTCCGTTTCCATAATTTTAGATTAATGGGAGACAATATTTTTGAGAATTTTACTGATGGAGAATAGTTTTTGAGATACAATACTTTGTTTTTAGTATTTAATGACAGACAACAGTCTAAACTTGGTGTATTGATCATATTTGTAGTATTATTGTCGAATTCATGTCTATTAAATATAATAATATATTTTTCATTATTTTATATCATGAGTAGGTACTAATGAAAAACTTATTGAGACTGTCACATAGAAATGTATGACTTATCACATCAAAAATACATGGTGTATGCTTTCAAAGACAGCATTTGAAATTCAGACACCTTTGTCTGAAAGGTTGAAATACATCCTTAAAAGAACAACACTTAAACCATATACAAAGGCGTACCTATTGCCAATACAGAACTGCAGAGTTGGTATAAAACAAACATGAGAAAATCGAATGATACTGATATTGAATATGGATCAAATATGTGTGAATAGATTTTAAGTGGTAGGTAATAACTACTAATTTAGATGAATATGAAAAACCCATAGAGGAAATTTACTCGAATGTGGATGTCCAGTAATATATCTTTTGGAGGCAATAAAGAAATTTTTAATATGGAAGAAATATTCTCTCGTTTGGGATGTACAACATGAGTTTCATCTTCAAAAATTCCTTCAGCAAATACAGTAACCGCTTTTAAAATGGTTGAATTGTTAGTGGATAATGTAAGTAATACACATGGTTCCTGAAAAAAAAAAAAATGTGTATATATATTTATTTTATAATTAAATTTACATTGAACAACAACACTTTAATAATAAACTTGCAGTGGTTTCTTCAGAAACTGATATTTCTGTGATGAGCCGTGTGTCTCCCTAAAATTTTGTTTAAAAATATTAAATATTAATTTGATAATTATTTTAATTTCTTAATACTTAATACTTTATGTAACAAAAACATAATCTTACTGGAATGCCATGGCCTTCATTCGAAGCTTTTGTGTAATTATTTAATTCTGCCGTGAGTATCTGTCTCTTTTGCAAAAGATCATGAATAACATTGGTTTGAACACCAGATTCGATTTTTAAACTTGTATTATCATACCCCCTGACTTAAAAAAACAAATATTTTTGGAATATTTATTTAACTATTAATTTAATGACTTAATTATTTTTTATTTAATACCTTCACCATTAACTGAAACAACAATCATTTGAGATTTTCCAGCTCTTCTGTAGTCTCCTATAACTATGCCAGCTATGCTAGTAGATAATACATCTCTAAAAATGACTTCCCCAGTCATAGAATTACGTGCATCTATCTTTCCATTTGACCATCCAGTTATTAATTCATCTTTTCCATCTCCATCTAAATCATATTTTTCTAGGAAATTCACTGTACTTTTTGACTAAAAATGTTTTTATACACAATAAATAATTATTAAATTATATTTGACGGGTAATAATAATAATAGTAATTTTTTGATTTTCTATGTAGTTTTCTTGATAATAATGAGGAAATGGATAGTTTCATTTTCAATGATTTCTGTTGTTTTCAATTTTGATTTTTTATAGAAATTCAGATAGCAATATTTAAATAAACCTGAATTATTCATTGAATAAATTTAATATGTTTTTATAGATGTGATAAACACATGTTTTAAACAATCTGAACAATTTGAAAATATCGAGTTTTTTTAGTTTTTAGTTTATATAAATATTTGGCATCTCAAAAATGAAAGAAAATGTAATAAAATCTTCATTTTACATTTTTCTTATAAAAATCTACTTTTTTTTGTTAATATATAAGTACAATTAAAGTTATTGATTTGTAAACTTTCGGTTATTTTAGGTTTAAAAAAAGAAAAAATAGAACATGCTAATAAGACACAGATAAAATTATTCTTAATGTACTGTAAACTATTAGTAATTTTATTATAAATAGGTGCAGAAAGAATAGAGTTGTCTCATTCAAAGAACAGTTTTTACAATCAAATTACGAGGGGGGAGATATTTTACCTATTTTTTTTTTTGTAGGGGACACTTGAGTGTAAAAATAACATATAATTCTGCTTAATCTAAAAATCATTGGCCTCAAACTAGCCCATCTGAATAAAAAGTTCTGGTGTCGCCACTGCCTGACATTAAAAATGTTTATAGCAAAAATGTTACAGCAGGTTTATAGAACATTACAAATAGAGTATTTGAGTATAATATACATTTTGATATTATGGCCTCCTTCCTTTTATTATATTTTATCATAGGTAATGTCAATGATAAGTTTAAATAAACTTACAAAAAGACAAACAGTTAATAATTTGTATAATAAATTACGAGTATTAAAGGTGTATTAAAGGCTATATTAAAACATGCATAGTAAATATGACAAGAAATTATTATTTTTACCTTAACTCTCCATACTCTCCGAAATTTATCATATACACCAACAGTTCCATTATCTAATGCATATGCAAATCTTCCAACAGAAAAACTATTTAATGCACAGATTGATGAAGTTTCAGATATTTCATTCACAATTATATCATCTTTAAATTCCCTGATTTCATAATCGTCAGAACCAACAAGTAACTAAAATTAAACCAAACAAATTTTCTTATTGTTTTTTAAAATAAAATAAAAATATTTAACAAATGAGTTCTTACCTCATTAGAACCATCAAGATCTAAATCCATAACTAAAATAGATCTAACATTGTCACCAGTAACTGTCCATAAGATTTCATTACCTTTATAATCAAATGCTTGAATAGAACAATTACCACCAATAATAATTGATGGATCTTTCATAGAATTAAGTTTTCCAATAGTGATTGCTGCAACACCGTCAGGTATCTGAAAATCCATGACATAAATTATAAAAGTAATAGGTAAAACTAATAATTTAAATGCACATAACTAGGTATATACTGTAAAATTGAAAAAAGTAAAATCTATAACTATACGAACTCATTTCAATTGCCCGCTAGTCCAGCACAAAATAAACGTATTAAGTCCTATAGAAAATGGTATAGGTTTTAAATAATTTCACAAATTCCCATATCTCCTCAAGTTGGGTTTAGAGAAGATGATTTTATAATTTATTTACGATTTTTATTTGCTGTATCTCCTTTCATTTAAAATAACTAGGCACGCCACTGATTGTCATTATATACAATAAAATAACATTTTGTCTTGTATAACTTCATTTCATTAATATAAAAATACTTACCTCTATTATTAACCTACTAGTTTATTGTAAATAATATAATATACAAACATACTTATTATTAGCTTTTAATTATATTAAAATTTTTTTTAGATTCTGAGAAAATCTAGAGATCTATTGATTTAGTGCAACTGTAAACAACTTTACTACTACAAATATTGATCCGAAGTCGAAATGTACAGAGCGTTTTGTCTTTGTTGAAAGTAAATTTTGCCTAGTCGATGCATTAAAAAATGATAATTTTTTGGTTTTCCAAGGAGTTTTCAGAATAATTGGGAAAACCCGAAAGAAAATTATAGGTAAAACGGTAATTATTATGTACAACGCGCCGCCGTGTTACCGTTTACATTGTTTTTAATTTTTATTTTACCAGAAATATTGCTTTAAAATTTTCACGCAAAATATCGTTTTTAGATTTTTCAAGTAGTTTTCATAATTGGGAAACCTGGAAAAGGACGAAAAATGCAAAATTGATAAATTAACGACGGTAGAATTTCAAGATTTCTTTATTTTAAATTTTTGTGGCTTGTTTTCTACAAATAATATTACTCCAATAGAAAAATCTCCAACGAAAAACCTGTTTCGTTGCATTTTTAATGCGAGAAAGAAAATCGTGTTTTGATTTTCCCTGCAGTTTTTTTTTTATAATTGAGCAAAACCAAAAATAATTTAGAAGAACGGTAAATTTAAAAAGTACAAATAAGTAAATTAGTAGAATATATATAATACGAACAAAGGGCAGCGAAAAAGAAAAAAACAATGAGTGTTCACATAAGAAACTCCTGAGAAGGGAAAATTTACAAAAATATTGTTTTTATTATTTTAAATTTTGTTTTTTTGTTATAATTCAGATTAAAATATTTGTAGAGACTTGAGATTTTAGCAGGAAATTTATATTTGCTTTTTCTAGATCTGATAAAATTGTCAAAACATTTGAGAGATTTTTGAACTATTTATAGATATTTTAATTATGTGAATTACTCACTTAATTTTTATTTGGTAGGTACTCAGTGGATACAATTGTTAGACTAAAACAAAATTTTTTGAAAATTTAATATGAGGGGTTTATTATAAGTCATAATACTTTTTAGTCACATTAAAAAAAAAATATATATATATTAAGTGTAATGTAGTATTCAATAAGTAATAAGAGTTATAATAACAAATTTTGACGAAAATCATAAATATTAAGATCTTTTTTCGATGTACATTAAATAACTTAAGTACCTATCCTATCGTCCCAACTTTCCACTTACAACAGTATCCCCAATATCAGCTCTTTTTTTTCTTTTATTTAAGCTATATTTTGTACCTATCTACTAGATTACCTATACATGTTTAAAAATACTGTTAGAACGAAACATCTAATGACATAAAGATAAATGACCGACGATTAGAAAAAAAAAAAATGTATTTATCATAAATATTTACATAAAACTAACATTTCTTATTACTTGTCTTGACTTAAATAAATCGAGGGAGGAGAAGAGAAATAATATTTTATGATAATGTCCGCAATCTCGTTTTTTTTTTTATAGCATATACCAATTGTTATTTTACCATTCATTTTATCGTTTTTCCTAGAATCTAGTTAAATTAGTTTGTTACAATGAATATTTACATAAAATGTAAACATTATATTAAAATTATTCTATTATAAACATTGTTATTTTATCTATTTTGTGTTAGTGCTACCCGTCAGAATAGATATAATGATGTTACAATCGTTGGTAGGTTTAATCTTTCGTCATTTCGCTAAAATAAAAACGGCCGTAAACAGCTGAGTTATACATTTTTATTATAGAGTCGAATTTTCGAATTTCTTGGCCTATTTTGTATTACAGAAATAAACTTTTTAAAATAATAAATGACCGAATTCTCATAGATGTGCGCAGATTTTAGATTTTTGCGCAGAACTTAAAATCTGCGCACATCTATGAGAATTCGATCATTTATTATTTCAAAAAATTTATAGTTCGGGTCGTGCCCTAGAAAAATTAGCTAATGAAGTGAATGGGAGGGAGAAAACCTCCCACCCAATGAACTTTTATTACTTTTCAGTACTAGATAATACAAAATAATAATTAAATTTATACACTGTCTTTAAATTAGTTTTCATAATTATATTAATCAATTAATTATCATACACTCCAAAAAAGTGTATGTAACCATTTTGTTGATAATCTTCATTCTTCATTCTTCTCTAAGAACTACTACAACAGACTCAATCCTTAGTAAACAGAGAAAAATAATAACAATAACGAGTATAAATGTATCAGTTATCACATATTAAATATCAACAACATAAACTTTATGTTGACCAAAGTAACTATAGAATACATATCTTAAAAATAAAGGTTCAATTATACATTATTACATATATCTGAATAGACTTTAGTTTAATTTTTATATACAATTTTCGGGAAGTGCCCAGGCACACTCGGCACACATATGTGAATTCTATAATACAATACTAAACTACAACACTAGGAGTATTTCTGCCTACAAAAAAAGGCGAGGATTAAAAGTTGACATTTCCAAAAAATAAATCCTTGATATTAATGGCCTGTTGTAAATTGTATGTCTGCTTCATTTAGGTGGTTTGTGGTGGTGTTTAAATCTTTAAATACGTTCCTTTATTCTTTATCAGTCTATCATTTTTGTTATTCTATATACTAACATATCATATTCATATATTTTGTTAATTACTTAACTATATGGTGGTGTAATCCAGTCCTGAATATTTTTGTTGTTAAATTTAAAGGTACTGAAAATATTGTACATTATTAATTTTAAATAGATAACACAGTATTTTTTAAATTATATACATATTTAAGTGGGGGAAGGGACTAACCTTCTCCCTCTATTTAAAGGGGGATTTTTTGGTTTATTAAGTGGCGCCGATCATTAGCTAGGTTGCTACTACGGATAAAGTCTAGTCACGCATATAATTTTGCAACAACATGGTGAAATTCAAACCCACTTTTATCATTTAAATTTGATTGTGAATAATTAGGTTTTTATAAACGTATTATTATGAAATAGTCAGAGACAGTATTTCATAATTAACAATGAATGTAATTAATTTTATTAATGATTAGATTAATACTTAACCGAATATCATTAACTTCATATAATTTTATCATAATCTCTAATATTCAGTTAAATGGCGGCTAATAACTACAGATATATTCGTTAAATGTACCCTAGGCGTTTTTATTTTATTTTTATAGTGGGTATTTTAGCCTTGCCTGTGCCATGAAATATAAGGCAGATAATACAATTAGATAAGAATATAAGAACCACGGTTGTAGATAAAACACAAAATCCACGTTGAAAATATTTACGTGTTTCATCATATTATTCGGCATCATAACTTAATCTCATGTGATATTTTTCCACATGTTGATCTTACATAGTTTTATTTAACTGTCCGATTTGGATCACCTAAGTTTTTTTTATCTACGTTACTACACTTGACTATTATTTTGTGGTTTAATTGTGAATTTGAAATTAATTTTTATTTCCTTCGAAATTGTTTGAACACTACTTTTTTTTTTCTATTCCTTTAAATTTAAAAAATATTTAGTACTGAAAATCTTCAATCTAATTCCAGTTTAACACGTTTATGAATCTCGAATTTTAAACATGACTGATGATCAACGTTCTTTAATATTAGAGTTATATAAAATTCAAGCAATAAAATTTGGAACCTTTACATTAAAATCTGGTATATCTTCATGCTACTATCTAGATATCAGATTGATTGTGTCATATCCAAAATTACTTGTTTGTATATATATTTTATTTTAAATTTTTACTTTCTTGTATAATTGTTTAACTATTTATTTGTAGAAACAAATTTGTAGTCTAGTTTCTACAACTATTTACGAAGATGATATTTCCAAAAGTACAGTGCGATTATGTGGTGTACCTTACACGGCTTTACCAATAGCTGCTGTTGTTTCTGTAGAAACAAATTTACCAATGTTAATTCGCAGAAAAGAACAAAAAACATATGGTACAAAAAAACTAATTGATGGTGAATATTTTTGTGGTGATAATGTAATTATTATTGAAGATGTCATTTCAAGCGGTGAAAGTATTTTAGAGACAGTATTTGTGAGTATCAAAACTAAGATTGACATTTAACAAGTCAATAATAATAAAATAAATTAGGCACCTAATTATATTCCTTTTGTTAATTAATAGTCTCAATTTTTGTTTAAAAACTAATTCCTTATTGAGATTTTCTGGTTGAATTATTCCTGACTATTTTAACTTGTATCCTTTTCAATATATTTTTCAATTTGTAAAGTAAAGTAGATACTAGACAATTTATCAAATACCATAATAAGTACTTGTTTCTGTTTAAAATTTGATAAATCTTTTCGTAGGTAGTACTTCAAAATTAAAATAAGTATGTACATTAAAAAAAACTCAAATAAATACACCAAAAACAGGTTGATCCAATTATCATGAACCATCATTTTTTTTGTGGGATTTTAAGAGAGTTTAATTTTTGTTTATTTTTTCAATCAGTTGAAAATGGAATTGTTGAAGCTTGATACTATTTTCAATTTTTACTTCTAAAAATAATTTTTAATATTTCAATTACCACCTTAAAGAATTTTGAAAAATGATTGAATATCCATTTAGACGGAATGACTCCACGAAAATAGTGATAGCTCCATCAATATTTTTTTGTTTAACAACATTATACAATAGAAAAAAAAGGTTAAAATTATCTACTTTTAAAGACTCGAATACTGAAATACTGAAGAGTATCATTATTTCTGTAGTGTATTTTTGTGGGAAAAACAACATTAGCACTAGGCACAAATGAATTAATATTTTAATTTTCAAACACATGTTTGGATAGAAAATATTTTTTTATACATTTATGTGCATAACACATAATTTTAATAATCATATTTAGACTCTAAATAAGAGGCAATAAACTTCATATAAATTTTATATGATAAATTTCTCTTCTTCACCAGTCCAAGTTTAAACTCTTATAACTCAAACAGTAAATACAATTTTAGTAGGTACTATACATAAAGTCCATAAAAAAAATTCTCGATTCAAATGTGTTTAAAAAGGGCATTCAAATTTAGAAAGTATATAGTTATTTAAGGTATAAAAGTGAAAGCTAAATATTAAAAAAAAGGCTTTAAAATAAATCATTTGACTAAATAAATTGCATAATGATTGAAAAATAAAAGAAGACATTCTGTATATTATTTTAGTCAGTATTAATAAATTAATATGGTCATTGGATACCCTTTTAATTATTTGGTATGCTCTCTTTATAATAGTTTTCTACAATCTAATACAAATAAACAACAGAATCAAAATTAAAATACTATGTGTAGTAAAATTAACTATACAGGGGATTATTTTATCATGAACCAGCAATTATCCCAGAGGATTTTGAGTGAATTTGATTTCTATTTTTTCTAATTATTATAGAATTGTTTAAGCTTTATTTTAAAACCATTTTAAATTTTTTACCCTTACACCGTATACCTTAAGTAAGTTTATACTTTTGATTTTCAAATAGAAACTCCTTTAAACACAGATTTGAATAAAGAATATTATTCTAGACATTTTGATATGCATAACACTAATATCAGATTTACCGTTTATGAGTTATAACAGTTTTAAATTTAGACCAGAGGAGTAGGAAAGGGTGATAAATTGCCTATCTATAATTCTTCATACTCAATTCACACTACAATTTAATTTAATAAAAAAAAAAAAATTTTCTAAGTCAACATATTTGTATATATATATTTACATTTTTAGGATTTAGAAAAAAGCAATTTAAACGTATCAAATATTATTGTTTTAATAGACAGACAACAAGGAGGTATTCAGAGGTTAAATAATAAAGGACTAAAAATCAAAAGTATATTTAACGTCACACAGGTAAATTATATATATATATATATATGTGTACCATCATATGGCATAAGTTTGGATGATTTTTAAGCTATTTCATTCATAAAAAATTAATTTATAGCTTAATTTAAATTATTTTGATGGCAATTTTTAGATGTTAATACTCCTAATACACTATAAGAAAAAGATTTTTAAAAATGTTTTTACTAACTTAAAATGCATATATATAGCTGTCCGAAGTTACCCCTTATTTGTCATAACTTTGACACTCCATTTATTTTACGTGTTATTCATATGATAGGACAAATTTTGAAAAGTAAAGGTTAGGTTTGGCCATTATAATATGTTGTAATTAAAAAAAAGAATTTATTTATTAAAATATAAAATAGGTATAGTATAATAAAACAATATTATACAACATTTTCTTATGAAAAATAAAATAAAATGTTTCCTTATATCAACACAAATAAATATTAATAAATCAAAAGTTTTTAAAGTAAATAGTTCATTGATGTTCTATATTTTCAATACCCAGAAATATGAAATATGTCAAACTTATCTTTTTCAATTTTTTTTTTTATTTGGCCTACATACAATCATTGCAGAATATTATCTAAATGGAAAAGATTTAGATAATATTCTGCAATAATACTACGCTTACTACAAAATGATTTAAATTTGAAAGTTTAATGTGTTGAAACACAATTTTCATTTCCACATGTGTATCATAGTATTTCCTTGCGTGATTATGTTTTTCCATATTTCCCTTGGTATGCTATTGAAAAATTAACAAAGATATTAAAAAAATATTTAGTCCAAACTTATACCATATATCACGGTATTAATTTGAACTTTTTTACAATTAAATTAAATTGCAAAAAATATATATTTATTTAATACATATAATTTTGTTTTATGTTTATGTATTTTTTATAAAATAAGATATTTTTAGGTTGTGACTATACTCAAAGAAGAAGGAAAATTGAGCGAAGAAATGTATCAAAGTGTTATAGATTACATAAAAAATAATCAAGTTCAACTAGTGGATTGTGGTAAACATTTAGCTAATTATATTTTATACCAATTGATTGAAGTAAAAATTATGTATTTTTTCTTATATTTTTGGATCTCTTTATTTTCTTTATGTAGAAAAGCTATTAAGAACAAAACTTGGATTTAAAGAAAGGGCCGAATTAAAAGAAACATCTAAAATAGCCCAGAAAATTTTTCAATTATCTCTAGAAAAGAAAAGTAACTTATGTGTAGCTATTGATGTTGATACTGCTGACAAACTTCTGGATATAACTGAACAAGTAGCACCATTCATTTGTATCCTTAAAACTCATATTGATGCTGTCGATGGTGTCACAGAAACTACTATTAATAATTTAAAATCTTTGGCACAAAAATACAACTTCCTTATAATGGAAGACAGGTAATGAAAATTAATTATATAAGTTTGAAATATAAACCTATTACATATTATGAATACAGAAAAATGGCGGATATTGGAAATACTGTCAAATTACAATACAAGAAGTTAATAAATTGGGCAGATCTAATAACAATACATAGTATTTCTGGTAGAATGATGTTAAATGGCATTCAAGAGGTGATTAATGAAAATGAAGATTTTATAAACAATAGAGGTGTATTTATTGTTGCTCAATTAAGTTGCAGTGGAAATTTAATATCACAACAATATACTAAAGGTGAGTTAGTAAAAATGTATTATTATTGTTTACAAATAAACATTGAACGTTTCTAGAAACTATGAAAATAGCTGAAGAGTATAATGATATTGTGGTTGGTCTTGTATGCCAATCATATGATGTTATTTCATCACCGAGTTTACTACAACTTACACCAGGTGTTAATATGAAAAAATGCAATGATAATCTTGGACAAAAATATCAAAATCCTGGTGATGTTATTTTAACACAAGGTGTTGATATTGCAGTAGTTGGAAGAGGCATTTATCAAGATGAAAATCCTGCAGAAGCTGCCAAATTATACAAAGAATGGTTGTGGAATAAATATTTAGAACGTGTTTCAAATGTTTAAATATTATATAACTAAAGTTTATATTGACACATTTAAAATTTATTTTTGAACATATTTTAAATCTATAAAACAATACAATTATAAATAAAATTAATAGATTTAGTCTACTATTTTTGTGTAATCACACATTTCGTAATATTATCTAATTAGTGCTTTTGTTATATCATCTTCGGGCAGCACAATTAAGATAAATATTACTAAAAGTCCAGCTAATTGGAAAAATGATAAGCTGCTAAAAAAAAATTATAATTTAATTAGTCTCCCAATTTTCAACAAATAGTTGATAATCTATTGGCGTGCCTAACACAGCATTTATAACTATAACATCACCTCCTTGCTCTCACCAATTGAGTTTATTTTAAACCTATTTTACCCAAGGTGGATGAATATTAATTTTAATCCACCTTGATTTTATCGATTATTCATAACCTTGGTTATTCCCTAGAAAGTGGATAACATCGGTTATCACACGGATTAGTAGAATTTAAAACGGCTGTTATTTAGAAACTATTTATAGGATATAAACGTGTGATACATTAAAATTTCCAGAAAATATAGTTGTTTTAAACTTTTTCTAAAAAAAAAATCTTTGAAATATAAATATCTGTAGTCTACATCCTTGTGAATAATATAAAAACAAAATTTGATTATTATCTCTGGAGAAATTCAATGGGTATATGTTCATAATTTTAATAAATCATTATGTTTTAGTTTTGTTTTGCAATATTATATTTAATATTGTCATTTGATAAATATTAAGCAATAACCACTCACTTCTTTATAGAATAAATCACTGTTGAGATCTACATTATAGACCAATATGCTACCAACAGTGCCAACTACAAGTATATCTTTATCATCATTTGGTATAGCTTTTCCTGCAAATAAAGCCGTGATTTTTTGACTGATATTCAAATAAGATATGTCCTTCTCCGGTCTGTGTGGACTATGAATTAAAATCTATAACAATAAAATAAATCAATATCATTTATATCGTGGACATTTTTTCAATTCAGAAAAGGATAATAATAATAATAATAATCAAAGGATGTGTGAGGAGACAAAAATATTACGAAATAATAAAGTACTTGGATGATGAGAAACACCTCTAAAAATACTAATGTCAAAAAGAATTAAAGACCAATTGAGAGACATGAAGAGCAACAACAAAAAATTGAACTAATTGAACAACAGAATCTTATAGTCCTAATGATAAAACTTTGTAATAGGTTTTTGTATATATTTATGAGTATCACCTATTTGGGTTTGGATATCATTTATTTTATTAAATAGCATAATCGATTGAATGTACCATAGTGATACCGAAAAACCCAGGAGTTCTTTAAAATTATATTAAATACATTTAAAAAAAAAATTAAATTGCCTAGCTAACAGTAGATATATCAACTACTTAGAAAAAAATATAACTAAATGATTCAAAAATGTAAAAGGTACAAACGTTATAATGCAATATAGTAATTATTGTATAATAAAATAATATCTATACCTGAATTTAATACTTATATTTAGAATATTATTAATTAATTATAATATTTATTTTTATTTTAATGTTTTAATTATGATATATTTTCAAATTTTAAATTTAAAAAAATATTTAGTCTGAAACAAATTAATACACGGGACTTCAGTTCAGACCAACTCAATTAAGATATAATTTATGCTAAAGGTTTTACCGGCCATGATATTCTTTCAATTGAAAAAAGTCACATACCTACACTAAATTAAACTTACTTTATTTTCGGAAGTTGCCGCTGTTAAACAATGATGTGAACCATCATATTTACCTATTGTTACTAAACTTGGTAGAATACTATGTCTTAATTGTAATGAAAATAATGGAACGGCCATTTTTCATAGTCGTAAATATTTTTTACCAGTTTGCAATTTTATATATGCACATTATATCTAACTATAGAGTGTAGACAATACTGAATAATTAAATTAAGTACAAACATGTACATGAAGTAGGTATGTTCCTGGTATGTAAACACTCAAAAAAAACCATAGCAACCGTTTTTTTTTATTAGCACATTAGGTAATAGGTAACCAAATTGTTTATACCTACCGCGCATAAACAGCTTGGAAAATATTGTCATGGAAATTATATAATACAATACAAAATACTTCCATTGGAACAATAAATTTCCCATTATCTATTCAAAAGTACAACAAAACACTTAAATTCCTTAAATGATGCACCAACCATAAGAAAAACATTTATTGAATTCAACACACCATTACCCAGCAGTGCTGGTGTTGAAAGTATTTTTAGCATTGGTGGTGCTGTTTTAACCAAAAAAAAGAGCCAAAATGAGTGATTCAAATTTTAAATTTTTTATTAATGTTAAAATATAATAGAAATATGATGTAATAATTTTAAAAACTTATTAATTAATTAACAATTGTCAACTATACATGCAATAATATAATTTGATTTTACTTTTGGATTGTTCTACCTTTTCCTTTCTAGAAATGCAAATATTCCAATAGATTTTATTACATGAACTTCAAAAATTTTACTAAATTATAATTACAGTAATTTATAATTTAATTATCATTGCTTAATAATATTGTTCCCAAAATAAATAAAACAAAATTATAATATATCATACATTTCATTTATTTCAATACCGCTTATTAGGATATCATTAGACAAATTTTCAGATAATTTTTTAAAAATTGGGAAAATTGTAGACAAAATCAGTACTTCATAATTTTTGCTTCTGAAATATGAACCAAAAATTTTATATCATTAGTCATTTTGAAATATTTAACTGTACATTTTTTTTCAAAAATTTTGGGCCAATGTTACCCACAATTGGGGTAAATTTGACCCACATGTATAAATATATTGTAAAACTGTATATTATGATTTAGACCAATGTATATTGTATATTATATGTTATATAATATTGTATATTAGAATATTTATATAGGAGGCGGTCCCCACTCAATGGGTGGTAGTCCCCACTGGATTCTTGGTGGCCAGTTTTTCCACAACATCAATCGACCACAATTAATTTAAAATAAATTGACAATGTAAAGTTTTTTCAGTGTAACCAGTATATATTATATACATGTATTTTTATTTTGTATTAGGCTTTTAAAATATATTAATATAAAATTTGCTTTATTAAAGGATTAGAATAAGAGCTCAGACTAAAGTGTAATTTTTAATAGTGAGGTTAAAATAACGGGTTCTGTTATTTTTGATTTTGTTCAGTTATGGTAATTTACAAAACATTGGTAATTTATGAGGTATTTGAAAGTGTTTCTAATTCGTATTTTTAATATACTGTCTATAGTAACTGTAAGGAGTATCTAAGTATAGGGTTGATACCACGCGGGTTTCGACATAGACCATCTAATTTTATTAATACCTAAATACCTTTAATTTATACAAATACATTAGGTACGGAAATTATTTATATATGTATATATTTATGTTTACTAAACTTAAAAAGACTAAATAATAAATACTTGCTTTCTACAGCAACCAGACTCCAGAGATAGCAACCAATTATATCTACGACTCGCGAGCAACAGCAAAATAAACTGAATGTCAAATGGTCAATGGACATAGAGGGCAAAATCTATTTATCTATTTATTTTATTGGAAAATAAATTGGATTTCAATGGTAATTTTATGTTTAATTATTTAAAATTGAATGATTTTAATATGTATTGTTTTTCTCTATTTTAAACCGTGTTTTGTTTTTATTTGTAAATGCATGTTTTTTAATACGAAAGATAATATATTCAAATTATCAAATAAGTAGATTAGGCCTATCGGGGAGACCACTTGGGAAAAAAGGCGCCAATGTAGTAGCTCAAAGTTTTGAAACAAAGGTGATGAGGAAATCTGCATGATGTTTGTTACATCATTAATACTGATTAACGACATAATTTTTTAATTGGTTGGTGAAATAATACGAAGAAAACTAAAAAGTATAATTATATCTTATGACAAATTTAATAACATTTACTGAACAAATAATAAAATCTACAAAGACATATTAATTATTATATTGCAAAAGTAAAAAGTAAAATTTGAATTTTTTCAGATAACAATCAAGCAATAATTTGATTAACCTTTGCAAAGTATTCATACAAACTATATGAAGTATTTAAGATGACAAATTTGAACAGGTATTTCTAAAACAAATAAAACTAATTATTATATAATAGGTACCTTTATTTTACATACATAATTTGATATATTAAGATAAAAAACAACAATAAGTAATATTGATTTACCCTCTGATAAATTGGTGAAATGGCTGTGGAAATTGTAACCGGTTCAATTATTTTTGTAATGATTTTTAATACCTATTACATGTTGTATTTAAATGTAGGTATTTTATTATAGAATTAATTTTTTGTTTAGGTAAAAAACCTATCTCTTTGTTGGTGGATCATCATGATTCAGTGAACTTTAAAAGACGCTTTATTAAAAATTTTTAAGTTGAAAAACATTTAAGGTGGTTTGTAAAACAAAAAAAAAAAAAATTGAGTTTCGAAACAACTAGCTTTGCTGATTTAGTAAAAAGTAATTATGACTTAGTATTATATTAAATATTGGTGGTGTTTTGTAAACAATTTGATTTTTTAATAGCCTCTTTATTCTAATTTGTATAGATCTATACTATATAAAATATTCATTGTTTTTATTATAAAAATATTATAGTCTTGTAGCGAAAAAAAATAATATTATTATAGTTATCATTTAAATAGTTAAGATAAATAAATAAAATACATACATAAACATTGGTGTAGTTGTCCCTATAAATCATTAATTTTAAGAATTTTCAGAATCATAAAGAATATTTTATAGTGGTTTAATAAGTATTATATTATTATAGGTATTTATTTATTTATTTATTTAATCATCAAAACATTTAGTATTAGTATTACAATTGTATAAACATACTTAATATACTGATATAATTGTTGATACCAAATCTCTCTAAGCTATGCTTGGCGATGCTAGGTGAGATTTGGGAGTCTTGTATAATATATCTAATTTAAATGACTAACATTTTTTTAATTTTAATATTAATGTTGAATGATTTTTCAATAAAAAGGACAGATTTTCCTTTTGATTATAAAATATGTTTTACATTATATTCATAATTTTTATTATACCATCAATACTATAGAAGATTATTTTTTTTTTCAATAAACAAATGACTTAATCTTAACTCATTTTATTTAATCATTAAAAAAGAATACATGGTAATACCAAATTGTATACCCTTTTAATATCTTTCATGTGTTCCTCTATATACATTAAATATGAGCATTTTAATGGAAATATTAAACTGGGAATATTTTTTTGGATTTTGTCTGCAGATATCTAATGAATATGTAGATATATATGGTATTATCTAAGTAATCTGAGGTGAGATATAGTAAGTTGCTAATAATATTCTTTGAACGTCTGAGGTTTATTAGCGAATCACATATATGACAATTCTAAAAAAAATAATCATATCTTAAGATAATAATATTGAATGCTGTGTGGGCACAAATTCAACATAATTAGATAACAGTACAGTTTCGTAAATTAATTGAATTGTATATTCTTGAATTTTGAATGAACAAATTTGGTTAAGATAGTCGTCAAATAGTTCCAGTTATTGAGCTCTCTCAAAAATAATACAAATGAAAAATAAAACATTAATCCTGTTTTAGTTAATCACTGGTTTAAAATATCATCAAATACTAATAATAAAAAAAGTTATTATATTTAAAATTTAAACTTGTAATATTGTGTGTTTGTGTGTTTCAAATCTGTGAACAATTAAAAAAAGAAAAAGTGTTATGCTTTATTGTTGGTTTACCAGCTATTGACACTATTAATTAATTGAATTAACTAAAAAATTGTTTATTATCGACAATATTTTAATGGGTAATATTAAATTGTAATGACTTCAGTCTATTAATATTTTTACTAAAGTAGGTACTCTAAAGAAATGGTTTTAACCAAAACTATCAAATTAAATATTTAATCTATGCTTTTACTAAGGAGGCCACTTTTTAGTGTTTATGCTGATAACTGATAATAATTAATTTCACAATGCTAATTATTAATTTAATTTATTTTTTATGAATAATTGAATTTATTTGATTTGATTTCTTAATACCTACCTAATCAAATAAAAAAAAAAATGTTTACTTCGGTTGTTGAGCTAACTGACATTTTAAGTTTTATTGGTGACTTTAAGCGACCATTGATTGAAGGTATGCAAATAATGAAATGTAACCACATTGTTGAATTATGATGTGTGGAAAATAATAATAAAATATTAAGAATCGTTGCTAAGAGTTAATCCTTTGAGGCATTGTGGTAATATAGTGAAACCTCCTAAATTTGTTTCTTTTTATATGTAATATGAGTGATAACTTTTAATATTTTCCAAGAAAAAAAATGTTCAAAAACAATGTGTGCCCCAAAGGGTTAAAACTAGTGATCTCAATGGAAAATTTATATTTTTATGGCCCTATGAAGTCTATGGAATTGTTAAAAACACACCCATTACTTAACAACCATATTAAAGTACCTACCTATGTTACTCCATAATAATTTAACAGTTGGTAGGTATTCTATATAATTTGAACATTATTTCTAAATTATAATAATAACTTATTGTAAATTGTAAGAAATCATATTTAATAAAATGTTTGTTGCATGCATTAATATTATTTGTAGGAGAATTAGTAATATTAATTTTTAAAACATGCTTCCATTTTTTTTTTTTAGGATAACATTTTTAGGAAAAGTGGAAAGTCACATCTTCTTAGTATTGACTGTTAAATGAAAATCAAATAATTCTTTTGAATATATTTACGTAGAGAATATTGTTTTACATTGTGGAACATGATAATATTTATGTTTTTTGAGAGTTTTTAGTGTTGTGACACAATAAGCATGACCCATAATTATAAGTTGCCAAATGCGAAAGTGTAATCAAAATTAAAACACGACATGTGTCTAATAAATTATGACAAATCGGGTAAACCATATTTCAATATTTTCATTAATAATTCTGTTTTAATGTTGGACTCATTACGTTTCATGCCACCACCACCAGATGCCAACCACTTCACTTTCTGTTGTGAATACTTGTGTCATTATTTATGAGATAAAAATATAAGCATTTTTTTTTTTTTTTAAATTTAGCAATACATTTTCAGAATTTGATTAAGATTATCTTGTGTACATGTTTAACAAAAATCAATTTAAATAAAGAATTAAATAAACTTATTTAATCATAATTTTATAAATAATTAATATTTTTGTAGTTTATTTAGATACAGATGTTTAAATGTACCTAATTTGAATACATTTTATTATATTCGAAATGTTTAAGTTTTTACATATTTGCAGTCATGAGAGATGAGAGTAAGAATTTTGAACGGTCTATTCAATAAAGAATTCAATTCAAAGGACAAAATTTGCATGTTGGAGACTATTTCATGGGTTAGATTCCATGTTAAGCATATTTATATTAAATTGAATTTTGTTATGTAGGTAAAGAAATATTTTTTTGAATAATAACAATGAATTTTTGAAAGTTAGATAAGTAATCAATAGACAAACTGATAAATTACAATACAATTTCAGGAGCAAGGTAGGCAATATAGGTATAAAATTGAAAGTTAACAATAAAATTTTAAGAATGGGTTAAAAATTAAATTTTTAGGAGTTGTGTAGGCAACTTTTAAAATAGGAGAAGTACCATTACAGGAGTTGAATATGCAACATTTTATACAAATTTGGGAACCACTGGCCTTTCTTATCAAGTATTGCTAACGAAATGTACATCTTATCCATATTCCATTTCATTATTCCATTACCTATTCATTTTTGAATTCTAAAAGCTTAATAGTTTTTAATGAACATATTTTTTTTTTCTAAGTTTTAATTTTATAAAATAGTATATTGTTTTTTTCAATCATGATTCATAGTTTATTTATTATAAATTCTGCTTGGTAAGTTTATTGCTCTTTGCTATAATAATGTGATCGGACGCCTACATTTTATTAGAATTATTTTACCTGGAGCATATATTTTACGAAATGTGAATCCATAGAATTATTTTATATTAATAATACGGTTTTGAACATAAAATGAATGGAATTACACAATGTTATACAGATATTAGAACTGACATTTTACAGAATTTTAGTATTCAAATAAATTTCTGTTCAAAGAATCTAATGTAATTATTATACATATTTGTTCAAATTTTTATAATTCCAGTAAATATTTGTTTCTGTAAAAAAATAGGAGATCCAATAAATGTCTACTCTAAGTAAAATAATTTGAATATTATTAAATACTTTTAAGGATTCTGGATTAGTATTTAATGAATGATTTGTTTTAAAAATGTCAGCCGAAAGAATAATATTAATATTTATTTATTTAACAATGCGCATTGGTGTAAAAACAAGTTGTGTCAAATTCAATTTAAAGAAATAATTTATTTTTAATCTATATACTTAGTTATGATATTATGCAAATTTAAAATTATGTTTTGAAGATATTTTTGTAGTAATTAATAATTGGTTCAATTTCAACAATTGTTTATGGTACTGTTGTATTAATTAATTACATATTATAACTATGCTATATTTTATTTGATTACTTGTATTTGTTTGTGTTGAAAAATAATACAAATGTTTACTAATTTAGTATTTAACATTTCCCAGTGATGTTTTTATAGAAAAGCATTGGAAAAGTATTATATCTCGATCAGTTTGTGATTACTTTTTTGATCAACATAGAAAAGCAATCAATCCAGAAGATATTCCTCCAGTTATAGCTACACCACATCATTATTTAATCAGTATCTACCGTTGTGGTCTTTATTTTGTTGCTGTTTGCATGACTGAAGGTTTGAATTAATATTATAAAAATATAATATAATCTAATATCAATTAATTACAATGCTTGTATGATTACAGTACCACCATTATTTGTTATTGAATTCTTACACAGAGTAGTTGATACATTTGAAGATTATTTTTCAGAATGTTCCGAAAATATTGTTAAAGACAATTATGTAGTTGTTTATGAAGTAAGTTAATTATTATTGAATGCCTACCTTGGTAATTCATTAATTATTTATTTATAATTTTTAGCTTTTGGATGAAATGCTAGACAATGGATTTCCATTGGCTACTGAATCAAATATCCTGAAAGAACTTATTAAACCTCCTAACATTCTTCGAACAATTGCAAATTCTGTCACAGGGAAATCCAAGTAATAATTGTATAATTATTATAGTATTTATACTATAAATTTATTTTTATGTTTCAAAATCCAACTATTTTAGTAATATTTGTGTATTTTGTTTTTCAGTGTTAGTGCAATATTACCAAGTGGTCAATTATCCAATGTTCCATGGAGGAGATCTGGTGTAAAATATACTAACAATGAGGCTTATTTTGATGTAATTGAAGAAGTGGATGCTATTATCGATAAAGGTGGTTCTACAGTGTTTGCTGAAATTCAAGGATATGTAATACATTTTTTTTTTATTAAATATTTTCACTGAAATTATTATTAGAGAATATCAGTTTTTCAAACAAAATAATTTATTTAATGATTTGTATGTACAGAAGAGTTTATTTTATAACTAATAACATATAGCACACTCCAAATTTTAGATTATTTAAACAATAAAATATTTGTATAGTGATAATTATAAAAAAAATGAAAAAAATGAAATAAAAATATTGAAATATAAATGAATATATTATATATATAATTATTATAATAATATATTATATAATATATTTATTCATAATATAATAATTTAAAAAATATTTTAACATTTTTTATAAAATTATTTGAATTTGTACCAAAATTAATCTGTGAGGTAATGAGTCAATGTAGTAAAAACACTACTTAGTATTAGTTTAAAATAGAAACTATCTGTGAAAAAGTAATGATATCCTTAAAATTAGTTATGTGCTGATTTTCTACTAATATTTCCAGCGCAATGAAACATAATATTTGATTAGATTTGTTGTTTTTCTTCTTCTTATCTATCCTTCTATCAATTTGGTGTTATCTATCTTGGTCCTAAATCTCTATTTGACTCAGTTAAGAACATTATCAATGCATACCCCAGTCCTTGTATCACTATTAATTGCATCTAACCAATTCCTTTTCAGTCTTCCTCTCCTTCTCCTTTCTTCCATATTCTAATTTAAATTTGAAAATGATTTTAGTTAAATATATTACGAACTTACTTCTTGAAATTATGTTGGTACATATTAATATTTTTAGTTTTTTGTTAGTCTAGATTGAGAAAAATAAATCTTATTCAGTAAATTTTTAAATTTTTAAACACATACATGATAATTTATAATTATAGTTTAAACATTTTATTTGTGTATATATATTTATGTATTGTATATACATTTTTTATTCTTTTTATGCTTAAGATTGATTGCAGTATTAAACTTACTGGGATGCCTGATCTATCCTTATCATTTATGAATCCTCGTCTTTTTGATGATGTGAGTTTCCACCCTTGTGTAAGGTTTAAAAGATGGGAGGTAATTTATATCTACTTATATGTTTATTGCATATTTATATTACATATTTAATGGATTCAATTTGTTTTTATGATTGCAGTCTGAAAGAATTTTATCATTTATACCTCCTGATGGTAATTTTCGTTTAATGTCATATCATATTGGGTCTCAAGGAATAGTTGCTATTCCAATTTATATAAGACACATTTTATCATTAAAAGAAGCTACTACAGGTAGTGGCCGCCTTGACATTACAGTTGGACCAAAACAGACTTTGGGAAGAACAGTATGTGTTCATATTATTATTAAATATTTGTCAGTATTATATTTAAATTTTAGTATACATTTTTAGATTGAAAATGTAGTCATAGAAGTACCTATGCCAAAAAGTGTATTAAATTGTACACTTATCCCTAATCAGGGTAAACATTCATTTGATCCAGTTTCTAAAGTATTGACTTGGGAAGTTGGCCGAATAGAAACTACAAAACTTCCAAACATAAGAGGAACTGTGAGAATCTTTATTTAGATTATTGTAAATGTTATTAAATGGTATTCTATTGGTTTTTATTTGGATTTTAGATTAGTCTGCCAGTTAGCACAGTTGTTACAGATTCAAATCCTGTTATTAATGTGTGTATAAATTATATCATTCAATACATTCAATTATATCAATTTGTTATTATTATTATATATTTTATACTTATAGGTGAAATTTACTATCAATCAATTAGCATTATCTGGTCTAAAAGTAAATCGTCTTGATATGTATGGTGAAAAGTATAAGCCATTTAAAGGTGTTAAATATATTACCAAAGCTGGAAAATTTCAAGTGAGAATGTAATGTGTTAACATAATAAATATACATTTTTAAAAGCATTTTATATTATATATTTTCAAATATTTTTAAATTTTATTTTAAAATTAAATGTTGTTATGACCTTCCATTTCATGTTTATGTTATTTGTTAACAAATTGTTGCTATTATGTAATTTTTATAGATCTTAATTAGGAATATTGATATTTAAAACTTTTCCATTCTTTTTAATTTTTTAATATTTGAATGCTAATGTCAATTATAAGTATTGGTGATTATGTAAATATTAATGGATAGTTTGTAAAAGGATTATTTAAAAAAATGCATAATTATAGAAATTACTTGTAATTTGATATTTATTTTATTTTGTCTAATACTTATTTACTAAAAACAAATATTCAATAATTCAAATTAATTGTTTTAAGTGAAATATAGAAATACCAGTAATTAATTTTATTTCAGCTCTTTTCTTCAAATTTTCAATTGCTAGTTACATAATACAGTAAAACCTCTAAAGCGAACACTCGTTGAGATGAAAGAAATATTGAGAAAAAAAAATACCTCGCAAATTAATATAGTTGAACCAATAACACTTTTTTCCTATATTCAATATTACATTATAAAACTTATATATTTGTTTAAAACCAATAATTGATATAAATCGTAGTTTACAGAAGTTTGTTCAGAACGTCTATATCATTATAACCACCATCATTACATTATCATTACCACTATTATTACAAATTGATATGCGACATTGTATTTGTTTTAATATTGATACTAAAATCAAGATATTTAATGATTAAAAGCCTTTCTCTAATTATAATTTAGTACATAGTGGAGCAAACTAATATTTAAAATTCAAAACCCTCAGAATGAAGTACTTTCTTAGTTCGATTTTCTTTCAGAAAAAGTGCTATCATTCTTAATTGGAGCCAAATTGCCGGTAGAAAAGTTGTTTACAGGAACACAAAAGCAGTAATACTTTTTTACTAATACCTACATTTTGTATATTTTCCTGTTTTCCTCGTGTTTTTTCCCGTTTATTAGGAAAATCAACAAATAATCACCCTAAAGTACCACCCCAGTCAGATTTTTTTTTTTTTAAAAAAAGTGATATTGTAAATTGGAGCAGAAGAACTGGTAGAAAAGTTGTCTACAGAAAAAAAACCATCCATCATTGTAAAACTAATACATTCGTTGCTCCACTCAGAATCTAAAATTACAAGGCAACTGAAAGTAAATAGAAGTCAAGTTGTTCATTAATAAATTATAATTTTGTTTTTCGGAAGTATAATAATTGGTGACTGATGTACTGTACAGCACTATGGCGTGGCGTCAGGTATCGCACGGTAATTTTAATTACACTGTTTGATTTTTGCTGATTGAAAATATGGTTATACTGGAACTCTGGCTTCTCACATTATTTATCATGCATAATATATTTTACTATTTCATCATCAACTATTACTTAATACTTATTGGATTGGATCTATACAAAAAATAGTGCAAATTAAAATCAAATTATTAGTTAATACTATTCTATAATTTATGAGTTTATGAACAACTACAATATAAAGTATAAACTGTACTTGTAAAAAGACGGACATTCTTCCAATGACGGGTGGGCCACTGTTGTAGGTGAGAAGTTGGGATATAGAGAGCAATTTAGTGTATAAAATGAAAAACGATTCTGAGCGGAGTTCAGTTTTACATATTTTAAAAGACCGTAGTATTTTAGATTTTCGTCAAAATTTTGTTATTTATATTCTTGTAGGTAAAAACAAAATTCTACATTACAATCAATTTTTTTTTTTAACCACAATGTATGACTTAAAGTGAACCTCTTGTTAAGTTTTCAAGTATTTCTGTTTAGTTTGAACATTTTATCCACAGAGTACATACTGAACAAAAGATTTTTGGTAGAAATTACTACAATTTTTTATTTTGGGGTTGTGAGTTATGGAAATATGGTCCAAATTCATTGGATTAAATTGAAGTTTACTTTACAAAGTATAAATTTAAAAATTATAATAGAATGAATAGTCTTTTTGTTATAAACTCCTCTACCAAAAGAAAAAAAAATTATTTAAGTACCTACTACTTTTAATATGTATTAAAAGTAAATAATAAATAAATGTTTATTTAACCAATTACCTACATTTAGTATTCTAAACAATTTCATATTATTTTGAGAGGTCCTGTGCATAAAAAAAATTATCAAGATTTAACACATACCTATATGTTAATAATTATCTACATTGTTTATTATCTTCCTAACATGAAAAAAAAAAAATTCCAAGGGTAAAATTGAATGATTTCAAAGGAAACTATCGGTCAATGTTAATGAATTATTTGATAATGTTTCGTGCATTGATATTATTAGAGGATTTCACATTGATAGTATTCAAATTAAGCTGATCATTAATTTACATTTTAAAAAAAATATGAAATAGATAACATTTAACAGAATTTACAGCAAAAGAACTTAAACCTAGAATCTACAGTAAACAAAATATTAAGTTTAGACAAATATCACCAAAATGTAACAAAATTTGTGGAAAAAAAAAGCATCAATTGTGGTCACAAGTGTTGTAAAAATTAAAATGTCTACACATATCTATCCAGCAAAAGGAATAAGAATGCACAGGGTCTGATTAATCAATAGGCTAACATATAATTTTTACTAAAATAATTTTTATTGAAATTTGATATTAAAATTCTTATAAAAAAATATACCTACTACCTATATTAAATTAATTTTTTTTTTTTTGACCCCAATGTACGACTTATAATTAATCTCCTATTCAACTTTCAAGCATTTCTCTTTTTCCAAACAATTTTATCTATAGAGTACCTATGAAATAAAAATTACTCATAAAACTAAAATGTCCAAATAACTTAAATATGGCTCAAATGTTTTTACAGTTTTACCACGTAAAAATAAGTGAGTAAGTTTTCTACCCAAATTCCATGTCGACGAATATTTTTAACTGAATTACAACAAATAACAAAATTTAAAATAATAAAAAGCATTATTTTAGTAAATTTCCCGTTTTTCTTACATTTTTTCCGGGGTTTTCCAAGATATTATGAAAACCGTTTGGCAAATCAAAAATTGGCCTAATATTAATCGTCAAGTCAACCTCAGACTGGTTTATCTATTTACAGACTATCTACTGGTCGGATATCCATTAATCAGCCACGAGAATGCAAACTGAATAATTGGTAAACTCATTCATAATATGGAGCAAGACTGAACAAGATATTCCAACCAACAAATGTAAAAAAGGCGGGTAAGATAAAACAATACTATACTGTAAAATGTAGGTAATAAAATAAACTCATTGAATATATTAAATTTAATAATAATATTTCGGGGGTAGAATATTACTATTATAGTAAAGTTATATGTTACGCTTCAGTACCTATCAAAAATATTGCGAACCTTTTATACCTATAATGAGCTACAAAAATACCAAATAATTAAAAGTAGAGAGATTATAATTTTTTAAATTTTAATAATAATTGATCAACAAAATTGTATTTTATTTACTTTTCTATGATGTTCACCTATTTATAAACTCAGACGTTTCTTAATCAAAATTGTTTTGATTCTAAGTACAATAAGGAATGTATTGGTTCTGCTATATGTGATTTTATTAATTTGTAAACATTATTTTTCTACTAGGAATCTTGCTTAAATCAATAAATTCGATAAGAGAACTTTTTTGTAGCATTTTAGGTTTAGTTGGTTAATTTCATTAATTTTAGCGAGACATTCATTTGTAGGTTTTTTCTAGTGTCCCGTTCAAACACTGGACATGTTTTTCTCGGGACAGTTGGAAATAACTAATTTATCTTTTTTTAATGTACAAATGATTAAATCTAGTATAATCACATAAATATAAATCTATAAAAATCAAAAACAAGAAAAAAGTCCCAATTGATAGGTAGTACCTAATTAGTAGTACCAGTACTTAAGTATTTAAGTATTAGTAGTAATAGTATTGATTAGATTAGTAGATACAGAAGTATTATATGAAATGTATAAAGACTATATTTAAGCATTTTGTATTAAATAAATGTATTTATAAATAATAATCTTAAATTCAAAATAATATTAGGTGAAATTTTAAGAGAGGTAAGTACCTTCTGTTCACCTATATGAATAGATGGCTATTATGGCATCACAGGTTCTTGTTATTCGGTGTTAATATCGTTTTTATCCGTTTCAGGAAGTTCATCTATTATTTTATGGATCATTTTTAGGCATAAAATACCTATTATCCAGTATCCAGTATCCACTATAGCAGCGGTTCTTAAACTGTGCGGCAGTTAACAAGGGAGGCGTGGCGCGAGGTTGGAATTTTGTACATATAGTTATTTTTAGATCAATTATACGTCCGATAACAATTTTATAGAAACGATTATCTTATCTTATCCATCCGATTCTTCACTACGAATGCAATTTTCTTCATATTCACTTTTAGGATTTTGGAACAGTATTAAAGATGAATATCATGAAGTTAGCAACAAAACTTTAGGTATATTAATACCATTTGCCACATCATATTTGTGTGAAGTAGGATTTTCAGCAGTAGCCGTATTAAAATCAAATATCGGTCCAGACTCAATGTGGAAAAAGAAATGCGTGTTGCAGTAACTACGTTAATTTCTAATTTTTAAACACAAGCGCATATTAATTATTTTGTATAAAATAAAATAATAAGTTTACTGTTAACTAATAAATATTAAATAATTGTTAACCTATTTTATTCAATATTCTTTGCGAGAGGTGTGAACGATTTTTTTATTATTAGGGAGCCTTGAATGAAAAAAGTTTGGGAACCGCTGCACTATAGTAAAGTTCAATTTAACTGAAATTAAAGGCGTTAATTGTCGTAGTCATGGTAGATATAACTAGTGAAAAACGATTCTGGGCCCACAACTTGTTACGAAATTATCTCTTGTCTTTGGTTTATAGTCAGCTAATTCCAATCTAGTATTAATAATTCTCTTGCTAATCCTGAGAGCCGAGGACACGAAATGTGCAATAGATAGCAAATTCAGGTGACCAATTAAATACCCATATTATCATTTAATTCTATTATCTTGTTTATAATTTTTATTTAATTGATATTTTTCATAATAGGTATGAATATTATTTAATTTAATTATAACTTGATCTACAAGTGTTATGACGTTTTTTTTTAAATTTATAATGGCATTATGTTCTTTTCAAAAATTATTTCCTAATATTATGATCGCGTTAGATAAATCTTTGATGTTGTTGGAATTTACTTCGAATTTGCAGTTATTCATTTTTATTTGGTAACTAGGTAGTGCAATCAAAAGAGTACAGTGGTTTATTATCTAGACCTAATATTCGTGTAGTGGCCAATGTTATTTTATGGTTGTGATTTATGAGCTGTGGTCTGATACAGTATAAATTGGCTCCTGCAGTGCCATGTGTAACACGTATTATAGTATTATTAAATAAAGCATTTATAATATAGATATAATGTATCCGGTGCATATGTGATTTTAGTTATTGAATAAACGTTTTGTGCTGTCGTACAAGGTGATCTCTCGACAACAGAATTTAACCTATTATCTAGTTTTAGATTTGGAGCGTAGCGAGGGATCTATTGGTTTTACTATGATACGTTTTTTATTTTTATTTTTCGTGTTAGTGATTCTGTGAGCAACTTTTCAGAAAACTCATTCACACAGATGTATCAAGTATAGCACCTTTTCTGAAAGGTAATTTCATCTAGTTGGTGCATTAAGGAAGTCATTTTTGATTTTCTAAGGGGTTTTTGAAATAATTAGAAAAAACCCGAAAGAAATTTAAAAATAAAATGACAAATATTTACGGCGCGCAGTTTTCTTTGTTTTTAATTTTTGCAACTTATGTTTTATTTATGAAATATTACTCTGATCGAAAAAACTAACAATACTATTTTAATATATAGTCATAGACAGAGAAATTAGTTGTTTGATATCCAAAGTATTTTTTTTATAATAATTAAAAAAACGAAGAATATGATTTTTATAAATTACGACGTAACGATTTTAAATTTTTACGGCTTATGTTTTCTATACAAATATTACTTCAGTATAAAAACAACAGGAGACCTTTTAGATTCTGAATGGAGTGAAGAAGCTTGTGGTTTTACAATGATGTTTAATTTTTTTTTATCTATGATCAACTTTCTACCAGAAACATTGCTCCGATTTACAAGTGTAACACTTATTTTGAAAGAAAATCTTACTGGGGTTGTACTAGTGCGTTATTTTTTTGATTTTCCCAGGGGTTTTCAAAATAAATGTAAAATTTCGGGAAAAAAACGTTGGAAAAACGGAAAACTGCATGAAATGTATTATTTTCAAATTATAAATATTACGGCTTTTTAAAACATGTATAACCAAACTTTGCTCAGAATTGTTTTTCGTTAACAAGGATTAAATGTTACGTACAGATATACATTCAATTCCTCTCTAAATTCTACCTTCCCAACTTCACCTACAAAAGTGGCCACTCATCGTGCGAATTATATCCGTATATTTTTTTTTTTTGAACTTGAAACTTTGTGAACATATTTAGTTATAACAATTATTATTAAATAAAAAACGATGGTTAACATTATGAAAAAACAACAAAAAAAAAGAGAAAAGAAAAAAAATACATTAAATCGTAAATCCAGTCTGAGTGATGAATAAAATAATTTATGAGGTGATAGTAAATGGTTGTGAAGTAATAATCGATTGTGCATTAAGGAGGCATTATAAGAATTTACTAAATTAAATAGAGAATTATGTTGAGGGATAAGAAAAATACAATGAAAAATAATATGGGAAATATCGAAAATTGATTCGGAGGCGTGGAGAGCACAAAAAGAAAAATCATTCATATAAGAACCTATCTAAGATTTAAATTATGAAACCAAGGTTAAGATGGCGATTGAGTGCCTTAAGGATCATAAAAAATTCGGCAGGAGAAAGCCGGAGGAAAATTGCTGGACAGAGAGATGTCTAGGTTAGAGGTACAAAAATAATAACCCGCCAAAAAAGGGAAGACGGAACCGTCGGTGAAAATTAAGGTAAAAGAAGGGAAAGTAGTATGAATATTATACTCAAAAAAGAGATTATTAACCATAGCAAGGGAATAGTTTTAAGAGAGTTTGTTGGTAGATTTAAAAACCCTATTTATTAATATGAAAAATTGGAGAAAATGATAGGGTCTAAAAACCAGGTTGGATAAAGGATGTTTACTGGATTTGAAAATATAGCAGCTGATAGAGGATAAAAAGTAGATAGTTAAAGAGAAAGAATGCTACGAATAATAAACGTCAAGAAGTAGTTATAAATATCGTAGTTTTGAGAGGAAAAGTTCTTTAAAATAAATTTATCGGCTAATCATCTGCATCTAATATTAAAAGGGGACATATGGTTTTAATTTTAATAGTAAAATTGGGGATAGATTTGAAAGCACCATAAAATGGACCTCAGGAAAATCTGGAGATTGTTGAATCTTCAATAAATAGTGAACTTAGTGAATATGAAGTAGACCTTGATAAAAAGTAACCGTAGTAGATTTTGGCACGGATGATTGATTTATAGATAGTTAACAAAATATAAAAGGGTGGAACCCCCTACGTATTAGTTACTGATTAAAGAAAGTTTTTCTAGCGTGACATAAATGTGAAAGGTTATGGAGGTGAGGCGCCCAGCAGAGTTTGGAATATAGAGTTAAACCTAAATATTTTAAATAGGACACAATTGATAGAATAATCCAATTGATAATTACTTTAGGGTAGAAATTATATCGTCTGCTGATAAAAATTTGGGCCCTAAATTTTTTAGCAGCTATGGAGAAAAAGGATGTATATAACAGGTTATACAGAAAACCGAGAGCATTGTTTAGGGAGGCTATAATAAAGTCTAAGTGTAAATTGTGGGAGAATATGTCTAAATTATTGGCATTTATCAGGCACTTATAACCTTCAGCTTTTAGCTGTTTGATTATGGAATTCATACATATTATATATATTGAATGAAATAGGACTTAAGCAGGTTCCTTGAGGAAATCCAGGAAAAGTTGATCGTGAGTTGTAAGAAGAAAGCTGTTAGAAGATAAAAACTAGAGTTTTGTGAGAAAAAAATTCGAGAGATTAAACTGCAAAAAATTGTGGGTAGTTTTAATAGATGAAGATCAGAAAGCAGTGTTAGGATATGAACAGAATCGAAAGTTCCATGGATGTCAATTTAGGAAGCTATAAAAAAAATCTAATTTTTAAAGGATTGATAAATTTTATTAGAAACGTTTGCAAGACATTCTGTGGTACTTTTTTTTTTCCTAAAGGCATAGGGGCTTGGATAAGATTGAGTTGGATTCATCTAACCGAGAGTGTCCGGTATTTAGAGGTTTCACTGTAACTATGTATAGTGTATACATATGTAAATATATTTTTATAATAGAAATTAATTAATTAAAAACATAAAACATAATATATTTAAACTTAATTAAGTGAAAATTAAATAAAATATACTCGTAATAAAATTAAAATTTATAAACTTCAACATTTCCATTCATATCTATATTTATGTTTACATATATTTTGTATTGTCTATTTTTATACTAAAAAATATTAAATCATATTTTTCAAGAGCATTAAACACATATTTTTCGTAAAATTAAAAAATAATTGTAATTATATTTAATTATCTAAAAAAATTGTAGTTATAATAAATTATATTCACCAGCATCATTAATTATAATTTATTTTATCTTTCAAAGATTCAGTTTTTTATTGAATGCAATTTCATTTATATCAAAAAATATAGTAGAACAAGCTACATGATTGTATATTATTTTATTGTTACCTATAAATTGAATCTATTGTGATTATTATTTATATTAAATCTAAAAATATATATTTTATTCAAATCGTTATCATCTTAATCGAAATGTAATATTGTACACGTAATCAGATTACAATGTGGGGGCGGTAAAATATTGAAATATAATATATATATATTTTTCCGACCAATTGTGGTTCGAACAAAATACGGTTTTGATGAAACACTAAATGGGTAATCTTGCAACCAGCGGTAGTTCTGGAATCATAGGGTCTTCAAACTATATATACCCCATTAAATCAATTCATTCACGAAATACCCACCTTTATTAGTTCCTCTGTTTATATTACTACTTTATGGTGTAACCCAGTCTTAAAATTTCAAGTCTGTATTGCACGTTGTACACTGAGCGACACTATCATTGAATCTCGTGAAGCAATAAATGAAAAATTAAACAATATTAGGATAAAGTTTTTATTTTAAAATTAAAATTTATAGAATTTAAAGCAAACTTTTAATAAGCTTGGCTGCTATATCAGCTGCTGATCCAGTTTGACTATTTTTATTTTTTTGTGAACCTGAAATATAAATTATCATAGGCTGCTCAGTATTCGATAGATATTCTAGTACAGTGAATAGAATAGGAAATGAAGTGTGCAGAATGTGTGGGAAGTGGAACAGATTAATTATTACTGAATTTCTATAAAGATTTCCTTCTTCTTCTTCGAAAAGTATTTCGTTTTTACATTTCTTTGCCAGTCTTCTTTGTATTACAGACATCAGTTCTAGTTTAAAGGCCCAATGTCTTTCCATTACTTGATATTTATTTTCAAGTTATTTTTAAATAATCCTGGACTAATGTCAATAATTCATGTCGCAAGACCTGATTTTTTCTCTCTTTTTATTTGCTCTGAATTAGCAGACTCAGAAGGTTGCAAAGATGTTTTGTGTTGATGTTAAAACTGTAATGATTTCTTGAAATAGAAACAATGAAATATTAAGTATTTTTCTATTTGTGGAATTTGTTTTAGAATAATCATTTGCAGATTTCAAAGTTTGAGGAATTTTCGAACACTGATAAAATATGCACCTTGTATTTGTAGCCTATTAAGTTTTTCAATTTCTTCCAAATATTATGAAACCCTTCAATAAATAATTGTTAAACTCTAACAGAAGGATTTTAAAGTATCGGTGTAACCCATGCTCGGCGAATAATATTGAAAAGTGTTTGGCATTCTTGCAAGTCGTTTCAAGATTTTCCAAAAACATATTAAATGATCACCTAGAAAATTAAAAATTGTAGTTATGATATGTTGTCATTTACACAATTTACTTATGAAACGAAAAAATTATATCAAGTATGGAAGATTATAATACGAGGATTGTCATACATGGGTCTTGAAGCAATGAACCACATTAATTATTGGATATTGAATATACACAAGCTGGAAATAGTTCTATACTAGCAAAACAAGTGAGAAATGATTTTTGTGAATATTTTAATACAGTGGGTGCTATTCCATGAAAAAACAAATGTTTCGAAGATTTTTATATGACTTCTTTGTACGAATTATAATAAAATAAACTTTATGTAGTTATCTATTAAATTTCCTTATTCTATTATTGTGTTAATTCTTGATTCTTTTTCATTTAGACTTGCATAAATTACAGTCTTGTGTAATACTATAGTTAAGGTACATACAGATAATCAGTATCAGACCCAGAAAGTATTGATTTTTTTACTTTATTATTTTCACACTTGAAACTTGTTCGTAAAATATAAATTTTTTTTTACTTCTTCCTTGGTAACGTTCTAACGACACATTTTTAACAAACCATTTATTTGTTTTATTGTCATGCTTCTCTTTTTCTTGACCTTCTTTCTTTTTTCTATACCTAATCATTCGATTTTATTTTCCATATCATTGGCATGTGACGATAATTGGAGATACAATAAAAAAATGAATTTGTTGTCTTAAAAATTACCACTCTAGGGTATTACTGTTATCATTTAACATAGTATCATGGTGTCGATTGAAATCTTGTTCGACAAACATTGCCAGTTGTCACACATTATCAAAACCTGTTTGACAAACATACTTATATGCCGTCATAATATATCGTTTAAATACATCAAAAAGGCCTGCATACTATAAAATAATTAAACAAACACATATAATTTGATCGTTTACAGGGTATTTACATATTCTAGTATAAATTAATTTTGCTAAGGCTTTTGACAAAATAAGTCACCATATTTTTTTTATCTTGGTTGATTTCTTACTTAACTGATAGAAAACACATTGTCAAAAAAAAAACTTTCTATCTGATCTGTTCAATATTTCATCTGGCGTTCCCCAGAGAACTCCCTTAACCCCTTTGTTACTTTTATTATTCATTAATGATTTAAAAAATTACTTTTTGCTGATGATATGAACATTTTTTGTTTAATTAAATTACACTCTGATTTAGATCTCATTCAAAAAGATTTGAATACACTATATGTTTGGTGTAATCAAAATAATCTATTGTTGAATAATGATAAGTGCAAAATTATGTTTTTTTACCAGGTCTTGCTCTCGAATTATTAATGATTATACCATAGATAATATTGTACGTTTTTGAAATTCATAATTTAGGTGTTACCTTTGATTCCACTCTTTTATTTAACAAGCATTATTTAAACATTACTAAAAAATCTTCTACTACATTAAGATTCATAAATAGGACTTGTAAAGATTTTACTAATTCCAATGCATTAAAAATTCTCTATTCTTCTCTGGTGTGCTCTACTCTAGAATACAATTCAGTCATATGGTCACCTTCTAGTGCTATCCATATATAAAGCTTTGAAGCTATTAAAAATCGATTTCTTCCATTTATTTCGTACAAATGTAATATCCTCCGTCAATCATACTCAAAGTATATTTTGTAATTAATTGAATTAAATATGACTTAGTCTAGTTGATAGGTAAATAACCGTTGATTTAAAGTTTCTATATAAATAGTCAATGGGTATTTAAATTGTCCTGAATTACTCAACTGCTTAAATGTTAATGTCCCTCTTTGTCGAACTAGAGCTGCAAATACGTTTTACTTTTCTTTTCAAAAAACTAATTATGCTCTTGGTTCACCTATTTATAAACTAATGAAAGTAGCTAATGACGTCCATGTAGATTTATTTAATTTTCCTTCTTCTGAATGTATACGTTATTATATTACTTATTATTTATAAATTAAGTTTTTTTTTTAATTTTAATTAAAATGGTATTATGAACGAACCCTTGTATGCTTTCCACCTGACATCCGTTTTCACCAATTCAAGAATATCTTTATTGGCAGATTCCAAGGCCAAACTGAGGTCTACGCTTGTTTTGTATAATAATGTAAGCTCTGACAAAAATTTAATTTTAATATTATTGTCCCAGATCCAAAATATCACATGGTCCCTTAAAGCATCATCCAAAATAGTCTCAAAATATACCCACAGTATTCGGACAATTTTTTCAGTGCTATTATAAATTGAATCACAGATTAATTAACACCCTGTCTGCGCTTCTTGAGTTTGTAATGCTCCGTAATCAAATTCAGCTTCGGATTAATAGTCTTTAATCAACTTTTTAAGTTCATCAAAACTTTTATTATTCGACTTAACTCGAGTAAACAAGTTCCGAATTAATGAATAACCATCGTTACCCGATAACGTCAAAAACAGAAGTTGTTTTTTTTGCATACCTACTTCATTTAAGGTGACAAATAATTCAAATATTTCTATCCAGGTATTCACATCTTCTTTTAGATTTAACAGCGGAATTTGTCCCATTTGTCTTATGCATTTAGGAACAGCATCCTTCACTACAGTATCTTTCGCCATCTTTTTCGTCAACCACGTGTTTCACGTGTGACAAAAATCAACATATAATCACAAGAAAACAATGACACTCACAAAATTACAATTTCCATTTACTTCGTCGCTATTTTTGATATGTTTTACCAATACTGGTCAAGATGTAAGATATAGGATCACATTATAGCAAAATAAATATTACACATACGATTTCGAATTACACCAATGTCTTATATTACAATGAAATACTACAAATCTTAGTTCTTACTAACTACTTAATACTTATATCTGTTAAGAACGTCTGCAAAGATTCTTACTATGTCCCTGCAGACTGACAACCTTGCGGTGCCAAGCATATTATACATTAACATTAATACCAACTAACCAAGGACATTACAATTATAGTATTGAAACGGACGCTGTATCCAAACGATTTATCGATTTATGAACTATCGATAACCTGTGGATACTATGGTATTTTATTTTCTTCTAAATTTGATTGAATATTCTATAGAACAATAATTGATAAATAAATTGATAATTTTATTTTCACTATCCATACGAAGAGTACATGTTTTAATTGCAGATTGACCCCATTAAGGTAATTTTTTATTATTTGAGTTAAAAATGTTTAAACTTTTGTAGGGCATTTCAAATAAGTAATAAAGATTTAAAATAATGTATAATGTCTATGTAGAAGTATGTATAAAAAAAAAATCGATATTGTTCTAAACAAAATAATACAAAATTCCCATTCTAATAGTCGAATTAGTTATGACAATAGTTTCATCTATTTCAACGTTTAATATAAATTTAAATTGTAAGAATTAATTTAACAATAAACATAATTCGTCTTTTAAAGATGTTTAAAAAAAAAAAACATTTTTAGCAGCTTTTGATAGAGTTAGTTTGGAAAAAATATTCGAGATGCTAAAACTAAGACAATTATCTGATGTTATAGTAAATTTGATAAAAATTGTATATTTAAATTAAAAGACAGTAACAAATAGAGCAACAACAAATGACCAAGTACTACAAGAAGTAAATGAACAAAGGATAATGATACATACTATAAGAGTGAGAAAATTATAATGGCTAGGACATACTTTGAGACATGATAGTCCTATGTAAATAGTCTTCGAAGTTATTGTACTAGGGAAAAAAGGAAGAGGAAGGCCTAGAACAAATTTTATATCACAGACATGTGGAGAACTGGGCCCAAAATATGCCGATATTAAAAGAAAAATAAAAGAAAGGAAATAATAGAGGAGAGATGTAGGAAGGTAATATCAGTTAAAAAACTGAAAAATAAACAAGGAGAAAACGTAATAAAACCTATAATAAAGCTTTCTGCAAATTATGTAATCTATGAGTATTAATAATAATGTTCCTGTATTTATTTCTGAAAGATTTAATAACTGTAAAAAAGAGGTTGAAAGATTTAATAAGCATGAAAGTTTAGAATTGCACAAAACCAATGTAGTTAAAAAGTCCTTTATTAAAACAATATATTTATATGCACAAATATCGGATGGTCATAAAAAATCTCTGGAAGAATCTAGATTAGCTGTTGATAATATAATATCTTTGCTAATTTTTTCAGAAAATTAAGGTTTAGTATACAGACAAAATATCAGCAAATTTAAATTAGTTATTAAAACTTTGATCAAAATAATTGACTGAATCGAATAACTGATTAAGTAGAACAAAATGATTTATTATGCCATGGATTTCCCATGGCATAATAAATTTAATTTTAAGCATGCTTTTATTAGAAATTATTAGATACAATGTAAAACAAATTAAAGAAAATAAATAAATTCTAAGCCATTTTATAGGACAAAGCTAAGGATATCACTGTCAAAGAACAAATTTAGTTCTGTTTAAGAACAATGGACAAAGAATCATTTGAAATAGAAGAATATTTTATGGGTTTTTATGAAACGCCTAAAACAAATTCTAATACCCTTTTTAAAATTGTAAACGATTTTTAAAATTAGATTGAAATTAGATTTTAATAACATTATAGGGTAATGTTTCGATCATTCATAAAGGATTACACTCTAGAATTAAAAAAAATGAACCAATTTGTTTATCAGTCTGTTCATTGTCAAATCTTTAAATCTTGTTTCAAAAGATAGTATACAAACTATAGGAAATGCTAGAAATATACTATATTTTGTAAGAGAATTAATTATTTTCATTAAACCATCACCAAAGTTCTTGGTTCAAAACGAATCAAAAAGAAGAAAATGTTACTTTCTTAGGCCATTTTCTCCTACTTGATGGGTGTTACTTTATAGTTTTTTGTTCTTTGTTCTTTGTTATGGGCAACTATAAAGAAATATTGCCCTTTTTGTCAGATTTAAAAAAAATGAACATACCTAAGCATATTCTAGGGCAAATAGATTTTTTAAATAATTGAAATCTGCAAATACTTATATAATGCTTAAAACAGTAACACATTGAGACTGAAAATACAGTAGTACAATAAGTATTTTAAAGTGAATATTTCTATTTAAACTTTCCGTTCAAATTTTCAATACTTTAGACGATACTATTTCAAATTTGAGAGATACATTCAACATTTTATAGGAATCTGCAAAGAAAGAATAGTCACATTTTAAATTAGATGTATCAAAGGAATTTAGAAAACGAAATATTTATTAAGTATCAAGAAAGTACAGTTAAGTGCTTTAAATTTTCATCTGAGCGTAAATATAATAAAATATGTATCAAAAAACAATAATTATATACTTTCTAGCTTACCTTTAATATTTAAATCTGAAGTAATTTTGTGTAATATGAAAATATTTTTAATTGATATGAAAATATCACCACAAATAATATGTAAATTTTACAAGGATGGTTTAAATATTGATAAACTGAAACTTCACAGAGATATATTTCATGATATACTTAAAGGCCAACGCCTAATTGTTTCATCATATGCAGATATATTAAACATTTTAAAAATTAAATTGTATTTGGTCATTCATCTAATCGAGTTTCAAAAATGTCTGCAATTGATATTAACAGTAACAGTCACTACAAACACTACTGATAGATCCTTTTTCATGTTAAAAAGATTAAAAACTATAGAAGAAGTACTATAACACAGAACCGGTTGAATGATTTGGCATTTCTAAATTATCACAAAACAATTGTAGAATCTTTGGATGCATGCAAGATAGGAAAAATGTGCTCGACAAGAAAAAATAATCTTGCATTGCATTGAAATTAATATAATTTTAGACAATATTTTTAATAAATAAAATGTAATGTAATACATTTAGTTAAAAAGATTTTATTTTCATATAAAAATGTTTTTTTTTAGTTTTAACTGAAGCATTTGAAGCCAATAAAGAGAATTGGATTAATATCCACAAATAGTAGTTTAAGTATTTTATTTTCCCCCATACTAAAACTAAAAGTTGATGCCTATGTATCCAATAGTTCTGTGGATCTCAATTAAGTTACAGTTATCTATGCTATAATTTTCTTACGCTAGTTTCCATTCAATCATGCCGTCATACTAGTCTTCATTTGATTTGATTGCAGTTAGATACACAAATTTTTTCGACTATAGTCTATGGTTTTAATTTGACGTATCATGATGCAGTGGAAGGAATATGTTTAATAACTATTTTGAACACCTTTTGCATGCAGAGCTTTTTTATTTCAAATTTGTGGTGCCATGGTGGTAAGATGTTGTAAAAAACCGTGAGCCATTCTGTTGCCGTTGATTTAACAATTCCAGAGATAATGTGTATAGAGTGATTTGAGTTGAACATCGATCTTGTTACAGTGTGAACTATTTAACAAAATTAGAGAGGCATACTCTATAGCAGAGTAGACTAGCTATAAGGCTGACGTTGTGTGGGTGTTGCTGCTCCCAAATTGAGCCATCTAATTTACGGATGATGTTGTTTTGAGTTTTGAGCTTAACAGTAATGTTCTTGATGTGATGTTTAGAAGATGACTGTCTATTACTCTATGACAATTTGTACGATTATTTTAAACTTAATAATACCTAATGAAAATAAAATCGAAAATAAGAGAAAATGTATTGTGTACATTTCTCCGTTTTTCGATTGTTTAGAAAACTAAAAGGAAAATCAAAACTTGTTCCATAATGAAAAAATTGACAAATATATTTTACAGATCCATCACTAATGAGATGATCGGAGTAAGAGGTAGAGTAGAAAAGTAGTTCACTGACAGAAAACAAAATTACATCATAGTAAAATCTGGGCCTAATTTTTTTTGTTTATCACCAAATTTGTGTAAACCAGACCTTATAAGTTCTTGCATATCCTAAACAAATAAATCAATTTAAAAAAAGACGGACATACTTCGCACGTGGGTGCAGCCACTATTGTAAATGGGAAGTTGGGAAGGTAGGATATAGACAGGAACTTAATATATATCTGTAAGCAACAATAAACCATTGCTAACGAAAAAATGATTTTAAGCAAAGTTCAGTTGATAGTGTTGTTTTGTCAACAATACAATATATGGTATATATCATATTATAGTAAAATGATTACAGCAATGTACGTTTCCATGACAACAATAATTGCTTAAAAAAGATTAAAATATAAAAACTTAATTATAACAAAAAATAAATACGGTTGCTAATAACAACCTTATTTTTAATTTTTCAATCTTTTTTAACCTAAAGGCCGAGGTTTTCCTCATTATCTCGAATATTAATGAGAATTTCTAAAAATAACCTCTCTAAAGCACCTTTCAGAAATAATGCTATACTTGATAATCAGAGTTTGCTTTCAAGTAGAAAAAGTGTTCACATAAAAAAAAATAAAATTAACATCATTGCAAAACCAATACATTTCTCGCTCCACTCAGAATCTGAAAAATAATATTAACAATTTGAGTCCTGGTCTGGCTGAAGCTTTTTTAGTCTATTGGTGAACCAAGAATCAGGCTCTGAATAAAACTAATACATTCCTTGCTTCGCTCAGCATTTAAATAAACTAAAAGTAAATTGAATAAAGTAACTTGTTTAATATCATGTACATTTTACACTGTATTCAAACAACGCGTAATGTAGTATTTTTTTTTTTTTTTATAAACGTGTTAAGTTCAAATTATGATAAAAATCTTAAAAATCAAATTTCAAAACATGTTTAACTGAATTTTTCTAAGAATCGTATTTTGTCAGCATTGTAAATCATAAAAATTATTTTAAATTGTAAATATAGGTACCTATCATGGGTAGTGTAGTATAGTGCATAGATTACCTATGCATTCATTACGAATTAAGTATCAATAGTATAATAGTCGTACCTGGTAAAATCTAATTTTGTGTAGCATTTAAAAGAGTGATTTCGTCACGTTTTCAAGATGTTTTTTGTAATTAGTTCTAAAATAAATAAAGAGTTACATTTTTTTCAATCACTTTTGGATTTAATATCTTAAACTTTATAGTATAGATGTACCGTATACACATTATTTGTTGTACAACTGTGCATTATATTTCAATATTAGTAGTATTTTGTATACTAGGCAATAATATTATGTTATGGACTTGGCAATATTGTTTATTGATTTCTAATATATCACAACTTATTTCTTAATAATATTCTCAGTTCATTAGTCACGCGTCCTATAAGACAGTCTATATAGTTATAGCGACGCTTAATTTAAAAAGTCTGTATTGAATAACTATAATAGATACAAGTGATATATCAATATCTTGTGCCTATGCATAAAAGTAAATAGGTACCTAGTTGGTACGTGAACGACAAAAACAGAAAAAAAAGCAAATAACAGTCATAGTATGATAGCACCTAACGGAATACATCGAAGTACAACTATAATAAAGGTTTTTCGTAAAAAAAAATTACACTTATTGTTTTATTATACGATAAAAACTAGTCGAACGTTGGTAGGAGTATAAAAAGAGGCTAGACGTGTGCGACGTGCAGTGTGGCGTAGTGGAAGCGCGGTGAGCAGTGAGTCTAAGCGCCGCCGTCGCGTATAATTCGCGATGTCTGCGTTGGCGAGTCGCTATTTTGCAAAGTGCCGTGTGTTTGCATGATGGCAGGCGGTGAAGGTGCCGTTCAGCGAAGGCGACGACGTCGGACTGTGACGGTGTAGCCAGACGGCCGGAAAACGCGTTGGCGGCACTGCGGTCGAAAGTTTATTTTTAAGCCAATCATATGAGCGTTTCATTTTGACAATAGCCCATTAGTTTGTTTCTCACTTCTCAGTGCCGTCGACCGAAGGTCAGTGGATGTTCGTCCGTAGCGTTCGACGTGTGTTTCGCTAGGTCGCTTTCCGTGATAATTGTTGCTCCCGTGGTGTCCACCGCCGTTTCGTCGTGTGTACGCCGTTCCGCCGATGACGTCCACCGCAGTCGGCCGCCGACCATTAGCGTTTCGTGCGCGCCACGACCGCATCGCAGCCGTTGTCGTCGTCTACGCGTTGCGTTAGATCGATAAAAGCATATATAGAGAGAGTGATCGCCGTACACGGCCGTCGCAGTCACTATTACAACTACGCGACCTGATAATACAATTATATTAATATATTCACCGTGTACGGACTCTTGCCACGACTGTCTCAACGACGTCTAGGTGTGACGACCGCCGTAACATTCGGTAAGTAACCTGCGAATAGGGTTTTTTCGGGGTTCAGCGGTGTACGCTCGCGATATTCGACTACCTACCGTATAGGGGGGGCACGACCGGCCGAGGCGCCAGCGGGCCGTCATCGCTATGAACGGGCCAAAGGAGGCCTCGGACGCTCCAATGACCCAGATTCTTTATGTGGTTGCGGTCTAGACCCGCAAACTACCGGAAAAGAAGTTCCGTAGCGGGATATTATTATGTCCTATATACGTTGGTGGACGGTGTTTAATAGTACTATTGCCTATATTATTATTTACAACTGTACCACTAGCCCCTGATAACAGTCAGTGGACAGGGAAGTATGTGATAACGGCGACGCAGGCCTGTCGTTTGAGAATAATAATATAATGACCCCGCGGCCCGGGGGGGTTATCGTCTGCGACGACTTTTTTCTTTTTGTCTATTTTCGTCCGTACGCCTGTATTTCTAAAATGTTTTCTCTGGAATCCCACTCGTTTGTTATTGTCCCGTCGAATTTTGTATTAAATTACTACGCGCGCGTTTGATATCTGTGAAATTTTTTTTTGCTCTTGCATCCTCCGCTCCCTCCCGTAATCAATATTCGTATAACATAAACAACTTCTACCTTGTCAATCGTATCTTCAGTAGGTTTTTTAAATTCGATTGTATCTATTGTAAATATTGTGCACGTTTATTTATTTATTTATTATCATTGTTATTACATTTTCGCTCCCGTCAAATAATAATTATTGTTCAGTAGTTTTTTGGTTTTTCGTCTCTTGTCACGTAAGTTTTTATTTTTGTATTCGGAGACGTAATTGATAAAGGTCCTCTAAGAGTAACTCTCGATGTTTTGGTTACTAAATACAGGTTACCCGTAGTATTCAATTTATTATTTAATATTTACTTAGGCTATTTCACGGACGTTTGTTGCCTGAGATGTTTATTTTTCCCAAAGTATTTTTTATCATTTCGCACATTCCACTGTGTCGATCTATTTTATCCATATATATATATATATATTACTATTTTATTTTTTTACAGAAAATTATTACGAGTACATCTAGATATTTGATTAAATGTACTCTACCTATGTATAAAACTCGTAATTTTCTTATTAATTTGTAATCCACTACCTATAATTTATTAATGTGTCAGTGTGTTAGGTTGATACAATTGTTCGCAAATCAAATAATATCATATTTACTATACTTCAACTACCTATTTCATTGACAAACACAAGATTGTTTGAAATGTAAAACATTTTTGTAATCATTAGACACCTGAATGTAGTCTTATCAGATGAGTTTTTAAATGTCTGTTTTTTTATTATGGACAGTGGACAAATAACCATAATTTATTACTTGTTGGTTTTTTTTATTAAATTTTCCAATAGATCTCTTGTGGTTGACTCATATATTTATCAGTTAAACAATTTTGTATCTTGTAATTAATATAACTATAACCATTGATTATAATATAACCAATGCTATAAGGTCGTCAGAGTTGAACATTTTAATACAATATTCATTTATCTACCGATTGCTATACTCTATTCAGAATAAGAAGACAATAGTTTGCACAACAACTAAGTATTTAAACATTGCTGGAATGACAGAACCTCGACCGTTAATCTGGTTATTACTAACTACACACGTAAAATATGCTAACTGGGACGTGTTTTCGTCTGCCACTTGATTAATGTTTTCTTGTTCTAAATAGAGTATACCATAAAACTCTTTTTTCCTTATACTTGTATTATGAGTAGTGGTTAGGTTGTAAAATAAATTAAAACTCAGAAAAAGCCATCTAATGAGTACTGTCATAACCCTTATACATTTGCTTATATCTACTCCATATTAATTAAATTAATTATTCTTGTGCTTTACTTAAAATTAATTCTTAGTAGGTAAGTATTTACCTCATGGATTGCTTTAATTTTGTTTATTGCTTATGAAGTTATGAATCTAGTTTATATTTTACCATTGAGTTGTTAGTTTATTATTAATAGATTACCTAATAAAAATAAAAATGCTACTAAATTAAATGTTTTTTTTTTTTTTTTAGGAATTTAGCCTCACACATAGTAGACCTGAGCATTTACATTACTAGCTGAATAATTATTAGCTTAATGGATAAAAGAGGTTTTGAGGATTTACATCCTATTATTTTGTACATAAATGGATAATTTCAATATACCATTGCTTAAGCATAGTGAAATGGACAATAGTAACAATTGCTTTATCAGTGATCCATCTCTATTTTCCCATTTGGAAATAGACCAAGATCATGAATGTCTTAAACAGTTTTTATTGGATCAAGATAAGACAACTGCTCATCCACCTCTACATGTCCCAAACTACGATCCATTATCGTACAATAATATGTTGCATCCAAACAATAACATGATGCAAGATACATATCGGAACCAACTAGATTCAAATCAGTCACTGAGTCAGGGTTTTAACAAGGATAACTCAAATTTCATGAATGATTCTTATGGTGGTTATACTGTATTAACACCAAATCCTTCACCTATGGCTTTTAATTACAATCCACAAACATTAGGCTCAAATTTTAATTCAATGGACACCTCTAATTCGGCGATCTTACCACTACCTGGTTTTGACACTACCTCCTTGTCAAACCATGTAGACACTTTTATGCCTTTAGTTGGTACTACAGGACCATCGAATATTCCTGATTTTAGTAATAGACAAATAAGGAACGATCAGTATTCTCCTGGTATTTCTCCAACCATAGCTAGTTTTCCTACACCTGTAAGTGTATCTGATAGTCCAGGCGCTGGGACCTTAAGCGCATCTCCAATGTGTAATGGAGAAAGTTCCAGTTTAAGTGACAGTGTTATTAGTCCTGCAACTACACAAAGAACTGGCAGTGAAAGGTCTGTAGAAACAAATCCACGATCGATTGAAAGTGTATCGAGTGATCTATGTTCACCTAGAGTTGATTTAGAGTCTTTAATCATACAGCCCCCGTCTACTCAAAACATTACTAATGGAGAGGTTTCTAGAGCTACAATTGTTCCACCTCCTACACTTAAACCAAAACCAACAACTGCTAATGGCGTTACTCTTAACAAATCTGGGAAACCTCGCAAACGGCGTTCAGCTCCAAAAGAAAAATCAGTCAAACCCAAGAAACCTCCTGTAGGCTCAATATATCATAGTGAAATTGCTGATAATGGTGGTATTAAATTGAAAATATCATTAACTGCAATGCCACAAAAGAAGAAACGTAAAAGTAGAAAAAAATCTGATGAAAGTAAAATGCAATATGATGAACCAGCCGAACAAAGTTCTTGGGGTGACCGACTGCCAGAACCTATTCTTTTTGAAATATTTCGTTTAGCAACTAAAGATGAAGGATGCATTCCATTTCTTGTCAGGTAAAAAAAAAAAATAATAAATATAACTGTAAATAGTATGTTAAATTAAATTAAGAATTTATGTTTCAGGGTTTCTCAAGTGTGTAGGCTTTGGCGTATTGTTGCTTCTGATCCATTACTTTGGACCAATATTGACTTAGCTGGAAGATGGGTTTCAAAAAATCCTATTAGAAATGATATTAACTTTAGATGGCTTTGTGAAAATCGACTTGCCAGAGTCCAGGAACTTAATCTAGGTAAATATTTGAACACATTAATTTTTATATTAATTATAATTTATATTTTCTATTATAAATCATTGAATGTTTTTTTTAGGAGGGTGGCAGTTTACTGGCATTCCAGCTATACTAGATAAAATTAGTACGTCATGTTTAGATCTACGAGGGCTATGTTTAACTAATTGGGAAGGTCTAAGTTTGGACAATGTTCGTTTTCTTGTCACCAATTGCCACAAATTAGAACGAATAGATTTATCAGGAATAAATGTAAGATTTAGATTTGTATATACGTATCTTAACACCTAAATAATCAAACAGGTGCAATACAATTTTTCACTATTTATATTATTATACATATTTATTAGTATCATTGTTGAAATATCAACTATGTTTATAATGCTACATTCGTTGGTCATTTTATTTGAAAAAGCCTTTTTATGAAACTAATAAGTTATTGAACAATGTTGTGGTATACATTTTTATTCTACTATTTATTTTAAACTAGTATAAATAATAAACTAATAATAAACTAGTATATAATATTAACATTTTTACACATTTAAAAAGTTATTAATAAAGAAATAAGGTATGCATGTAAAAATTATTATTTATTAATTTAAAAAAAAAAAATATATATTATTTTATTACGTTTATTATATAGATGATAATTTTTGAATACAATACACCCTAAATTTATTTAATCAATTATATTTATATTCAGTTAATATGGTGTATGTGTTATAAACCTATACTTATTGTTTATGTCATCAAATTATAATTATTTAAAGTTCAGATTTTCAACTATAAAGTGATTATTGTTTGAAAAAAAAAAAATATATATATCAATTAATCAAGTTAATACTTATCAGAATTTGAGAACTTATTAACTGTGTAAGTCCTTTAATAATTATAGATATTTTCCAAAATATTTTGTTTTCAAAACATATGCACTTAATAAATATTTGTACTAATTAAAAATTAAAAGGTGATATATTTAACGTAAAGCAATTAAAAAAATATTTTGAAAATAATATACATAAATACATTTTTTGATTGATTGAAATTGGCAAAAAAAGAAAATCAAATCAAATTTGCTTAACACCTTTTTTAATGATAAGCGGGCATTAGGTTCAATAATATAATTTAACAAAAATACATTAGTAAACAGAAAAGTAAAATATATTAATAATTTACAATTTATATAAAATATTTTTATAATAAAGTGAAAATTGTTAAATAATTTGCAAAATGATTGTAAAAATAAATTTCTATGCATTGCATATACTAGTTGTTGTCCAAAGATTTAGTTTTAGTATATAGTTGTGGAAGTATAGGATAACATAAATATTATTAACTGATTATATATTATATTGTATTAATAATTTAATAATTTACTTAGGCTCAACATAGCAGTGGCAAAAGTGGAGTGTGCCTAAATTCTCTTATGTTCCTGACACAACACATGGGTCCGAGATTGACACATTTGAATTTGGCTGACAATCGACTTTCAGGGATTATCCAATTAGTCAATTCTTTAGCCGTAAGTTATTTTTTATTACATAATAAGAACTCATTTTAATTAGTTACAAAAATTAAATGTTTCATTATGGAATAATAAAAAAAATAATTCATTCAAAATAGTTTGATTATAAATACCTTAGGAATATTGAAACTTCTAGAGTTTGAAACTTTGGATTGCAAGCATTTCTTTTACAAGGTGTTTGACAATCAAACTAGGGGTTTTTGCTTTAGGAATAAACATCTGTGAGATGTGCAGTAATTATTATTATAGCTATATAGATGTATATTAAAAAACTTAATAGTCTTTTGGTTTGTGAATGTTTCAAAGAAATTTGTATGAGTTACGATAAATTAAATACTATGGTAATAAAAACTCTAATTTAAATGAAAGTATTTAATTCAAATTAAATGTTAATTTATTTTAAAAAATATTGTAAAATTTACGGAGGAAAAATAAGGATAACAAAAAATAATGTTATAATAATAATTGTTTATAATTATTAATAATTGTTAAAATAAATGTTCCTTTTCAGAGCTGCTTGTTTCTTAAATTATCAAAAAAAATTTTTTTTGAAAGTAAATACTTCTCAAAATATCAAGTCTAGCTCATCTAAATAATCTGTTTATATTATAATTATATTTTCATGGGCTCCTACACAAAACTTTTTCAATGAGGTCCATTAGCTTTTAAAGACTAAAATAAATCACTAAGAAACACATTGAAAAAGACATCCTAGGATAATGGAGACAGGTGCAGCCATTGTTATAAATAATTTAATGTATACCTATAAGCAACGATAAACCATTACTTACAAAAAAAAAACCGATTCTGAGTGAAGTTCAGTTCATAGTCATGCTTTATAAACATGTCATTTATAATAAAATAATCAAATAGGTATTATATATTTTTTGTAATATGTGTTTAATGTTGTACTGATTTTCACGTTTTTCCTATGTATTTCCTGATTTTCTTATGTTTTTTCTGGTTTTCACATTTGTTGGAAAACCGAAAAATCATCTTAAATTTTCCAGTTGCATTTCCTTTCAGAAAATGTACTATCATTGTAATTTGGAGTAAGATGTCTAGTAGAATAGTAGTGCTAAGATAAAAAAAAATATCTATGTAAAACCATAAACTTCTTCGCTCCACTCAGAATCCAAAAGAAAATTAAAAGTTTTACCTAAAATATAAGCAATAAATCTATTAAATATCAGAACAATTCATATTCAAACAATTTAATTCTATGGAGCTATTATTTAACAAATATTTTTATCAAATGGATTTAAAAATAATCTACATTGTTTTTATTATTGTTTCTGTACAAATTGTGGTCAAGTTAGACTTGTTTTCATAATAAAAACATTTTAAATTTTGTGTGAATTCATTTTTTTGAAAAATTTAAATGTGATGACTGATGAGTATATTTTAAAAAAGAACTGATACTGCTGATAGTTGTATGGGGGAAGTGAGGATACAACTTTTTTTTTATTTTTACAGAATATTACATATAAATATAAGTAAATAAATATATAGTAAGCTCGTATGGGGGCTCATGAATCTTAACTATAATAAATTACAAGTTATTAATAATTATTAATAAACAGCAGCTTGTTGTAGTAACCACTCTGTTATTTTAAATTAACATATATAGAATAATCATGTAATTTATATGGTAGGTTCTTATAAATATTTGGACTAGTATATAGAAAAGAAGATTGTGTAGGATTTACATATATTAGGGGTGATAATGTTATACAATTTATTTCTGGTGTTAAAAGTATGGGAAATAGGTTTAATTTGATTATTTTTTACTATGAAAGTAACTGATGTTTTATGAAAAAGTTCTTTTTACTGTTAAAATATTTAGTTCCTTATACAAGTTATCAACAAGGAAGTCTCTGGTTTTATTTAAAATTATTCTTAGAATATTATTTTGTGTTATTTATATTCTTTTTATTTGTTGCATCCCATGCAATTATGCCATATGATAGTGTTGATTCTACTAATGTCTTGTATACAGTTTTAACTTGATTTTGGTTAAAAATAGATCTAAGTTTAAAAGAGTAACAGATTTTTCTTATTTTTGCAATAAGTGAGTTGATATGCTTTTTCCATCTTAGATTATGTGACATTTCTATTCCTAAATATTTTACATTAAAGTTAATTTTTAATATATTACTACAAAGCATGACTTTAGGGTAGTACAATGAGATGAATGTAATAAAATATGATCGATATTTGGGAAATTATTGTTAATTAGGTAGTGGGGTAAGATAAACATTTTTTTTAAATTAAAAAATAAATTATTTTTAATAGTCACAATCTTGTACATTTAATATTAGCCTGGATTTTATGGAAAACTTCCTCCCATGTATCATCTATCATAATAAGGGCTGTGTCATCTGCATAGCAAACAAGTTCTGCATTTAATGTTAGTGATGTAATGTCATTTATATTCATATTAAATAGTAGAGGAGATAGTGCATTACTTTATGGGAGACCGCATGCAATAAATTCCTCCCTTGTGCTTAGTGTCCCATTTATGTTTACAAATAGTGTTCTATAAGATAAATAAGAATCAATCAATTTAAGTGTCAAATTTTTTATTCTGAGGTTTAAAATAAATTGCTATTAAAATATGATTCTGAGCAAAGTTCTATTAAACATGTTTGGAAATAATATGTTTTTTTTTATGATTTTCGTAAATATTTTAAATTTAAAGAAATCTTAAACAAATTTACTAAGTATTCAATTATTATTATACTCTACTTTTTTTTTTTACCAAAAAGTAGATACAATCTTTTCTAATATTTTTGATTGTCCAAATCAATTTTATCCACGCTAAGGAAAAAAAAAATTAAAACTTCAAATACTTAGAAAAGCAAAATTGTCAATGCTTCTGGAAAACCCGGAATAGTCAAAAAACTTGTGTGAAATTCTGGAAGTTTAATTTAAAACTTCAATCTCTGGTTTTATAAATATTAATCATTCAAAATTTAAAAAAAATCACTTATTATTTTGTTACTTATTTTATTATATAAATACTATATATTTTTAAAGCATTTTAAAGTTTATTTATTTTGTTATTAAAAATGGTATTCAATTTTTAAAAATTAGCTGTTACGTTTGTAGGTAAGAAGTATACATAGAAATATACATTAATTTATTAATTTATACCTCTAAGCAATGATTTAATTGCTAACGAAATTATGCTAACGATTCTTACCGGAGTTTAGTTTTACATGTTTTAAAATGCCATCATTTTTAAGTTTATTGTCAAAATTTGATCTTAAAACTCCTATACAAAAAGAAAACTAGTTTGCAAAATCAAAAAATAATTTTCTTATTAGGATCTCAATCAGATTTAAAATTCATTAAAAAAAGTCTTGTTAAACTTTGATTGAAGCAAATTTTTATTGTAAAAGTTGTTTACAAACACAAACAAAAAATGTTCATCATAGTAAAACCAATACATTCTTCGCTACGTTCAGAATCTTAAAAGAAGAAAGTAATAAATATATTTTTATTATATATAATTTGTTTACTCTTGTAAACTGGAAAAAAAATATTATGGACAAAACATGAAATAGTCGGAAAAAATTTTAAATAGAATTTTGTGGCAATTTTCAAATAGTTTAAAAATCACTAGAATGTTTTAAAAAATGTATCAAATCTATACAAGCCAAATATATGTATTCTGCCAAACATTCAGATTATTCAATTATTTTTAACTGAATTACACTAAAGCACAAAATTTATAATAATGAAATCATTATTTTTGTAAATTTTCCTGTTTTCCTAAGGGTTTTTCCAGTCATTTAGAAAACTAAAAATAAAATCTGAAATAATTTCTTTAATACACTTAACTAGATACAATTATTTTCTTTTAGAAAATATGCTACACTTCAAAGTGTAGAAAAGTTGTTAACAGACACCAAAAAAACAACATTTACGTGTTTGTTTTAACTAATACTCTCCTTGCTGTGCTCATAGTTAAAAAAAAAAAAGTATTATCCAAGAGTTTTTATAAGTTGTTGTAGACATTCTAACGACTAACAAGTATAACACAATAGCTGGTTCATTTTATCGTGGGTAACTTTACTGATTAGATATATTGAGAATTTACATATGGCTAACAGTGATTGGGTGAGATATAACTATTGTTAATGACCATGATACTGCTTTGTGGTGTTAACTGAATTGATTATAGCATTAGTTATAGGTACCTAACCATATTTTAATTGTATTGTAATATTTCAGAGTTTTGCACTAATTTAGTTATATATCTTGGTTTTTGTAATTAAAAATATATTTTTCATTGATATGTCTTCAGGTTGGTATTACAATCATTGGTTATTATTCTGGTTATGTGAAGAACTGTTAATATGCCGGGAACTAGTTTATTTTCAAATGTATTATAAAATATAATAATGAATATAGTTGCAAATAAGTCTTGTACACCTAAAGAAAGCCACCAGTAGTGTAAATTACACAAAATCATGTTCTGCTTTATTTTCATCATCAGTATCTTCATAATCTATAATACTATCAAATACATCCTTCATTATATCAATAGGTAATATTTCACAGAAGCTAAATATATAATCTATGAATTGCAATTTCAAATGTTTTTGTTTTGATTTGTATACATTATTATTTTTGATAAGAAAGCAAAGTATTAATAATGAGATGCTCTTTAACGCTCTGTCACTTTTAGTAACTAGAAAATATTCATGGGAAGTATAACTGGTACATAATGGTTGTCTGTAACACCAGATTTTATAATACTGGTTTTTCTTTCTAACAACCATTAAATATTTATCGACGTGTATCCAATGATTGTAATACTGGCCCTTACAATTCTCTATAAAAACTGGTGTATATTCAAATTATAAATATCTCTAATATATTTCTAAATAAGTGAAAACATACTTACATTTTATTATATTAATATTAAAAATACAACACCTTTAAATTTTAAAGTTAACTTAACTTTTCTTATATAAAGTTATTCAATTTGTATTATATATATTTTGATGTTGGAATGCAAGGGGTGATTGTAACATATGCATACTTATATTTAACTTTGTTTACTTAATAATGTCAATATTGTAAGTTATTTAGCATGTATCTATTATTAAATTTCAGACAAACTGCCCAAATCTTCAATCCCTTGATTTGACTAATGTCCGGATGGTTGGTAATACTGGACATCTTCATATAGAACGATTACAAGAAGGATGTCCAAAATTACGGGTGTTACGAATGGCCACAAGCCAACTGTGTCTGAGTAATATTCCATTAAACGAACAAGCTTCGTCACCAGGTTTTCCACTTTTGGAAGAACTCAGTGTTGCTACTATTTCTAATGACTTAAATGCATCAGGACAACCATTCATTGATGATCAAGCTCTGGAAAGGATATTGAAAACCTCACATAAATTGTATGTCCTCGATGTCAGAGGATGTTCTAGAGTAACAGATTCAAGTTTAGTGAGAGTACCTGCATGGGATTTGACCCACCTATATTTATCAGGTAATAATATGAACTAATAAAAAGTTATAATTATTCAATTGGATTTTTTTTTTTTTTAAATTAAAACAATACCTATTTAATATTTATATTTTATGGTTTTTGTTAAAAGGTTGTTGTGTTACTCGAGTAAACGATTCTGGTCTCGATCTGATATGCAAAAAGTGGAGCCATAGTCTTGTGGAAATTGATCTCTCTTGGTCGACCAATTCTAATACATTAGACGCAGCTGTTTTGGCCCTTTCGGAACAAGGAGAAAAATCTATGTTAAGGTATTGAGTGTCTTGTTTATAGTTTGTAAAATATGTGTTTTATTAACGTAGCAATATGATTTGTTTTTAGAAGAATGGATCTTACTGGTTCGTCTGTTAGCCTTGAACCAGTGAAAGCTGTATTAAACAAGTGTCTCCGGCTTAATTCTTTAAATTTAGCATCTTGTCGAGGCTTACCTAGAGGCATTAAAAGGTTATATAAAGGTCATTCATTAGCTGAATTACGAGCGCAGCTTAATGATAAACCTGATTCATCTCAAGAATCTGAAGATGGAGGCGGATAGGGTTAACATTTAAGGTACCTTCCATTTCTTTTTTTGTTCTTTTTTTACTGTTTTTTTTTATTACTTTTTTATGTGTTATTTTTAAGCAATTGAGAAATTGTTGTTCAATGTGATAGTTATTAATTTACATTTATTATTATTATTATTATTATTATTATTATTATTATTATTATTATTATTAATTATTCTGCCGATATATTAAATAATAGTACAAATAATAAAAAAAAAAAAACCAAAAACAAATTACTACAATATTCATTATTCTTTTTCTGTAAGAAAATAATAATACAACAATATAAATCAATCCTTCTCGTTGGTATGTTCACTGTAATTTTATATAATGTTATAGATTTTAATTCAAACCATTAGATGTATTATAATTTTATTAAATGTTTTTATATCTATTTCTAAAGAAATAAGTCAATTAAAATAATATGGCTTGGAATGCTATTTAATTATTTTGTCAGAATGATTTTTTGACATATGTGTTCTGTATCAGATATTAAGTACCTTTGTGTGATAATATACAGGTTAGCTTTCCACAATGTATCCATAGACCCCTTATACTTATAGACCGGCCTTCCCTTTATCACTATATTCCTTTTATTAAGAAATGTGTTAAAATATAACACATTTATATACAATGCAATATCGGGTATGCTGTTTGATAAGAACTTGCTAGAATAATATTTTGTATTACAAATTTTTATTTGCAAAAAGTGACCTAGTATATAAGAAAAAAATATTTAAATGTTATTTTATATCTATAGAGTGATTAATTTTTATCACGAACCAACAATCTGAGGATTTTAAGTGAATTTGCATTCTGTTTTTTTTTTTAATTATTTTAAAACTATTTTTAATTTTTACCCTTTCCATCTACTTCAATTAAATATATACTTTTATTCTTCAAATAGGGTAATAAATTGCATATCCATTTTTAAATTAAATTGATAATCCTTCCATATTGCATCAGTTTAAACTTTCAACTGCCATAACTCATAAACGGTAGGTATTAGTTTTAGGTATAGCAAAATAATTAGTAAAATATTACTCTGTTTCAATCTATGTTCAAAAAGAGGGTTCCTATACGAGAAAAAAAGTATGTATGTATTTAAGGTTTTTGGAGTAAGGGTTAAAATAAAAAATGGGTTTACAATAAAGCTTTTAAACGATTCAACAATGATTAAAAAAAAAACAGAATTTGAATTCACTTAAAATCGAGAAAATTGTTGGTTCGTGATAAAAAAAAAAAAAAAAAAAAAAAAACATATATCTGTACTAAAATAAAATTGCCCAAGTGATATAAAAAGTTTAGAAGCCACTTAACACAATTATTGATTAAAATAAAATCTAAATCTAAATGTTTAAATTAATGTTTAGTCATTTTTTGCACATATATGTTTAACAAATAAAATAATTGATGTAGAAAAAACTGAGCCCAGTGTATTATACATGTTGTGTGTATTTGTACTATTATCTAATGATAATTTTTCAAATCTAAATCAACTGTAAATACATACAATCTATATAAGGCTAAGTTTTATCATATTTTTAAAATTTTATTTGGATTATACATATATATATATATATATTTTACATTTGTTGTATTCTTATTTTGTGAGTATAAATCTCAAAAATAATTTCATTTTAATATTTTTATATTGTATCTGTTACTCATCTCCAGAAGTCCCTCTTTAAAACGTTAAAATATGCAGGGCATATGTGACTAACTAGAGTGTATTTTTATTGTACTTTTAGTGTGGTTTGAGCAAAAATTTACTAATTGGGGAAGTTCACTTAAAAAATATTTCAAATGTAATTTAAATGTTGATTTCCTTTTCAGTAACTATTATAATTTTAAATTTCTAAGCAAAACAAAAATATAACAACACTATTATTTTTGGCAAATAAATGAAAACTATTTTAAAGTAACATTTTTATGTTATGTTATCATCAAACATGCATAATAAATCATAAACTTGCAGCTATTATAAAAATAATTATATTCCATACTTCATGCAAAACACATTCTTTATATTATTCAGTGATTTTGTTGAAATGATAGTCAATTCATAAATAGAAAAACTAAGTAGAAATGCATGTGCCAAGTTGATATACTTGTTTTTTGTTGTTGATTTTTTTTATATGTATAAATGATCAATGTCTGATATATTTAAGGCTTAAGACGGCATTAGCATTCCTACAATTTATAAGACATTTTTTTTTCAACAAATTTAAATTAAATTGAAAATAAATTTTTCTGAAATTATTATTTTTAATCGAAATTATATTTTTGTAACTAAACAAAAATGTGTTTTCATGTGATCCCTCACTTTTTTTTTAACAATCACAATTACCAAAAATGTGCACACTATCCCAAATACTTTAATCCATTATTTTCTAAGCTAGATTATAAGTTATGTTATAGATAATCTAATTATTTTTGTAAATATTTCCTAACACTTGTTATTAGTTACCTTTATCTATATATAAATATATTTTTTATTAGTATTACTGTTTTATAAAAATCTGTTCTAAAAATATATAATTGTTTATTATATATGCTCCCTAAAGCACATTAAAAAAAGTTAAGTATACTAGGTTATGAAATTTTATTAACTATAAAACTTTAGTTTATCATGTATGTTATATTCGGAAATTTACGTTTTTAGACAATAACCTCGCATATTCATTTCTTTTATCCACCATTACTCGTTCTTTTTTTAAAATTAATTGATTAAATAAAAAATAGTGACAAGTTTATATGAAAAAAATTAATTATCGTAAATGTGTAAATATTGACATTGTAATTCAATAAAATTATTTACTTTTGCAACTAATGATATAAATAATAGTATTATTTTCTTCATTTCTTCCCCAAAATAAGTATGTATTTTAATGCTTACTAACCATAATAACAATTATTTATTGTTGTTTAGTCATAGGTGCACATTTCAATTTACAAATATTTTACAACACAAATGTAGTATTGCATTTATTTCATAAATGAATGTAAAAGATTTAGAAATTAAAAAAACATTAATTTAAAATAAATACCCAACTTTGAATTTTTCAAAGTAAAAGAAAATAGTTCTTTTATCATCATTAGAGTTTCTGTATTAAACCTTTTTTCTCATTGCAATCATAAAATATTTTATATTTTATTCATGCGCAAAATGGACTAAATATTTGTACGGATATACAGTGTTAATTCATTCGTTTATTTAATTTTTTTTTTTCAAAAATAATGAACAAATTATTTTGGTTGTAACCAATCCCAAAAAATTATTTTCATTAAAATGTTTAAATTGTTAACAACGAACTTATTGTAGTCATTATTGTTATTGTTTAAATAATTCAATTTATGAGTGTAGATCTTTTTTAGTTATTGTTCTTCAAAAAGCTGTCTTTAATTAAAATTGGATGTGTATTTTATATTAGAAAAAAATGTTTTTAAGTCTTATTTTTTTTTTCTCAATAATGTAACCACATTTATGTTTGGGGCCAAATAATGTTCACGTCTTCTATAAACTATAAACTCTGAAAATAAAAATACAATTCTTAATAATTTCATTTTTATTCAAAATGCCACGAAATTTGTGTAAATTAATGTTTTGTTTGATTGTTAATAAGATAGTTGAATTATGTTGTTTTTTATTATTATTATTATTATTTTTAATTTAATTTTTTATAATATAAATATACATATATATCTTATTATCGCTGTACATAACAAAGAATGTTTTAATATAGATTATTATATTTTGTCCATAAAAATGTAAAATATATATTGTTGAGACTGTAAAGACGTATTGTAAATGTATTGTTTATACATATAAATATAATTTATAAATATACACAAATACTTGGTATATCAAAATTCGTTTAACGTAGTGGTTTTCACATTTTCTTAATAAAATTCCAATTATCTGCATTTGTTGATATTAATTTACATGGACAAATAGACATTTTTTTAAACAGAAAAAGCATGTGGAAATTATTTTCATTTTTAATTAATGGAATACAACAATTAATTAAAATATTTTACAAAAACAAAGTTTGTATGAAGATAACCACAATAGAGTATGAGTTTGGAGTTTATAATTTAACAATGTTATTTTATAATACTTATCTAAAAAAGTTAAAATTTATAAATCAAACTAAGCTTATCATTAACTTGTTTTGCACTGAATGTTATTATTAATTTATACATATTGATTTCCGGCAATTAGCTCATATTTCAGTCTTAATATTATTTCAATACATTTTTATAACGAGATGTAAGAAAAAATTCAGTATTTTTTCTATGCTTTCAGTACTATAATAAATATACTTTATATAATATGTACTTGTAAAAATAAGTGTTACTTAACATTATTCATTGTCGATTTATAAATATAATGGTTATTGTTGTTGTTGAATCAATGTTTGTATTGGATACAAGTGGAAACCATTATGTTGTATAGATTTTGTTAAACCATATTGTATTTATTGTTAGGCAAAAATATCATTAGGGTTTTTATGTTGTTAATACTCTAAAAATCCAACCTTTTTTTTGCTTATGAAAATTATTTTTTTTTTGTTTTATGTATAAATATAAATTAGCATCATGTTTTTTTCTGCAATATCAGAATTATTATGACATAATTTTGTGGAAAAATGTCGCTCTCTAATTGAAAAAAAATTGTTATTTGGATATAATATAATTATAATTAATAAAATATTTTATCAGTTATTTATTTGTATACCATATAATATATATTTATATATTATAATGTAAGCTGTATGCATCCTTAAAATGCAATAAGTACAGAATAGTAGTATGAATTTTATTGTTTTAGTGTGAAAAAAAAATTGTTCACATTTGAGGTGTACAATTTTATTTTGTGATCATATTAAAAATTAAATACAAGATAAAATCTTAATATTATTAAATTACTATTAAATTGTACATATGAAATAACATTATAGTACATTAGAAGTGCTATTAACTTATATATTTTACATAATTATAGTAAAATTGAATAAGTGTGACTGAAAATGTTGCTGAATTAATAACTGAATTTTAGCTGATTAATATTGTGGATAAATATGTTAATAATTAAAATTATTATGTAAACCATATGTATGTATAAAATGTAATATAAATTGAAATTATTACTAGTGGTGGGCATTGGGTATGACTGAATACATGACAGTTATATACATTTGATAGTTCTATTAAAATACTTATTCATTCAAATATTTGAAAAAATAAAAATGTTCCAATATCACTGATTGAAACTTTTATTTTTAATACCTTTTTACTTTTTACATGTCTGATATATTTAAGGCTTAGTAGAATAAACTTAATAGTTTAAATCCACAATATTTTTTTCAAGGGAGAGGAGGGGCGCTGATCTCTTTAATTTCAGAAAACCCATTCCAACACCCCAGTCTCCCTCAGCCTCTAATTATTCACTAAGACTGTATGGGATAAGGTAAGTTTTTCCCTGTGATAAGGTAAATGCCTGGAAAGAAATATAGCACAAATTATTTTAAAATTAATGTTTTATGTCTATTCTTAGCAATATTTACGTTTGACAAGTTTTTGAAAATCCAAATAGCAAAATATTTAATTTTTATCAACAAAATTGTATAAATCACTTACATAATAATAATAATGTATTTAAAACGGTTTTAAGTTTTGTGATAATTAATTAATATATTATGCATTAAATATATAAATTCACTACATCAAAGTTGAAAAAAAATCATAACTATCATTAACTGTGTAGTAAGTACAATTAAATATGAAAATATTTTTATACCTATAAAATCTTTAGCAGCACAAGACCCTCCTGGGAGTCTTAGGATAGTCTGTATTTTATAGTCTATAGTCAATAGGGACTTAGTGACCCAACTTAGCGAATAGGAAGCGCCTGTTTAATTCCCAGACCAGTCAGAAAGGGTTTACGATAGTCTGTTGTATTCTACATTTACGAGTATAGATCATTCCCATGACCCAACTGGAAACTTTATTTAAATGGTCACATTTAGGTCTTGAATAGATCATACAAGAAATAAAAAAAAAAAGTGGACTCCTAACTGAGCTTACTTTAATAGTACGCACTAGTGTGTTACTAGAAGTGAATTTTAATGTTTTATTGGTTATTTTATGTTAATCATTTAAAAGCTGGTTTTATAAAAATGATTACTACCCTCTATCTCTTCCGAAATTCTTTTTGTAAAAAATAATTTATTAACATTTACGTTTCCTATATTTATATAATTTTTCTTTAAATTGACTGTGAATATAACACATTTTGTTTTTATTTACTTAAATAGTTTCCATACATTTTTATTTCATGCAACATGAACTAATGTATGAACAATTCTGTTTACATTACAATTGTTCATATCTGAAATACATCATAAGTATGTACCTAATACAAGACCCAAATTTTATTTATTTTGTTTTTGTACTAACAAAAAATAATAATTACTAATATAAATATTATTTTTTGGCATTACTATAGGTATCTAATAGATAAAAGAAGTAAATATGATCACTTGAATAGGTAGGTAGTAATTACTAATTCCCAACTATAATGCATTAATTTTCTTGCAATGTATAACTTCAAGCTGATGTTTCATTTGTAACTTGCAATTCTATAAACTTTTAAGTAAGTATCTATTAAAATATTTTGAAGTAAATTAATTAATTAAATTAATAAGTTAAAAAGCAATTATTTTAAAATATGTACACTTATAGTATAGCTAACTAAAAATAACTAAAAAATTGTTCATATTTGATAGTGGAATGTTAAAAGTAGGTCTAAATTTTACACCCTCCATTATTGTTATAAAGCCATTTGAAATTGTCGAATGTTTTGTTTTTGCTGACTGAAAATAAGTACCCCTAGTAGAAATTTTAACATATGAGTCATCATAAGGTAGAGGTAAGTACTTAGGAATTGACAAAATAAACAAGTTTAATGTAATGTAATAATTTAATTCATAAGTGCTTCTAAAGTTCAAATTCATTTGTATATTTTCTTGAAAATATTGAGAATATGCAAACAGTAAATCGTAAGTCAAGACGAATATAATCTGATATTATAAATGAGTTTAAAGAAATGTCTAATAATAAATTATAATTTTTTTTGTGGTTTCATTCGCTAGGGTATATTTTTATTCAAAATTCAAATCATAATTTAATTTAATTCATATTGAATTTTCTGAATAAAAAGTAAAAGTTATACCTAACTCCTAAGACAACGATTCTCATAACTCGAAAGGGTTCATGGTAATTCTTTTAAAACTGATAAAAGACAATTTTATCAGATCAGGTTGACCAACCCTTAAACATAAAATCACGAGACCATTACCATCATGATAATTATATTTTGTTAACATTTTAATATATAATACATTTTGGTGAATGTTGATGAACTTAGAAAATGATAAGAAAACTACAAATAAACTGAACATAAAAATTGTATACCTTTAAAATCAAAATTATTAGATACAGAGTCGATAGACAACAGTTCTCAGAATCGGGTTTTATAGATAGGTACCTTCAATAATATCGATATTAAGTTATTAATTTTATATTTTTATGAACAGGAACTATAAAATTCTAATTTTAACATTAATTGCAGGGATGAGGACTACAATTATTTAAATTTAAATTCAATTTTCATATTTTGGTGAAAAATAACTTTTTAGTTTTTTCTAGTTCTGTATATTTTAGATCATGGTACAGGCTGACACACAAATTGATATTAAATTATTATTTGGAATAATTTACATTATTTTTGGTTGGTGTGAGATATTATTTTTATTTTTATTATCATTATTAAGATAATTGCTTTAGGCCCAACTCGTAAGCAACTATAGACATATTAGTTAATAGTTAATATTAGTTAATATGTCTATGTAAGCAATATTAATATTTTTTTCAAAATTCTCTGAAGCCCGGGTATTAGTATTTAAATGTTTGTACTTGGTAGCACTGTCACATTAATGATAACCGTAATTGTTGATATTGATAATGTGCCGATGAATTTAAAGTTCCTTAGTCATTGTGCATTTTTTTTTTGTTTACCACCCGATATATTTTGCCAATTTCTTCATTCTTTAGTCTCAACTGTGTTCTTGAAGTCTTATAGAGCAAAATTGAATAATTATGTCCGGTGGTTATGACAGAGCAATCACGGTGTTCTCACCCGATGGTCATCTTTTGCAAGTTGAGTATGCACAAGAAGCGGTACGCAAAGGATGCACAGCTATTGGTGTACTTGGAAAAGATTGTGTTGTACTTGGTGTTGAAAAGAAGTCCATAGCTATGCTTCAAGAAGAGCGTACAGTGCGTAAAATATGTCCATTGGATTCTCACATAGTTATGGCTTTTGCGGGATTAACGGCTGACGCTCGTGTTATTATTAACCGAGCACAAATGGAGTGTCAGTCACAGTATCTTACTCTCGGAGAAACCGTCACGACCGAATATATTACTCGTTTTGTAGCTTCGATTAAACAAAAATATACCCAGAGTAATGGTCGTCGTCCGTTTGGTATATCGTGTTTAATAGCTGGATTCGACAACGACGGCACTCCTCATTTGTTCCAATCTGAACCGTCAGGTATCTATTATGAGTGGAAAGCTAACGCCACTGGTCGCAATTGCAAATTGGTTAAAGAATTCTTACAGGTAATATTAACAATTAGTTAAATGTCTGTTGAAATGCAATTATTTGAGAGTCAAATATAGCACTGTTTTGTTGATAAGTTTTATTATTATACAAATTGTATAATGACAAAATTAGATCGGAATACAAACAAAAATAACAGTACCTACAGTTAACTCATTTTATTACTTTTAAATTAACATTTAAAACAAATATATATATTTTGGCATCTAATATTTTAATTGTTTTTGGTAGGACAACTACAATGACGAAGCTGTAAGTACAGAACAAGGTACTATTAAATTGGCAGTAAGAGCGTTACTAGAAGTAGTTCAATCCGGCCAAAAGAATATTGAATTAGTAGTGCTAAAAAATAATGAAAAAATGAGGATGTTGGATTCTGTATCACTTGAAGAAATGGTCAGTGTTATAGAAGCAGAAAAAGAAGCTCTGGAAAAAGAAAAAAATAAACAAAAAGACAAACAATAATGTTAGTTAATTTTAAAGTCCGGTGAATGTGGATAAATCATTTCTAATTTCAGTTTAAATAATTTTTTTTTGTACATCTGTTATTTAATTTTTATATTAATAATTATTATTTTTTATTAATATAAAAACAAAATAAATAAACAAAATTCTCAATGTGTTGTCATTTTTTTTGATTTGAAGTAATTTACTTAATTAAATTTGGGTTTTGTAAATCAGGTAATGCTTATGATGTATTTCAAATAGAATATAAACAGAACTGTTAATATTTTAATAATAATTTGTTCATGTTACATACAATCAAAATTAATGTGAACTAAATAAAAACCTATTTTGTAAAACTATTCAAGTAACTGCCAACAAAATGTGTTATAGTCATTTTTAGCGAATAACTTTATTTACATTGGTAATATAAATGTTACTAAATTAATTTTTCAAGACTAAAATGAAATATTGTATAAATCAAAATGTATATTGGATACATTTTTATAAGTATAATATATATAAATCATGTTTAAGGTATTCATTCTTATATTTTATTTACATTGTTTTAAAACAAATAAGAAGATGCAATAATTTATTATTATGTTCAAATAATAATTCTTTTAAATGATTATTATCAAAATTCTAAGGAATTTGTTTTTTTAGTTTAAAATCAGATATTATTAGATAATAATTTTTTTAAATTGAAATTGATAGAATGAGGGTGAATTGTAATGAATTGATTAAAATTAAATGTAATAATTTTATTGGATATTAGAAAAAAATTTTTAGATTCTGAGTGTACTGAAATTTATGTTAACTCATGGCTTAACTAAGATTTTTCTTTCATTTGGTAAAACTGCCATTACTTTATACCTTCAAAGAAGTATATCTTTCATCCGGTGGTACTTTAATGATCAATAATTAGAAATGTCCAATATTTTTTCTAACAAATTGAGCTTTTGTTTTTTGAAAATTTATGATTTTATCATGCAGACACAAAATGTTTGCTTAAGAGATACTTTACTAAAATAATCCGAAATTTAAAACAGTATTCTAAGTTCTTTTTTTTCTTATGAAAATATTACTTCGGTTAGTAAAAATTATTATCTTCATACCTGTAAGATTAATTAACAGGGAATTTTTCACACCTGGTTGTACTTTATTTGAACATTTCTAGATTCCCAACAAGTTATGATATGTATGTGATAATATATTAGGCCCTATATTGAACTTGTACCTACTTAATAAAATAAAGTTTATAACTTATACAACTTAGTAGTACAAGGTATACAGATATTATTCATAACAATATTTAATATTATTTAGACAGTTTTAGATTATTGTTTGCTTTACAAAATGTATAATACTTATTATTTCTTTGTAGTTGTTACCTAATTAATATTTGGTTTAATAAGGTTTTTTTTGTTGTTATTACCATATCAGCTTATTCAGAGTTGGACTCTGAAAAACTTTAATTTTAGTATTGGTTCAACAAAACAGTGTCCAGTTACATTTACTGATTATAAGAATTACAAGAAAGTTACTTTGCTTTAAGTCTTGTTAAACCTCGAGGCATACCTACTTATTAAATATTTTATAGAAATTAGATTTCGGGTAGTATAAATACAAAAAGTATTTTCAAAGCTTATAATAGTATCACTATAATTACTTGGCAATTGTTGGATGTTTTAATGAAATTCTCAGGTGTAACGAATCGCTAAACACATTGTTTCTAAATGAGTCACTCAAGTCTGTAAAAGTATTGATTATTTAAATTTGGGTTGCTACTATATGTATTAATGTATTGTTTATAAAGCACCATTTATTACTTAAGTATTATGGTCACAAATTACAGTAAGGATTTAAGAACAGCATTTATTACTATGTATATTATGTTGTGTAGGCCTAAAGTGCATTAAAAATAGTTAGGACAATGTTAGATTTAAAATAATTTAAAAAAAAGAGCTGATACTTTTGTTACTGCTAGGATATATCATTGCAAACTTAAAATGATTCCGAGTGAAGTTGGGTTAAACATGTTTTGAAATTCCATTATTATTTTCATTGTTGAACAAAATTTGAACTTAAATGAAAAAAATTTAGATTTTTTTAAATTTTTATATTTTTTTTAACAATATTGTACAACTTATGACATCCCAAATTTTTAAGCATTTCTGTTTGGCTAAAACCATTTTATTCTCATAAAACCAAATACAAACTACAAAAAAAAAGATACAAGCTCATCCACTCTACTAATAGGTAAACCACCATTCATTTAATGCTATTTACTTTGGGCAGCACAAGCAATGCAACCTGAATTATTCTCCCTATACAGCCAACGTACCAGTAAAGCTAAAATGGTTTTAATCATGAACACCTAAATTACACCCTCTACAATACAAGCTCAATTTTATGAGTTTCAAACATTTAAAATGTATATAAATAATTCAAAAGTCATCAGAATTATTTTTATATATAAACAAAAATAAGATAAAAAGCTAACATGAGAATTCGGTGAAAATTTCAGATTTGTAAGATTATTTTTAACCAAATTACAACAAATATAAAGTTGATGATAGTGAAATCAGTAATTATTCCCCAATTATTAGTAAATCTACAAGGAAAATAAAAAAATTACCTCCTTAATGCACAAATTAAATTCTAAATGCAATAGAAGAGGTCACTTGTCATTCTTTGAGTGGAGCAAGATGTTTAGTAGAAGTTGTTAACAGATAGAAAAAATAAATAAATATGCATACATAGTAGAAATAATTCATTCCTCACTTCATTCAAATTTAAAAATTATATAAATTAAGCGTATTTTTGATTGGTACAAAAAACATATAACTACAGATTGATTATTTCAAAAAAAAAAAAAAAAAAAAAAAAAAAACATCTAAATATATTTTATTTAATTATACCATACTTCTATTAAATTGTTATATAATAATGTACAATAATAAAAATTATGTATGTAACTTAAAACAAAGTGTTGTATATACAATTTAGTTCTCTTTTAAATAAACTGCACAGAAGAGAACAAGGGAGAATTCATAGCAGTGATATAATAAGTGGAATTTGTGGTTAATTAAAAGAATATAATGGTATTATCATTAAATCTTTATACATGTATTTATATATAATTGTATATATGTAATATTTGTGTATTCACATTAGTTTTCGTATAAAATAGTATTTGTTTCGACTCAATAAAATAACAAATTAATAAGAAATATTCATATTTAAATTATAAAAAAATTTCACACATTTATATGTCAGTATAAAGTAAACAATAGTACTATTAAACTTACAATATATACATTATTTGTATACATGGTGTAGACGAGGTAAAATAAACTTTCAATGGATTTTCATTTGAAATTGACCATTGTGTGCTCTAAGTTATTCTTGTTGAATTGCATAGAAATAAATTTATACTTAGTCAATCCCAAATAGAAATTGAGAACAATCCAAAAGAAAATTCACCCATCTATCAAATTAAAAAAAAAATTCACAATTAAAAAAAAAATTTACAATTACGGAAGGATTCGATATTTTTTTTATATGATATGTGTCTAAATATATAAGTATATATTTTTGAACTTTTGTCCACAAAGATTAAAGGATGAAAAAAAAGTGTTAAAATAAAACCAAAATTTTCAATAGTTCAATATTTTTCATTTCTTCATTCATTATTATGGCACTGAGCTAACACCTATGTACAAACTTCATTAGGATGAATACTATAGTGGTAGCACGGATGTTAGAATTCAATTAACAATCAGTTAAGATAAATAACATTGTAATTAAATACTAATTTAGTATTGTGAAAAAAAATTACTGTTGTTTAAAATATTTTAATGGTAAAAAAATAAAAACCATTTTTTTTTAAAAATTATATCTCAAATGTTGAATACTTAAACAACTTGTTGTATTATAATCTAAACTTAATTTTAGTACAATTATATAACATATATGTCATTAACAAAAATATGAATTTTAAATGAGATTCTAATAATTTTTGTATAGAGATTTAAGAATCAGTAAAAAATTAAACATTAATTATACAACAGTTATTTAGTAGGACATGTAAATTATGACAATAGTTAGTACAGAACAAAATCATATACTATTAACATGTTAACAGTTGTTGGTTGTTAGTAATGACTTATTGTCAGAAATTAAATAAATTTAATTTATAACATGTTCAACTTTAGGTAAATTATGGTAGCCTCGTTTGTTTTACGCTCAAACAATGAGTAAACATTCATTGGATTCTTTTGTGATTCATTCAAAATTCGTATTGAACATATTGAGGTCTTCAAATGAAGCAGCTGCTGCACTTTGATCAAGCATTTGCATCATCATATCGGATAATTCTTGCGGATGCCCACTGTGAGGATGAGGTGGTACATTGTTTGCCACAGCTGTGGCCCCTGTCGCTCCGGCTTGCCAACCCCACATTCCTTAGAAAAACAAATCAAATACAAAATATAAGAATTAATATAGTTTTTTTTTTTTGATTGTTTTATTTATTTATAATATTTACAAAAAAAAAAATAATAATAATAATAATAATAATAATAAGGGGTATGTAGTAAGGCAATACCCAAATTTGGACCAGAAAATAGTATATGTATGTAAAAAAAATAAAATAAAAAAAAACAAAGTGAAATTTTAATATTTACCTGGAGACGCAGTTGCTGGGGATGGGTTGTGATAGGTTGTTTGTCTTGCGCCTCCACTTAATTGTGTGTATGTCGGACCTGACGGTGAACGGGACGGACTCATTTCTTGGTTATATTGGTAACCTTCAGTGACTGGCTACATTAATTAATTAATTTAAGTATAACATAATCTACATAATATATTAAAAGGGCATTTAATTTGGCACATATTATTATTTAATATTCTTACTTGACGCAATGTCCATGCAGTTTGTGCAGGAGTTGGACTTGACTTAGTAAGACGATTAATTAATGGAGATTGTACTTGGCTTTGGGTTCCTTGATTAGGTGAATGGTAGCTAATAGGCGATGGATTAGTTTCATAAGTATTGAATACATTTTGAGCGCTGTTTGGTCTTTGTGCTGTATTGTTGGCTACACACAAATATATACATTTTGTTGAATTAGTTTTAAAAAATTAAAAAATTAAAATACTTACGTATCATATGTTGATTGGCTGTTGGGGCAGCAGTAATCATAGCATGCGCTTGATAAGGTGGTGCTGCAACATGGTCCCTTCTTTGAACAGTATAGTCTAAGCCGGGAGCTTGTTGTTGGTAAACAGATTCAGTAGATGGATTACTGATATTCACTCCACTTTCAGATGGGGAATGCATTGATGATCTAATAGAGAAAATTCAATTATGAAATAATATTGATTTAACATTTCTCAATAAATAGAAATAATTTACTTGGCAGTTGAATTGTTGCATACAATATACTCAATATCATCAGTATATGGATTTAAGAAAGCAAATGCATTTGTTCTTAGCCAAATCCAGTCATGATTTTTACCTCGAAATCTATACATTACAGACATCATTTGTCCTTTCATTTTTAAAACTATAAATAATTGAATATATTACAATTAGTATAAGCTTTGTAGTATGAATAAAATTAAAATTTACCTTGTTCAAAACTTTCTTTCATATGAGTTTGGTCTTCGGGATGAAAGAACTCGTAACATGTTTTGCTTAAAAGGTCTTGTGGTTTATAGCCAAGTATATGTGTAACACGTTGATCGACAAATGTAAATTTACCGTCCATAGAATGTCTGGAAATAAATTCTAAAAAAAAAAATTAATATAATATCTACAGTTATCTTTTTTGTATTAATATTTAGTGATTTTACCAGCATTACTATTGGATCCAGCTAAATCAGTAGTATTCGGAGTGGATGTTACTTGTAACCGACCGATAGCAACCAAACAACAGTGGGTGCCATCTTCTTCGACAGCTCGTTCGATTTGTACACCTATTTAAACAAAGTATAAATTAATGAATATATACACAAGAAACATAATCAGGAAATTTATGATAATAATATGGTAAGTGTCATCGAGGTGATTAGACGACAGATCGACATCATACCAGATAATGGATGATCAAACTGACCGGTTGGAGGCCAGTTCTTTATATAACCAGTGCAATGAATGACAGCAAATTCGTTGCCGTCACGTGTTGGACCTAATGTATTACGTTGTTTCAGTCGTTGATGTAGATTATGTCCCGATATACTGGCCATCATGCCACCACTGTTACCAATTTTCATTCGACAAATGAACCCACGACGAGAACCCATGCACAGTCTCATTGAAGCTTTAAAATACATTCAATTGTAAGTATCTACATTTATTTTTATTTACTTAAAATTTTGATTTACATTGATGGCCTTCTTTTTTCACAGTGCCTGTTTTCAAATCTAATATACGTCCCGAATTTTGAGGTTCCTGAGTGGATAATTGTTCTCGTACTTTTTCTACATCTTCTGGATGTAAATGATCAAACATACTAGTTCCTAACCAATCGTTCTAAAACAACAAACATATTTTATAAATTTGTTTACGGGGCATAAAATAGTGTAATATATTTGTAATATACTTGTGAGTAATTTAATACGGGCGCAACTGAGTCGGAAACATATATCACTCTACCAGTATCGCATGTGACAACAAATAGAAAACCATCGGCAGCTTCTAATATCAAGTGCTTTAGCTCTTGATCTGTTAGGAAGCTCGGCTTGTATGTTCCGTCATTGTTAGTGTTCCCAGTCCCTATAATTTATAATTAACATGAAATTTTTGGGAACTAATATTTATAACACATATTACTTAATTTAGACACGTGTTTTGTGATTACAAGTTTATTTTACAAACAATAATTACAAGTAAAACTATTTCGGTTGAAAAATAAATGGATTTAAATTTTTTTTTTATTTAGCTGTCAAATTATAGTTCAGTTTATAATTTGATTTATTCATAGTACCTATTATTATATAAGTAAAATAAAAATACAATAGTTGTTATAATGTGTATTTACAGATTTATAAATATAACGTCAGATTTTTGTATTTTTACTATGATATTAACTACGATTGGTGCACATTTAATGAAATATTAAAGTTTAAAATGATAAATCATATGTTTTATTTTTTAAATCAGATGTAAAATTGGCAATGCGCAATTAAAAAAAAAAAAAATTGTTCATTCACATCTCGCCCGTAGAATAAAATAAAAGTACGTCAAAAACCGAAGGGTGAAACAGGAAATTGACAATGGACGTGACAATAAACAATGGAGCTATGCCGCCAGCGGGCAGACAACGCTTAACCTGGTGAATATTAAATATTATTATTATTATACATTATTTCTAGCATAATAGTAATAATAATAATAATAATAATAATAATAATATATAACTACTTTGACTTGACCGGGTTCCAAACAAACGCATATATACCTACCTACCGGCACCTATATAATGCGACAATACTCATTCCCGTCATCCGCATACCGTCTATTTGAATACAATCGGTTTTGTACTACTCAGAACAAGAGGCGAATTCCCGTTATTACAAGAAAAAAAAAAAAAAAACCGACGGTAAAGAGAAAAGAAAAATATAACCAAGATGATATTGAGTACAAAAATATAATCGTTGACCGCTAAAAAGCTATAAACACCGCCATAAAATTGTTTTATTGGAACTATATACTAATATAAGTTACCTACCTATATAATATATACGATAGTTATTTCTCCTCCCTTCCCCTATATACTATTTTTCACACGTCGACAAAGAGAATATTAAATAATAAAAAAAATTAAATCGTTTAACACGGGCAATGTTTACTTATTATTTAGAGTTCAGAGTTGTACCCATACAATATAGTATTAAAAAAAAAAAAACACGAAGGATTAAACCTGCAACCCAGCAAGTTTTATATTTTATAGGTAAAAAGTGAATTATTATTTTCTGAGTCGATAATAAGAAAACATACTTCGTGGACCAAACATAATATTATACGACTTTGTTCGACAACTTTTTTGAATTAGCCATAAACTATTTAAATACACCAATTTGGTTGTCGGAGACCAAATATTCAGTTTCAAAAACATTTCGTGAGTTACCTCACAAGTTAGCAAAATCAACAGTTTATTATTATTATTTTATGTTGGTATATAGGTACTATACCTACCTATGTATAAGTATACCTACCTATACCACTACCTATGTAGTCTAATACGCTGCACCGCAGTGACGATTAATGTTTATGAAAAAATAATAAAATATACAAAACTGCAAACTGGGCGTTATAAACTATATAATATTTATTATAATTTATCGCGAATACTGCTATAATAACAATTATTGCTGTTTTCATTTCGGCTGCCAATAAAATATGCTTCTAGTGGATCGCGTTACAGAACATTTTATGCTTCTACCTATAGTTATAATGTATGATGATGAATAGGTTCAACGATAACTACCAAAGGATGTAGTAGAAGAGAAATGACGCATACAAATATACTTATATATAACAGAGTACCGGAAAAAAGATGTTATAATTGAATTCACGGCGGTCTCGGTCACAATTCGGTGGGGTATATTATATAGATAGACTGCGACGATAGAGCACACGCACATTGTTCCGCGAAAGGAAATAAATGAAAAGGGAAAAAGGAAACACGCATCCTGCGACAATACATTCTTGTCCGAGATGAATTTGTGAGTTCTCACGGGTCCTTTCAGAGTTTCAGATTATTATTATTCGTACATAGAAGAACGATGGAAGTAGAGATGAGATGCTTCGTGTTTGCGAGTGTAATTTGATACTTCCCATACGGAAGTGACGAAAACTATATTATAACACTCTTAAGAACAATTATTAAGCGAAATAAAATAAAAGAATATCAACAAATAATATTAATAGGTACAATTAATAATAACATAGACGAAAAATATTTGTCAATGAACAATGATTTATGAAAATCGATATTATTTTAATTTTTAAATATTAATAGTTTGCTATTTAAATCCAATTATGATAGCAAGTTATTCAAAAGTTCAAAAGCAGTTTAGACCGGATAATCTGTCGAAACTTGCGATTACTGGTGATTTTAGTTTTTCAGTTGTCACACGTTTACACAATCAACGATGAGTGACAAAATAAAACATTTTTATAACTTTCGAAAAAAAAAGAAGGATAGAATAAAAATAATTGTAACTTTATACAAACATTACCATGACCCCTGAGTTGGCTATAAATCAATTAATATACAATATTTGCCTTTGGTACTAATAGTATATCAGTGTTGGGAAGAAACACGTTTCTTTTATAACAAAGGAAGGAGAAACGGGAAAGAGTTCTTATTTATGAGGAACGTGAACGCAATTCTTCGTTCTATTTTTACCAATGATTCGCACATTATAATATTAAAATTAATATTTCATAGGAATGATTAAGCATTTACATCACTGATAAAACTGTAATCACAGAAGACGGCTGATATTATACAACATTATAATATAATAAAGTTATTAGCCGTGAAACGTACTAATTTACAAAACGTGGATAAATCATTAACTTGGAATTACCTTTAAAAATAAAAATACATATAAATTGCGTTACTTCCTCGAAATCGCGGTTCATACACTGGCAATTTAGAGAAAATCAAAAAATGACCTTTCCAAGTTACCATGGAGATAAAATTTTCTTTCAGAAAATAAGTAGCATATGATACATTGGAACAAGGTTTTTGGTAGAAAAGTTTGCACAACAAATCGAGGGGTATTTTGCGATTAAAATTGTCCGAGCGAGCTTGGGTCTCTAAGTATAGTCAAAAAGCACTTGTTTTCCTTATTTAGATAAAAGGGGAAAAAATGGAAACAATTGTTTTTGAATCACGAGTTCAAATTCGCGAACCCTAGGATGAAAATAGGAATGTATAAATATTCAGCTACGACAAATATATTTGCGAGAAGACAATATTTTGTTATTTAATATAATATATAATATCTGCATAATATTAGAACTTTAAAAAGCTATAACTTTGAAACTAAGTCAGTCCGCTTAATTCTGACTTCACCATCGTTCTTAAATCGGCAATAAACATGTTAGAAAAAAAAAAAAAATTGAAAAATTAGATTTGTTCCACATAATTTTTTTCTCAACGATTTTCGTCAAAATTTGATATTAAAATTCCTTTATAAAAAAAAATACTACGTTAAACTCAAATTTTCTTTTTTTGACCACAAAGTAAGACTCTTAATGAACCTCCTGTTAAATTTTCAAGTACTTCTATTAAGTCTAACAATTTTACCACAGAGTACTTACCGAATAAAAATTACGTACAAAATTTGCAAAATTAAGTTATCTGTCGCAATTTCAAATCTCTATGAATATTTTTAATTCAATAACAACAAAATAAAAGTTTTTTTTTAAAATAAAAAATTTAACCAAAAAGATCTCTTTATATTTTTTCAACTGGAGATTCCTCCATATATTTTTGGTAGAAATCATCATGCTAACAAATTAAAACAATGAAAACTAACACCGTAAATGTTTGCATTTAACTAATAATATTCTTCCGGGTTTTCCCAATTATTTTGAAAACCCCTAAGAAAATCAAAAAGTGATCTGCTTAATACACCAGCCAGATAAATTATCTTTTCAGAAAATATGCTACACTCTATATTACATCATAATTGTATGAAAATGTCCGAAATGTTGGAAATCATCCGTTGAAATGGACCTTGTCACATTTCTGTTGAAAAACGAAAGGACATTCTTAACAACTTAAAGCAAGTCCTACGACAAAATAGGAAATAGTCGTGGGAAAATATACCTACAAGTGTTTGACTATAATTTGAACCAATCAACTTTTTTAATTTTTGACAATTTGATTTGTAAAAAACTTTTTTATAATATATATTTATTTATGGTGTAATACTTTGACAAATATTTATTTATAGACAATTTATAGTTATTATTTAATAATAGGTACCATATAATTTATTTACGGAATTTTCCCTTGGTAAATATAAGTATTTACGACTTATGTTGCTAAGTAAAAACATAAAAGTAACTTGAATTTATAAAATATACTATTTTATTATTATTTCATTGCATTCCTCATCAAAAATACCATAAAGGTGGATAATATATTTTATATTAAATCAAATAGAATATAAAATAATAAAGGTGTAAGAAAATAAAAAATATAAACATGCATTTATTACAAAACAAATACATTTATTTTTACGGCACTATTTCTTAGCAAGGCAGTATACACTCATATAAATATTTTTTTTTTTTTTGCTTTGAAGTACATATATGAATTATTGTTTACTTTTCGTCGTCAAAAAATAATCTACATAACATATTATATCAATTGAACATTTTTTTAACCGTGACTTTTAAAGTTTTGACCATTTTAAATAAAAATAAAACAATAATAATTAATAATTATTAATAAAATCTATTTAAGCTCTTAAAAATCTTATAAATATTAAATATTATTATAAATAAAATAACATTGTCATGTTTAATTCCATTTGGTCACAAAGAAAAAAAGAGTTTTATCAAATAATTTAGTAATTGTCGTGTGGTTTGCTTTTTCCAATACTCCCGATGGCAAGTAAAAATATTTTACTTGGTCCGTCAGTTAGTAAGGTTCCAATTATCACATTGGCAACATATCGTCCTTATTTATCTGTCGTCTCATCTATAGACACCCAGATTTTTTTTATTAAGTATTTGATTTCTTATCTCATTCATCGTATCTTCGTAACAATTATTGACATATATTTTTCTCAGTGTAGATACAGATGGTATATCTTTATTTACGTATTTTTTAAAATATGAACAAAGATGGGGATTTTCTAATTCTTATAATGGAATATTTTATTTTAAGAATGTTTCACATAAATTCTTAGAAAAATCAGATTTTCGTGTTGGTGTAGCAGTAATTAGCAGTTGAGTTGTATTTTTATTTTGACGATTAGAGGCTCTTATATGTTTTTCTGTACTTAAGTACTGAGTGACACTGAAACGTTTTTCGCATTTCACCTTTACCTCGCATATCTTACAAAATAATATACTCCCGTCGAACGCGAAAATATGTTCACCGAATTCAGTAACATAGTTTTTACTTTTATAAGTAGCTGATGTTTTTAATTTTGGTATTTTAACACAATTTAATCAAAAAAGACGGACACTCGATATTACTTCACGGAAGACGTCAAACAATATAAACGAGAAATCCAGAACTGACTGCATTCTATAATTTTACAAGGAGAAGAAAGAATCTTTATCGTAATAGAAAATAACAGAACTTTTCTAAAAATAAATATATTGTCTATTAGCCGTTATTGGGCCGCTGTGCTTCGCGCCATTATTTTATTTATTAATAATATATTAATTTAATAAACGAAAGAATTGTTATCGTATTGGAAAATATCAGAAATTTATTAATAGGTCATTTAGTTTCATTAATTTACTTTTTTAATTACATAATATTTGACTAGAATATGTAGTTAATAACGAAAAAATTGTAAAATACGTAAATAAATAAAAGAACTATAAAATATGAAATTATATGCAAAATAAAATGTTTTATTTAGATTTGTATAAGTATAATTCAAATTTGTAGCTGATCTAGCAATTTTTTAGTTTATTCAGTAAAAACATGTAAATGCATGAACTTCCGGGCCCTGCTAATAATTCAAGGATCGACATCACGAAAATTTGATTTAATAATAAAAGTGTTCTACATTCTTAAATTTCAATCGAATAACAGGAAAATGTCAAAATAAATGGACCAGATAATCATAATATAATAATTCAAACAATATTTAGATTTTTAATTTAGGTTTTAGTTTCATTTTTCGTTAGTAATAAGCGGCAAGTGCAGCTGTTACTGCAAGTCTTTTCGATAAAAGTATACGTAAGCCAAGTACATAATATGTTATGGTCTATATAAATTGGACTTGAATGTATTTTTTTCTATTAGTTTTAATAGCTACTATATAAAACTCCACTACAATTTATACATTTTAAAAGAATAAATGATGTATAAAAACTAATAGTAGATATGGTCATTATTAGAATCCATCAAGCTAAAAATATCACAATAATAATAATATTATTGCACAGCAGAAACTCTATTAACTGTCACTGTCGGGACCGAGAATGTTACAACGTGAGTATTTTCATACAAAAATAATATAAATTTACATACTTACATACATACATACTAAACAAAATAATCAGTTATCTTTTGAAGATAAAGATAACTTGTTTACCGCGATTACTACATTAACTTATTTTTGGAGACGATGGATAATAGAGAGTGGTAGTTAAAAGAGTTTTTGCTGTACCTATATAACATATGGATATTGAATTTTATTTCCAAAAAGATCGATCCTGATTTGCATTCGTGATAAGTGCAGGACGCTGATTTATAAATAATAAACGATATGAAACTATTGTTGCCATATTCTATCATGATACTAAACTTTCAAAACACTCGTATTGAAATAGTTTCCTACAGTGGATTCTGGATATACAACATTGTACATGAAATAGGTGTATTTTTTTGTGGGAAACCTTGTATTTGACGGATATACTAACTCACTTGTGTATAATATTATTGTTTAATTAATTACTTATTAATATTAATATTATAAACTATTATGTCCAGAGTACTGTTGAAAGTGTGAAATACATTTTTGCTAAGTTGCTCGTTAGATAGACAGAGACGGCAAATGTTACTGTGACGTTCAGTTAATTAAAAAAAATTGATCTATATGAGAGAATTGCAAAATTTACCTACCATTATCGAATTTTATTTTCTTAATTATGCTATTGTATTGAATTGAGCCTAATCTACCAACTTATAATAGGTAAATATTAAGATTTATTTTTCAACTATATGTTTTGAACAAATTATATTACTATTATTTTTTGTAGTTATAATTTAAAAAAAATAATTTGAATATATACATACCCCTGAGACTCTTCATATGGTTTACTGCCATACGAAGAATAGTCAGTTTGTCCGGTTTTCGGGCTAGAGACTGACATGCTGGTACCATGTCCGATAGTTCTGTGATGTACGCTGTCATCTTGTTCCGCCGCCGCCTTTCGATTTCGCAATGATTCTCCCTACAGTGATTTCACATGGGGAAAAAAAAATCGCAAGATATACATAAATCGTCATAAAACCATTTTCTTAATATTATTGTAGTTTTTTTAAATTCCTAAAGCAGCTGGGCACTGCAGTAATTATTTTTAAACATTAAAATTATACTTAATAACAATATTTACTATAATTTAAAATATAATATGCTTAAATAAATAAGAACACAGGTTCCTATATAGTTAACTTATTTTGATAATAATTAGGAGTAAGATATTTGTTTTATTATAAAAAATTTAACGGTTGACCAATGTAATTATTTGTTAGTATTGCGTAACGTAGTAAACAGGAATATTATATTTTATCATATTTAATTGAATTAAATATATACGTATACTAATATGAGATTTTAATTATTTATACTCAAAAGTTACTTATAAAATTACTTATAGTGAATTTGAATACAGAATCGTATAATGAATAGTTAAAAATTTTCCCGCAATATTTCACACAGTGAACGCGAGCTATATTTTAATTTTGCAGGCGATGGAGATACATAGTGGCGTAGTTAGGGAATTAAGTACCTTGGGGCAACTTGATAATTTGCGCCCTAGTTAGTAAGCATATATTAGTAGTAATCTCGTATGTAGACACTTAATCGATTTTCCTGGTATACATTAATTTTTTATTCTTTTCATGGTATAAATTAGAGATTTAATGTAACTATTAAGCCCATTTTTAAAATTTCAAACACAAAGGATATATTTTAATAATTTTCCTTGAAAATAGAATAGGTACCTATTATAAATTATTTAAATTACAGTTTATATTTCTAATAAGCAAATTATAGTTACTAAAATGGAAATATTATTTGAGAATAGTCGAGAAATAAAAGAAATTAGACAAATTTTAGTTATGCAATGTTTTGACAAACTATATTTATATATTTATTAAACTCAACAAAAGTACCAAGATATAAACATGAGTATACGTATAAATACACGAGTATTTAATAGGTATATTTTTCATAATGATGATTTTATGTGAATAAAACTTTTTTAACTTCTAAATATTGCTTTATTGCTCTATGTGGGTAGCTGGAATGGTAAGGGGTTTTGTTTAAACGTTTTTTTGTTAAGGTTATCAAAAAGGGATCTCTAGGAGGTGAAATGTCGAATATTTTAAAAATGTTTTCAAATTAAGTACTATCACGCTAAAAGTCAACAATTTTAAGGTATAATATAAATAATCAGAACATTTTTACTAATTGTAAGTTTTCTGAGAAAAATTAAATACATCTTTGCAAAAATAATAGATTCTCCGTCATATTCATAATCTAATAATTATAATGTTATTTTATACAATTATACTGTTGTAAATCACACTATATCATGATTGGTTGTGTAATATAAAATAATGACAGATTAAAATATTTTAAAAGGTGGTACGGAACAAATTTGTTATTGATGCTCGTTGAGTACACCACTTACAATTTTAAAGGCTATAAATCGTTTTAAGGTACATATTCATATTTATTTATTGACGGAATTGACAATATTTAATTAACAAAATTTACAAAAATTTACCATAGATTTGTTAGGAGAAAAACTAATACTTCAAACGTGAATGGTACACATACGATATTTGTGTCATCTAATAATACAATTATATGTAGACATTTTGACGAAAATATTATCATTATAAGTCTCATTTTATTTGATACATTAACCTAACCTATTAATTATAACTACAGAATAGACTAATATAAGTGATCTATAAAAATATAAGCGACTAGGAAGGTATTTTTTTTCTGCAAGATAATACATTGTGTTATAAATAGTATAGGTAGACGTTAAACAGGCACTTATCTCGATTTCTCGAGTTTTTTTTACATTTTTCATTATTGCAATCGAAATAAAATGATTCTCGGTAGAAATCGCCGATTGGTGGTTTTTATCTTTGATTATTATGGTAGTGAGAACTGTATAAAACTATAGATATTCCAGCAGTAAGTTGAACTACTGTTGCACGACGAATAAAATATTATCACGCTTCGCTCAATCAGACGACGAACGAATAAAACAAATGTATATTTCTATAATAATGATATTATATATTCTGTAATGTACGGGGTGGTTTTAAGTCAATTTGATTTCTGTTTTTTTTTTTTTTCATAGTTATCGTAGAATCGTTAAGAATTCATTTTAAAACCAATTTTAATTTTTTACCCCTAATTCATATACTTCCAGTAAGTATATACTTGGTTTTCAAATAGGAACCTCCTTTTTGAAAACAGATTCGAATAGATGATATTTGTTTATAAACTTTGATAGGCATAACAATTATTTTGAGTTAACTATTTATGAGTTATAACAGTATGAAATTTAGACTGGAGTAATGAAGGGTAATAAATTGTATATCTATTGAATGTTAAACTGTTAACTCTTCTCTACTCCTTCGGTCTAAACTTTAAATGTTTATAACACTGATATTAGTGTTCTGCATAACAAAATTTCTAGAAATATATGTTCAAAAGTGATTAATTAGAATTTGTGTATGTGTACGGGAAACAAAAAAAATATAAAATTTATCTAAATCTGATCAATGGATCAGATAAAACAAAGCGAGGAGCTTTCACCTGACACATTATGCTTTCAACGGATAAAAATACAGTGTGCGTGTACTGACTACATACTTTTTTTAACGAATGTAAAGTTTTACTACAATGTGTTGGAACCTATAATCTATATATATATTGTATATATACAATATATTCGAAAGTCAAGATTATATTTTCCCAAAAGGTGTCATTTCACTGTACATAGTTCAAAGTTTATCGGAATTTTTAAATAGGCAATTCAGAATCGTTATCAGACTATGTATGACGTTATTGAATTACTAGTAACCTTCTAACGTAACCGCACCAAAATAAAACAATGCAAATAAGTGTAGGTACTTGAGAAAAATAAAAAAATCTGTAAAGCATGCAATATACGTGTAGATACTTAAAACATTCGAAGTACCTACCTAGCTTAATGTTCATTTATTGTTTATAATACATTGTAAATACCTACAAACAAAAATTTATTCAAAAAGGTTTTTCATTTGTGTGTGTATATATATATATATACATACATACATAAAAATATTGATTAATATGTACTTATAATAAATAATTATTGTAGTCTGTAATATTATTAGATCTAATGGATAAAATCATAAACTTTTTCAAATATAATCTATAATGCTAATAGATTTTAAAATGAATTAAAAGATTACATTTTAGTTTTGTTTTTTACATTTTTAATCTCAAATACTTAAAATTGGATAAATAGTTCAATTAATAAATAATAGGTACCTGTATTAAATAGAAATTTATTTTCACTAAGAATTTTATGTAATGACAATATTATAACGCAACCAGTTAGTTTTTAAGGTCTACATTTATTAATTAAATAAGTGTAAATCCAAATCGATATTGTATTTTTTAATTATAATCAATCGTTTAACTCATTTATAAATAATATGTCTTAAAATATATATTTATTATTATTTTTTTCAAGATATTATAATTTGTTTATAATTTAGTGACGTATATAAGAATTGACTATTTTATCCTTGAGATACACACTAATCATGCAGGTATGCATGCATTGTAGTCTATACTAATAATTATTTATTTAAAAACAAATATTAAAAAGAAAAATTACGAAATGTTTTTAAACTAAAAACTATACTACTGTATTATTATATTTAGATAGCTACTTAATTTAAAAGTATAGAGGATACATTTTTTTTTTGGTATAGTGACTGTACCATTATGATTTTGTTTTATAATATTAAGGTAACGAAAAAATATAATAAATTATTCATCATAATATACTGTTTTATTCAAAATATAATGTATACGTATAAGTAATAAGAAATGTTATGTGCAAAATCGACTAGGGAAAGAACATTTAATCTTGTATAAAAATGAAATAACAAAATTAAAAAGTATGTTAACATAAATTTATATAGGTAACGTAGCTTTTAACTTTAAATCAAAACTAATAATATTGGAAAAGCTACCTTATTAGTTTAGATTCGATGTGTTGTGAGGAATGTGTTAGTTTTACAATGATGTTTAAGATTATTTTTTTTTATCTGAACAACTTTTCTATCAGAAATCTTGCTCTGATTTAAAAGTGTGGTATCTTTTCTGAAAGGAAATTTAATCTGGGTGATACTTTATATAGCAGTCATTTTTTGGTTTTTCAAACGGTTTTCATAATAATTGTGAAAAACAGGAAAATGTATAAAAGAAACTCCACGCTTTGAATCGTTTTTTCGTTAGCAATGGTTCATCATTTCTTACAATTATAAATTAAATTACCCTTTATATCGTACCTTCCAAACTTCTGACTGATAACAGTGGCCTATTAATCGTGCGAAGTATGTTCGTTTTTTTACTTATAATGTTTGTACGTTGAGAAATTATGAAATTTTATAGAGGTGTTAGATTAATATCATAGGCGTATTATATAGCTATACAAATTTCGATATTTTTGTTGTTGTGGTAAATTACTCAAGAGTTCAATAAAATAAATTAAAATATATTACATGTCACAAATGACTTCGGTTTTAGATTGAAATATCGATTTAATAGTAAGGTGCTGGCATACAAATTCACGTAGAACTTATCAACATTGATTTTATTCAGAAAGTATAATATTCTACTTTTATATTATATTCGTTCAATAACAAATAATAATTATCATTATTATTGTACTTATAACGTGGTAATACATCTTTATACATTTAATTATTGATATTATTAATTAATTCTCACACCATTATGCATTTTCCACGGATGGATTCACCTGCAGAGTGAATAATAAATAATATGGATACAATTTTTATTTTTGAATTAATTACATTTTTTTGAGATTTTAAAACCTATTTTAAATATTTAACAATTTTAAGTGGTTATACAGTATTGTTAAACATTTTGAACTTAATATAGGAGACAAATAATGAATCAATAAAAAGACATAATGTGAAATTATTTTAAATATGCGGTTTTTAACAAAAAAAAGTCTTGTAATTTTGAATAATTAAAATTCCTAAACATTTTTAAATGTTCATTAAATGTGGAAATCACGGTGTTCACCTTATATTATGATATATAATGGACTTCAAATCAATTATATAAAACTATAGATGGCCTCTATGAGTAAATCTGAAACTTAACAGCTGTGTATAGTATAAAGGGTATAATATACCAAGAAGATACATTTTATTGATGAAGTGATAATATTATGAAAACTATTTTACACTAATTACAAATTGTTTCTATATCATTACATAAACAATAATATTTCATAAAATATGGTTTCTTGCTGCTGAATTCATGGGACTATTATACAACACAATGTATAGATATGGAGAGATATAATTGGCTATATCTAGTATATTTTACAATCTCTCTCTTATCGCTTTAGTTTAAATCTAAATATTATTTTGTATTGTATCCCACCCTCCCTCAATGCATAGAATAACTGTGTTTGTACATGTGTGCATGCGCGTGTGTACTTGTCAATGCGTAAATTGATACATCGCTAGATGTATATATATATAAGGTCAAATTCATAGATAAGTTTTTACTTAAATATTACTTACCTAAGAAAAATGCTAGTAATAGATACTTATAATTTGTATACATAAACAATACTAGAATCTTACTTTAATGATTTATTATATATACCAAATCTAACCCAACAATTTCAGTAATTTTATAGATTCTGAATACAACGAGGAATGTATTGGCTATACTATGATGCTTTTTTTTTTTATTTTAGTGGTTGTTAATACGTTTTTGCGTTTTACCAGAAAACTTTCTCCAACCAAAAAATTATGAGAGCTTTTTTTGTAGTACTTTGTATTTAATTGGTGCATTGAGGTCATTTTTTTCAATTGGGAATAACAGTACAAATTTATGGCGATAACGATACTATTACTTTCGATTTTGTTTTTTTTTATCAGAAATTTATTCAGAATTTGAAGGTAGCATCTTTCTGTAGGAAAATATAGTACTATTTTTGCACTGACAGTAGGGTTTTTAAGTTTCCTCGCAGTTTTCTCGGGGGAAAACGGGAAAGTTTACGGTAATAACGGTTTCTTTATTTTCGATTTTTTTTTAGGTAGAAATAATTTTGGAAACAGGAAATTTGCACAGAATATTAATATTGGCTTCAAAAAGTCGAGCGCAACGTATGTTAGGTTTTTTATACGCGTTTAAATTTAAAACGTCGAATTTGCACAGAATCGTAGGAATTCGTTAGGAATTCGTACAGATAAAAATCAAATAACCCGGGGTATCATAATTTTTTATAACTTCTCATCTACACTACAACAGTGACACCCATCGGCAGTATCATCACTTTTTTTTTTGTTAACATAATATATAATAGGGGAAACAAAACACAGTACACACATGATTGCTGTCTGCATAATATTATTATTACTATCGCATCTACCTACCTATTATAATATACCTACCCCGCGTTTGTGTTTATTACAGTTTTCGCGTATATAGTACCCCGCGAGACGGTTAGTGTGTGTTTGTGTGTGTATCACGGTGAAAGGTTATTTATATAATAATATCATATCGTTGTGGCGGCCGCCAACTCGGAACGGGCGAGGAAACGTTGGGCGGGGGTGGGGAGGGTCGGGTTGTTGCGCGATGATCTCGCCCAGGAAAATCGTGACAAGCATCCGGTAGGCGGCGCGCGGCGGGCGGGATGCGCGCCTTCTTCTCACGGCTATATGCACAAGCAGCTTATATTCACTGTGCGTGGAATCAGTGTGTGTGTGTGTGTGTGTGTGTGCATTATAGGCATGTGCCTTGTTGTTGTGTAGTTCGCCACGGGGGTCACTCAACTCTCCTCTCTAAACCCAGTATGTATTATATATATATATACTCTATACATATATATATATTCTTGATTTGGCGCTCCGGTTTTTCTCGTTCCATATACCCGCACCTAATACACCTACCTAGCTAGTATACATATACCACATATATTAGCGTCTTTTGAGAAAAAAAATTCGTAAATTTACAATATATTATATTATGCGTATAAAGGGCGGCTAAAATAGTATAAAAGAACCGAGAGCCGAGGGGCGGCTTCTAAACGTCATGTATGCCCGGAGAGTCGAAAATGATAATATTATACACATTCAAAATAAAATACAAGTGAGCATCAGAGTTCCATCATGAGAATCGAATTTTTCCCTGACCGATTTGTCTCTGTTACAATATTTAATTATTTTATTTACTATAATTGTAGAACAAAAAATTATGGTTGTCAGGAGTTTTATTATATTTCTGTAAGCGTATTTAAAAAACGGTATTTCCTGCGATAACATGAAATTTAATCATAAAAATGATTGGGATGGGGTTGAAAGTTGAAACTCTCAAAGGCACAATAATAATCCTCGTACCATGTAAATTTTACCCCCTAGCATTATTTATGTATAAGGATTTACAAAGCTAAAAAAGACGACTATACTTTGCTCTGGGCCACTGTTGTAGACGAGGAGTTGGAAAGATATAATATACAGTGGGAATTTTAATATATATCTGTGTATAACGATTAATCATTGCAAACGAAAAACGATTCTGAGCGGAGTTAGGTTATACATGTTTTAAAATGCCGTAATATTTACGATTTTCGTCAAAATTTGATATTAAAATTCTTATATATGTATATAAATATAAAAAAATAGGTACTGCATTGAACTCAATATTTTCTTGTTGAACGATAAGTACAACTTAAAATAATCCCCCTGTTAAATTTTAAACCATTTCTGTTTGGTATATATAACAATATTGTATCTACAGATTAACTACCGAATAAAATTGCTTAAAAATGACTGAAATGTTTTGAAAATTTGACTAAGTCTAGAAAATGCAAATATAAGTTTTCTGTTCATATTTTAAGTCTCTAGGAATATTTTTAATAAATAACAACAATAAAACATAATTAAAAGTAATAAAAACATTACTTTTATTAATTTCCCGTTTTCTCCCCAATTATTATAAAAATTGATCGGATAACTAAAAAATAACCAGTAAAATACAAGAAAAGTTGCTACACTAGAAAATCAGAGCAAGATTTCTGGTGGAAATTTAGTACACATCATAAAAAAAAAAAAAAAAAAACAACATTGTAAAACCAATACTTTTCTCGTTTCGCTCAGAATCTGAAACACTATTCTCCCGCAATAACACGGTGAAATTCAACTTACATTTTATCATTTCATTCCGGATATAAAACTACTCTTATTTTCGAGTTTGAGCTAATCTGATTAAGTGGAAGCCGCTAAGAGTATCAAAAAGTATTTATATATGAGCATGTACCTACAACGGCAGACACAATTCAGTACAATAGTATCTATTTCGGGGGAAAATTTGATAAAACGGTCATAACTGAAACGATAAAATACAAGGAAAGACGCGAATGAGGAGAAAAGACGATGAAGAGACACAGGTGCGAAGAATCGGTTACAGCGAAATTCTAGTTTTCCGCACCTCCACATATGAATGTGCCAATTATATTAATAACGAAATGTAAATAATTTATAAATCTAGATGTTTCATGTAACCATATACTAGATATATTTCTATGTATAAAAGAGCATAAAATGTACAGTGTACACACATACGTCATATATAAACATCTTAATTGGGGAGAGCGCGGAATATAAAGGAAATTGTTAATGACTACGAAATTATTATACGAAAGTTGAATAATAATTTTAGGAGATATAATACAATATATATTTTCACAAATCGTGCACTCCCTATCATATCTGGGGGGTTATGACGTTTATACACATACGTATGTATATCGTATATGCACACTTTGTTGGAAGAAGTTCAACGAATAAACTCGGGACGGTTTTTAATGAATACTGCTGTTGCTGTTGTAGGGTGTAGGCTGGGGAGGAAGGAAAAGTTTCGGCCGCGCCTGTGTACAATCACGTCTTTATTAGCAGTATCTGTGCTCGAATAATATAACGAATTAACCTTCGTCCGTGGAGATTACGCAAAAGTGTTTTAAAAGATCGGTAGATATAATGTATATATGTGTATACATTTTGAGAATTTATATTGCAGTTAGAGAATATCATACTTATGGATACTTTGTGAAAGCGTGGTGTAATCCACATAATTACCTATACAAGGTATTGATTCAAAATTTAACACAAATAATTATAATAACGAAAATTATATATTACCTCATCAAAATAATAAATAAAATAGTTGTTATCCAAAACCGCTAGTAAAGCCGTAGTTATAGCTATAGTGTTATACCTGATTTGGTGCATCATAATTGCAAAACTATAACAATTTTTCCAAATTGAATATAACAAAAATTTCCAAATTGCATTTAACATAACATTTGCAAGCCATTATAATACATCGTAAATAATACACTATAAAATCTTTAAATTGGTTTAACCTTTTAAAAGTTCTAATACTATGAAAAAATGTCGTGAAAACTGTAAGTTAAATTAAGTAGTAGCATGTAATTTTTTAATATCTATTTTAGTTTACTACTATTTCAGGTTTAGATTTTTTTAAAATATATAGATGACAATTAAAAATATTGATAGAATATCTAATATTTAAAATAAAATTATAAAATATAAGTTCTAGTAAAAATGTATTTCATTATTTTATACATAGGTTAGATATTCTGTCCCAAAATGATTTATTAATTTGAAATAGTGGGGTTATAATGTAATATACAGTAAAATACTCCATTAATGAAAAATATAAAATCCTCTAGGGACTGTATATACAATTCTATTAGGTATAAATAAATTTAATACTTAGTAAAAGGCAGCTATTTATTAGTATCGATATAGACTATAATAGTTTTAACAGAGGTTCTAAAACTTTTTTTTGGTTCACCACCCTAAATTTGAATTGTATTTACATGACATAATTATATCAGTAGGATCAATGGTAGCATTAATAACATACAAATTGTTTAAAAATAATAGCGACAATGAACATTGAATAATATTATATGTATTAGGTAAGCATAATATTATTAACTTGTTTGCTTCTATTGTCAAGAGCTCATGCGTATCTATGGCGAAGCGTCGTAAACATCATGGGACAACCCATTGAGTATTGTAGATAGTTACACAATAATATTATATTCGATTAGATTAATACTTTTTTGGGTTATAAATATGCACCATTGTTGATATTCATTATTTTCAATTTTCCTTTGAAAGGATTTAACTATATAAATAGGAAATTAACCATAGACGGTATATTGCAGATCATTTTTTGAATTTCCCAATAATTTCAAAAACAAGAAAAAAAAAAACTGCCACAGTAATATAATATAGGCACACAAGTAATAATTGTTCATATAATACTATAATAATTGTAGAATTTAAATTTATAACAAACATAATATACACGAAGATCTGTCATTTAAAATAACTTTTGTTTTAGTCAATATTTTGACTAAATAGTTTTTTTTTTTAAAATAACTAATATGCCTCTACGCTATAGTTTATAAATGAAACTTTTTTTAGGGGGGGGGGGGATTTCAAATTAAAATGTCACCATAACTTTTTGAAACAAATTTAAAATAGCTATTTTGTAAAATGGGTTTTTTGAACATTTTAGGTAGTTGAAACTTACGTATATTTTTCTAAAAATGTATTTTGAATTTTTTTAAAAAAATTACACATTTTGAGTTCCTTCTCACTAAAAAAAAAAAAAAAAAAAAAATGTTCATATATAAACTGTAGCACAGTCATACTAATTATTTAAATAAATAATTGAATAGAACAAACGTAAATTTAAGTGGCAGATTTTCGTGTTACACTATGTATATAATAAATATTTTTGGAATGAACGAAGTTCTTATATTGAAATATCGGAATCACTGCGTCCGTTATTATTATTTATATAAAATATTTGGTGTGGGTTCTGTTCGGGATATTGATTGTAAAGAACAATGAATTTTATTAACCATGCAATTATTAAAGTAATCGGATCTCATATCTATAGGTAAAATATAATGTATAGTACATAATATTATACAAGGTTAATATGTTAATTTATTATCGAGTATACGTCTATGTTGTAGTATATATTGTATACATAGGTTATAGTATATGCTGCATTTATTATTAAATAATTATAAACGTATACGGATGTAATATTAAATAAGATATAAGAAAAACGAAATACGTATGTTAATCATACGAGTTTTTTTTTTAAATTTTATTTTGCATTCATTTGTTTTTACCTACGTATCTATATAATATTTTAATGGCATTGCGTAATGAAAAGCGTAGAAATGAGAGATGAACATAAAAGAAAAAATCATTATATAATAACAATAAAAAAAGGCCGGGCACATTTGGGGACGCGTAAAATATTTGAAAATGTTTTGTCGGAAAAAGAATTCGTTGGAATAATATTTTGTCAGAAAATAATTTTTACCCAATGACGATAACGTGCAGTCACAGAGTGCTTTTGAAATTATATTGAACAGTTTCGACAGAATACTTTCTGATGAATTATTTTTCCGACAAAATACGGTTTCAACGAATTATTTTTTTCGACAAAATACGTTTCCAAAAAAACTATTTTCGACAAAATACTTTCGAACAAATTATAGCCCTCCACATATTTCACACCGTTGTAAGCCTTTGTTGTAGGTGGGAATTGACAAGTATAAAAAGTTATTAAGTTAACATTATAAATAAAATATAGGTACAGAAAACATTGATATAAAATAATAGCAAACAAACATGTTAGGAAAAAATGCTCTGCGAGCTAAGTTATGGTATTTTTTTATAACAATAAAATATAGTACCATAAACAATTCTGAAAGAATCCGATAAACTAGTATATTATGATTGTGTGTAGAAACCTAAATAAATTAAAATATATCTTAATAATTTTTAAAATAATTGACAAGACCTTTTTATTAAAATTCAAAAAAAATATACTTACATTTCGTTACCTATATTTTTTAAAAATTGGCTAATATGAATTAATAATTAATAATCATATTTAAATTAGAAGTACTTAACAGACTGCAGAAACCAGAATTGTTGGTCACTCATCTCATAGAGCCTAAAATAAACCACATTATTATTTCGTATATAAAATACAAATAATAATAATAATATTACGAATAATATCTATCTTTTCGTTAACCAACAACTGAGTACATCAGTAACTAGACGGATGGATGTATAAAATGAGGATATAACGTGTTCTAAACTTTAGAAACTTAAAACGATAAATCACGGTTAACTTCGTGGTTGTTTTTTCGTGGAACCACAAAGAAATGAGAAAAAAAAGTATAAAAATACTAAGAATTTCAAAAACTGACCTCTCGGAAGGCACTGATAAGATAAAACACGCTACCAAATATCCCCTCGATGTTTTTGATTAGATCAAGCGTTCTTGTAACAAAAAAAAAAAAAACAGACGTCTCATATAATTAAAATTAAAATACTGATATTATGTCTTTAATTTTCAGTTTTTTTTTTTTGAAAATTGTCGAACTAAGAAGCCGGTACTGATTAGATATCAATTTATATATGTAATACGTAAAGAAAATTAGCGAAAATAATGTTTTAAAATGTCGTATTTAAAGTCGGCTCAGAATATGTAAATAAAAGCGTATGCAAATATACAACCATTGATAAAAGTAAATAGAACATATTGCAATTATAAATTATAACACACACAATTGGTATGCACTAAATGCAATGGGTTGAAAAAGATTATACTAAATGCAATCACATTGGTCTATGCAATGGCCTTTAATATGTTTATTTAAAAAAAAAAAAAAAAAATACATAAACGATGATCATCCGATAATTTCTTTCAGATTCCGAGCGTAGCGTGGGAACTATTGATTTTACAATGCTGTTTATTTTTTTATTTTTTTTTCTTCTTCTAATCTGTAGACACGTTTTTTCCTAGTAAACTTGCTTCAATTTATACGTGTAGTAACTTTTCTGAAAGCTCAAGTTTTCTATATAGTACATGATTTTCGACACCATTTTTTAAATAAAAGCACTTAAGTGGAAAAAATATAGGAAAACGTACAATTTGAGGATTTTATTATTTTATAAAAACAAAGATGACGTTTTCTAGCAGAAAAAATAATTTAATCGAAAAATTACAAGACGTTGACGGTATCATCGCCTAAAATTTTGAGCTTTTAAGGAATTTTAATTATTGAGTTTTTTGCTGTAATTCAATTATAAATACACGTAGAGATTTGATATATGGTAATAAAACTTATATTAAACTTAGCTAGACGTAGTAAAATTTCCAAAATCACCGGACGACTTTTTTTACAGCACTTCAAATTATATAGTATTACCGAACTGCGCTCGAAATCGTTTTTCGTCAAGCAACGATTAATCGTTACCTACAGATATAAATGAAATAACCTTATGTATCCTACCTTCCCAACTTCTCACCTACAACAAAAGTTTCTCCCATCCCTAGTATCAGCTATAGTTTTTATATTTCTTTTTCTTTTTGAGAATAGCGGGGAATGTACTGATATGCTTTTATTATTATTTACTTTGTTCTGTATGTGTTTTCTACTTATAATAATTAAAAAACGATAAGATCTATTAAGCGCATTAAAGTGGTTATTTATTGAGTTTTCATATAGTTCTCATAAATTGAAAAATTGACGAATTTAACGCAAATCATTTTTTTTTTTTACAAGAAATATTGCTCCGAATTTTAAAAGTAGCATTTTTTCTAGAAAAAAAATTCTCTTTGTTAGTACGCGAAGAAAGTCGTTTTTTGATTTTTAATGTAGCTCTCAAAGATCTTCACAATACTGGTAAAACTAACGAACAAATTGGCCATTTAATTGATTATTATTCAATTATTTTATTTTATCCTTGACATTAAAAAAAAAATAAATCGTAGGAAATTTTTTTTAGACTGCGTGCAATAGAATTTCTGTTAAATATGTGTATTGTTTGATTGGATAATTTACATTGCAAATCACGAGGAAAAAGACTTAACAATATAATATAAAAGATATTGTACAGATGTCATAATATTTTCATTATTAGAGAGTTCATGATATTTATTATTGATATTTGACAAACATAGAAAAAAAAAAACAACATACAATAATAATAATAATATTATTATTATTTACATTTTGTATGTATTTACAAAATATAGTTATGAATTTATCAACTAGTATACTAGAATATTTATTTTGATAAACTTATTTAGGTATATACTATTTCGACGAAATATAATGTTATATACATAGACACTTTCTAAAATTGATGATTTTATAGAAGATAATTCACGAAAATAATAAAGTCTAATAAAAGTATTAATATTATTGCATGAGGTAATCTTAGTGCCTTTGAGATTCTGAATTTTTCTTATTCTGTTTCTTCATAACTTTTTTACGAGAAATATATTTATTCAATATTCAAATTTAGCATTTTTTTTTTTTTTTAAAGCTGGTGCATCGAAGAGGCCGTGTTTTGAGTCTTTATTTTAATAAATGGGAAATCACGAAAAATCTTGAAAGTTTAAGGGGCACTATAATGGATATATATTTTTTGATTTTGTTATAATTTAGTTAAGAATAATCGTTAAATTATAATCATAGAGTTATTAGATTATTAAGTTATAGTCTAATAATAAATCTAAATCTACTTATATTAGTCATTTATAAACTTGATACATTTTTCAAAACATTCTTCTAATATTTTTAAAATACAATTTATACATTTATAAATTATATGTTATGTAATTTGTTTTTAAAAACTCCTTAACCAAACTCAACTCATAATCCTCTTTCGTTAGCAATAGTTTATCGTTGCGTACATATGTAAATTTAATAACCACTAAGTTTTCTATCTTTCCAACGTTCCACCTATAACAGTGGAACATTTATCAGCAGTATCAGCTTTATTTTTTTATTACAAAAATAAACAACCAAATTAATCTAATAGCCAACAATATAATATAGCTGATATGAGTGTTTGGATACTTGACTTGCTTTACCCATCTTGTCGAACTATTATTATACTATTGAATGGATAAACAACACTCAAAAAATGATTTATTACGGCATTTATAAGACGTTTTCGATATTTTATAAGTGTTCATGAAATGAAAATTACGAGTATTTAATGATTTTTGAATATATAACACTATATAGTATTTTTTATTAACCCGTAAAATAATTTAAAGGTACTCAAAATAATAAATAACAATTATTTCAAATTCTTGAATACATAATAAAAACCTTATAATATCGATGTTACTAAATTTTCGAAAATGATAATTAATTACAACAAAGATTACTGAGTGCAAATAAATTCGAGTCTAATCTAGAATCAATAAAATATATAGCAGCGGTTCCTGGAGTGTGCACCGCAGTGTCAGTACAGGGAGGGGGAGCGCTGCGTTACCAAGTGTAATACTATCTGGTTTAAAGATAAATTTCAAATGCAAATGACAGTGGAAACGGCAACAATGTTAAAAATATTATGAGAGCTTTTATTATTTTTAGATCCTGAGCGGAGCACGAGGAATGTATTGGTTTTACAATGATGTTTCTTTTCTTTTCTGTAAACAACTTTTCTATCAGAAATTTTGTTCTAATTTTCAAATGTAGCATATTTTAAAGGCATATGAAAGGAACTGGGTTGGTATTATAAGGGGTAATTTTTTGATTTGTCCAAGGGTTTTCATAATAAAAAATAAAAACTGGGAAAATTTACGAAACCCAAAAGTTCTTCTTTAAAATTAAAAAAAAAAAACTCACAATTGTTAATACATCGTTTTTATTTTTTTAGATTTCTGGGTTACCTTGGCCATACAGAGTGATTCAAAATTAATGTTACAGCTATTTTATCATGTAAATATTAAAAATAGAAATGCACACAACACAGCACACAATTTTTTAGATTTATGAAAATCTAAAGTAATTAGTTTTTTTGTTAAATTAAATTTTTCCAAACTGGGTGATATTTTTAAAAACGTTATATTTAGAAATGGTACATCATTTTTATTTTGTATTAAAAATGTCATAAATAGATGGGAAGTCAATTTAAATACATTTTGGTGTTTAGCTTTTGATTTCCTTCAATCCATTGACGAGATATTCCACTTTTTAGTTTTGGTAAGGGGAGATTAGTGGAATATTATTAAAATGCTGTGCACCATGCCATGTAATGCCACCATACTAGCACATAGTGTTCTACTTCTACTACTTAAATTAAAAAGTCGAATATTTTGTTAACGGGCTGACGGAAATCATAAAATTCAACATAGAAATGTACTCAAATTAACATTCCCGTTTAATTATGGAAGCTATATTAAAGGTTCCCATTTTAATTTTAAAAATTGACTCTCAAAAAAGACTATAGTAATAAAAATAAAATTATACAAATTATTTTAGATATTTATAAATCTAAAAACGTTTGTATTATACATTTCTCTGCATTTTTAATATTTACATGATACATTGGTTGTAACATACAATTTGAATCACTCTATATATAATGTTAAAAACACTACGAATACTACTCCACTCATAATAGTTCTTTTATTGCAATGATTTTTAAAGCACCATGAGAATACCTTAATTCCAAATATCGAGATTTTTACTTATCGATATTTTAAAACATCAGAAAAATGTATACATAGATATATCAGGATAAGATACTTCAAAATGAGAATCTAGATACAATAGATACTTATGCAAAATATATTGCATTCCAAGATACTCAATTATAAGTACTGAAATTGTAAACTAATAACTAGACACTCAATACATTAAAATTACATTTTTCAAAATTCCCAACCATCTCCCGTAATTTTGTACAATCACTTTTAAATTTGTATGTATATGGAATAAATGACCCTCCTCAATTGCCTATGAGCAAAGTACTTCAAAATTAGTACCTAGGTAATAAATAAATAAATTTCAATATTGAAATATATATTATAATTTTATATTTAAGATACTGCGCAACCTTTTATATCGAAATTATCCTAAGATATATCATGAATTCAAATAAACATAAACGAAGACGTTTTAGTCTTCAGACGTTTGATACACGATAAGCATTATAATATTGAATTACTTACAAGTGAGCAATTTTTTTAAAACTTTCATTTGCCCTCAAAGTTCCTTTGGCCGAGTGTACAAAAAAATCATTAAAATATTAAAGCTGGTAACAATATATAGGAGTCTAAAACAACAATATGGCTATAGATAATAATATATTGCATTTTAAATAAAGGACAATAATATCCCTAAGATTATAGAAGCCATTATCAACGAGAAGTTTCTACAATTTAAATGGATAAATAATACTATTATACTTACTGTTAGAGTTTAAAAACTCAAAAATTACGTACACATACTTATAAGGTCTTAAAAAAAATACCCAGTAAGGAAAAATATTAAACTAATCTTAATTTACCTGCTCAAAACTAAACTAAAACAATACATTTCTAACATTATTTATTGTTCAACTGAAAACTTTAATCAGAACATTTATTTAGATTTAAGATATATTTATACAAATATACCTAATACATTATTTAAAATATATTACAGTATTATACGTACAAATAATTATTATTTTAGGTAAGTGTTTACCTAACTACATTTGCTTAAAGAAAATTTAATTTGAGGTTTAGATATTAATAATAAAAACGAAAATCCGACACAACAGTAAGTATTGAGTGGACGAGAAAGGCAAGATAAGAAATGTTCCCCCATTTTTTTTTAAGGTAATCATTTTTCTTCTTCTGTTTTCATTTTTTTTTTTAGCATTTTAATTTTTTAACTTCTTTTATTATTACTTTATCGTTACGAGTACAACAAAATGAAATTTCGCACCTACCGCCGGCCATAGCGATAACGACCATTTTTTTTCTTTACACAAGGTAAGAGATAACACGTCCAAGTTTACCGAAATTAATTATTTGTATAAAAAGACTAGTTTGAAATTGAAAAAAATAAAACGGCATAAATACATTTTTAATTTATAATTATACAGGGGATCGGCAGTAACCAAATATTTATCCGTAAAGATTGTGCAGCAATATTACAATTTACAATTTTTCTTATGGGCAATAATAAAATAAATATAATTAATTTAATATTAATATTCACTAACTAAAATATTTAGTTTATATAGTTTAAATCCAGTAATTTTCATAATGAATTTGTTTGATTTTTACGGAAGAAACAAATATAATTTTTAATTTAAGAATAAGTACCCAATATCTTATTTACGACTGTGATAAAATCATATTATAATATACTTAGCCTATTTGAAAATTTAAATAACTGTTCTTAAAAACAATACTCATACAGAAATATTATGGCCAATTTTATTAAACACTCACCTGGCAAATCTTTCTTTGTCTTGGATATTATCATCTTCCATTCTAGAATATTTCTGGCTAGAATCCTCTTCATCGGATCTAAAACAATAGTCGAAAGTCGTTATTAGTATTAAACGCATTAAAATTATTTATTTAAATAAAAGTGAAAACGGCCTAGGCACTAGGTAAATATTTCGAATTATTGTCAATTTTAGATTCGAAGGGGAGTGAGGGATAATTAGTTTTACTATGATGCGTTTTTTTGTGTCACAACTTTTACAACTTTTAAACAGAAAATTGACTTCAACCGAAAATGGTCAAGAGACTTTTTTGTTACATTTTTAATCTAGTTGGTGCAAAGAGGTCCATCTAGAGAGGTCATTTTAGATTTTTCAATGGGTTTTCAAAATGGTGTGGAAAATCTGAAAAAATAATAATAGGAAAATCGGCCAATATTTACGACACACGCTGCGGCGTCATCAGTTTGATTGTTTTTAATTTGCACGCACTATGTTTTCTATCAGAAATATTGCTTTAACAAAAATGTCTAAAGGAATTTTTAACAGAAATGTTTGAAAATTTAACAAACGATTCATAAGGCCTTCTTAGTGGTCATAAAAAAAAGTGGAGGGAAATGTGGTAATGTTTTTTTATAATGGTTTAAGATCAAATTTTTATGAACATCGTAAATATTACGGCCTTTCCAATCATGTATAAACAAATTTCACTCAAAATCGATTTGTTAACAATGATTTATTATTACTTACAGATATAAAATAAATAACTTTATGTATTCTATACTTTTCTAACTTCCTACCTACAACAATGGCACACCTATTAGCAGTATCAGCTCTTTACGAATAAAATAAAATAAACAATAATATATGTATAATTCGTTTAAATACATTATATCAACCACAGGATATTTTCTGTGGGGATTTATTTTTTTTATAAATTTTTTCTTTGTTGAAACAACGATGCGCCTAATACCTACCTAATTTAACGTATTTTTTTTTAGTCATCATATTTATAAGAAAGATAAAACTAGATTAATCATAATAATACACAATGCAAATAAATAATAATGTAACGTAATATATTATATAGAAATCATGAAAGACGATTTTATATTTTTTTTACTTAGTCGATCGAAAAATTGATATCCCCGCGACATAAATACATAATATACAGGGTATATTGTTGTTATGTTAATTAAATACCAAGAAGAATTACAACCTCCCGAGTTCCGAGACACCTTTAAACTATTTACATTTTAACAATAGTTTCTTCCTTTCGATATACATTACACATTGTGTGTTACAATATGTATTATTATAATGTAGCAGTTCTATATCGGAATCGGAATGTCAAAAGCGATTTCATTTTTAGGTCAATACGGTTAAAAAATGTCCAGTGCCCGATTGTCTGCGGGGGGCGTAGAAAGAACACCTGTGGTATAGAACACCTGGCTATAATAATACATTAAGACCTCATGCCGACAAAACGGTGACTTTGACAAATGGACGAAGGTCGAAGATTCGATGACAAAATCGACCATTTCTGAACATAAGATTTTTTGAAAATTAACACATTTTGCAACACATTTGTAGGAATACTCAATTATAAGGTACGATTATAGGTATCTATTTTATTACTACAGAAGACTCCCGAAGATGATACACAAGAGACTGTGACACTGGCACACGTGAGGAACTATTGGCTAATACGGTGTAGAATACGGCGGAACTAATACGCGGCTAGTGTTCGTTGTCCTCTCCGCGCGCGACGTCCACTGCAGCCGAGGCTCGCGCGAAGGCGTGTCAAATGCGGTACATCAATCTGAGTGTTGATAAATTATTATAGTGGTTCAACGTTCAATAAAATAGGTATCTATTATAGTTCATTTTTCTTTATTTATTATTATTATTTTTTTATAGTGACATTTTTACCATAGCCGTAGTATAATATTATCATATTAGATAGATACTTCTTTTTCTGTAACTATTTTTTTTTTTTTAAATAATTTTATTAGGTACTAATTTAATTCGAAATATGGTTCTTGTATGTCTATATTAAAATATTTATTTAAAATATTATGTCAATTTCAAATCTAATATTGTAAAAAATATATGAGTACTTGGAATCGATAAATGTATGTATATTAATAATTTACTCAATAATAATTTTAAGTGTTAAACATGTATTATCATTTATCATTAAAAAAAAAAAAAAAAAAAAAAGCCGAATTATTTAATTTATAACTGTGCGAAACGATAGAACATTACTGACGAAATACGATTCTGATTGGAGCTCGACTAAGCAATTTTTTAAAACAAATAATCCCAAAACATATTAATTTATGGATTTTATAGTAAAACATTGCCAGAATATTTTGAGCAGGAACATCTAGAAAATGATAATATAAGTATGCTCTGAAAATTTAAAGTTTTTAAGATCACTTTTAAACAAATAACAACGAAAAAAAAAACAGAAATAATGAAACCATCAATACCGGAAACTCTACTCTCGTGTTTCACCTAATTATTAATAGGATTTACATGGAAAATAAAAAAACGACTTTCTTACGAACCAACCAACTAGAAAACATTTTTTTAAAAGAAAAATGTTTATTTTGAAATTAAGAGTAAGATTTTTGGTAGAAAAACAAAATAGAAATAATCAAAAATAACTAAAACATTGAAAACTAAAAGGGAAATAAAAAATAAACTCCACATTGCACCAAAATTGATCCAAAATGAAACAAAAAGATCATTATTTAATTAAAGAAATATTTATAGTAGAAAATTTGTTCATAAATCCATTAAATCATACATCATTGCAATACCAATACATTCCTTGTTACACTCAGAATCTAAGAAGTTTTTTTTTAGAAAAAATTCGTGTTATATTAAAACCATTCTATTTTAATATTATTAGGTATACTTTTTGTTTAATCAATCACTTTTATTGTTGTTACATTAAGAATTCATAATTATTTTAATTTCACCAACAGTATTTACATACATAAACTGCAGTGAAAAATAATTTACATAGAAGCTTAAAGGGTCGAATGGTTTTTTTTTTTGTATACCTGGACTACTAATCAATATAATTTCAACGCAGTTTTACAGTTAATATAGTATTATACCTATTTTTTTTAGTATTTGTATAATATAATAATTATAATAAAAAACTATACAATTTAATATTATTTCATTAATTTACGGATATATTATATGTCCAATTATATTATTACAATATAAAATAAGATAACAGGGTTAATAATAATAACAGTAATAATATTAGGTACCTACAATTAAAATTTTTTGTCTAGATAAAAATTTGCATAATAAAAAATAAAAACTAGGTAATGATAACTTATAAGTATTGAAATAAAACGCAAAAATGAATGTACATATAAGTTAAATAATATTAAGCCTTACAATAATAATTATGTTTTCTTAAATAAATAACTAATTTGTTTGTTTCTAACAATAAATGACCTAGAAATATATTATATTCAAACTAAAGCTTCATATTTACGTATTTATGTATGTTATCGATTAAATGCACCAAATATATAATATTAGTGATACATGTGTGTCCAGTACGTGTTTGTTTGATAAAGGTCAATTAAGCTCCGAATTCGGTACCATTAATCTAGACGAGAACACTGTATATTGTTTTTAGATTATAATTACTGGTTTACAGCATTCCACACGTGAAAGGCATTACAATATATAGGCTACAGACAATATTTATATTTTTGTATTATTATACCTTCGAAAACATTGATATATTATTATTATTTAAAATTTATGAAGAAATGTTATCACGTATAAATATACATACTTAAAACACAAAAATAGGTGTATAGTTTGTATGTTTAAAGTAGTTTTTTTAATAATCAAGTTTTCAATAAAATACAAATCAATATTATAATTACCATGTTATATTTAATATTATTAAAATATAATGTTTTCTACATAATATAACATTTTGTTTTGTTTAAACTTATTATATTTTTCTATATTGATATAATACCTAAATATGTATTTGTTTAAATAAATATATTACGTATTTTGTAAAGGTGTTAAAACTATAAAATGGAATTTATTTTTCAAACGCATGCTCAACTTAATGCCAAATACAAATATATTTAGATTGGTAGTAAAAAAAAATATAATTGACAGTATCATCAATGTTAAACAAGCAACTAGAAAATTAACACAAATTAATGTTTATTATACCTAAATTATTAAGTGGTTATTTAGGTCCTCCGATATTAAAAATCTATAAATAAATATTAAATACCTACTTATAAAGTAATAAACAAACGCTAATTTATATTTTTTAAGATACATTTTTGGGAAATAATAATATATAATTATATTTCATTGGGATGTTCGTATATATACTATGTGAATATCAATTTTTAAAAAGGATATAATATTCAGAAAAACAGTACTCATTTTTTTTTTTATATATAATTATTACTATGTAACGGTATAATTGTATAATATAAATATATTTTAAGAGTCAAATTTCATAAAAACAGAAAAAGTAGATATACGTGAACATAATATAGCATTATTGTTGTAAATATCGATTATACTGACGTAATTTATATTACAGGTACCTATATTTTAATGTCAGACCAAATATACAACTAATTAGAGAATTTTCTAACGACTTGAAAAACTAAAATATTAAATGTTTTACCCGTCATAAAACATTGTTAATAATAATATAGTTTTTTTATTGTTATTATTAACTGCATGTTTATCTAGTAATGGTCTATTTATCATGATAGGCACCAACCAACATAGTATTACGTACAAACAATATACCTAGTTAATAATAATAATATTTGTTAAAAAAAACCAGGTTTAGATAATAATTTTAATTGTAGTTGATATATAATTAATATTATTATTTTAATATATTAATTAGTAGCTCGATAGTAGTTACCGTCAACTATATAGGTTATAAGATCAAAATAATTAAGAAGAGGTCTACAGATTTTAATTTACTCAACTGAATCTGAACTATAATAAAAAAACTAAAAGTTTAATTAATTAGATAGCATTGATATTTATAATGGAACAAAATGTTTTAATATGAATGCATAGTAGCTTTTAGCACAGTAGTTTTTGAGAGATTTTTCATTATTTTCATATTACAATTGTCGAACTGAGAAATTTCAAATTTCTAAAAACTTAAAAAATCTTAAAATAATGCATTTTTTTGTACTGAAATTGTATAAATTGTTTAATTTAATTGAATAGTCACCGCGAGTTATAATTAGGTAACCATTTAATGTCATGATTTAAATAGATTAAAACCACTAAACGTGAATAAATGATTTAAGGGCGGAAGATCATAGAATATAATTTTTATATTATACATAAATTACTTTAGACAGATCAAAATTAATACGTTTTACACTTTGTTGAAAAACGAGAGAAATGTTAAATATCCGTCGCCAGCGAAAATATTGTACATTATTATATTTAACGAAAATATTTTTATTTTTTTTAATTACTTATAATACGAGTACAAAAATAGTTTACATTAAAATATTCGTAAAATAATCGAGTGAAAACGCTTAGTAATTATATTACTAGGTATAAAATATAAATACCACTATAATGATTGGTGATATTTAAAGGATTTATAAATAATCGATAAAAAAAAAAAATGTAACCCCCCGGTTAAAAAAGTTCACAGGGCTAAAGAACAGACATAGAACAATTATTATTATTAACTGCTAGACCGCCTACTGATAAAACATTCAAAATCATTGGGCTTACACAATACTCGCATACATATTTAACTACCGAGTTAAATATAATATAGACAAGAACAAAACGCACGCAGTCAATTTGTAAGTCAAAACTACTCATTAGTTTTTTACGAAATCAACTGATTAAAATATTTTTTATTTTTTTAACAAGATGTTAACGTTATACAGTGTCATAGGTGTTAGCATATTTTTCATCTATATTTTGACAATGTTTATTGTACAATTTAGGCTAGAGTAGGTACTTATTTGTCAATTGAAAACTTTAAATACACATTCACTTAAAACTCGTGTGAATTTATATCAAAAACGGACAAATATATTTTGTTTAATAATATATTACTTCTATTATGACAAATATTTTTTAATAGGCCAGTTAAATTAGGTAGGTAGGTATGTAAATTATAATGTTACCTACCTACATAATTATAATTATTGGTAGTAAAACTATAATAGCATTGACAATTGATATGTTACAGATTTATTTATTTTTTAAATTTAAACCACATCAATATTTATAAACTATATTTACACACAAAATGAACATAAATAATAGAGTACCTAAAATTTGTCAGTAAACTTATCGTTCCGATTTGTTTAGAGCATAAAATATTTGCATATCATTATTATTTTACGAATACATCGAACTTAGTCGGTTAAAATATATAAATTATCATATTATTTTAGATGTTTTTTATAACACACAATGAATAAATATTATTTTAGGCGTTTAATATTATTATACTATAGCTTAGGATTTACATTAAGGCTGCTGTTTAGTGAACTATATACTATATTTCACTACATAATGAAGTGAAATTAACAAATTTCAAAATATTGATCACAATTTTACGTAAGAAAACTGGATTGATTTATAGTATTTATAGAGTAATGGTGAAAATGGATACGAGGAAGACGTGGACGGTGAAAATAATAATAGTTGAACCGACTTACGTGGTGATAGAGGCGACTATTTAATTATAAGTATAGAATAGTAAACACGTATGAAACAGAATATATTATAGAAAGTTAATTATGAAAAAAATCACAGACAGGATGACATAAAAACTAAACAATGGGAATTCGCTCAACTCGGCGTAGGCTTAGTGAATTATTATATTGCACACCACAAAAATCCAATGATATCTGATAAAATTATTTTGAGCAAAGTTATAATTATAATGAACATGTACTTATAGGTACTTGATAAAAATACTATTTGCAAACTATACTACCTATAGACAATGTTGGACCACTTTTGTTTGATTTTCGTATTGATGGAAGATTTTCGTGAACAATTTGATGTGGTAACTACTGTATATTTACCGCGTCAAAGTTTTTCTCAGAATTAAACTAATATTATATAGCTCTCTCGGCCCGCATACAAAAATATACTTCGAAATTGAAAGTTAAACAAAATAGTCTATCGATATTAAGTATAATTTTTTATTTTTTTTTTTTCAAGTATACTTAAAAAGAGTATATAAATGTATCAGAATTTTTAGTGTTTTAAAACAAACAAAAATCAGTTTGGTATTATTTAAGTGGCAACTCTTAATAAAATTTTAAGGTTCCTATTTATAGTATATAGACGATCAATTTGTATTTCATAGAAATCTATATTTTTTCTATGATTTATCCCGTTATATAATGAACGACACGTTATAAAAATTCCGTTAAATAATAATAACACTCGTAAAAAGTGTACAGTACAGGGTACTTATCATTTTCGTAGTTTCGTCATAACTAATAATGAGGGCTACCTCAAATAATATATAATGCAATAATTATGTAATGGTCATCACAGGCTAATAGGTCATCATAATATATAGGCAATACTGTGTATTATAATAGATGTTGTAATAATAGGAGATAAGTCTCGTGCAACCCAACTCAAAATTTTCACATATTGAATAATAATACGGGTAGAAATTAAATTGTTAAACAAACAGGTCGTTTTTAATTGCACACTACAGACTCATGGTCATTACAAATAGGTACCTCTATAGGCGACTGCATCAGTGATCGTATCATGTCGTATTTTATAATATAATAGATACTAGTCACTGCGAATTTAGAAAAAAAAAAAAAAAAAAAACGGGGTGTATAGGGGTACCTTCGTCTCTTCTGGGCCGCCTCGTCGGACATTTGAAGCGCCGAAGGCGGCGGCGGTTCACAGACGGCCGGCATGGGCATGACCATGGCCATGGGTACGGGCTGGAGATAGCCGGCCGGGTCTCCGGCGGCGGTGGACTCGACGGCCCCGTAATGGGGCGGACCCGCGTATCCGTACATCCGGCGGCTACTACGACTACTGCTGTGGCAGTGGCCGGCGACGACGACAAGAACCGTTCATAACGCGGTCGCGACGTCTTCACCGCGTCCGGGAGCCGTCGCCGAGACGACATATATGTCGCGAGACACCATAAAAAATGATAACGAACGGAAACGACAACGAAGAAGGAACATATATATATATATATAAAAAAAAAAAGGACTAAGAAAAACCGAAAACGCGATTTATTCACTGCTCTCGTTCGCGCACAAATCTCTCCTAAATATTATTAGGTATCGGCTATATAATAATCGGCGGTAGCACGGCGTACGTAACGCAAACGAACACAAAATATACACAACGATTGGCACGCACGTGGACCGAGGACGCCGGGACAAAGTCGACAAACACGACGAACGGGGGTACGCTGAGAACTGAACCGGACGGCCACCGCGGCACCGCCGCCACAGGTACGCACGATATTACGCGGTCGTGGAGGGAGGCGGTATCCCTACCATCACCGCCACCGCGCCTCGTTCGGTCGTATACCAAACTCTAGTAAAGAAAAAACAAGATTCCAACGAGCATTGCTAGGTAACGCCGATAGCGCGCGGTTAATGTGTTGTGTCGGGTTTATCGTGTATAATATAAAATTATTATTATGATGAATAGAAGCAGAGCGGAAGAGAAGGGAAGCAGAAAAAAAAATGAACCGTTTATTAGGGCGAGCGGTACTTTGCATTTAAGGTACCTTACTATACGCACTGCGTTATATTATTGTATTTTATAGGGGAGAACAGGTCGACGACTCCGAAAGTATATTAATGCACCTATAATATTATAATATAGTAGGTAAGTAAATATACGAACTTCGATTATTGTGAACATTTCGAAAGTTTCGGATTATCATAAAATCATTTTTTTTTTTTTTTAAAATTAAATATTAATTTCGACGTAAAATGTTGATTGTAGGTGAATACTTAATTATCCCTATTTCCAAGCAATCACTTTCAATTTGTATTGTATTTTTTGAAAAGACAAGTGGGAAAATTTCCAAGCTTGCCCCCTCTTCGAGTGCCTATGGGCCAAACACTCTATACATCAATTTCAGTATCTTTTCCAGAATTGTACCTCTATAAAATATACAACTGTATCTAAGTTACTGTCTAACCCTGATAATACATGAATAAGTCAATTTACATACGTCTAATAAAATTTTAAAATGTAACCATTGGTTTCAAAAAAGTAGTATCTGTTTTTTTTTTTTAATCTAAATAAATTATCGATTTATCTAAATAATTGTATTTTAATTCATTTTAGATTCTGAGTGTATTTTATCTTTATTTAGACAAATTTTTTTAAATATCTTTAACTCTATCTAACTAAATTTGTATTAAAGAGCCAGAAAAATTAGAATTTACGGTAGTTCAAATATATTCGACCAAACAAAATTACTCGCCTAAGCCACCTAACCTATAAATATACTACATAACAGTGAAAAATCAATTTACGAAAATAAAAAAATAAAACAAAAAACCAACAACAGTATTGCCTCCAGTCCAAGAATTCAATCGATTTCAGTATAGTTGAAAGAAATCGTTTTATCTGAGACCTGCCGCAAAGAGGAAAACCGTACAGACAAAATATCACAATTGTGCTAAAAATCAAATATATTAAAAAACCAGAAACCAGCACTTTGTCACAGACAAATAAACCATCGTTACCATCTGTATTGTCGTATTAGTCACACACAACACAGTTCAATACTTTTTTTTTTTTTATTGAAAAATGAATTAAAATTAAAATTATGTACTAATTTGTGGTTCAAAGTGGTTCAAATCACATTAAAATCAGATAATCGAATTGTAGAGCAATGGTTGGTTCTGGTTCTAAGTGTGCAATCGCAATCGGCTTATTAAATGCATCTCCAGTGCACAGATAATAGATGTACATGATGATCTACTAAGGTATATTCATTGTGTGATATCTTAGAAAGTACTAACTTTTTTCAAAATTTGTTAACAATTTAAGATACAAACAGCTCTAAAATGTAACATTACCGTTATTTTCGGGGTTGAAACGATTACTCATTTTTGATTTTCAAATGACAATCTATATTAAAAATCCCATAAATAAATAGAGTATTAGTAGAAATACGCGTAGGTGTTGACATTTTTTATTTTTGTCAACCCGTTGACGAAATATTCCACTTTTAAGTACAGGTATTGCGAGAGTAATATAGATGACTATTTAAACGCCATGCGCTATGCTACCACACAAAATATACCCCAATACGCCTCCTCCTACCCAAACTTAAAAATGGAATCTCACCAACGAGTTAACGGAAATCAAAATATATTTAAACTAAAACTAATTTCAACTCCAAAATATAATAAGAATTTAATATTGTAGAGCTACTTATTTTTTAAATTGCCAAAAAAAAAAATTTCAAAAAAAGTTAACTTTCCGAAATATTGCAATGAATTTATTTTTGATACCCTATATGTGTCGATAAGACAAAAAAAAAAAAACTGACAATTGTATTCCAAACGAAAGAAAAGTTGAACTCATCCAAACTCTGGAAATTATATGGTAGGTCTTGGTTATTTATGTTACTAAGATTAAAACCGTTAATTGGAATACGGGAATAGGCACATGACTTCGGTGGAATTAGGGATTCAAGGATAATTAACTATCAAATTTTGTTTAAATACGGAAATGTCACATGAAATATTAATACACATGTAAAGAAATTGTTGATCAAAAAAATTGTAAATATTAGTTTTGTGTAAAGAATTTACATTCGTATTTCCGCCATTTTCAGTCGTAATAAAATCGAATTTCACTAAATATATACAAATACAGATAATATATTTTACTAAACATGTTATGTTAATAATGTCTTTGAACAGTGAACAGCTGACGAAAAATTATATTTATATGTATAATAGTGTACCCATAAAAGATTATCTTATATTTTCAGGACAATACTGAACCCCTTTTTTTTTATTTCGTTATTTATTTACCTGGTGACATGTTTTGTATTATAACATCTTGTACGTTTATTAAAACATCAAAAGATTTCACTTGGTAGTTATAAATAACCGAATAGATCTTATCAATGGTTCTGTACATCACGTTCATCAGATATTCAACAGTCGTAGAAAAAATTATGTACTTACACTTTGAACAGAGGATTATCCGTTGCTTTACATAATAAATAAATAACGAACATTTAAAATATACCTACCTCTATATAAGTATTAAAGTACCAGACATTTGAGCGTTATAAAAATAATTATGAAAATTTAAATACGAAAATAGAAATAATATAATGTAGTTTTATCAATTTTTATGTTCAAAAATAAAATTCATACTAGGCTTATAATGGTTAATTTATACAAATAATTATCTCGTATAATTTTTGTAGTATACTAATAATATATAATTATATAATGTATCCTTATAAATTATAATAGTCAAATATTTGGGAACGCATAAACTATAAGCATAATCTGCAATAAATTCTTGCCTGAGGAAGAGGCAGAAAAAATTAAAAATCTATTAAGTATAAAAAAAAAGGGGGGGGGGGGTTACTTCCTCCCAATACAGAAATCAGTATTAAAGTTATTAAAGTAGTAAATACTCAGGATTAAAATACTAAAACAAAAATAATAAAAATACAAACGGTAAAAACTTACAAGTAGCACTAACAAAAAAAATGTACACAAAACGTAGTCCTAAATGAATAAAATACAATAGGATATACAATACAAATGTCAAATAAATTTTAATGATTTAATAATGTCTCGAATAATGTAGACTTGTTTAACAGATTAATAGTTGTATAATGCAAAACGCTTTAATAATTGTAAAATAAAAAATGGCATATATTAATATTTATTAAAATTCAATGATTAGATTATAGCCCGGGGGCCTATTTTAAAATCAATCGAAAAAAGGTTTTTGATCAAAATTTGGTCAAAAGCGAATATATTTACGACCAATTAAAAAATCCGTATTCTCAAACAGATTTCGACCGTAGTATTCGATTTATTGTTTCGACTACTATTTACCAACCGTAAACTTGTTTTTGATCAAAGTACGTTATGATACTGTAATGTTAACAATAATTTTATAATTTGGATTGCGGTGTGGTATTTTTACAGTAGCTACCTACAGTGTGTAAAAACAAGTTACCTGTACTATTTACAACAGTATTTACCTATTTGTTATTTTTTTTTTTTTTCAAAGTACTTAGGTACCTAGTGAGTAAAATTACACATTATTAATTACTGGATGTTCTTGCATAAATAATACTAAGGCTTTTTTTGCTCAAATGTAACTGATTTCCCCTTAAGCTTTTTTTTGAGGATTCATAAATATTGATTATGAATGTACTCGATGTTGAATGTGTAACTATTAAAACTAACAATAAACTAATAAGTAAAAACACTGAGAACTTGTAATATCAAAATATAGCTAATAAAATATTTTATTTCATGGAATAAAAACTGTTTTTAGTGATAAGCGATTCAATAATTGAAAAATCGATCAAAAACCAGCAATCGAATAGATTTTTTGATCGAAAAGAGCTACTCGACCGATCTTTTCGATTGATTTAAGAATAAGCCCCCTGTAACAAACATTACTATCCTTGTGGACAGCGGTGGCACGGTAATAAGAAAAATATTGTACTCGCCAATCATCGTAACTACGAATTAAGGTATCTTCAACCGCTATAATAGATAACGAATGTATGATAACATTCTTGAACAATATCTTTTGACTGTATCTATTTTCATAGATGAAAAAGGAATATTATTAAACGATCCATTGTGCTTTTATTTTTTTGCTATATTAAAATAAATTTCCCCGTAAATTGCATTATAATATGGGGGGGGAGGGAAATACACTATCAACGCCTCAGTCAATACCTGGAGGCGGTTCCTCCCAGATTATGCCTATGGAATATTCAGAATAAAAAATGAATTTACTTAAATTTGCAGTTAAGATAGTAAATAAGATGCGCTTTAATCAAGCCATTTATTTGTCAGATTTTTTTTTAAGGTTACAAACAATGGGGTAATTCTGTAGGTTAAACATTTACTATACAGCGGCGAAGTTCGAAGAGACACAAGTGTGCTACCATTTCAAAATTGAGTTTATCCGAAAAATGAAACAGCAAAAACAAAAGGGTATCGATTGTTTATTTGAGAAAACTAGACGTGTTGATAATTTCTAATTAAATATTACCTTAGTATAGTATAATGAAATATTTTAGGAAGTTTCGAATTTAGGTTTAAAAAATAAATAACGAAATTTTCCTCAGAAACTAACTGCAACATATCATTTAATTAATACAATTTATTATTCTGGGAGCAATTAAGATTCAGATTAATGACGTTGTTAATATTTTTTTAAATGGACATAATACCTATAGTACCTACATAAATTCTTATGTAAACTGATACCGGGTGCTCGGTTAACGTTTTACCACATAAGTATAAATAGCTACGGTATACAAACCGTAAATATTTATAGGGTGTATTCGTATTTTTATAATATTATTTATACAATGTAGGTATGTAAATTATATTCGAGTTTTATTTTATTGTAAGTAAATTTTGTTGCGTTATTTAATACAAAATATATATATTATGATGTGAATACACATGAAAACATGTACATGTTCTTGACGGGATATATAACCAGGGTTTCTTTAAGTGATTTTCAATTGTACGTGATAGTGGTTGATGATAATTAATCAATTAAGGTCAGGTAAGGATTGTAACCTAAACTCAACCAAAAAATGTATGAAGAAATTTGATCGGAAATTCACGGCACATATCCAACAATTATAACAATATATCAATAAAAAAAAAAACTTGATTTCTAAATATGTTTTTTTAATTTATTTTAACGAATTGGTATTTGGGTTATTTTCAGTACATGGTATTAATAAAGTAAAATTATTTATACTAAATGAGGTCATTGCGAAATAAAAATAAATAAATGAAATCTCACATAATTTTTGAATAAACCCTATATACTCAAAGCCAATGTAAGAATTATATTTTATGTGAATGAAAACAACTAGTAATATAAAATTTACTAGTGTAAGAATTAAAGACATTTAATAATATTATACTTTTAATTATTATTAATTAATAGTTTAAATGATTATTTAGTTAAAGTATTAAATTATTATGTACATAATAGAATTATAATAAAATAATCAAATGTTAAATTGGGTAACTATTAAAAAAAAAATTGTTTTAAATTTATTGTTTGGCAGTTATCTTAAAAATACATACAAATTATTACAAAAATAATTGGCTAGTTAGTAGTGTTTATTGAAAATATATTGATTCAATATTAATACAGTTTATAACATTTTTAGAATAGTACACCTTATAATATTAAAAAGTTTTATTCATATTCCTTATTTAGAATGCAACTAAAATGGATATCAATTGATACAGCTCATATAATTAATAAAACATCATAGATTTAGGTTTGTCAACTGTTTGTTTTTTAAACAATAATTTACAGAAATGCTTTTGTTTACCAAACAAATACATTCAACCAAGCAACATTAAATTTTGTTTGTGTTGTGTAATTCAAAATATGGTAGGTATAGAAAGTTGTGTTGTATGTTTGCCTTTAAAACTGACAATGTTATTTTACAATTCCTAAATGAAATTTTCTTATTCATGCTTAATATTGTAGATAATAAAATTGTTATTGAATACATTGGTAGCTGATAGGTAGATAATTAAATATATTTTAACTTTAAAGAATAATATATTAAACTAGTCTCCACACAGAATCGTTTTTTGTTCACAATGATTTATCATTACATTCAGTACCCTACAAGGAATTTAATCAATTGAATTACTCAATAATTTTGCCAGATTTTCTTAACCCAATGTAGCTGGTTTACATGGTGTTAAATATTTTGTTGTAACAAAGAATAATTTACAAAATAATCAATGACTATTTTGAACAAATTTATAAATAACTTATGTACCACCTACTTACTGTATACCCTTCTTATAATACAAAAAATGTAGAATATTTTTAAAGATGAATACCCATCAAACTATACAAGTAATAACAGGGTATGTAACCAGAAACAAAATTGAAACTAAGAGAAGGCAACAACTGAAGTGATGTCAATTATAACAATTGGTAGGTAGGAAGGTAATTGCACTCAAGAACCGCAGGCTATATTATTTGATTTTAAATAGACAACTGACATTTTCTATTCTCTAAAATTTTTTTCTCAACAGCAGGTGATTTATTTAAATAGGTACACTCATTATCTCAGAAAGTATTAACTTTTTCTGGACTTTGTTTTCTAGAACATTTAAGAAACAAGCTGCTCTACAATTTAATATTAATTTTATTTCTAGTCACCCTTATTTTTTTAGGTAAAACCACTACCTACTTTCGATTTTAAATGGCAACCTCTATTAAAATATCCATAAATAGATGGAGTATTAGTTAAAATAAATTTGAGTATTGAAATTTTTTATTTTTGTCAAGCCGTTGGCGAGATATTTTACTTTTAGGTATAGGTTGGAGGAGAGTAGTGGAGTATCATTTTGTACCATTACTTTCCTCCAACCTAAACTTATTAGTAAAATATGTCGTTAACGGTTTGACAGAAATCAAAAATTTCAACACTCAAATTTATTTTAACTAATACACTAATACTCCATCTATTTATGGATATTTTAATATAGGCTGCTATTTAAAAATCAAAAGTAGGTAGTGGTTTTACCCCAAAAAATAACATAAATATTAAATCGTAAATAAACTTAATTTTCTATGTTTTAGAAAACAAATCCTGGGAAAAGTAAATATTTTTCTGAAATAGTGAGTGTACCTATTTAAATGGATCATCAGGTATATGAAATAATCATACATTTTAATATGCACCAAAATTGTACAGTAGAATTTTAAAATTTGTATGACTTAAAATTAATTTTGATAATTACCATTCAAATACCTTAACTATTCAATGAATAAGTAACTATGTATATTATTGTTATTTATTTACTGGGAATGTAACTATGTAAGTTTTATACTATAACCTGGAATATAACCTTATAAAATACAACATTTTGTATACATACCTACATTTACTGAACTACATAATATTCAATTGTTCCAAATTCTTAATTATATTTTTAAATATTAAATATAAAATTGTATACAATAACTACAGTATTCAAAAAAATTAATTTGTAGCAAACATTCCTTGGATTGTAAACAAGAATTATAAATTAAATAGATACAATATTAAAATTTGTTTGTAATAACGTCAATAATTTTTTTTTTTTTTGATAGGAAAGTTATTTTTTAATAAATTTAAAATGGTTAAGTATCTAATAAATTTATTTAAATTTCTTTAATATAAAATATTATTTAAGCAGTTTTTTTTAATACAAATGTCTAATAGATCGTTAATTGAATTATTTTATTTTGTTAACTGATATATTCAGTTTTGTATTTATTTTACCTATATTATGTATTATTATTATATACATATGTAAAATGAATACAAAATAATGATAATGCTGTGTTAAATTAGAACTTATATTGTTTATCTATACTGTTATTGCTTTATTAACACCAAATGGCAATTTAATATAGTTACAAATTAGATAAAAAATAAATAAATCTTAGACAAATAGCTAAATTATATAAGTATGGAAAAGGTAAACAAACTAATTTACAAGACAATAAAACTAAATAAGACATACATAAATATATAGCTATATAGGTAATATATTTATATTCTATAATTAGTCAAATAATATGACAAATCAGGAGAAAACATAATAACAATCAAAATGAGTTAAGTACATACTTATTTATTCGAAAAGATAGTAAAAAAAGTCAAAAGAAGAAACACTAATGTTAAATAGTAACAAGTTAAATATGTGTATTAATAATATTGAAGAGACCTAATAATATATAATATATAGTTGTTGATGTAGTTTTGTATTACAGATATGAAATATGAGATTGAAAAAAGATACATTTTTGATAATACTCTGTTCTAGCTGTTTCAGAAATATTAGTGAGAATTGGATACTTGCAAAGTATGAGTTTAATAAATTATTAATTGGCTGAATCTCGAAGTATAATTTTTGTTATTTTATAGATAGTAAAAATTAATAGCAAAAATTTAGAACAGGCATGTTCTTGGTATAAGTGCAATTACATTCGACTACCATCAGATTAGACGTTGTCCACTAATTTCAAGGTATATTTAGTTAAAATGTTAAAATAAATATTATTAAATGACTCCAATTAAGTATTACATAAGAGGTCAGAGAATCCAGTGGTTTGGGCACATTATGCATGGAAGTGATGATAAGATAATAAAAACAGTAATGTCTTGGAAACCAACGGGTAAGAAACCACGAGGACGCCCAAGGAAAAGATGGATGGATGTGGTCGAGGAAGACCTAAAAAGGATAGGAAGATGATTGGAGAAACATAATCCATGATTGAGAGAAGTGGCGTGGAGTTGTGATGGCGGCAAAAACTCTTGTAGAGTAGATAAGGCCAGAAGAATGTTAATGATATTATAAGAATAATTATCAAACCTACTGTTCACTGTAGTAATTGACAACAGTATATTATATCTGAGTATATAGGTACAATAAAATAGATACACCTTCAATAGTCCATATTTAATACAATAGGTACCATATGTTAATACCTTCCAAATAATTTAAAATGTGAATGTTTTATTAGAATATAAGTGTAAAGGTAGTAAGTATTATAGTCTATCATGCTTATTGTAAATACCTTCTAATAAGGTACAATTTAGGCATTACTTCTTATTGCTATAAGTAGATACTATAAATTAATTCACAGCATCCATGTACATGGAAAATAATTTAACAGATACATAATATTAAGAACTTGGTTTTGGGAGTAAGTAGTATGTACATAGAAAATGATATTAGAATAAGATATATGGAAAATAATTGTGTACCCAAATACAATAAAATTAAATGTAAATAATATGTTATAAATAATTTCACACAAGTTAAAAAATATCTCAATCAAATAATCCACTTATTATAACTATTAAGTATACTATATTAACAGAGGTATGTTGATTTATAATATATATCACACTATGTATTTAAATGAATGAAAATTAATAAAATACAAAAAACTTATAGTATGTTAACAAGCTATATTTAATTAATTATTTTTAGTTGTGGTATTACAGTAAACTAACATGAATACTTTAATATTTTAATTTAAATATGAAGGAGAATGCGTAAATGGATGTGTTGTGGTTGTTCAAGGTTTTGTTAACAACCACACTCGGTGGTGAAAAATTGCACAGATATTTTGTAAGAAATACATAAGATGTTAGAAACATTATTAAATAAAAATAATTTTTTTTATTTTAAATAACATGGCAATAAAACAAACTAAAAATTATGAACAGTTTTCTCTTGTGTACCTACATACGTCATATTAATAATAAAATTGATTAAGGGCTGTTCTCACCAACGTAAAAAAAGGTGTTTATCTGATTCTTAAACTGAGTTTATGGCTGATAACCAACTATGATTAGTTGATTGTCTTATAAAAACTGTTTAAAAATCAATGTTAATGTTGGTGAGAACGGACCTAAGAGTGTAATAAATAATATAACATATACATTTAAGTATGGGTATTTCATACATTGGATTCAATGATATTAACTTGTATTTAGGGTTTTATGTATGATTGTGATATTTATAACATTATTTTTAAAATTTTCGTTTTGTTTAATAAGTATTGTATTTAAAAAGGCTACGGATAAGTGATTTTGAGTCATAATATATTGTGTGCAAATCATTGTTCACTCCCTTTGAAAACTGGGGTGAAAATTTGAATAACAATTATTATTTTGTCATCAAAAGTATAAGCACTACGAGAAGTGGATCAAAAATTGATTACACTTTTTAAATTTTTCTCGAGTAAGTTATTATAAAGCATGATAAAAATAAATTACCTTATTTTTGTGTGTAGAGTTTGACTTATTGTTTACAAGCAAGTAAATTATCATATAAAATACAACGTTTAGTAAATTTAGAGATTAAAGGTATTACAGAAGTATTAATTCTGAAATGTCCTAGTCTAAAAATATGAAATACATAATGTTTACAAAATTATACATGTTAACTGACAAAACCAAACTGACTTTAATTAGGTTAAATAGTTTTTATAAGGTCCCATAACTCAAAATAAGTTAACTTAATTATACATGTGGAAAACCTATTTTAAATGTTAATAGTTTATAAAAATATTAACAATTTGTTTTTATTATGAAACACATCATACTGGGTAGGTATACCTACTTAGGCAAGTAAATATAATACTGTGACTATACATTTAAAGTCTATGATTGAATTTTAACAGTAGTAATGGGAAGAAGTTAATATACTTAAATTTATTTCTGCTGCACAATTATTATTTGGTTTTGTATTAATTAACATACTATTAAATAAACATTAAATTCTTACCCTATAGAGCCAGATCTTCGTTTTTGTATGACTTTGCTCAAGTCTGTGCCTGTAACCGAAAATAAAGAATTTAATTATAGAATATAAAGTTGGGATATCTATATCTATAGTGTTTATTGATTTGTATGTATTTCTAATGAAAATAATTCAAGCAGCTTGGGTTATATAGAATTTTCAAATGGTCAATCAAATATTTAGTATGAATAAATTATCATAATATAATACAATTTGAATGAAAACTCGGCCTATTTCTTACCAGGCAATGAATGAGTTAGCGTTGTCATTTATGAATCCACTAAACACTTACACACACGACACTGTGGCGCATGCCGGTCATAGGATAAAATAAAATAAAACACGATATATTGTTACACAAAAAGCATTTCCACATACATAATATTTAAGTATATCGACAGAGTATTTACTATATATCTAAAAAATAATAATCATAATAATAATAAATAAAAGAGAAAAGACAGATTTATAGAATCAAAGAGAGATAGAATGACAGAGAGAGAAGAGAGAGAGAGAAAATTATACACACACATGCACAAAAGCGAATACACAAACGTCAAATACGCAAAAACACACACACATATTATACAATATACACATAGATTACTCAAGTATCAACATTCGGCCATTTTGAATTTCTCTCAATTTTTTTACAAAGAAGTTTTAAATTTTGTTTTACTTTTTTAAGAAATTGATTAAAACTACTAAAATGAAAAGTGAGTTAAAATAATAATGAATTTTGTCTTAAATTTTATACAATAAAATATGGATTATTTAAAGAATAATTCAATTTTTAAAAATGATGTTATCATGGTAGTTGTAAAAAACCATAATATTTTGTGTAATAAGTGATAATAAGTAAACAGTATTATCATATCAATACTAAAATATGATAACATGGTATTGGTAGATTATTATCTATAAACCTTTGGTATAATGGTTATGTACTATTGCAACACATTACAGAATAAACAAAAATACAACATATTATACATTTATAATATTTATACCTGTTTTGTTTTGATTTCTGATCTATTACTCATTAGTTTCCTATAAATTTTTAATTGTACAATTATGGCGGCAGTGTTAAAAAAAAGAGCACTAGCCGAATACAGCACCCAAGTCGTAAGCATAAAAATTTTTTCTACATATTTATTGTAGGATACATATTTTTTATAAATACTTTATTTTCACAGTTGGAACAACAACCACCAGTAAAAAAATTAAAATGTCTAGTGAAATTATCGTCATTGTCAACTTGTGCTACCTTATCATTAGTTAACTCAATTCGTGGGCGTAAAACACCCAATGAAATTGTGCAAATTTTGTTGCAAATATTAGAACAACTTCAGTTTCAGGTAAACTACCTATGTAAATTTATGACAAAAGCTTTAAAGGTGTCCCTTTAGTTATTATTAATAATGTATTAAAGATTTCTCACTCCAGGTGATTATATTTCGCTACATTTCTCTGTTTAAGATTTTACAAATGCATTTATATTATCATTTATACAAGCTGTTATATATTTAACTGTCTGTCAAAAGTATTCTAGATATTTTATTTACCTATTTTTTGATCAAAAGATTTAGATATATACATCTTTAAATAATAAATGTTTAACAATTTTTGTTTTTTATTTATAATCTTAAGAAAACTAACCAACAAATATTTAGTATACAATTTTATTTTGTTTAGTAAACTTATGAAACATATTAATATCATCATTATGCACTTTGCCTAAACAACCAAACAATCCTAGTACAAACTATAAATTGATAACGTACATGGTTGTTAAAAGTCCTAATTGGTCTTCTAACTATAGTCAGCATACAGTACTCTAGGGTGGAGAAACTGTTTCGGTTATCTAAGTACCATGCTTATAAATTAAAATGTATTATTATTATTAGTCGATAATCAATTAAAATAATTAATATGTATATTGTACAGTGTTTATGTATTTATACACTGTTTGTATAAAATAGTGTTTAATAATGAAGTGATGAGAAATTAATTTGTCTCCCTTGACAATTCCTTATGGCTTTCTGTACTACACATCTATAGTATTACTACACAGTTTAAGAATTATTATATTACTCTAGATATTTTACATAGTTATTTTTTTTTTCCTAAATACGAGTATGTCATATATACTTTTCAAATTAATTTTTTTAATTTTTGACATGTGGTTTAGTTAATAGAAATTACTAAGCATATTTTTTTTTTTTTAGAACTCAGATATTATAAACATTTTAAGTAAACTCAGTGATCATTTTAAACTTCAAGCAGATTCTACAGTGAAAATGTTAATATTTTCTGTTTTATCAGCTATTGGTTCTTCTGATGAAACTAGTGAACATGTAAGTACATCATTATAAACTACTTACCTGTATTTATTTATAGGTAGAAAAATATTTATGAAAACTTAACTTATTGACTAATTGTTTATAATTTAACATTTAGAATGTTTATAAAATTATTGAAGAAATAATGATTATAATGAAAGAAGTTAAATCGCAAAAAATCAAAACCAGCGGTCTCAAAACATTATTGGCACTTGGAAAACGTTTGAATCATGATATGGCTCTTCATTTAAAACTTACTGATTATGCTAAAAAAGTATATCAGTGAATATAAAGCTTATATTACAAAAATATTAACTGTGCATTGTGTATGTTTTTTTTTAGACACTAGGAGATTACAGACCAAACATAACTTGTGGGAGTTTGGAGTTGATAGGTGAATTAATGCCAGTGGAAATCCCAGAAAATAAACTAGAAATTCATTCTGAAATGCTTAAACTAATTGGAAGTTACACTCAACATTACAATGCTAAAACACGGAGTAATGCATTTAATACAATGGTAATAAGCAATATTATTTAACTATATAAATATGTACAGTATTGGAATTGAAAAATTAAAAATATTTACTCTTTTAAAATAAAATGCATTATTATTAATTTATAATACTCTTTGATAGAATTGTTTGTTTTTAAAACGTGTGTTTATTAAATTTATCAATTAATTTATTATTCAAATTTCAACTCATAACACCAAATATTATAAATTGCATACAAATGATACGGAAATGTATTATTTAATACTATTACTCTAATGGTAACATAATTTGTTAAAAATGCTATAAAATATTCCACACGTTGTATAATTTGTTGTTAGATAATTTTGTAAACTGATTTCTCAGCAATTTAGGTTATCCATCTAAATTATTATTTGTTTTATTTCTTATCTCTACAATTATAGCATGAAAATGTATTCTAAAATATCTTAAAAAATGTATCTGATTTAAAAAATAAAAACAATAGTAAACTAGAGCATTCCTTTATATGTAAAATAGTGATGAAATGTTAAAAATCTTAAAATAAATGTATCCCCTAGGGTGTTTCTTAATTTTGTTTATAATTAAATTTTCTCTTAATTTTAAAGTGTTATACTCTAATGATTAACCTAAAAACATTTGACATTTGAGCTACACATTTTAAATGTACCAGAACAAATCAAAAAATATTTTAATTTTATTTCTTTATTTTTTCGAATCTTCAAATTTGTTTAAAGTTAAATTTATAATCATTCTTACCTAGTTGCCATAGAGTCAAATTACATTATATTCACCAACATTAAAGATGTAAACTTAAAATAAAATTTATTTTTATATACTATAGAATTTTATATTGGAGGAAAAACATTAAATAAATACAAATTAATTTTTTAATAAATTATATGAGCAAAATATCTAACTATGAAATGTAGGATATAATAAGAGTTATAGAATATACGCATGTATTTTAAATAGATTACATTTACTTAACTTTAAAGAAAAATAAAATAAATTTAATTAACAAGTAACATTTAAAATAAAATGTTTTGTGGTGATGAAATTTACTTGATACGTTAAAACTATTTCTTATTATCATATATTTTATTTGAGTTATTATGATTTTACTAAATAATGTTTGATAATTATAATTTAATTTGATATGGTTTTATCTAGGTTAAATTACATGATCGAGGGATAAAATTGAATCCATCTGTCTATCTTGATGTTTGTTCAGTTATAAATGATGACAACGAAATGGTGAGAGAAGCTGCTTTAAATGTGATTTCAGTTTTAGGAAAGGATTACCCAGAAGAGTAAATTATTATTAATATATATCTAAGTGGTTATATTTCATAAATATACATTAAAAATGGTTTTATTTATAGAAAAATCAAAGGTACCAATGGCGAAGAAATGGCACGAATGTCTGATGAAGCATTTGAAAACATATGCAATTTTATGACTGATATTAGTTACCGAATTCGTACTCAAGCAGCTCAACTTTTAGGAACATTTCTTTCTGTCAGTTCAAATGTTCTATTAAAAACACTTGACCAAACATTGATGTCTAATTTACGTGTAAATATTGAATTATAAAAAAATAAAAAAATAGTACGCCAATTGAATTCAAAACCTGATGTATGATGAATCTATTTTATAGAGAAAGAGAACTTCTATTGAACGTGTTTGGGAATGTTTATCAAAGGGTACAGCCATGATGAGTGCATTAAGCACTAAAGATACGCCACAAGAGATGTTGGATGCACAGCAAGTTAGTTTAGTTAGTACTGGAGCCAGTAGTGCTTTTCTTCATGGTTTGGAAGATGAATTTCTAGGTATTATTTTATTTTTTAAAAAAAACAACATATTTTTGCTTACCATTTAATGTTTTTGTTTTTAGAGGTTCGTATAGCTACAATAGGTTCAATGTGTTCTTTGGCAACTCGACATTCAGAATTTGCAGTAGTTGCTATGGAATTTTTAGTAGATATGTTTAATGATGAAATTGAAGAAGTACGTTTAATAGCTATTGAGAGTCTTGTAAAACTTTCATATGCATCTGGTCTCCGTGATGATCAAGTTGAAATAATATTAGCAGTGATTGAAGTATGAATATTATTTGATTCTACTAGAATATATTTTATAAGTTTATAAAATAATTTAGGACTCTTCAAGTGTTGTACGTGAAGGTTTACACAATATATTTGCATCATTTGAACTGTTAAACCAGGAAGGATTGATGATGTGCACTAACAGATTAATTGATAGTTTAAAAAAATATCCAGAGGTAAAATATATAATACAATATAATATATTATAATTATTGTATATTATAATGAAATAAACTTTTAATTCACATATTTTTTTTTTTAGGATAAAAAATCCATATGGAATTGTATGAAAAATTTAGGTTTAAGACATCCAACATTAACATTGGCATTAGTGCCTGAACTGTTAGCTATTCATCCAATGTTCGAAACACCTGAACCTAATGTAGAAGAACCATCGTGTATCCTTTAAAATTTAAAGTTCTTATATAGGTATTGTATTCTTTTGTAATTCTAAAATGAAAATTTTTCTTTAACTAACAAATAATAGATGTAAGCATATTGATTTTAGTATTCAATGCAGCATCTAAATGTAATTCTATCATATCATTACTTGAGGATAAAACTATCAAACATTATAGCTATTTGAGAGATATAATGCCTCATTTGGTACCAACTTTGCAGGTATGAAATAATTTAAATTGGTTGAAAAATGTTTTATAAAAAATATTTATTAACTTAAAAAAAAGAATTATAAAAGTTATATTTATTAGGTATTACATTAAACTTATTTGTACTTTTCAAATAAAAAATAATAGTTTTCAACTATTGATACAGGGAGATATTACAAGGGCTGAAAACCTTTTTATTTTTTTAAATTTTTGTTTATCTTTGTAAAAACTATAATTTTCGATATACAATAACCACTGCCTTATTTTTTATCAGAATTACCAATTTTTAATTAAAGAATAATTATTACATTAATATCATATTATAATTTATTGGTGCTTTGTTTTTATATTTTTATTATTTTTGTTAATTGTTGTTATTAATTGACACCTTACGGCTTTTACAGTAAAATAGTATTAAAAAAAAAAAAAAAAAAAAAAAAAAACAATTAGTAATTATAATATAAAAACAATAAAAAAAATGTAAACGTAAAATTTAAAAAATACAATGAGATTTGTGAAAAAAGGGCTGTGACAAAGTTATAAGTTATAAGTAATAGTGACTAATAAAAGTAAAAAAAAAAAATTATTATAAAAAACAACTAAAAGCTAATTAGTAGGAGTGAAATGAAGGGTTTTTATTGATAAGCCTCATCATGTAGGTGATGGATTCAATTTGGAGATAATTAGCCGAGCAAAAAGGAATATAAATTTGAGGAGAACTGGGTATATCGAGCTGGAACCTTAAAATTTTTTCGAGGGTAGGAGAGGAATGAATAAAACCAGAAAGTAACCTACGAAGAAGAGAGAGGTTTTGTTCAAGCTGACTGTCTGCTATTAAGTCTAAATTAAGTTCATAAAGAACAGGTATGTAGTTATGAGGGGTCATTCGATATGTATTTATTGTTTTTTTTTAAATTATTTATTTTTTTTAATTTGTTTTGATTATACTGTTTTTTTTATAAGGTTTTAAAAACATTTTCGAGTCCTACATTAAACAAAATAAAATATTTTTTACTTGGATAAACTAAAATAAAAAAATTAAAAACATTTTCTAACCAGAGTTATTACTAATTTCTATTATTATTTAATTATTGTAAAAAAAAAAAAATGTAAAGCTTGGTGGACGTTTATCAATCGGTCAAGTGGAACTAACAGAGGCAGATTCATCAAAATCACTTGAACTTCTTCAGTCATTAATTCATCAAGTCTCTACTGTAAAAGGTAGCACTAAAATGAAAATTAGTTTGTTGGAAACTTTCTATCATAATCTTATAAGATTGGCCCAACTTGATCAATATGTGAATGGCACGGCAGAACTTAGTGCATTATATATGCATAGTCAACTTTTGTTAAATAAAGTACTTAATAATAACAATAAAACATTTTATTCAAATGCTGTTTCTACACATCAGGCAAATAATGTACGCACAAATATTTCACAGTTGTTACAAAATACTTTAAAGTATGTATTCCCCGTAACAATTAGTTGTATGAACATGTCTAATTTTTGATGTTTTTAGGATGCAATATTTGTTTGTTGGCTTGAGTGTTCAAGAATTGGCTAGCATTAAACAATTCAAACTTAAAGTGATTGCTCTTCTTTTAGTATATATTGTAAATGCTACAAATCAATCAGCTAGAGCACTATGCCATTATTTTTTAACGCAACTAGAAGATACTATTAAGTATGTTGGTTTTTGCACTATTTAGTATTTAGTTGGTGTCATAATTTAGTGAATGGAAATTTTTTCTCATAAGAGATAAAATGAAAATTAAATGTTTCTTTTATTTGTTTATTTGTAAATTTAAATTTAACTATTTATTTATTGTTTAAAACAATATTTAATTATACCTAATTATTTTTAAGGTATATTACTGAAAACAAATTGCAGATAGAAACATTCACATCTATTGTCTTCAAAGAGTTATCTCAATTAGAAGAATCAAAACCAGGAATTGTAGCAAAGCTACTTTTACCAATACTACAGAGTTCCGAACCTACTCCACCGCCAAAACCAAATACAAATGTGAGAACTTATTGACTTTTCTAATGACTTATTTGTGTTATAGTGTACCTAATAATTATTTGAATTTAGATAAAAATGTGCAAAGTTAATATAAATCGACCACAAGGAGGTCCAGATACTACTCATAAATTATCAGCAGGCTTGATACTTCCTATTCCATTAAACGCAGAGTTATACAGTTTACAAATTGATTCGTCATCTTTATTACGGCTAAAGATTAAATATCCTGATCAACAAACTCATTTAATTATGCCTCCTAAAAATCACTTGCGTCTAGTAAATCTTGGTGGTGGTGAGTGAATTTTTAAAAGTCAATAATATGATTTTGTTTTATTTGTATTATCATTATTTTTAGAGTCGTATTATCTACTTGATACTAATGCATTGATATCACACCGTTCAGAGTGGTCAGAGCCATGTTTTGTTGAATTGAGTTTAGCGTTTGACTTAACTGAAACAGAAGGAGCTTTAGCACATGTTTTACCTCCTACACAGCCATGCATTGTTGACTTATGTAAACCAGTGAAGCTCAAAGTGCACCCTAAACCTGTAAGGCGCGGAATGTAAATTAGTTTACATTTGTAATTTGTATTATTAAAATATAAGTATTAGTAATAGTATGATAATAATTATGATTTTATTTATTTGATTGGTATAAAAATAATTTTTTTACACATTAATATTTAAAATTATAAACATTGTACAAATTGTTAATTTACAATAAAATGTATACTTAAAACAATAAAAGTCAGTCACATAATTTACTAGACTCAGTTAAATGTTTGAGCTTTTCATTATTACCTTCAATACCGGAAACAAGATCATCAATATCATGTATACTTCGTAAACTAGCTCTTATTGCTTGAATATTTTGAGCACTAATACGACCGGCATGTTTAGCACCACTGGATGTAAATTTCACTTTGGCGACATTTACAAGACTATCATGAAATGATGCATCAATATCATTTGTACGTTCGATGAATCCTAGTAGACGATTCTCAAATGTATCAAAATCTTTGTCCAATATTTGTGCTTGTAGATAGACAGTTTGTGCCATTTTGTACCAATCTGCCATACAATCTGCTAACTGTGTAACTACAGGCTGGACATCTGTTTCTAGTAATGTTCGAGCTCTACGACTAGTTTCAGTTATCTATACAAATTATATTATAAAATATTTATTAGTTTTTGATATTTTAAGAAACTAAATTACATATATAATTTTTTAATTTTGAAAACTTAGAATGTAAAATTGAATTGTTAGATTTAAGAAGGAAAATTTAAAAATTGTACTAAAAGATTTATTATTTAATTATTAAACACAATTTTTTTAATTTGTTTACAAGTTTAAAGATAAAATAACTATTATTTGATTACAATAAAACTAATAATACTTTACCTTAATTATTTCTAATACATGAAATTGTTCATCGTTATAAGTAAGACTACGTGTTGCACGATCTCTCAATAAATGCTGCCATGAATCTCGTAGTCTTTCAACAAGTGTTTTAATTCGTGCAGGTGCCCTGTTTTTATTTGGACACTTAAATGTTCTGGTTGCTGATTGCCATTCTCTAGTTAAAGTTCTTTCTTTTACATATCGTTGATATAGCTGTTGTATTGCTAAACTTAGGCTATTATTTAGCTCATCATTTAATTTGTCTAACTCATCTTTCATATCAGTAGTTATATTTTTAAAACCAATCATGTTGTTAACACTTTTATGACCTCGTACAGAAATCTCAACTAGATACTTTGTACATTTAAATATACTTTGTAAATGATCACTTTTACTCAATACTGATTTTAGTTTTTCAGTTACAATTTTTGTAAATACTTGTACACATTTATTAATTAATTGACTATTCTGAGACAATTTTTCTATTCGTTTTTTACAAACATGTCCAACACTGCAAGCAGTTTTAGCAAGTCCTGCATCACTATCTACAGATGTTAATTTTGGTAATGACATATCGGGAAATTTCGGGAAATTGGGTACTTCACCATCAGCTACTAAGGTGACGTTATTATTTTCTTTACTAAACAATAAAATAGGCTTATGCATTTCAGTAGGTTTATAAGACCTACCAGGAAGATCTATTCCTACTTCAGATAAAAGATATGTTGATTTGTATAAAAGTATTTGATTAGTAGGAGATATTTCAGTTTGTTCTTGTATTAAGCTCTGAAGTCTTTCGTATGTTTCATCAGGGTGTAAGTAAACACGTATGTTTTGAACACGATTGGTGTGAAAAATGTGCAATAGTCTTCTATCTAATGTTTTGGTAACCTCAGCGAAGAATTTCTCAAAACTCCATATTCGTTGGGATTCTAATTCCAAAAGACCAGCTAAAATTGGTGTAATAAGTTTTTTACAGCCATCACTTAACTGACAGTTTTTTGGTAAATCTCTGTTCCACGTTATTGAACCTTTTTCAGATGTTTGTACTCCAGATATAACTCCTGATGCCTTTTCAGTAGTTATATAATGCATAGTTTCTTTGTTACGTCGTCCACCATATGGTCTAAACGGTAAATTTCCAGTAGCTACATGGTATAATGTCACACCAATTGACCATAAATCAACAGTAGCACCAAACGTTTTAGCAACTGGTTTTCGTAAAACTGCTCTCTCATACCTGAAAAAAATTAAGTTATGCAAATTTCAATTTTAAAAAACATTAAATTCCATAGGTACATATGTGGATGAAGGTATTCTTCGGTCCCATATAAAGACATAAACTCTTGATCTTCGTGTAGTTCTCTTGCAGCGCCAAAATCAGTTAATTTGTATATAGGCCGGCCATCATCGCTGAGAAACTTCATAATATTACCAGGCTTTAGATCTCTATGTACCAAATTGTTGTCACGCAAATGTTTCATACCGGCTGTAAGATGTTCTAAAACTAACAAGAATTCATCTTCCTGCAATCCATAAGTATTTTCTGGATCGTCCAGTATTGTAAATAAACTACCTCCTGTACATAGTTCCATGACAATAACCTAAAATAGTAAATACATTGATAATTCAAAAATCATAATTGAAGAATCAAAATAATTAATTACCTTTCCACGACTTTCATGTTCTTCTTCAATAGCTAACAGCTTGACTATGTTTTCATGCTTGACCTTTTCTAATACCTCAAACTCACGCATTTGGACATCTAAAGGTCGCATATGACTTAGTTGATTAAAGGTTTTGACAGCGACTGGTTCTCCATTGTGTTTATTAACTCCTTGATAAACAGCACCAGTAGCACCTTTTCCAAGTACACTTGTAGTACACCAAACATAATTCGTGGATCCACGTAAAAATGACATGATTGCTTCAGGAGAACAGTGCTCTAAGTACACTGATCACTTTCTCTTAAATCTACAGTAATTGTAGTGACAACATCATTGGTCACGGTCTGCAGAATATGACATTCCTGGAAGACTTATTAAAACGACCTTCTAAAACCCTACTTGAAATACAAGACATTACCACGAGTATATTGAATATCACATAATTTTTATAATACAAGAGATCGGTCACTCCGAAGTATTAAAATAATTTTTTAAATTTGAATTCGATTATTATTATAACTATTGTTATTATTATTCATATGATAATTGTTTTGTTTGATTCCCATTATCAAGAAATGGTGACTTTTATCATTCGGTGAAATAACATATGTGTATTGTGTGTAGTTATTATGTGATTGTTTGGAAAACACAAAAATATCGAACTCGCAATGCAGGACTTATATTAAAGTAACATATAAAAAATAGTAATAAATTCGTCACATTTATATACCGTTGTAAATTATATTGTAATTAATAAAAAATAATGAATAATGTGAAGAAGAGCAATTTGTGACCGTTAGATGGCGCGCACGTCGGTCGACCCTGATCGGCGTGCTGGTGTTTTGTTTACACACACGCAATAATATACACACGAGCGTCGAGCAGCACAACGGCGGCGGCGGCGGTAGCTACGAAGTCGATTCCGTCGACAGTGTCCGTGCGTGTTGGTCGTGTGTCTTCGTGTTGTTGTGTTGTGTGCGCGTCTACAGTCCTCCGCTGTCGCATTGGTGAAAGAGGAAAACCGAAAAAAAAAAAATAGATATATTTCGCAATCGTGGTGTATATCCCGATAATACGGCAACGTAGGTGGGTATCGATACGCGCAATGATCGAAGGTTTCGTTGGATATTTTATGAACATTAATAATAATAATAATAATATTATTATTATTATCGTCAATCGCGAATAGTCGTCGAAAAAAACGGGATTTGGCTTATAAGTTGTATATTTTTTTTTTTATTGTATTGCGTGTTGTGTGTTTGTGTGTGTGTGTATAAAGTGACTGTCGACCGAGAGTAGCTTATTGCAGCAGCACGATGGAAGGTTTAAACAATGGGGTCGGCAAAGATTGCAATGCCCTCGGCGGATTGTTCCAGCAGATCGTCATGGACCTAAAGGTAATAATACAATCACGATAATAATGCTGGTAATATTTTCGTTAAAAACGTTCGCCGTCTACGACTGTTGCGAATACCCTCAGCCGCCGTCGTCGCGACCATCGGCACCGTCGTCGCAGCGGTCCTGCGGCGGTTTTCCTCGCGAATTTTCCATATTATTAAAGACGCCGTTTACCACCGCCGACGACGTCGCCGGCCTATTGCGGTTAAACTCGCCTCATTGTACCCGCCTAATATCGCATACGAACAGTAAAAAAGCGAGACTTTTTTTTTTTTTTTTTCGTCCATTTATAGAGCCTTGGAAAATGTGTGTCGCGGCGTAACGCGGATTGGTGCACGCGCTCGGTCCGTCGGCCGTGTTACGAAAAACAAAACCGGAACGCCGGCACAATTCGTACGATGTTATCGCGCGCGTAATGTAACGACGGCGTACGTATTCTAATACAATTTGTACGCGCCCGGGTCGCGCCGTCGAGCTTCACCGCGAACGGGATGGGGCTGGGGGGGGGCCATGTTTAGTTTCCAATAGCGCACTTACCGCGTTCGGATTGTCGGGCAAATACAACGGCATAATGTTATACCGAATACCGCGTAACGAACCGACAACCCGCGCGACCGACGGGTTGCGCTATTCCGCGGTGGCTCCCCGGGCCATAAGTGCCGCGGGCACTAGTGCTCGGCGTACCCGTTGTTTCCGTTTATCGTTTTTCGGCGATCTCGGTGAACCCGCGTTGGCGAAAACTGCCCGGTGGTGTTTTTAACGGGGTTTTTCACGCACGCACGCACCTGGCCACCGTATTTCGCCGTGCTCGGTTATCGTAGACGGTTGCAATGTACGTATTGCGAGCGTTTATTTATGTTTTTCTCTACAGAAAACCGGCCGTGTTTAATAGGTGGTACGCGCGGTAAACAAAATAGCGGATTCATAATATTGAGAAAAAAAAAAAAAAACAAAAAGCAATAAAAACAATAATAAGTACACGTACGTTCCGCGTGTACCCCGTACCGGTGGTTTAAAACGCAACCGAACGTCGTTATTACGCTGATCTCACCCCACGTATGCGGTCTTGTGTGGGGACATGTGTTATAAAGGGACGAAACCTTCGGCCGGTGTTGGCGTACCTACCCAGGTATACTACGGGGTAGTGTCGGGCACCTATTAGTTATTGCACATTTTAAACCCCCGTTATCGACGCGCGTGCACATATTATTATTATTGCGTTTTTTTTTTGTATAGCATACGAATATTCTCTTTAACCGACGTTACTTATCCCGTCTTTCATTTGCCATCCCGAATTTTATTCAAAATAAAACGCTCATTGTTCCGGCCGTTTCTCGTCACCCGGGAACGAGAACAAGTATCGTGGGAAAGTGCTTCCTCCCCCCCCCCAAAAAAAAACAAAACAAATTATTTCTATATGGATCTCGATTTGCATGGATGTACATCTGCAGATCTGTAGATAACAATAATACTACAAGTTTCGTACCGTTAGATTTTTTTTGAAAATCGTCCGTAATTAAAAGATTAATATTACAATTATTATTTAGTTTTTTCTCAGTCCCTAAAGAAGGTATACAGTTTTTAGGCGTCTATTTTAAATTTACTATTTTCGTCGGGCATTTCAATTTTGTACGTGCGACCGACTCGAAAACATACCTAGGACCTAGGTATCAGCAATAGTCCGTACGTGGTCTACGAAAACAACTACGCGGCCAAAGTAAACGGGTTAATTTTTTTCGGTGAACTTATTATTATGTACAATTTTAAACGGTGCAATCAATATGCAATGCAAACGGTCGAATCGTCGCCCGACACGGTGGTTTAGTCTGGCCCGCGAGCAGGATTTCTTCACGGGCTGCGGGCTTACGTAAAAACGAATGCATAAAATAAAATTTGTCCGTCGATTGTGTCGGTAAGATCGGGAATCAAAAGTTAATTACTACACGCTGTACACTTCGGGAGTCTCGCAGAAATGGACTTGCGTTTAATTCGTTAAATTTAACACCCGGCAGTCAATGACCCAGATGCAAAAAAAAAACAAAGACATGCCCCTCCTCCCCCTTACGTGCGGGCATCGGTCTTCGGCGCATAAGATATTTTCAATTCGCATACGAAACGTTGCAACGTTCCCGGGAACCAGGACCTATTTCTACACCCAGATACGCGTGCCGAATTATTTTTTAGCGGCTTATTCGAATACGAGTCCGCTGGTATCGCGTACAAAAAAGTGTATAGTTCTCTATAATAGTACACAAGGCAGTCGTCGACATGTACCGACTATTATTATTATTATTATCGACGACTACCGTTTGTATTTTATTATTATTGTTGATGTTATAGGTATATAGGTACATACTATTATGTGTGTGTATCGGGGTTTTTTTTTTTTCTACGTCACGCGATTTGTACGCGGAGTTTTATTTTTGTTCGTCGGAGTCTATACATAATAATAATAATAATAATAATATAATAGTATTTTCGTTTATAGTATTTGTGAAATACATGCTACACAATATACATACGTTACTTCCATTCCGTCGCGCAACATATCCATAAAACGACAAATATTGTTTATAAATTCCGCCCACTCCACACAGAAAACACTGGCCGGACGAAATATTGGCCGAACGTGTTACACATTAATTTTTTTTTTTCAGTCGAAGTTAAAAAAAAAAAAAACTACTAAAAAATACGCTCCGCGTCCTCTTAAAACCGTTCACGAATCGTTAAGCCCGCGTTAATTTTTTTTTATTGTTTTTCCTTTCGTCCCTCGGCAGCGGCGTGCGTTTTCTTCTTCGACTCGTCTCGCGACGACGATGATGATGATGATGATAATAATAGTAATATTGAAAGTTTTATACACCTAGTTTACAGAAAAGAAAAAAAAAAGATATACTAAAACCGAAACTCGTAAATAACTTTCAAAAAACTGGTATCTCAAAAATCGTAAAACATATAAAAAAATATATATATATACATATGTATATATATATTTATTTTTTTTATTTCGATATTATATGATGGATTTATAGTAGCCGTGCAACATAAATTACACCCAGCCGTTTCGTATTGTTGTACACGCGGACAGTTTATTATGTTTAGTTTCGTTGTTTTTTTTTTTTTTTTTTCCCGTTTTTTCCTGAATCGAACTAATAGTAGAAATCTTTCAAGCGTATTTCTACGGTTTCGGTTTTGAAACGATAATCGTCGTTATACCTATTCAGTTATGAATATAACTATTAACACGACCACGTTATAAATACCGTAATAATACGTAAAATTTAATTCGTAATAACGTCCGGGTGGGTACAATAATACGATGATTAATGGATAATATGTATATAATGTGTATATTATACATGATATATATATATATATATATATATATTTTTTTTTTTTGACATTTTATGAAATATGTAACAAATACGGATTTTTACAGAGTATTTCTCTCTTGTGTGCCTAGATTTGTATATATATTTTTTTTTAGAATCAAGTTTTAGGTGCCGCAGCGAACGTGAATTACGTCCCGATAATATTTAACGACTACACGAATTGCGTCCCAACGTCAAACACATTATTATTTTCCTTTCTATTTTATACAGATTTGTTAGGACCGTCAACTGCAACTCATTACTATTGCAGGTAGGTTAAAAATATTGATTTTGGTCGTTGTTACGCGATTAAAAGTTTAAATGATTTCGCTTTAAATTATTACCCAGGTTTTTGTCTAATAAATATAATTCAGTAGAATTTTTAATATGATTATGATCATTTGCCCGTTCTATATCGTCTTTTTATCATTTTGTTTAAAATATATACACGACTGACGTTTTTGTACAGCAATTCCAACGTTGAATATCGTTCTTTAATGTTTTAATAATTTGTGTATATCTATTGGAATTAAAGTTTTATTTTTTTTTCACTTAAAACCATCAATGTCGTTTTATTTATACGATTTGAAATCACGCAAACGCGATCAAATACTATACGAATTTATACAAGTAGATACAACGTTATAACTATAGCTCGGATGTTAATGACAAAATTGTCTATAACATATGCCTTAAGTGTACCAAATGTATTTGAATGTATATTTTTCAACAAATATATGCAAAGAAGGTGTTAATATTAATTTAAAATAAATTATATACTCGTTTAATCTACAGTAGGTAATACCCACCGTACCTACCCACAGTAAGTATATAAATAACTAGGCAGTAGGTATGTCAGCGACTTTTATCGATAGTGCTAACGCTAGCGTATACGTAATGATATAAAGTATTTGGTTAATAGTTACCGTATAAATTTTTAATATTATATTTAAAATTGTTGAAAATATGCTACTAAATTTAGAAATAATCAATATATGCATTTATATGCTTGAAAATGTCAAATATGCAAATATATGCAAAATAAGTTTGCATGTTTTAAATCTAGACGTCATGAATCGAATTTATATCATATTCGGGTATAATTCTGATTTTACTGAAAAAAATATGCAGTCATAAACATCCAAGCTCTAGTTATAAAAGTACGAACGAACTACGACCAAACAGACGACACACATACTAAAAGTATAATCTATAAAAAATAATAATTTTTATAAAACTGGGATATAACCGCAAAGTATGATTTATTCATAAAAAAAATAATTCCCTTGTAGGATTTTTTTTTATCTTGGGACGCAATTTGTGTGCAGTCGATTCTATTATGATGTGTGGTTTTTATTATTTTTTTTGTCCGTTAACGAATTTTCCACATTTTTTAATTACATTACTGAGATTTTTAATCATAGGCGTTTTTTTTTGATGATAAGTTTTGTATTTATAGTTAATGCAACGGAGGGTCATTTTTTGATTTTCCTCGTATATTTATATCTTAATAATTTGGAAAACACCGGGGAATCGTTTGAAATGAAAATCGATTGAAAAGTAATCGTAGAGACTCAGACATTTTCACTCGATAGGTACTATTAGCTCTTTTTTTTTTACAATTTTCCAAATTATTCTGGTTATCTTTGAGCTATATTTATATAGGTATTTTACATTTTCGCAGTTTTACTTTTAGTTTGAATTTTTGAATTTTGACTTTCCTACCTAATACCTAATAAATCGTACCGTTATTCTTAGTTAAAAATTCGTCAGAAGAGGTGGTAGAGGGAACACAGTACCACAGTTACCAGTTTACTGATTTCGGTTGAGCGTACAAATGGAGAAAAAGGGGATAGACGTAAAAACTGACATTCTTGTAGTAATATAATATTAGTTAGCTTATAGCTTATAGCTTTAGGTATTGAGAGTTAATAGTTAGGTACGGAAAAACAGATTCGCCAGATCAATTGTTTGAACTCTGCTGCGTGTTTTTAATTAAAATGAAATAATAACAAAGCGCTTATTATGTATTATAAAATAATATTATATAACGAGGAGATGATAATACGAAGGTTAGAAAATATTTTTAATCATCGTTTTTTATTATTTAGATGCGAATGCAGATAAAAATCGTACGATTTCGCAAAAATAATAGTTATTATTAAATGCTAACTAATTAGTTATTTTGCGTGTGTACGAGTATGCATGAAAAGTATTAGTTTGTATTAATTAACATGTTTTGTTTTTATTGTAATGTAACATTTTGATCTCTGTAAATAATCTGTTGGACTTTGGGTCATTTATAGGTCGTAAATAAAGTTGGGTAGTTTTTTTTATTGTTTTGTTCCGAACATGGACGAAAATTAATTAACACTTAAAATGTACGCTACGGTGTTAAAACCCATCAGAATGAAAAAAATAAAATAATAAGACGTGTAAATACGTAGAGTTTTTTAAATGTGGAAGAATCTTTTCATAATGTTTATATTGTTTAGACCTATTTGTGTGTGTTTATGAATAGCGTTTATTCCTAAGTTTATTCATACGTTCTCTGGTGACTCAGATACTGTATTATTTATGAATTTAATAATAATACAGAGTTCATTTGTATCATAGGAATAACAGTTCAAAGTCAGTTCTCCCTAAACAAATATACGTAACAAAATTTGTCCATGTCGAATAATAACAGTAAAGTACATATTAAACTATTATCATATTATTTTGTTACATTATAATATTCTCAAATGGTATTGTGAAACACAAAATATTTCAATTTTACAAAATCTTTATCATTTAGTTTATCATTTTTTTGAATAGCAACTATTCACAACTATTCATATTGATATATTGAATGCGCAGCCATTCAATGATAATAGACCTGCAATTTTATATTGAAAATTATAATATTCGAAAATAATATATTTTCACGCTAGAACGCGTCGTTTTTCACATTTTTTTCGATTTTTTAAAATTTGAATATAATTTTTAACATTTTTAATGATACGAATTCCACTAATCGATTTGTTGACATCGCGGGAATATGGGTACATAACTCATTGTCGATTTAGCATGTTTCAAAACCGTGTATTCTTTAAACGATAACCAACATATAGAATCTCTAAATTGCTTTTTTTTTTTGCATTTAAAATTGTTAAATAAAAGAATTCTAAAAATTGATTTATTTTATTTTTTAAAAACATAGGTATTACAAAATTTGACGTTAAAACATTGAAAAACTGAGTTGAATACAAACTGTAGGAAGAAGTATTTCGTTTTTAATCAATAAACCAATTGTCGAATCGAACCATTCTACGAAGATCGAAATAAGAGATTTTTTCCCAGCAATGGGCATGTTTTTAAGCCAAAAAATGCGCTACCAACGTACCTCTTAATAGATTTATTAATTATTATTGCACAAATCATTGTAAATGCATAATTATTGATAACACTTGAATATATGAATTATGGCATATTTTGATATAATTTCCGTAGATACATTAAGTATTACATGACTATAGTAACTATATAATCAGGTAGTTTTCTAAAATATTTTGATTTAGTATCAAAATCCTCTGCATATATAGGTAACAAAAGTTACACCTTTATTTGTACTTTTTTTTTTACACGAATTCGTTATTCCAAAAATAGTTTGTTGATAAATTAGTCGTGACAAAATAAAACATCAACATTTAAAAGACTGAAAGAGATTAAACGGATTTACGCGGGTTTAGTTAAATTATTTAAAATAAAGAACAACATGTTAGTTCCAAAAAAATTTTAATAGGTATACTAAAAAATACACGTATTATCTGAGTAATATGAATAAAAAATATTTTTCGACTATAAATTACGATATTTTTCGACCGTTAAGTCATAATTTGTTTTTTAATGTATTGTATTGTTTTAAATAATTTTTAAAAAAAATCATACACATCTGTTGTCTTATGTCAAATTTTTTTTATTTAAAAAAAATTACAAGCCTCCGAACCAAACAATAATACAATTATATTAAAAGTAAATTATATATACAGTATAGTATATAATATATACCATTATATTATATATCATAATATAATATTATATAACATTAATATTATCTACACTGCATTTTATTATAGTGGACACCACTTTATTTTATCAGTTTATAAGTCAATTTAGATTAATACAAAATAGTATGTATTACAATTAAATATCTCATACATTAATAAGACATGATAATAAGAACCGGACAACACCACTCCACTATTTACCCCTTTCTTTCTCAAAAAAGATTCCTCGACTCATTCGGCCATCGGATCCTGCCTTGGCGACTCGTCATCTTTTTCGTCTTCCCGCGAGTGCGTGTTATTCCGGCTTATTACCAAGTATCAAGTTTCTACGTGTATTTATAATCGAATTATAGCAAAAAACTACCAAAAATTAAAATTCCTCAAAAGCTCAGAAATAGCTCAAAAGTTTTGGCGATGATACCGTAAGAACGTAAATCAAAAAGTTAACTAAAAAGGTATCTTGTGATTTTTCGATTAAATTATTTTTTCTAGTAGAAAACGCCGTCCTTGTTTTTTTTATAAAATAATGAAATCGTGCAATTATTTGTTTTCCTACGTTTTTTTCCACTTAAGTGCTTTTATTTACAAAATGGCGTTGAAAATCAAAAACGAATACTTCAGAGTACCATCTAGACAACTTGAGTTTTCAGAAAAGTTGCTACACGTAAAAATCGGATCAAGTTTACTAGGAAAAACGTGTCCACAGACTAGAACAAAGAAAGAAAGGAGAAGAAAAAATAAACAGCATTGTGAAACCGATAGCTCCCTCGCTACGCTTGGAATCTAAAACTCATTATTTCATTTTACTTTAGTTATTTTTATTACATTTAATTAAATTGGTATTACACTCAGTGGTGTATCCAGGGGGGATTGAGGATTTCGAAATAAAAAAAAATTACTAATAGTTTGAAAAAAGAATAAAGTGTTATTACACTTAACAGTTTGTACAAATTATAAAAATTAATAATGTAGAAGTCCAGTCTAATGTAGTGTGTATATAATAATAATAATAGATAGCTCTATGGTTATCGGTTGTCCAAAAAGACAAAGCATTTTAGTAAAATTTATATCGTATAGGATTGTTTTGAATAATTTTGATTGTATTTTACCTAAAATAGAAAAGAAAATATCTGAAGATATTAAAAGCGAATTCAAACAATTAGTAGAAACATATCAAGATGTATAGTTGATCAATGTAAGGATTCAAATTTAAATAATCATATTAAACTGAGAATTAGATTTTTGGTACACTAATTATTTAAATTTAAGATCTTTCGAACTAAAATGCTATTAAAGTATACTTCCAAACTAGTTCAGATGTTTGTGCAGTAATATTTAAACTTCTTCAAATATTCATAACATTTCCAGTGTCTACTACCATGAGTGAACGATTTTTTCAACACTCCGTCGTTTGAAAACATATTTGAAAATTTGTTCGGGATAAATACGTTTAAATGGTTTAGCCTTATTAAAATATATTCAACGTGGATATCAATGATGTTAAAGATGAACTTGCTAAAACATCAAAACTAAAAATGAATATACATTTATAATTTTTAAAAAAGATAAATATTTCAACTTTTATATAATTAGCGCTGTAAATAGTAATCAAATGTTCAATGTATGATTATATAAACAAAATTCAAAACAATTTCATTTGTCACAAAAATGTTTTGAAAATATTGTGTTTATAATAAAATTGATTTTGCAATTATTTAGCTAAGTATTAGACCGGAATAAAAAAAGTTTTACTTGTGTTTTATTTCGTACCGTTTCTCGAATATGAAAGCCATGTATAATGTAAAATGTTTGGAGTGATCTGATTTTCTTTGAAGAAAATTATCAAGAATTTGTTATAATACTCCTTCCATACGAATTTGTAGCGCAGAAAATACGAGAAAACAACGATTTTCTCAATCAGAAATTATCCTAACTACGTGAATTATTTCGCTGAAAAGTTTAGCCTTGCTTGGTTATTGCATAAAACCCTTCGATTATTATTATTTTAAACGATACACCACATTTGTTGGGTTTTTATTTTTCGTGGTGGTCGCACGAGGCCACGCGCGTCTGACATGACCTAAGACTTGCCCGCTCGAATTGTACGCCGTCGTCGTCGTCGTTCTGCTCCTTTTATATATGATACTATTATTATGTAGTTTTTACTGTTCAATCCTAACTGTTTTTTCTCTTTGCGGACACGGTGAAGGCAATGGTAGGCGACCGACCGCCGTAAATGGTCAAGAGACCGGTTTTTTTTGCTTGGATATATATATATAGGTATGTATATATTGTATTACTCGGTATTACCGCAGTTCTATCGACTATAATTGTACAGGTACGACCGAATGTACCATTGAATAAAATAATAATATCGTACCCGATAATACCTCCTAAATCCTCCCGTATCTACTATAATTCTGTCTGCCGGGCGATAAATATTACTCTATTATTATTATTGCTGCAGCCCACTAAACGTATACTTTATATATATGTACTCATTATACTCGTGTTAGAATAAAACTTTAATATTATTAATCGTGGGTAAAGTACTACACAAATTTATAGTGGAATGGTTGTTCCTACCAGATACGATCGGGGATGTAATAATCAATAACCGGTGTTTCTATTATAAATGCAATATAAATTTATTGTCGAATCCGATAATTAAAACTTGAAAATCGAATAAAAATCGACTGTTATCATATTTATTCCTATATTTCTGGTTAATACCTATTCGAAAAAATCTTGGCTCATAATTTTTAAATGCACAGCGCACGCTTTATATTAATATGTTAAAATATAAAGTCGTATAAACACTCGTAAAGAGTGTCATCAAACCAGAATGTTATGCTTTTTCTTTTTTTAATTTTTAATAATAATATACAAATTTATGCTTATTTGTGCCGTGGTGAGCGAATCGAGTTTAACGTTGGATAAAATAATAATATATTAATGTTATTATAGCCATGTATCTCGTATCTATCCGGATTTTATTAAGTTGTATTAATTTATCACCGCGTTTACGTTTCCCCGTAGCTTGTGGTCGGATTACTTTCCGGCGTTTTTTACACGTTTTCGTATGAATTCTCGCCTAAAATGATTAATGAAAATGTTTGAAATACGTTTTAATACCGATTGTCGTGAGACGTAAAAGAAACAAATCGATCAATTCGAAAAGTCTATCTCAAAAATATTATGAATCTACTGCAATATTTTTTAGAATAATAATATTCTTATCGCACCGCTAATGTAAATGACGATCGGTAGAAGTAGAAAACGACTAAATTGCGATATTGCGTGCGATAGAGGAACAATCCACCGGTTTATAATTTACCACAATAATCATTAATCATAAAGTAATATTCTATACTTACAAGAGTATCCATTTGTACCGTTTATTTAAGAAATTGTTTCCGAATTTTCGCAAGTATAATACTAATGCTATTTTAATATTATAATATTTACTTATTAGTTTAGATTTCATTTTTAGGTCAGGTAGATATCGAGTTATTTCGATATAGTATTTCATTAAAACTATAAACCACAACGTTAGTATGTTCTATTGCAATTTCAAATATCCCTACGATTAATAAAATGTACTATATTTTTAAATACATGGGTAATATATAATACATTTTATAAATATGTGTCTTGAAGTTCTGGTTTTAAAGTTTAATATTATTATTAAACGGTTCGATTTTATAATGCCGAATATTAATTTTGTTTGAATAATCAATACTCGATAATTTGTGTGACGACTCGCGGTATTCGAATACTCCGCAACTTTTCCCCTATCCATTTTGAAAGTGGAATATTTCACCAAAAAAAAAAAAAATGGTAATGTTACACATATATTTTTCATATATGCTTCTTTAATTTTCAAAAAATCTAAAAAAGTAAACACTGTCCGAGTATCTTATTGATCTATTAAGGTATACCATAATTTACAAATTTCTTCTTATATTTTTGGAATAATTGGGTTTTTATTGTATTTACTGAAGAATATTAAATGGAACGTATTCCATTAATATAGTCGTGTAATACCAAAAGCGTCTTCGATAAGCATAATATTTTTTTTTTACACATTTTTAATTGTAGATGTAAGTACCTACTTCAAGTGAGACAAATTTTATTTATTTTACTATATAAGTGTTTTTAATATTATATTCTTTTAATAACTTCTGCTATGTTTATCTTTCAATTATGACAATAATTTTGTCAACAGGTTGAAAAAATTGATAAAAATTAATTTGAGCCTCTTTTGCAAATACCTTTACGTATATCAAATGTGAAACAGGAAGTAAAACTGGTTTTATTTAACAGGTCAATATGTTTACGATGATCTACTCTGTAGTATAATGTTAAAATGAAAGCAAATTATAATAGTTATGAATTTATATATTGTTCAAGGTCAGTTTGTACATTTATTATTAATTTACATTTTGCTCTGTTAACCCATTTAAATCAGAAATATTCTAAAGATGTTTTAAACCTTCTTTCAGTTTTAGTCAAGATTTTAAAAGTTCAACATTCAACAATACTTAATTTGTATTATATTATTTTATAAGTTATGGTCGAAGTATTTAAGTAAATTGCATTTTTTTCTTTTGTGTTGCGAATTTTACATATATTTATCATATTTAGGTAGTACTGATGACTGACAATTAGTAAAGCTACTTCTACGACAAAATGTAGGTATTATTATTATTGTATGAAACAAATGAAAGAAAGCTAATTGTTATCGTTAAGGTTTGTCAGCGTTTAGTAAAATTACTTATAGGTGTTTATAGAAGAATTAACGAAAAAAATAACAAATGCAAATTAATTCCAATTAAGTTGACATATGTTATACAAAAATGAATATTTAATGAGGTGAGGTAATATATGGAAATAATTGAAAAAAATGTCTTCGTGACATAAAAATAATAATCCAAATATTGTTTCATAAATGTATGTAAGTAATACACTATATTAGTAGTTATTTTTCGAATGTTTGCTGTAGCCATACAATTTATAATATATTTTTAAATAATTTGGACAGTCATAATTAGTGAGGTTGGCAAAATTCTCAAGGAGCTTCTCAAAAATAATAATTATTCATTGTATCCTATATTACGTACATCATAGGTCATTTGTTTGAATTTTTGTCCAGTTCTAAGTTTTATTTATTATATACAGTATATATTATACACAGTAGAAACCGTTTATAATGACATTTAAATTTAAAATTAGTTATTGTAACCAAAATGATAAAATAAAATTTAAAAACTTGATTGTGTATAATATATTAATATATAATATTATACAGAATATTATATGTATTTATATGAACATAATATTGTATTTACTAAATCGTGACTTCACGTCGTATAGAAAAAGAAGTTGTATTATTATTTTAAAATAAAATTTACATTCTATTAAAATAATATAATAATATTATATTATTAATATTACCTTTGATAAAAGTTTTATACAATCATTATAAATAACAGATTTTTCCTATATTAAACAAAAATAACCGTCGTATAATCTGTATAGTCATTATACAAATGTCAAAATAATCGATACAAATTAGTGCATACAATATAGAAGTTTTGTGGGGTACTTCAATCTAAGGTATATACAATCGATATGTCACTACAATAGGTGTAATTATAAACGTTATTTACTGTATATAATAGTCATTCGTATAAGACAATCTAAAAGTATATAAATATACAGATAAGACCCGTGTGCAATTTTCCGCACCACCTTAGCTATGAACAAACGCGAATGAAATGTTATTATTTAACATTTTTCGAAAAGCGTTTGAGGTATTGCACGAGGCGCGTTTTTTTTATAGTGGTGTCCCCGAGTAGGCCTAATCCACTGTCGATTAACCTTACCTTACCTTAAATCCCAAATATTATATAATATTTTGAAGTATATACTATATAATATAATACGATTATCAAATCCCGATCCTCGTTCCTTGAAGTCATCCGCAGCTATCAGTATTGACTTGAATAGTTCACGTGCAAATAAACCGGGAAAAAATCATGAAGGAAAAAAAAGATTTACGAAAAGATAAAAAAAAAACACTACTATTATACTGACGAAAAAAATTTAATCAACTATTGAAAAAGTTTAAAGGAATGATTATAAAAAAATTCAGAAAAATAAAAATTTAAAAACGACCATTAATAAAACAAATTTAAGAAATATAATTTACTACGATTCGATTAAATACGCGTACAATAAACAAAATTAATATTATTGTTAATATTATTAGCCAGCGCATGGTTTTGCAATATTTATTATCGTTCTAATAAATAAATACAATTAATCATTGAGCATGTCTACAATTTGTGTTACTTTGGCACATTTTGGTGCTGATAGTGCAATCGATACGTGTTTTCAACGAGGTAAGATAAATACCTCAAATAATATCCGTATACAATTGTAAGATATTATGATTGATCGATTTTCATACAAATCTGAGCTTCAAACGTACATAAAAAAAAGACGGACATATTTCGCGTGTGGACTGTGCAGCCACTATTATAAGTGGGAAGTTGGGAAGGTAGGATTGAGACGGGAATTTAATGTATATCTGTAAGCAACAATAAACCATTGTTAACAAAAAAACGATTCTGAGTGGAGTTCAGTTAATAGTGTTGCTTTGTCAAAAATAAATATGTCATATTATGGTAAAATATTCACATATGCATTTAGCAGCAAAATATCTAGGAATGCACCTGGACTCTCGGCTCCACTGGAAGCACTACGTTAGACAGAAAAAACTGAAATTAAGAAGAAAATGTGACAACTATATTGACTAGTCGGAAAACATTCCGAACTAGACCTCACAAGCAAACGCCTCTTGTACGTAATGATAATTAAACCAATATTGAGATTATACAACGTTGCCAGAACATCGTTCTCCGTACCATTGTCACAGCTTACCGGTACGACATTATCCGCCGAGATATGATGATTATCTTCGTCCAGGACGAGATTACCAAGTTTACCCGCAAACATGAGAAAAGACTGGATCAACACACCAATCCAGCAGCAATTCAACTACTAGACAACTCTCTAGACAACTCTCTAGACATTAGGCGTCTCAAACGCCGAAGACCATATGACTTAGCATAAGATTCTTAGACTAAGACCGGGGCCACTTTACTGAGAGTGAGATTCAATACATGTTTGTATATAAATACATCACAAGTATTTATGTACACTTTTGATAATGTATTGTTAAAGATTTATTTTGATCGTTACAAAAAAGCTTTCGGGCGGTTAAAAAAAAATGAATTTAAAATTTTCCTTAGTAATATTTTTTTGATATTGTACCTATTTTCCCGTTCTCTGGTTTTTCTTCCATTTGTTCCGGTTTTTCCAATGTATTGAGAAAACTCCTGAGAAAATCTTAAAATGACCTCTTTAAAATACCATCCCAAGAAAATTTCCTTTCAGAAAAAGATCTACATCGTGTACATCGGAGTAATTTTTCTGTTTGAAAAAGTGTTCACACAAAAGAAAATAAACATTTTTGTAAAACCAATATACATTCTTCAATCTTCGCTACATTTATAATCTAAAATAAATACATTCTTACCTATATAGGTTGATTACAACGCGATTATCTAAAAATTCGCTTCCGTCCGGGTTTAAGCGAGTATTATAATTTCTGTTCAACAATCCTATATCTACGCTAAATAAATTACGACTTTCCGATGAACAGATAAACAGATAAACGATTATTGTAAATATTTCTAAATAATAATCAGTTATCGTGAGTTTAATATAGGTACTTCTCGTTGAGTCGATTGGACTCCGGATTACACTACCCGCTCGTGTATACAATATTATTAAATTATTGTACACGCGTATTTCCGATTGGTATTATAGTATATTGGGTAATCTGAGCACGAAAAACAAAATTTAGTCATAGAGACCTGAAAAGTTTTTTTTCAATTTTTAGATTATTAGTGGAATGAGGAATGTATTGGTTTTAAAATAATATTTATTTTTTATCATATTTTTTATCTGTGAACAACTTCTATACAATGCAACCCAAACGGCTCCCATCCATTGTTTGTTTTTTCCGAAACGGCTCTCATTGAAGTAGGTAACCACAAATGCATGTGAATCGTTCCACAATAAGTTCAATAAAGAATTCAATACCGCTCATCCTAATATTTTTAAAGTTATTGACATACTGACCAAAATATAATCCGAGACGAAAATTAAAGCTCATAGTCATATAAATACTCCTTGCAATAAATCTAAATCAATAAAAAAACAGAAGTTCGTTGGAGCCATAATTGATGAACATTCATGTAATAAAATAACTCGAATGAAATATATATAAAAAAATGTTCCTTAAAAACTTACCTTCAACTGCCTGAACTTCAATAACAGAACATTTCAACTTTAATATGCTTTTTTATTTATAATGTATTGTACTTTTTTTATTTTTAATTGAACTTTGAAACAAAAATTTATTTTGCATGTAAAATTAAAAAACACCAATACATTTTTAATCAACTTTTTTTTAAAATTCTTTTGAGACAGTCCTAAGTTAATACGTATTTGTGAAACGGGAGCTGTTTAGGAATAAAATTTTGGAACAACGAGAGCTGTTTTGAAAAAACGGGAACTTATTGGGTTATAGCCTTTTTTTATTATGAACAATTTTTGAAGTAGGAAAAACGTAAGAAAAACGGGAAAATGTATGAACTGTATTATTTTAAAATCGTAAATACCACGGCTTTTCAAAACATGTATAACCGAACTCCGCTCAGAATCGTTTTTCGTTAGCAGCGGTCAATCGTTGCGTACAGATATTATACATTCAATTTTCCCTCTACCTTCCCAACTATCGTCATCTACAACAGTGGTCCGTACATCGTGCGAAGTATATATTTTCTTGTCAACCAAATCAACAACCGTAGCTCTATGTACTGACAACCTACGGACGGGCGTACACAGCGGGGATATTAGGTGTCTAAACTTATGTTTAGAAACACAAACATTAAATACGGGTCAGACATTTGCCAAAAAAAAACCATTTCGAATCAATTAATTATTTCATGCGGTTATTTGATTGGCCGGCACGTTTAATATTATCAGTGGTTATTCTTGTATAATAATTATTAGATAGGTTTTGTAGCGAAACCGGGAGATTTGTCGATCGGGGACGTTATCGTGCTACTGTTTATTTTGGTGTGTCGTGTTTTATGTTTACCGCCGCCGCGGCCGTAAAATCATTAAACCACAATCGTTAAAATATTATAGCGTGGTTCAACGGTTATTCGATACAGAAGGGTTATATAATATACTGTGCTCACGATTTCACAGTCTTATAGTTCTATACCACGGTCTATACTCTATTATATTAAAAAACTTGCAGGGTCGGATCTATGGGTACCATAGGTCGAAATGCAGAATATTGTTCAAATGTTCCAACATATTTTCATACACTATCTCAGATAGTGACAATTTAGACAATTTCAGATGTTTAAACATGATTTAAAATAGGTTTAAAAATATTTGATAGTGTGTCATTTACCTATAAAGCTGACGTTATTCAAAAAAAGAAAATAATCGTTATCTCATCATTGTACGAATCAGCGATATTACTTTTTTTTTTGTTCATCACGATTAAAAAAAAAAAAATGAGAAATGTGCGTACTGTGTTGACGATAAAATGGTAGTCTGTAATTTGTGCCAAAATAAAGATACCGAATTTGAACCACCGCAGGTAGTCGAAAATAGTGTTTTGTAATTTTCACTAAAATTCTAATTTATGTGTATCGATTATTCGCCATAAGTTTATACAACTTATTTCGGGAGCGTAATCACCAGTTCTCGGACGGTTTAAAGTTTTTTTAATTCGATAATAAGTAACATGTTTTATTTGTCCCGGGAAAATAGGCTTTACAGCGTAAGTAGTTTTTGTAAAGTTTTCAATACAAGTAAATTAAATTTTGAAAATACTTACATTTTTGTCAGTAATTTAGATAAAAATAAAATTGATTTAAGCCCTTGTTCTCTGGGACTAAAGCTCTATTGATTGGTTTATAAATTCGGTTGTACGATATTAAATTCAGATACAACGATGGGTGTGCCTGTACCTTCGGTGCGATTTTATATTTTGACATTGCCCTCGTTGACGAGCTCACGATGAACGAGACTCGACGACTTGAATAACAATAATAATTAATAATTTGGATTTCTAATTTTTTATTTTCCGGCTAGTTCAACTGTCGGCATGGTTTTTACTTAATATTTAAAGTTTTTATTATCATCATCAACTGTATATATATTATGTTATTATTTTTTTCACTTTTGTTATCTACCTAAGTTGGAAACGTCTCATGTCCACCAGCCCAGTGAATATAAAATAATTTTACGTTGCTAAAAATGTATGTAATTAATAGTATGTGAATTTGAATTTTGGTGCAAATACCAATTCAAATTTTTATTATCTGCGATTATGCAAATTATATATTATTTTTTATTTGTATGCAAATTACAGAAACATTTCAAAAATATTGGTGCATATAACACATCAATTTTGTACAAATTGATTGCACCCGATAAAATCGTTTTCCTCCGCAATTGGACATTTTCGTTTGTGTATTGTTTAAATTTTTATACCGTTTTTGTTTTTGTGTATGCCGATCGGTTTCCATTATATGTTCCTTTTCAGATCTTTTTGGGCATCTTTGGCGATTAGGTTTTTGATAAACTTAATAAGTTGTACGCATTAAAAAAAACTATAGGTTAATGGTGATCAGTAACTGTACGTTTTTACTATAGTGAAGCACATAATATTATATTATAATATATTCTAACTCATATAACTATAAATAGCATATGGATAAGTATGATTATTTAGTTTTAGGGGCATGACTTTGTTTTCTTACCTTATATCGCATCCATGATTTATTTACATATAATTAATACAACCGATGTGTTTTGGTTTATTAAAATAATATGTGACCATTTTAAAAATTAAAATACTATTTAGTGTAAAAACGGAATTTGTACATTTTTTATGTATTACCTAACCCAATTAACCTAGTTGAGCGGTTTTCAATTATTTTTTTGTTTTTTTTAATACCTTGGTTTTTTTTTGTATGCTAAATATTTAGTACTGGTATGTTACCGCCTTACTACTAATTACGGTTCGGGTGTCAGGCATACTATTAATAACTCAAGAGTAAAAAAAACACGTATTTTGAAAAGAAAAAATATTATGAATATTCCGCACGGGTCGGTAATTTCTGTTTAATCCAATATTTTATGTCGCGTTACACAGGTTGATCAACATATCGTAAGGCACTCATTATCTCTCGAGTGTTAATTTTTTTCGTAATCGATTTTTAATAATTGTAAGAATTGCATTGCATTTTTTTTTATTTTTAGAGTTTTTAGAGTTTTTTTGAGAAAATTTTTATTCACTTTTGGTTTTAAAATAACAACTTATATGCCTATATTAAATTTATTTAAACTAGTATTTAATATATTTATGGAATTTAATAAGAACTATTTTAAAATCAAGTGGATAAAAGTTTTAACCCCCAAAAATTAGGATGACAAAAATAACGGTAATGTACCATTTTACAACAGTATGTTATTTTTATAATTTCAAAAAAACAGATTCCGAAAAAATAAAATATATTATTCTCGAGATAATGAGTATCTTACGTTATGTTGATTACCCTGTAGACACAAATTATTAAAAATATATTATACATTTTTTTATTGTAAGATAGCTGATTGTATAATTACTGGACATATAATAGGTATGTATCGTATCCAATAACACGGGCGTCATTGAGGATCAAAAATATAGTATAAAATAATTAATAAAATGTTAAATTAGTTTACAGACATGCTCAACTGATAATCTAAATATTAATGTATTCACCTAATTTTATCGTTTTAAATAGGTATGTATTAGGTAACTATGAATGCTTTTACTATAAGCCCTACAATCGTATGTTAAAAAATTTCCATAGACTGTGGCGGCTTATTGATTCTTGCCCTAAACATTTTCGTAATAATTCTGTCAAAAAAAAAAAAAATATATTAATAATAAATTAATAATTATTTTGTTATTTTTATACCTACTGATAAATTTAATTATAATCCATACGCAACTTATTCTCAATATTTTCTGAATTCTATCGTTTATACATAAATGTAATAAAATAGCTAATGAAACAATTATTAAATTTAAAATTAAAATTTAGTTATAGTACTCTAGGTACCTATAATATATTATCATGAGTATTTAAAAATTTAAAACAACAGCCATCGTACCAATATTCAAACAATACAAATTTATAAGGCACCACCGATAACGTTATTGAACGGCTGTAATATGTTTACTTTTTTTCCTTATCGCATAATATGTGTGTGTGTGTGTGTGTGTGCGCGCGCGCGCAATGAAATAGTGGATATGCACTTTATATAACGTAAAAAACATTTTTTCCTATCGAACATGTTCGTTCAAAATGTTTCTCGAGTTGCCTTATTGTGTAGCAAATTTATGTCCGTTCAATTATATATTAAAAATTAAGGTGCTTTGAAACGGAACGGAGATACCCTTCTCACTATTTTTCGTAACAGATACGCAGTGTAGCAATTTTTATCAATATTGTAGTCGGAATAATGTAACGAAGCAATAGATAAAATTAAGTGATTTATAATATTTCAAATTTTTAACTCAAATTTTTGGAACTAAGAACTGGCCGATCACATGTACACCACACGCTAATTCTAATCTATTTTCAGAACTCTTATCATTTCGTTAAATCAATAGACAACAGTTCAGTCTCAATTTCTATGGTGCTATGCGTTGGACAACTGTTGTCCAACAATATTTTCTCTAGTGTGGACTCTGCTTAAGATTTTTATTAAAATGTATATAATAATTTGTGTATTGACTAAATTTTGTTTTATATCTATGAACTGTATAAGTAATATGATATGTATTTATTTTTTCTTTTGATATCGAACTTTGTTATTCATTTTATATTTTGATTTCTTTTTTCAGAATGGAACTCCGTTATGGGAAGATTTCATGGCAAAAGCCACAAAACTTCATACATGTCTTCGGTGAGTAACCTACAAAAACATATTTCAATTTATTCGTTTGTATTGTAAAATATAAAACACTAAAATAATTCAAATAAAATATTTGTTATTATTATTTGTATTATTAGACGTAATATTATAGTCATATATAGATGTATTAAGTAGAGTTGTAAAAATATAATTAAAATGTAATTCATTTAGGTACAAAATGAGGGTAATACTAATAAATAATAATTAAGCACTTTTTAAAAAAAATGGTAACGTGTTAAAATATGTACTTTTATGTAATTACCTCTACGTATACATTACATATTTATTATAATAATGATATATGTAATGCGATTCGGTTTCACAATAATATTTCGTGCCACTTTTACTTTTGTAACAATTTAACAATTGGAACAAATTATTTATAAGGACGAAAAAAAATCATTAATTATCATAATATTCTTCATTACTTACTATTTTTATCTAATATTTTATTTTAGCTATCTATTTTTTTTTTATTTCCGGAATATTCAATTCACTACCTATGTCAAATGAAATACACTTTGATATACTAATATATCTTTTTAGCTATGTAAGAATATGATTATTTTGAATGTAGTTAAACAATCTAATGCAAATTTAATGTTTTTGTAATCAAATAATAATCTAACCAAAATAATAAAAAATATAATATGTATTATGACGGACAGTATATCATATATTAGTGGCCCTATGGAATATAACCATATGTAAAATTTGCTGGTTAAATTGAAACACTGTATGCATATTACTGTAGGTAAGTATTAAATATGGAACGTAAATTGAGACTGTGGATTAGTAACTATGGAAACTGTTGTGTATAAATTCTTCTGACAGTATTTCAAAAATGCTAATGGCTCTATAAAAATGTGTTATAAAGATACATTTTTAACAGTACATGACGTTCTATTGAAAATATTGGGTACCATACCAACATATTATTACTGCATTTTGTTGAAAGGGATTTTTTAGGAAACGACATTGACTATAATTGTTTTAGTTGTGTAGTAAGGATTCTAGAAACGGATTTGATTTTAGACTGGCTGTATATAGTATATACGTATATGTTATATAATGAGCATCAGCATCATTCTTTTTTAGTTTATTCCCTTTATTGAATAAGTTATCATTTTTAGTTTTCGAAATAATTGGAAAAATGAGTTTAAAATATATCACATTACGTCGAATATTTATCTGCTCTTTCGTAATCCTTATCGCATAAAGAAAGAAATCGGAACATTAGTGAATAAATATAAACAAACCCTTATGCCGGGTGAGAATCTTTGTTTTCAATTCACTTAAGAGTACGTCGCATTAGCATTTATCGTCTCCGTCTTTCTAACGAGTAATATCACAAAAGTGTATTTTCAGAGTTCTAACGGTACTGTGGATCTAATACTGTGGACTTCACCAAATGGATTTCACCAAATTAAAGACGAAAACATTTTCTATATAGTTTTATATAAGGGTGATGTTCATTCATCTAAATTTGATAGTAAAAAATTCAAAATTACAATTTTCAAATTACTCTGTGAGTAAATATTCCGGGTTCTTTAATTTGGAGAACTAAGTGTTTTTTTAAGTCTATTCGAATCTAAGTACTCGAAGTGTTGGATTCCCAAAAACACTTATTATTATTTACTATATTGCCGGTTAGAAAGAAAAAAACGTTATATGCTACTTTAATGTAAAGGTATTATAGTTCTTAGTAAACATATGTAAATTAGATTTTTTTTTCGAACCATTCGTATCTAAAAAATAGAATATTATGTATATGTTTTATAATATTTTTTTCTGATAATGTCGATGTTTCATTATCCAAATATTGAATAAGTATCTAAAATTTTTATCAACTATTTATATTATTTTTGTGTTTGAAAAAGCCAATACTAGTGTGGGGGAAGATACGTTTTTCTGTATATCCATAATAATCCTCGTGGTTATAATATTTATAGTGTTAATATTTTCCTTCTGTCTCTCAATACCTGCATTAATACAATAAATATTTGTGTGTATATCATATGAGCTTGATAAACACACTGTTCTTCATTATAGATTTATTAAATTTGATAAATGTATTTTATTATACATTTTCCTAATCTAAATTTTGGTTAAAATTTGTTTTATTCGTAAGCACAATCAATGTCTTTATAATATTCGAATTTATACGTAGATTAATTATCTTGAAAACAACAGAAAAGAAGATTAAAAACTTTTGAAAAATAGTATTGACCATTTTTGATGATAGTGTAGAGGGTTAAAGATGGATTCAAATGAAGAATAACAGGATAAAATAAGATGAATAGGCACGGTTACAATCTTCATAAAAAGCAAACGAGTGAGATGTTCTATGCTATTAGTGAAATGCAATAGCAGATCAGTTATAGTACAATCACTATAAAAGCCGAGAGGAAAATATTTCGAGGGTAACCCAGGAAGCGATAAAAAAGCGGAAAAGGAACTACATAGGCTGAGGGTTAATGAGAATAGGGATGATTTGTGAACGATTGATAGAAATCGAAAGATAACATATTATATTGTTGGGGGAATAATTCTTGAGAGTAATAAATTTCAATACTTATAGTTTATATTCACTCTCATTTTAAACCGAGTCTTTGATATAAAATAGATAACAAAAATATGAAAAGTGCATTATTAAAGACGTAGTTCTCAAATGAAGAAGCACCGAAAGAGATAAAATAAATTGTTATAAACTTACATTACAAATAAAAAATATTAAATTGTACTTTTTTATAGTTAAAATCTAATCAATTCTTATTATAATTTTACAGGGCAACTATTAATGCGATCGGAGCTTATCTTGATGCGTTTCAAAAAATTGCTGATGCTGCCACTAATGCCAGAGGTATGTACTTTAATTTTTATTGTTACTCATAATTAGATAATATACATGTATTAGTGAAAAGTTTAAATAACTTGTGGATACTTGATTTTAATCGTATAGTTTAAAATCTATATACGATAAAGTTATTCACCTTTCAATAATGTAAGCGTATTTCGTTAACAATGATGTTTAGAGGTAACTGTTTATCGTTTTGTACGACTATATACATAATAATTTCATAGCATATTTTATGAGCCATGTGGTGTACAGTGTACACCCTTTTCGTAGTTGGTAAAGCTATAGGTACCTACACGCGTTCTTGAAAAACAATTGTAATTGTGTAATTAACTGCACAATATGTCGTTTGGACAATTTCGTAACCATCGTTAAGGATTTATCTTTCCGTTTATACTTACAATTAATATTATAACTGACAATTTTATAATGGTTTTATTCTTACGGACAAATTAATAATAGAAGTTTTACAGACGTATATAAAATATAACATAATATTGTATAATAATCAAGTAACTACTTGTGATTAACCTAATTTTAAAAAAAAATCATTAAAGAAAATTACTTCACCTTGTGGATCGCATTATATTATATTGGCTGCATACGAATTGCGTCACTATAAACGAAAATATAGTCGCCACAACGGAGTTGCGTCCGCGGTTTTTCGGCGATTGTTCCAATAGAAACAAGAATAATTGTTATTCTATTTCTATAATATGTTTGACGATGAATAAGTTAACATTTATCCGTCGATTATCGATACCTTATTATAGGTTGGTAAATATCACCTTACATTTTATTGTTGAAAGTTAATTTTGTCCATGTCAAACATGTTCAAACTGATATTTATATTAAAATGCAAAGCTCAAATTTAACAAACAAACGAAGAAAATATGTAGAAAACAAAGATTTTATTCAAAATACTATGACTTAGTTTAACGAAAATATAATATCACGTCTTGAGTTCGTCAAAAAATTGGCATACAAAAATTTACCAGTTTTATAAAATAAAAATAATAATAACTGGCATGGTATCTGCATATAGCAATATTCACAAAGGTTGGACATAAAATTATTTTTAATAAAATATACATTTTAGATCAATAAATAATTTATAATACCAAATATATAAGATATTTTTAACAAAATTATTTATATCAATTATTTACGCAGACGTAACTCGGATGAATCGTGATAAAATTGCGGACGCAACTCGGACAACAATATCACTTATAGACGCGATTAGAATGCGCCGATTGTATTTATGCTGGTGATTACGAGTTAATAGTTATTGTATTGGGGGGCAGAGAAAACCAAATGTTAAATTGTTTGTAGTGTATCTAAAATCATGGGCCATTATATCGATAATGTTACGTGATAGATGTGAAACATGACCAAGTATAATGAGTAAGTGAAAAAAAAAAAGAAATACGATTCATCTCCCATAAAGAATGAAAAAATACTCCTCATTAAGTTGTTGGGGGGGAGATGATTAGTTACTCCTTAGTTACTGGTACGGTTGTAATCTATCTACGACTATAGTTCCTATAGAAAGTTAATCTCAGTCGATTACTTACTAAGATAACTATATAGCCTTTATGTACATATTCTGTTCTTATATTTATTTATTGGAAAAACTGAGATGTTTGAACAAAATTCAATAATATTACGTACAATTTTGAATATTGTCCTTATCCTATTTTATATTTTTTCAAAAAATAAATACTGAAAACTATTTGCGTATATGGTATACCAATGACGTTTACAAAAAGTAAAGAACACATAAATAGTTCAGAATTTTATTTTATTCAGTTTATTTCTATTTCGGGAGAGTTTAATAAGAGTTTATCACGAAATTTAATGGTAATATCTATTTTAGATTTTTAGTGTAGCGAATTGGTTTTACAATGATGGTTTTTATTTTTATACTGTGACAAAAATTACTACCAGAAATCTTGCTTCGATTTGTTAGTGTGGCATCTTTTCTGTTAATAATATCTGGGAGAATTTTGCATAAAACGTAAGCAAATTTAAATGGGAAAACTTAGGAAAATAAATTTTTTTTGTAATTCAGTTAAAAATATTCGCAGAGACTTGAAATTTGGACAGAAAATTTATAATTACCTTTTCTGGACAAGGTAACATTTTAAAAACATTTGAACCACTTATAAACATTTTAATTTTGAGAGTTTTTTACGTAATTTTTATTCGGTAAGTTCCCTAACTAAACAGAAATTATTTAAAATTTAACAGGGGGTTCATTGTGGTAAAAAAAAAAATTGAGCGATTTAAGAATGATGGTGAAATCAGAATCTTATATTATGCGGATATTATATGCGTTATGTTAAATAAATAACTTAATATTGTCAATTTTCTTAGACGTTGTTTGTCGTAGTCTAGTAGTGGTACGTACCTGTTGTCATCGCAAAGAACGCAAGTTTAAACCCGAATTCCGAAAATTGTTTTTTGCAAAAATATGTCGAGTAGGTATAACAGGGAAAAAACAAATGCAATACAATATGTGTTTACTGTATAATTCGTTGTATTCCATATTTCAATATATATTTATTTTACTAAAATATGACATATTATATATTGTTAAAAAAGCAAAACTATTACCCGAGCTCTGCTTAGAATCGTTTTTTGTTAGCAATGATTAATCTTTGTTTATAGATATACATTAAATTTCTCTCTATATCCTACTTTCTCAACATCTATACAACAGTGGCTGCACCCACTAAACGATAAATCATACAGTATGGTTAAATTTCCTCTTATCTATATTAAAGAAACTTGCAAATATGAAAAATATATTTGAATTGTTTTATTATAGACATTTATTTATGAATATTCTTATTGTAAATACTTAGCTGTCTCGCGTCCGGCGTTACCCGTGCTAATTTGTATTATTATTATTTTACCCGTATTCATTTTTGGTTTTGGCCGTGTAGTATTGAATAAAAACATTTAGATGGAAAGTGGGTAGTCCACCTTCAGCGGACTAAATGTGTTCTATTGTAAAATTTGAATAGTGTAAATAAAAGTAATAATAATAATTATAATAGTTTTATTTTCCGTGGCAATCCTTGAATAAACAAAAATCTTACATAAATAAAACAAAATCAGGTTAGTTACACCATTTATAACTTAAGAATGGCTGGACCAATTTTGATGATTACATGATATTTTCCGACTAATTTCTAATAATAATTAATAACCATTTTTTTTCATCCCTGTTACCGGGGTAACACAAATCAACAAAAATTGTATTTATTATATTATAAGCTAAATTATTTAGTGTTGCTCGTGTATGTATTTATATATAAGTGAAAATACTAAAATCACGATTAAAAAATGGTAGATGGGGTAAAAAATGTGAAAAATACTTTACAACCTATTATCGTACCCACCAAATATACAAAAAAATTTCATTAAAATCCGTCATGCCGTTTCAGAGAAGTACGACCACAAACACGTGACACGAGAATTTTATATATAAGATAAATCCGGACATTTTTCTTTACTACTATAGGATACTTTTAAATAAACAAATTATCTCCTCGAATGCCATATTGAATATCACATAAACATTGTGTTTATGCGTTATAAACATTATAGAAATATATTTTTAAAGTAAATAGTAATTATTAATAAATACATTAATACGTAAGGCACACGATTTACTTAAAAAAAAGATTTGGATTTGGTTAAAACTTGTATGTTCTGTAAGCAACAATTAATCATTGTTAACGAAAAAACGATTTTGAGCGGATTTCAGTTTATAGTGATGCTTTGTCAATAATTTATGTGTCATATTATGATAAAATAATTAAATAGGCATCATATATTTTATTTAATAATATTTGTTTAATATTGTACCGGTTTTCCTATGTTTTTTCCCAGTTTTTCACATTTGCTGGGAAAACTATTAGGAAAATCGAAAAATGAACTCCTTAAAGTATCTTCTTTCCTTTCAGAAAAGTTGCTACATATCGTATATATCGGATTTCTAGTAGAAAAGTTGTTCACAAATAAAACAGTTGTAAAACCATAAGTTTCTTCGCTTCACTTAGAATCTTAAATTAAAGTTATGAGTTGTTTATGATAAGACCATAAACAAATTTTTTCCTTTATTTCATATATGTCATTATGGTATGAGGCCCATTGCATTTTAAATCGCTTCCCCTCTTGATGTTTTATCAAAACAGTCACTACGCCACTGAATTTTAGACATTAACTTTTATTTGTTCTTTTTTTTTTAATGAGTTAGAATTCAATTAAAGTATCATCAACATATACTTGGTATTATTTATGATATTTAAAATTCTAAGTATAGCGAAGAAACTATAAGATATGTTTTTTTTTTCTTGCTGTACCTTAAAAGATGTGGATTTTTCACCGTAATTTTTGGGAAAACATTTCCGTTTAAACCAATTTGCTATAAAGTTTTAAAAAACTGACAACAAAATTCGATGCAATGGTTTTATTTTTATTGATTTCTGGATTACCTCGTATAAGGGGAAAAAACACATGTTATTCTGCTCAAAATCGATTTTTGATTGAAAAGGTTTATCATTGATTTTGGTGTTTAAATTAAATTACCTAATATCCTATACCTTTCAAACTCTTCGCCTACCACAGTTCAATGGCCACGATGTGAAGTATACATCCGATTTTTTATCTATACTACATCCTTTTGCAGTTAAATCATTATAGCAGAACTATTTTATAATATAACTCCTATTAGAAAGTCGGATATTAAAATATTATTATAATATTTTATAATGTTTATAGCTTTTGTTTTGTAATATAGGTATAGGTTTTGAAACTAAAAATCGATAAATTTTGTTGCACGTAATACATATATAGGTACAATTTTATAACTTTTACGTAATAAAGGGGATTAAACAGTCGATTTATACGCAACCTTGAAATAATGATCCTGTATTATACTTGATTATAAATCGTAATGGTACATCATTTTTTTTTTTTTTTTTTTGCAAGATTTATATCACTTTTTCTTTCTTTAAATTCAAAACAAAAGCTGCAGTAATGCCTAAGATTAAAACTTCTATAATAAAAAAATAAATATATTTTTTAATTGTTTCGATGTTACTGAAATAGTTACCTCCTAATCAATAACTTAAATAATTATTAATCAAAATATTTTTTTTTTTTTTTTTGCTGTTTCAATTAATACTTTAAAATATGTTCTAACACTCGTAGTTAATCCTATACCTATTTTATAATATTGTTGCGTACCGTATCCATAATAAATATTAATAAAAACAGTAAAATATTTAATTTAAAAATAAATAACTTTAATGTAAATTAATTCATTATTTACTATATTTATATATGAATTACGGAAAAAATATCTGGCTGATATGTTTAAAGGTTATCATAATTTTTGTTTGTATTTTATTCTGGCTATGTCATTTATTACAATCTGACTGTAATTAATAATTATTATTATTGTTATTATTATTAATAGAGATATTATTGATAGTATTCCAAATACTATTGTTTATTTGTTATTTTCTGTATAACATTCAGATTCAGCAATACATTAATATACATGTCAAAAATGTTTTTGTGGAGCAAATTAGTAAACATAAAATAAATTTTTTTGGAAGAATAGTCATTTCTTAAAAATATTTTAAAATTTTTTAAACAGATTTCTGACATTTTTTTTTAGTTAATCATAATATTTATATTTTTCCTGTAGATTAATTTTATGGTGGAAATTTCAACCAGATATTTTTCCTGTTTATTTATCAACTAATAGAAAATAAAATAATTTGATATTCTATCGTATTATATTTTTATTATTATTTTAAATTTTAAAATAGGGCTGTGTTTAAACTCCATGGTCCTTCCCTTTTTTGAGTACATCTTTGGTGTAGGTTGGATTTATTTGTAGTCAAAGAAGTTTGAATAATACTGCAGTACTGTTTGAATCTTTTTTTATTTTTAAACAAAAACATATAATATTGTATACTATATGCTTACCTAATGATATTATCTTAACATGTCGTTATCTGCAGAATATTATCATAGATTCAAGCATCTATTTAATCTATGATGTTATAAAATCGAAAAGTAATGAAAATAACACATATAAATATTCTTGAAGTTATTCAGATTGTTTTTGGGTTGATATTGACAAATTATTTTTATAATATTGACAATGTAAGTTACTTTTGGAATTTAAACTATTTAAAATACGGTTATCTACTTATATGTCTGTATCCACAGACAAATTTTGTTTCGAACATAGTTCGATGCATTATTCTGAACAAAATAATATTATGTAATTATATTATCATTTAAAACTCTTAATTACTTATATGTTCCAAACATTGTCGTGCTAACATTTTTGTACGTGTCCAATTTCGATGAAATATGTTAAAAATGTTGTCTTGGATTATGTGGATTTCACCGTTTAAAATATTTAAATTTTTTAAACACATGGGCCTCTTGATTTAAAATTGTAATTTACTGTGTTACAATAAATTATTATTCTTGTAATGTATTAATTTCTTAGTGGTCAGTACATTTTTAATATTCTTGTCGGCATGAGGGAACTAATACAGTTTTTTAATAGTGTATTTTTATCTAAAAATAATACTTGCATGGGAACTGAGAATATTATATTAATTAATTATTTATAGGTACCTTAAAGAACTCTAAATATACAGATTACTGTACAATGTACATTACAACGAAGACGATTTAAAAAAAAAAAAACTGAATTTAAAGTGAAAGAGAAATATTATTATGCCTAGGTACTTAAATATATTTACATATTATATATATTAAAATTAACGGTAATCATTGCGTTCAAATCCGATTCTGATTAAAAATTTTTATTTTCTTGGTTATTCGGATAATTTTAAACATTAAATCAATTAAATGTTTTCATTTTCTTTTAAAAAATCTAAATATATTATGACACTGTCAATAATGGTCAACGTTATTATTTGTATTATTTTACGTTATTTGACCTAACCCAACTCGACATAGCTTGATTTTTTAAAACTTGAAAGTAAATTGAAACTTTTATGTTAATATTTCTCATCGTGAAATAAAATTACCTACAAAATGGTTATAATAACAATTATATTGGATAACAAAAATAGTTTAGACATTATCAAATCATTAGAGCAAATCATTAACATTATATAAAAATTGTTCACTGTCCAATAAACACCATTGTTTCCTTTCCGGAAAGGATTTCCAATTGAACGATTGTTACCTACTGTATGATAAGCACTACCGATTTATATACTAATATTTTCATATATCGAACTTTTCGAGTTAGTCAGCCGTTTCAGCCCCAGATATAGTCACCCTCGGTTTGAGGGCTGTCAGTATACTTTTCAGGGGATAGTAACCCTCCTGGTGAATTTTACGACCTGGAACACCCTACTATACTGAATATCTACACAACCCTCAAATAATTATGCAAGTGCACGATGCTCATTTTAAAGAAAATAAAATATAAATAATATCTGTTTAGTATCTATATAGTATTTATACTACAACTATTTGAATTCTCGAAAGAAAACTCAGTAAAATTAAAATTTTAGTGACTTAATTTACTATCAATAATTAACTATTAACCCTAGTTTTCGCACATACATTTTTTTATTATAATTTGTAAGCAAGAATTCAACATGTATCTATTGAAAAAATTGTTTATTGTTGAATTGTTAAATAATTGTTAATATTACGTAAATAATGCAAAATGTGGACACCTTTTATTTTTTTCATTTCAACCGACAGGAATAAAGGATCTGTGTGAATATTACTAACCCATATTAACATTGCTGCTGTGTGGTTTCTTACTAAACATTTTTTGTCCACTTAATTATATAATATTTTATTTTAAAAAATTAAGTACCTATCTATAGGTAATATTTGTGGTGTTTATAAACTATAATAATTAGGTGTTATTATTATTTTTTTTTTTTTTATGGTCTACAGGAGCTACTAAAGAAATAGGAACCGCATTGACCAGAATGTGTCTACGCCACAGAGCTGTTGAAGCTAGGATGAAAACATTTTCAAGGTAATATTTTATTTCAAATTATAACTTATGACAGTATACAGACATCCAATAAACAATCTTTTTATTTATTGATTTTTTTTTTTAATATAGGTAAATATTATTTTTAAGTATTTATTTATATTTTGTTATTGTTGAATTCATTTTCGAATAGTTTGTGATTTAGTACATTCTGTTTTTTTTTTTACATATATATATATAATTTTTTGTTTTCATATTTTCTTATCTCAATATTCGAAAATAGTTGTTTTAATAAATTACAATCGAAGGAGTATTTAATTTAACTGATTTAAATAAATAAATCGAAATTTACATGATGTAAAATACCTGAAGAAAAAAAACCATCAGAGCATTATTATATCCCTATCGAAAAGAGGAATGTGTGTGTTTAATGTGACGAGAGTTGAATGTCACTGAAACTAACTTGTTTTTTGTTGAATTCGCAGTGCAATAATGGACTGTCTAGTGGTTCCGCTCCAAGAGAAACTAGAAGATTGGAAGAAGACAATTGTCAATTTGGACAAAGAGCATGCTAAAGGTAAATAAACCCGATGTTATTTCCCCAGTTTAAAAATAATATTTCTCAATAAAAAAATATCAAGACTATATAAAACTTGATGTTATATTTAATTGCATAGTAAAAAAAAAAAACAAGCAAATAAATATTTTACATTGTATCTATACAATTTTTTTGTATGATAGACGAATATGTTATTCGATTACTTCCAATTATAATTAATTAAGTAATTTTATACTAAATCCAATTACACAATTTTTAACATCGATTATTTAATAATTATTAATACGTAATATTCTTACATTAATTATAGTTAATAACAGTAGATATCGTTTATAATGACACCGCTATAGTGACATACCGGGTGTAATAACATTAGATTGGAGGTCCCAGAAAAACTCATATATTTTGTACACTAATTTGTATAAATTATGAATTATGATGAATATTTTTGGTTATATTAGAAAAATTTGTTATCTATAATGAGTAAAGGCTATATTTAATTTTGAATTAAAAAAACAACTTGTTTTATTTAATTTTTTTCTGTATGATGTATTTAAGTCATGATATAATGATAAAAATATAACATATTGATTTTAAAACAATATTATGTTCATATAAATACATGTACATAATCAATTTTTTTAATTTAATTTTATCATTTTAGTTATAATGACATTCGGTTTTTATGACTAATATTAACTAGTCCCTAGAATGTCATTATAAACGATTTCTACGGTTTCTAACTCTACAAATCGTAACGATTTTAGATTCATAAATTAGGCCTGCTATAAGTAATATTTTTTCAATTATTTACCAAAATTCTTGATTCGATCATTATAAGTTTAGCAAATTTCGTCCAATATTGGGAAGTAAAAAAGTTGTAAAAATTTGGACTGAAACTGCCTTTCTAAGTGACTGTAAAATGAACATGGATGAGATACCTAATATCTTGATTTTATCTTCTAAGACCATGACAAAATCTATAATGAGACGCGTATTATTTTATACACCTGAAGCGATTTCAACCAAACTTGGTAGACATACATGCATTTTTATAACATGGAAAAAATTACTACGAGGTGTGTGAGTAAAAATGGAAAGACTAAAATCGATTTTTATTTTCTTTATTGATTTCCAGATAGTTTTATTTTTTTGATAATTTTAATCCATAACCTGAGTAAGCGTTTTCATCATCAGCGTGGTGATGACAGCTAGTAAATAATAATATAAAATTAAGTAGATTTTTTTTATATATATATATGTTTTCAACCAAAATCAAATCTAAATATTAATTAGTTTTAAAAAAAAAAATTGTATCTGTATAACATTTTATACCGTTTTTTTGTACTAAACTAGTTCCAATATAGTGTACTACTTTTTAATATAACATGATATATATTTAATTAATTTGGTGTTGCAGGATTTTGGGTTAAAGATTTTTTTTTTCCTTCTAGTAAATAATTTAATAAGAGATGAGATGCAGATTTTACTCTAACGCATATTATTAACTTAACATTTTTAACTCGTAAATTATATTCTTCGGAATTTTCCAATAAACTAGTTGATCATTATACCTTTGTAAGTAAAACATATATTTTATATTCATTAGACGTGCTTTAAGGTGCAATTGTAATCAATATATAAATTACATTTAATTACATTAAATTGAATATATGTAGTTATTTTGTATAGCCAACTATATATTTATACAAGCGTAAATGTTATTAAAAAAAAATCACATTTGTCCTAAATTACCGATTAAAAAACATGTCAACAAATTTGCGGTGACATATTTTTTGAAAAATTGTACCCTATACATAATATACTTTTACGTTTCTATAAAATGCTACTTATTTTATGTATTATAACAGTGGTAAAATTTACTTATATTCAAACATTTACAGAAAATAAATCTCATTCTCAGGCAAAATTTAAAATACTTGTTATATGACTTAATAACATTCAGAATTTTGAGTTTTAAACTTTTAATTTTTTAGTAAATGTCAGATATTATGTTTGTGTTATAGTTTACTATATTAAATAATTTCCCTAGCTATTTACTTTTATCCACTAAAATGAATCTTTATTTCTTCATAACTCATTATTTTTTAGTTAATGAGTTCCCGAGAGTAAAAATAGGTCAAACAGTAGCTACGAATAATATAGATATATGTTTGCGTCTCGTCTCTCACACCGCAACAACATAATTTCAAACCATGTCAAACATAAGTGTTTTGAGTAGTTTCTTTTACACACTTGAAAGAAAAGTGCGTATTATAAAGCCTTATATTATATTGACATAGTATAGTAGATATTAAAAAAAGGAAGACAATTATCCTAAATTAATTGTTCTAAAACGAAGAAACGCATTATTCAAATTAATGATCCACACTATAGTTGTATTTATTATTTTTGTACTTACGAATTATTATATGCAATTCCCAGCGCATTCGAATTGCGTCCATAGATGATATTTTGTCTGAGTTGCGTCAGCGTTATTAATTGATATATACATATTTTCCTTCCCACTTTTACAGACTGTTGAAAACCGGCATTTATATAAATTGTGTTAAAAATATCTTATATACTTGGTATTATAAATTATTTATTGATCTAAAATGTATATTTTATTAAAAATAATTTTATGTCCAACCTTTGTGAATATTGCTATATGCAGATACCATGCCAGTTATTATTATTTTTATTTTATAAAACTAGTAAATTTTTGTATGCCAATTTTTTGACGAACTCAAGACGTGATATTATATTTTCGTTAAACTAAGTCATAGTATTTTGAATAAAATCTTTGTTTTCTACATATTTTCTTCGTTTGTTTGTTAAATTTGAGCTTTGCATTTTAATATAAATATCAGTTTGAACATGTTTGACATGGACAAAATTAACTTTCAACAATAAATTGTAAGGTGATATTTACCAACCTATAATAAGGTATCGATAATCGACGGATAAATATTAACTTATTCATCGTCAAACATATTATAGAAATAGAATAACAATTATTCTTGTTTCTATTGGAACAATCGCCGAAAAACCGCGGACGCAACTCCGTTATCGTGACTATATTTTCGTTTTTAAGGTCACAATTCCATAAAATACATATTTATAAATGAAAGAATTAAAATTCAGTAAACTTGATTATATAAGTAGGACATTTTTTTGTTTTTAGTAATAAATCTAAGAGTCAATTTTAATGTCAAATAAATTTAAGACTTAAAATAAATATACAATTCATAAAAATAATACTGGTTTGTCCCCGAATCTCCGACAGATTTCATAAATTCAAGAAAAAAAAATTATGAAAAATGATAATTTTTTTTTACAATTTTGTACGAAATGTTCAAACGGGTTTCCGGTAATTTCTACACTATATTAGTATAGTTATCATTTGTTATACCATAATTATTGTTATTTTAGTCAATTTACTCTATTGTGTTGTAGTGTGTGTTTGTGTGTATTTTTTATACTATTAGAAATATTTGAGTTATCTTTGATATGAACTGGTTTTTTTTTTAGTTACGATATTCTTAACTTTGCATACACTTGTATACGTGTTTACCACGTATATGAATTTATATTATATAATAACATGTGTTCTTTATAGATTTGACGGAATTCATTTTACATCTTATGATATATTATAGTTTAGTACAAATTCGTAACTTTGATTAATTATCATAAAATAACATGTGTATATTGCGTATATTTGATTACATTTTATATATATTGTTATATTTTTGATGTATACGTGAAATGTTAATAACATTAACGTTACTAAGTAATATATTAATTTGTAATTATTGTGTCGTTATTTTTATATTAAAAGTTCGTTACGTTAATGATAGTTAATAGTAAATCCATTCAAAAAATATGGTGGGAATAAAACCAACACAGGAAATACAGTTTTATTTAAAATACATAGGTACTTAATTATAGCTTTTATTAAGCTATAAAACCTATATGAAATAGAAAATATATTTAATACGTTCATGTCAGTGGTTTCTAGAGTTTTTGACACTTTGTATTAGTATCCTCTAATGATCAAAATTTATCGTTACACTGTTATATTTGTATTCAAATTAATATTTGACTTGTAAATATATGGAATACTTATCATTCATAAATTGTTGTAAAAGAGTAGATATGACCAGAAGCGTGCTCAAACATTTTCAATGGGAGGGGTTAAAGACAATTTTTCCATTTAAATCAACTATAATCATAAGCATTTTTTCTGTAGTGATTACAGATCCCTAAATCATTAAAACTGGGATATAACCCTTACCAGTTCATATTTTACTTAATTTTATTTCAACATTATTTCATTAGAGTGAAGAATATCGTCGTCTATTTTGTCTATTTATCAGTATTAGTCGATTTTAGAAATCTAGAATATTTTTTATCAAAGTTGACAATGTTTTTGATAATATCAAATACTATAGATGATAATACATAAAGCTCAGAAATTTTCTAAGGGACACTATAGAGTTCAATAATGTGCATGAAAACCCCTTAAGAAAGTAGTGGTTTTAGATTAGAACTGTTAACTGATACTGTCTGATAGTAAAATGTATTGTACTATTCATTATGGTTATTCAACAATTATTATTATCAGCTTTAGCTACCAGTACGCCTCTGTAAGGATGTATGGATTATAGAAACTGAAACAAGGTTTGTTATCGTTTTTACAATAATTCAGTACAGATCTCTAGTATTAAAAGTTGTAATTATATTTATAGATTCACTAGATAATAACAAATAAAAATATAGTAAATATATAAACAAGATTTTAGCCTAGTTTTCAAATAGGTAATTTTTTTAATGCATTTTATATGTATGAATTTTACTATAGCAATTTTTTTTGAAACTATTAACACATTTAACAATTTCGTTAAAAATTCTATTTTACATGTATCATAAATTATGTTTAAAGGAATACTTACAGTATTAAAAATTTGTGTTATTTCTTTTCGAACACAGGTTTTATCTTTGAATAGAAATGGCTCTATATTTGAATTAAAAATTATACGTTTTGTTCAGTTGGAAATGTATGGAATGAAATTCCTAGACTTTTTTTACCGGTATTGTAGTAAGATATAACAGCACAAAGTTTTTTTACCTATGGTTTATTTGTTTAATATGTAAAAGAAAAAACTCTATTAATATTAATTAATATGATTACGTAGTACTTATTCCAATGTATAATATAATATGTGTAAAAACCTAAATCTGCTTTTGATTTTTAAAAGGTAGGTGTCTAGCTCTCTTTATTTATACGAGTATTTGATATGTATGTATAAGTATAGATTTTATTTTATTTTTTCAAAGTTTAACTATAGTTTTTTAATATCTAAATTAATTATAAATGATCGATGAAAGGAGATAAAATTTCAAAACTACAAGGTTTTTCTAGTGAAAAATCGCTGTAAATTAAAAATACAAATTTCTTTCCGGTTTTTTTAAAGTGTTTGAATGGTTTTTTTTATAATTGTTTATGAGATTTACTGTTATTTATGCTATATATAGCATAAGGTAAATGGCGAGTAAAATAACAATAGTTATCAGTGCATATTTTTTCATATTTAAGAAACTTTTCGATTTGAAAGCATATTTTTGTACATAATTTTTATTGCATATCATATTATTGTTTATTAACATATAAGAACTTTGCGAATTTCAATATTTTTAAATTTTGTAAAAAAAAAAAAAAAAAAAACTAGGGTTTTGAAATTTCTTACTATTGTTTAGCGGCATAAATAAATACTATACTTAAATGGACACATTACGAACATAATACATATTTATATTTAAAAGAAAGTTCGTCCTTATATTTTAATCAATAAATTATACTATTTTTAAAATATATTTTAATATTTTAACTAATTAGTTTTTTAACGTAATTAGGAAATTACTAATTAGGTGTATTCTGACGGGACCGAATGCTTGAAATATTTAATTATCTCTATAATACCTCAATATGCGGCAACCCTTTAATAATTTTATGTTTTATTAAATTTAGCTAACTCTAATAATATTTATGGATTTTATTAGAGGTGAACCATTTTTTGATATATATATATATATATATATATTTATAGAGTGTTTAAGATCAAGCATGCCGTTATTTTTATTGAAATTTAATCCTTGTAGATACATAATATATACGAACACTAAATCCAGTCCTGTATTATTTTTTAAATAAATAAAAATGATATTTTTAAATCCATAAATGCGTTATTAGATTAGATTAGACAAATAAATTTAAAATATTAGAATGATTTAAGTATCGGTACTTATTATTAGTTTTATTATTATTATTACTGCAGACTAATGCATTTATATATATATATATATAATACACTTAACGCTATAATGATGTGTCATACGTTAATAATATATAATAATTCATTAATGTAAAACAAATAATGATTAATAGGTGTAAAACTGAAGTATATAATTTATCGAATACTAATGTTTATAATGGCCAAAATATACTGTTTATAAATATTTACAATAGATTTTTGGTGAGATATCTCGAAAATGAATTGCATAATAATTTAACTTCGAAAGTATTATTAAAACCATTTTAGGTGCGTTATAGATAAATTTTTTTTTAGTAGTAACGACTTTTAAAGACCAGCCCTCTAAAAACATTTCATCTATCTATAGTTGCTATCTTCTGCTTCTATCTACATTATATTCCATTTTTTATCACTTTTGCATCCTTTATGTTACGCAATCTAAGTCTCCCTATCAGTGGACGTTTTATTCCTATTGGATTCTTTTCTACCGCTATTTTTATGACTTCTGTAATTCTTCCATCTCAATAAGATTTTTTAATTAATACTAAATGCGCATTTAAACAAATCATTGTGGTTGTGTCTATTTTTCATTAGTTTGAGCATCTTTGCTTGGCCCATAAATCCAATCTAAGAATTTTTCTCTCGAACACTATATTAATTAAATATAATTTCCTTTTTAAGTGCGACCATATTTCTGAACCGCATACACTACTAAGCATATTAAAAATAGAAATTCAAATAGTATAATTTTTAAAGTAAACAGTTCCGAACCACTATGATAATAATCGATTTTTTTTGATTTATTATAACTAGAGCCCGGATTTCCATTCTTTTAAAATAGCCAAAATATGACGCTTATATTCTCTTAAAAACTTGAATATATATGCTTGTAATATTCTCTAAAAATATTATTAAAATATGCAAAGATATATTTTCATATTAATAGTCAATATATATTCTTACATCAAAATATCTACTTATTCAAATTTAATAAATAATAATTAACAAAGTCAATAATATTATTAAAATAATAATAAACTATTTTTTTTAGATTGTTAATTCGGCATATCATAAAATTAAAACTTGTTAATCAAAGCACAACAGTAACAAATTATAAAAAAAAATGATGTTTTTAATTTAAATATACTTCGAATACTAAATGATAATTCATTATCGCTGGAGGAAAACACGCAGTTAGTCCTGTCGCAGGACTAACAAGTATATCAACGTCATTTACCGTTGTTATATTATGATAAACATTAATATAGTAATTTTCGCACTTCATTATCATTTTTAAATTATCAAATCGTGGTGGTATTGGAAACATCATACGACGTACCCAATTATTATATAAAATAGAAAAAACTTATCGCAGCATTTAAAATATACATAATTTTTTAAGTCTTGGTAATATTTCAATTCATACATTTTTAATTAATCAAATATGCAAAATCAAATTGCACTATCAATCGTTGACATATCTTACATTCTTGGTTGTGCAAAAATCCATTAAAAATATGTTTTTTCATAGAAATCCGCGCTCTAATATTATAACCAATGATTTTTTTGTTATTATTATTTTATTATAAAATGGTGTATTTTTTTGAACTACACTTTAAAAATTTAATTTTAATAAATATTTCTTAATATAATCTATAATAGAAACAAAATATGAATAGTGGATATTATGAAAATGAGTAGATAAAAAAAAACCAAATAAACTAATAGGTGTGCCACTACTTCAAGAGGGAAGTTGTAAAAGAGGTTATTTTATAGTAATTCATTTATATCTATTCATAATGGTAAACCATTGCTAACGAATAATTGAATCTGAGAATAATATTATTAATCGTATTTTCCTATTGATGCCAAAGTAGCCCAGAAATAAAACAAAAATGATACAAGATATTGTTAGTTTTCCTATTTATCTATTATCCTATCCCGACTATACCGGAATTTTCGAGGTAAACAATTTATCAGGATCTCGGGATTGCTTTCTCTAATAACATCACCCATTTTTATTTATTTTTTGAGTAAACACCCGTAGGCTCAAGTACAGTACAGTATTAAATAACATATTGTGCTCAATTATTTACAATATTTCCATTTCTCTCCTTATCACAGTGAACCATTAATGCCCGGTAATTTATTATATTTAAAAGGATACTTTCTATCAGTAATATCTAAATCAACTAATATAATTACTGTTTTTTTCATCAGTGTCGACCAATGTAATCCACGCATAAACAAAAAAAAAAATTAATTTCCGTTCCAAAAATATTAATAACCCTGTGTCTTCCAACCTATGGTGGTCGAATTTCGGAAATCCTGCTGTGAGGTGGTGATGCATGCGGATCCGTTCATTTGCTTCTGTATATATTGTCAGATCTCTGCTTGCGATAGATTCGGCTGTGCATCGCGCACGAACAAAGATATAGACAGACACTTCCTTTTATTTGATTATTAATATTAAATATATAATTTATTTAGGTCGAGAGGGGGGAGGGGAGCGATATTATGTATGATCTTGAATTTGGTCTGTGGCAAATAACCAGTTTTGTTTTATAATTATCGCGATAAATTAATAATAATTGAAATTTTTTAAATTACGTGGCTGCGCTTGGTCGACCACAAATTAAGGCGTAGTATAAAGCAATGTAGGCAGACAGCCTACAGAATCGTCATTGATCACGGATTAACTAGCATCGTCCGCTTTTTCATCTTATATAAGTATATAAGTTTTTTCGATACAAACCATGTAATAACTTTATTATTATTTATTTTTTTTTTCAAGAACAACTAGCAAGTATTTATATTACTTACAGATTGTATCTGTGTAACCTATAAAAATATAAAATCGAGGTAGGACGAAATTTAATTTATGATCAAAAAAAAATCAAACAAACAAACTCATCGCTATACGCATCTCCATCGTTCGGTGTTTTCGCTTTAAGGTTTTTGTCTAAATACCGCGACAGTCTCGTTTTTAATTAAAACTTTTTTTTTACACCGACCAGTCTACATCTGTGCTTCAACGTAATAAACAATTTACAAAACAAGTAAAAAAATTGTTTTTGTTATTTATCGAAGTCGAATAATAATTGCGGGTTTTTGAACACGTAGTATCAATTAAAAAATGCAAAAAGTGTGTAAAATATATATTAGTTTACGCTATTATTATAGTACTCGTCGATACATCCGTCTTCGCTCGAGTTATTACCTATTATTTTTTTTTTTTTTTTATGACAAATTAATGGAACAAATTTTAAAATTTATACTTAAAGAAAGATTTTATTTAATTATTCAAAAGTTTTTATACAATACGATTTCACGTACATAGGGATAGATTAGAACCAGACATAAGTATTCAATAACTAAAAATAAAATGCTTCAACAAATAGCTACAGAGAAATAAGGGCGCCGAAATGTTAACGCGTATGGCGTAAGTCTTAGCTGTGTAGACGTGGGCGTACATTTAATAATATGTATAGTATTTTTGTAATTTCTTAGCTTTAGAAAACGCTTTATTTTTATAATAACGATAATAATAAAACAACAGGTAGTATTTACCAGATTTTGTATTATTTTTGCTTCTCCGTTTTTAAAATATCAAGTATAAAAATACTTATATGTACAATTGCAGTATCCTATGAAAATATAATCATTGCGATATCTTAGAAAGTATTAACTTTTTCGAAACAAGTATAGTTGTAAAGTGTTACATTAGTGACATTAACGTGATATTTGGGAGTGCATCGTATGTCTACATTTGATTTTAAACGGATTGTATACAAATTTTATAAATAGACGGAGTTTTAGTTTGAATACATTTTGGTGTTGACATTTTTTATTTCCGTCAATCCATTGACGAGATATTCCATTTTTAAATATGCGTAAAGGAAAAGTAGTGGAGCACTATTCAAACCCCGCGTGATGTGCTGCTACACAAATGATGTTCCGCTATTTACAGTATTTAAACTAATACTCAGGGTCTGATTTAAGTGTTGGCCACCAAAATACTGGAGTTGATTGGGCGCTCCCAACGGGTTCTATAGTGGTGTGCAGGAAAATAGGATCCATAAATAACCTAGAGCATTAAGTGGACGTAGTACTCATATATGATGTTTCAGTTCAAGTATCAAGCAACATAGCAAAATTATGCTTCCGCAGACTGAGTATAACTCGATTAATTTTGATTTTAGAGTAAAAGCATCAATTATAAAACCGATCGTAAAATTAGGAATGATGGTATAAAAGCGTGTCATAGAATACATTTCAATTCGCATTTGTTATAATATTAGAGCTGACTACCAGAGAAATTTCTCATTATTTTAATATAGATATAATAAAACGTTATCACGAGTTGTCATTTGATCTAGCCAAATATTTTATTTCGTATTATGTTTTTATTTATTTTTTCAGTTACATTTTCGATTAAATTCCATATTATACGATTATATTGTAAAATATAACGTAAATAACAATAAAACAAATTATTTTATCTAGTTTTGATGTGTAGTATGCTGTGCACGTAAACTACGTCACTGATATAGAGCTTAGGAGCAACAAGTTTATTGAAAAAGAAAAAAAATTATTTGTGACGCCCCTACTATTTACCATTGGCCGGTTAGCATCCGAGGTTGTAGCTTGTTCAACCTATTGGTATAATCAAATACTGCTATTATTCCTTATATTCGTGAAATGTTTAATACATGTTGCCATTTGAAAATCAAAAGTATAGTTAGTCTGTTCACGGTAAAAAATAATGGTAAAAAGGCGGGCATGCTTCGTACATGGGTGGCCCACTGTTATAGGTAAGAAGTTGAGAAGGTAGATGGGAAATTTAATGTATCTGTATGCAACGATTAACATTGCATTAACATAATACGAAAAATGATTCTTAGCGGAGTTCAGTTAATAGTGTTGTTTTTTCAACAATATATATGTCATATGGTAAAATTACATGTTATGCATTATATATAATTTTTAATAATATTTGTTTATTATCGTATCTATATTCCCGTTTTTTCCCATTTATTGTGAAAAATCAAAAAAATGACTACCCTAAAGTATCACCCCGGTAGATTTCCTTTCAGAAAATGTGTTATCGTTGTAAATCGGAGCAAAATAGCTGGTAAAAAGTCGTCATAGAAAAAAAATTGAACATCATTGTAAAACCATTACATTCCTCGCTCCACTCAGAATCGAAAGTATAACATTTTAGAACGCCTAATTTCTTAAAATGTCAAAAACGAAAAGAATCCCGAAAAAAGTTAATGGGTACTTACCAAGATATCGCAATGGTCGTGGGACATATGCGTACGTGAACGTTAATATTTACGCTCGTTGGTATAAAAAAAATATATAATTTGTAATATTATGATGACGCCTCCGCGTATTCCGAAACTGCATAATATATAATATTATAATTTTCAGTTTTCGCAATATACACGTGTAAGGAAATTTGATTATTTTTCTAATTATATGCGTTAACGTTTGACAGGACATCATATTTTGTACGTATCAGTGTAGAGTGTATAATAATAACAACAATAATTATTACGTCACAATATATATACATTGTTATAGTACATATGGCTGGGTTTGTTGTTTGGTAGATTGATTAAAATCGCAATATTGTGTTTTTGATCGACTAGGAAGATTATTACCGAAAACGAAATAATAATAATATTATACCGTGATAACCGCGCTTTCACCGGAAGTCGAATATCAGAGAGCCCCGGAGAGCTGCGCGTATAATAATAATAACACGACGGTACAGGACGTATATTATCGAAATAATCGTCAAAATGTTTAGATGATTTTCCTTTTTCTTTTCTTTTCTTTCCCCCGCAGATCTAACATTATTATATCGTCGGCGCGTACTAATGTTATTGTGTTGTCGTGACGTATTTCCGCGTATTTTTTTTTTTTTTTTTCATACGCGTCGCATTTTTTCTACGCATATCGGGACACAAAACGCGAAACATATAATATATACCTCTTACCTGTACGTAAAATATAATAATATAATATAGTTCAATAAATGTACGCGCGCACACATATTTTATACGTATCAGAAAAGCAATAAGGCATCGTAGGGGGAAAAAAACGCTAACGCGTGAAACTGTGACGATTTTATATAGTCTGTTCTGTGTTCGTATATTATCGTATTTTATAGCGTTTAAGCTCGCGCCGACATCTGTGCGTCGGCGTGGCAAGGCGGCGGCGCGTCGTAGGCGTACCGGTCCGCGGCAACGTTGTTTTCCGTATGCGGAGTCCATATTATATACGTGTATTGTATATATACCATATTACCACATGTCTGGTTGAAATTTCACACTATATATATATGTGAGTGTGTGTGTGTGTTATTTACTGTGTATAATATAGTAAATACGAAGTTTATCGATTTTGTTCACAAGATCGTATTTAATTTTTTTTTCGATACATATTTTTGTTTGTCTTTAACGAAAAAAAAAAAATGTATTCGTAACAATTATAGGAGAAGCGTATTATTATTATTTATAACACGCCTTTGAACATTATGTTTTTATTTTGCTGGACGGTCGTACAAAAAGTAATACAGCTTATAATATTGTATAGTATTAATTATAACGAAATGTCGCGTTTGTTTCGTTTCGATATCGCAGGTATATAACATATGTCGTACTATGTATTACTATGCAATTTGATTTAGCGTAACTTTTCCGAGACTTTTATGGTTTTAGAAACGTTATTCAGGGATCCCGTATAATATGTTCAACTGAACAAACATACCAAAGGTTTGAAAACTATTTGTTCGGTTCGTCATATTTCCTAAACTAGGTAGTTTCTTGGATTAAGTGCGCTTTAACTGACAACGCGGTCACGAATACCAGTTTTGAAATGGTATTTATTTGAAAAGACATTACTATAAATATTGGCGAGCAACAAAATATACTTACGCCAAGTTGAACTAACAAGGTCTAACAATCGACACAAATTGAAAAATTCCGTACTTTAATTATTATTAAAAATTAATGCGAAACTTTATGTTTGATCGCGCATGTGATAAGAACGTTTCAAACGAAACCAGATTTGAATTAACTCCTTCTCAAATACCGCCGATTAAAACAATTATAATGATTCTATAATGGTCTTATTAACCATTCATACTTTTGCTGGCCTTTCGTTCAACTCGACAAATCGACAACTACAAGTTGCCCGGCCCCTTAATTAATATGATAATAATCAATTATTATTTATTATTATTTAATTATATTTTCAGACTATAATTTGAAAACTATTTTTAACATTTTAATGGCCACCTTAAAGATAAGACTTTTCCACCGATCCACTGCCCAAAACCCATTTAAGGGGAAGGGGTACGGCCGTTTTTACAACTGACGAATATCATGCTGGAGTAAACATCACCTACTACTGCTCGCCCAATTTTAGTTTCGAAAATATATTTAAAATATTTGATTTCTTGTATATGTTCTACAGGAAACTTTAGTTCGGTTTTTATTTATTTAAAGTACACGATGGCAAGTATCTTTTTTTCTAAAAATAAAGTCATATACTTAATTGTCACAAAAAAAAAAATATATATATATATTTTTCAAAACGGGAATTAAACTACTGGAAGTATGTTTATTTTACTCCCGTGTATTGCTCTCAATGTAAAAAATAATCGTAAAGATCTGACATTTTTATTAAATACTCAGCCCTTTCTAAACATCCTGACGATTTTCGAACTATGTATAACCATTTTAAATGTTTGGTTTTTATTTGATTTTATGTAATTTAAATATGTTTAAGCCAACAAGAACACTAAAAAATTGAAGTTTGTCATAAGTTGTACTTAGAAGTAGTAAAAAACAAAAACAAATATTATTCAACAGTGTTATTAGTAATCGAAGTAATTAGTTATAATTTACAACACCATTTACATATTATGATTAATAATAGCTCAATTATTATTATGTATGTATAAGCGTAATATTTAATCACGTGCCTATATTATAGTTTACAAAAATTAATTATAATTCGTATTTTAATAGGTAGTATAATTAATTTCTGTTTAACTATTTGTACTTGTTGTTGTTTTTTTTTTATGAAAACAAGTTCTAAATATTCCGAAGGGTTTATAGAAACGATTTTATTGAATGCCAAAAATAAAAATGAATTCAAATTAATTGTTACTAACTGAATTATTTTATATCAGAAAATTAATATATTATGTATCAATATTTTTATAATACCTTATCTATACAATACAAGACTTAATTTTATAAATTAAGATATTTCTAAAGTTGATGTAATGTGCAAACATATGGACATTTTTATTTTTTTGTATCAAATAAAATAAAATTGTAGATAAATATTTAAACCTATCCATATCATAATATGACGTGTATTACGAAAATAAAAGAAACACATCATAGTAAAATCAAAGAATACATTCCTATCGCTGCGCCCAGAATTTAAAAAGCCAATTATGCATTTGATAATATTACAAAGAAAATCAAAATAGCGGTTCCACTAGATCACAGTAATCAATTGTTACGAGATTTCAAACAACCTAATATAAAGATTTACTTTACGTAATATAATTGTTATGAAAAAAAAAATAATAATTTGCAATGAAACAATATAGTGTAAGTACTCGTCTAAAATATAACCATATAATTATGCAATTACTCGATCGTTGCTCTATTTTCTCATCATATTTGTTCTATTTTCTCGTCGAATGTTTCTCAGGTTTATTGTAAAAAAAAAATGTACAAACACACTTATATATATATATATTATATATAGGTTAACACATTAGTATTTTTTCGTAACATTCGTCATTTTAAAACAGTTAATTTATAAGTATGTCTATTAGGTTCCTTACGCTATAAGTATAAATATTATTTTCAGTATGCCGTTTGACTATTTTTTAAATCATGTTCTTTTAAGTAGGTACTCTTACAACAACATTATAAAACTAATAATTTTTTAAACACGGCATCCAATTTCGTTTATTTCGAATTTACAGATAAACAGTAGGTATAAATATAGATATATTTTTTAAGTGCAGCGAGGACTGTATTGATTTTACTATATTATGTGGTCTTTTTCAGATTCCGATCTGTTAACAATATTTCTACAAAGATTCTTGCTCCGATCAAAAAATGACAAGAATTTATTTTGTAGCATTTTTAATCTGTAATTGGTGTATTGATGAGGTTATTTTTTTTAGTTTTCTTAATAGTTGAGAAAAAACGTACGACAAAAACAATTTTATGATTTTTAATTTTGTTTTTTTTTATTATTTATTCGGTAAAAAATGATTGTAATCCTTTAACATTTTCACAGAATTATGGAAACTGTTGAGCTATTTATAGACATTTGATATTTTTGGTTTTAATAAAATAGTTTTAGCCAAGTGAAAACATTTAAAAAATTAACACGAGACTAATCATAAATTTTGTTTGGTAGTTAAAAAAAAATTGTAGTAGTTTATTTTTATAAAATAAAATGTTGATAAAAATCGTAAAAATCACAGACATGTTTAACCAAATTGCTCAGGATCGTTTTTCGTAAAACATCTTAATTTATCCTAACTTTCCATCTAAAACAATATTCAGCAGTTTCAACTTTTTTTTTGTACTTCTTATAACACGGTTATTCGCATAGATGTTCAGAAATGATTATAGTTTGATAAAACTTGAAGTGATTTTTTACCAACACGAAAAGTTTGTTTGAGAAAAATAAAAACTGTGCATTATAAAACTAGGTAATCGCTTCCTTGAATCAACGAAAAGGATAAAAAAAAAATGTAAATTCGATTTTTGCTCATATTATGTATAACAACTTTTACTTGACTTGGTAGAATAAAAATCTGAAAAAAAAACCAAACTATACTGCTATTACCCATAGCTAGATGGCTATAAATTATTATTACGTAATATTAATGTACCTATTTAAAAACTTATTATTAAAAATATGAAAATAAACCGTTTAAAATGTCAAGTGGACGTCACGACGAAGCATATTATGTGCGTTCAGCAGAACCAATTTTGTGCTTTTACTTTTAATTTTAAAGGTAATAGTTGCATTATCAAGCTTAAAGGTAGGAACATTATCTGTTTATGTACGTTAATCTTTTCCGATATTTTAATTTTTCAAACACTCCTATTTCACTTGAAAATTTAAGAAAAAAAAATTGATTCGCTCCGATATTAAAATTAACAACCTCGAGTTTGTTTGGTAGACGAACGCATATTTTATATCGTCTCCATCCATAGTACTTTTTAGAAACTAAAACAATTATTAGATTCGATACCGTTTTTTATTATTATTATTATATCACGACAAAAAATATTTAATAATAACATAGGTAAACTAAAAAAAACAACCGTTCTGCAATCGAAATATTCAAATACAAATCGTATCTTAAGTTCTATTCGTAATAAAAAAAATAAAAAGAAAAGAATAATGATAATAAATACCGTTAATTTATCAATGCGGCGGAGTTAATTACGCATCATCATAAACGTATCAGACACACCCCGGTGCGGCGGCGACGGTTTCGGCACAAAGGTAACTGGGTCTTTAGGGTGTTCGCATTGTCACTTATTGTGTATTAATAATAATAATAATAATAATAATAATTATAATAACGCTATAGTCTTATATTTCGTCCGTAACTGTAACTAGGACACAAGAGAGTGAAAAATTTGTTTTTTTTCCTTCGCCTCCTGGCCCCTCCTCCTTCTCCTCTTCTCGTTTCTTATCGTTGTTATTTCGAGAGCGGGTGACAATCCGAGAGACGGACAGGCATATCTTTTTCGGCGCGTGTGTTGTGCGCGCGCCCACCCGCTCGCGTCCTAAACATAAAAACAATTGATACCAACTGTATAATATATTTTATAACACGACGATGATATTGTATACACGCAGTTTGCAGTCAAGGCAAACAATGGAAATGTCACGGTTTGGCAAATTATATATTATTACTGTTATATCTATATATCTGTATCTATGTATACTGTATACGTCTATATATGTCTAGAATAGGAACCGTCGGCCATTTTTATACGTATACCTAAAGGTGTATACGCATTCTTTTCGCGCTATAATTTAAATAGAAAACTTTTCTTTTCTTTTTTTTTTTTTTCATATATAGGTACAGTTATATACCTATATATATATATATATATATACCTATGTAGGAGAGAGGACGTATACCTATTCCCGCGTTAAATTATATAGTGGGTAGGTTAGATATCGATATTCTCGATATGCGAACATTTCTCATAAGAAAATTGATAGCATTATTATTCGCCATCGTTATAAATCGACGCGCAAATTCGAAATGGATCGTAATTTTTTTTCACTCATTGTGTATACTCAAATCGATAATTTAGCGTTTTCGATTTGAACGATATTTTATTGGTACACCGACTGTTATCTGCGAAAATTCAATACAATCCGCGCTCGGTGTACCAGTGCATATCGCATACCCGATTTAATTTCAAACTTCGGAGCATCGCAACGATGCACAAGTACTGCTTGTATTATAAACCGTGTTCTAGTATTAAACAAAAAGAATAACAAAAAACACGATTTTCTCGTCCGCGGTAAATTTCAATTTGTACAATATTTTCGTATTTTCGATAATATTATACGATGAAAAATCTATAACGTTGTGAAAGCGTTGCACTCGTGTAGTTTTAAGTTTATTACAGATGTTTATATATTTTTACGTTATTTTTTTTCGTTTTACCATGTCTGAATTTGCAACTTATAATATATGTACAGGTTTTTTTACTACTATACTTTACATTTTGAGTGTACCGATGAATCAATTAGTTTTACAATATGTTTTTTTTTTTTTCGAAAAACATTTTTCCGGTTATATAAATGTTTCGATTTTTCGTCCCGTAAAAAAATATCTGGTATCCGGAAAAATTTTCAATTAACTACAAAATATGTCTATACAATATACACATCAGTTTAATTTGAAATTATCTCTGCGGGGTTACCTTAGTGACAAGGGAGAAAACCACAACTTTTAATATTTGTCTCGGAATCATTTTTTTATTAAGATGAGTTATTTCTGCTTTCAGCATACAAACTAAATTATCTTGTACCCTGTACCTTCCAAACTTTTCGCCTACAACAGTGGCATAATATATGTAATTATGTATATTATACATTATTATCGGGTATTACCCATGATATGAAGTATATATAATTATATTCAATTTTTTCGCATATCGATTAAATTTAGGTATACATTAGTATACCTAAATATACCAGCCATACAGAAAGATTTATTTGTATGTGACTATCTAGTTCTAATAGGTATTTTACGTATTTTAAATCTTTTATTATACAGATAATAGTTCTTCTCCTTCACCTTCATCCCAACTATTTGGGGTTGGGTACCCTCGTCCTAAACTTTCACTTGATCCAATCTCCCACATCGCCTACTCCGGCTCGCGGCTATCCTTATATCATTCTCAGTCGAATCCAAACACCTGTTATTTCGGTCTTCCTTTCCCCCTTTTTCCTTCTACGTTTATTTCTATTACAATTCTTACTGTTTCTTATTCTTCTCTCTCCATGACGTTATGCCCAAACCATTTCGGTCTATTTTTCCTAATTTTTCTTACTATCGAAGCTACGTCTAAGCTACTTATGTACTCATTTCTTGGCCTTACTTCTTTTGTCACTCCACTCATCCACTTAAATATTCTCATTTCTGCTACACTCATTCTCTGTTCTATTTTTCCTTCTACTAACATTCCGAACCATACAACATAGTCAGTCTCAGCACACTTTTGTAAAACTTACCTTTAAGTTTCTTTTTGGTAATCTCTAAAAAAATCTAATGCTTCCCTCCACTTTATCCAACCATACAACCAATCCTATACTTTACTTCCTCGTAAAAGCCACCGGTTTTTTGTGCACAAGTTCATAGATACCTACATAAAACTTTCAACTTCACCTATTACGTCACCGCTTATGATCGTTAGCTATGTTGTCCTTTTCTCATACACTAGAAATATACTTCTATTTACCCTTAGTCTCTTTCCTTTAATTGCTACTCTTCATTCCTCAAACAGCCTATTATTAACTTCTTCCAGGTTTTGTCTTATCAAAGCTATATCATATGCAAACATCATGTACCATGGTACCTTCTCTCACCTGTTGTCTCCGTCCACATTCGAAATTGCATTCAAGTCTTACCACCCAAGTCTTGTTTAAAACTTGCCATACTCTGATAGAATTTTATACCGGCTCAACAGCCAATAGGCCAACGCCTGACACAACCCCATTTGTCGCCTCTCACGACAGATAGGTACCGCGGGAGTATTCTGATCCCCTTACACAGTGAAAATGGTATTGTCAACTATAAGGCGAATTCTTTCAACCTATACAAAAATAATACTTTATATGCCTATTGAATTTACCCATCTGAGCTTTCCACTAGTAGAAGCTTGTAGCCCCGGATTCGGTAAACCTGTAGCATTATATACTCCCTTGAAGTTTATAGATAGTAGTTATTAATGTTTTAATGTATTAATGCGGATTGGCTGTTATCTTTATTACTTGTAGTATATTTATATATACCTACACGTAATTCAGAATCATGTACTGATATAAAATATAAAATATGTGACAATATTATTATGGTTTTCATAATAAAAAAGGATTTTAAAAATAATATTATGGTTAAATGATTTTAAAAATTTACTTACTGGTATTTTGTTACTTACTTATTTTTAAACATAATTTATAATACAATGTATAATTATATTATATTATGTTTTATCATGTTTTTTTTTCTTTGCCTTTATTTATTATGGTTGTTATTAAACTTGATCATCGTAATTGTTGTAGAATACAAAAAAGCCAGATCTGAATTGAAAAAACGATCGACGGATACGCTGCGTTTACAGAAAAAAGCGCGGAAAGGTGCCAAAATGAACGAGTTACATAAAGCATTACAAGATGTTTCCGACAGAAAAGCCGTGTTGGAAGAAACCGAAAAGAGAGCTGTACGCGAAGCGTTAATCGAAGAGCGAAGTCGCTATTGTATTTTCGTTACGTTTTTGAAACCGGTCCTTGTACGTGCAATAATAATCATTTTAAACTAATTGGCTTAAGCAGACTTGTATGTGATGTGTTTTTAACTAAATTCTGGATTTTATTCCCTATATCAGGAAGAAGAAGTCGCCATGCTAATGGAACTATCCCATTTACAAGAAGTTATGGATAAATTAGAAGCGCATACCATCGAACCGTATTCATTACCGCCGGCCAGCGAACAGGTAAAATTCTATAATACTTAGCTAAGGGTGTTGGAAACGGTTCTCCACATTTTCTTCAATTTTGTAAAATTTAAAAATCATGTTTTACCTTTTAATGACTATCTTAATGATAAGACTTTTTCACTAATCTACAGCACGGTATCCATTTAAGGGGAAGTTCTTATGTTATTTGGCCGTTTGGACCAAACAACTGGAATCAAATTCACTCATTATCCCTCATCCAATTTTAATTATACGATTTCTTGTCTATTTATTCGGTATGTTAATTTAGTTAAAATACAAGATAAGTTTATCTTTTTTCTTAAAATAAGCTCGTATCTGCTTTAAACCATCACAAAAAAAATAATGAAAATATTTTTCGTTCAAACTATAAAAAATGAGTATATGAAGTCATATCATTTTCAGAACAGAAATATGTTTATTTTATTCCAGGTTATTGGTCTAAATTTATGAATAAACGAATCCGTTCCTAACGCCTTAATAATAATGAATTGTTCCCTAACTGCAGTTTTTTATACTTTACTTATTTACTATTTATAATATTGCGATTTGATGTTAATCTGAGAAAATAAGAACTTAACGTTTTTAAACATTTTAAGTGTCCTATAAACGTTCTAATTATATTATGAACATTGAACAATATAATATGATTCCCCTAATAATCAAAATGAATTGTTATTGTTAATTTTATGATAATATACGTTTAAAACTATTTTTAACATTTAAATATTACGATTTAAACTTTGGACAAAACGTGTTACAGTAATAATTCTATTTTTACATTCTGTCGGTTTTTAATGTTTCATACAATATACTTCCAGTTCCTTCATACTTTACAAAGTTGAATATTGTCTATACTGTAAACTTACTTACAATTATCATTTTTTTTTTTCAGTCTTATAGTTATAGTAGTTTCAATTTAATTTTTTACAGCTTTTTAAATTATAAAATAAAAGGATTTTCATTAGATTTATATAAATAAGCTTGCGCTCTTTATAAGCACTTAGAATTTCTATACAACGTATTAAACCCTTTATTAAATTAATCTTCATTCGTGACTCATTTTTCGAATGTGATGATTTATGATTGCTGTCAAAATTGTAGTAATAATACAATACCTATACAGCTATCCAAGCAAAACATATCCCTAATGTCCAACATATTCTAATCTTGGTATTTTTTTTTTTTTAAATACATTTAAAACAACAATTTAATAAAACTGTTATTTTATGTATTTTAATATAGTATATATTTGATTAAAATGTGCATATTGCTAATTCATATGACATTCTATTATATAATATTATATTTGTTTATAATCGTGTGTAAAATTATATTATGTAATATGTAATTTATACCAAATTACCTGCTGACCTACAATTTTATACTTTTTCAAACTGGGCAATAAAATTTCGTATAGGAGATTGTTACTGACTTCGAATTCAACAATTATAAATATATTTATTGAATATTTGCTCATATTTAGAGTGTAAAAAAATACTTAAAGTGCTTTTATGCAAAAGATTGGACAAATGTTTCGACAATGAAAACTAATTATGTTACGTTATATCAGTCAACATTTTTATTTCACTTTACCCAAATAATAATATATTTTTCTTAATAGTAAATTAAAAACCGAATATTATTTTTATGAAACTTGCATTCATATAATATACAAAAATATACACATAATATCCATAGAAATATATTGATATTTTTTTTTTTTTTTTTTTTTTTTTTACACATAATTTTGAAAAATGTGTTTATCAAATTTAGTATAGTAATTTTAATACACCTCTCTATTCGTGTATAATTTAATATTTAATATACTATACTATAGATGCATATATTATAATAATAATAAATTTTTTTTGTTTATTTTTATTTTCATAAATTGGGTTTCGTATTTCAAATTGTATAGGTCATTGGTTAGTTTTGGACATAATGACCTAACCTAATCTCAATGGCGCCAAATTATTAAAAACAAATTATGTAAGACAGACATATCAAAAATCAAACACCATTCTAACCTAACCAGTCCGCTGTGTATCTGAAATATGCTAAATTTTACACAATATGTAGGACAAAATATTATGGTTTACACAATACAATAAATACATTTTAGTATACTAAATAACCTATTTAACAGCCTACTACTGATAATAAACTGTATTTTAATGTAAATATTATTTTTGATAAGTTGCATTATGTGAAATATTCAGTTATTAAATCATTTAAAATAGTAATTTTTAAATAAAATATACCGGTGTCTGTCTGTAATTTTTAATGATCAACTAATAATTTTTAACTAAGCCTTATTTACTATTATTATAGTATTATGAAAGTTTATAATTTATTTTTGAATACAACACAAAAACCAATAATTCATAAAGAAATTTATTTAATTAGTCCATATTTGTATGTATTATGTACTACATTTTTTTTTTTTCCTAAATCTTATTTTTCATTGTTTTATTATTATTATTATTATTATTTTTTTTTTTTTCATCATTATAGTATTAATACTTTGTAAATTATTTATTTTCACCTTTACCATTTAAAACATTTTTCTTGAAAGGTTTAATTTGTGCAATGTTTATTAGGTGTTGGTCGACTATAAAGGTAGTGAAATGTCATGGACACATCAAACACCCCCGAGCAGTCCCAGTTCGTTGGGTTCACGTAAATCTAGCATGTGTTCCATCAATTCAATAAACAGCTGGTCTAGCGGCAGTATACATTCGCCAAGCCATCAATACTGGAACCGCTCCTTGCTTCAGGTATTATATCAGACAGACATTGATCTGCACAAATAACAAAAAAACCGCATGTGTTTTTTCGTCTTACGAGACCATCGCTATTGTATTTTTATTATTAATTTGAATGCATTACTGTATAGTTAAATTAGAATTAGATATTTGTCTTTGCTCGAGGTGATAAATATTTTTTTATAGAATCATTTGTAAAAATATTTAAAAAAATATATAATTATTAGATAATATTATTAGATATTATTGAATTGAAAAATTCAACATACCCTAGTTTATTGTTGATTTGAAACTTAAAAAAAAAACTAAAGAAGTCTACTAAAAATTGCCATTACATAGGTAATCAATTATTATAATTTGAAAATGTAAAAGTTTAAATTCTATTTTCTTGTGATTGAAATATTATTTAAAATCCTATTGAAGAAAAATAAATACTTGATATTACTTAGATAGTACCTAAATTAAATAAAATATTTGTTTTAATATTACAATACAAAAAAAATGTGTAGAACAAAATATAGCAACAAATATGCTTTGTCAACATTTTTAAAAATAATTATTACAATTATTGGTTCACAATATAAATTTATCAACTTTTATATAAATTAATAGTTCAATAAAAATGCTGCAAAAAGTATATTTTTATTTCCTTAACATTCAGCATATTAGATATTTCTGCTATTTAAATTGGAAACATTATATTTTAGAAATAGATTTATAACTTATTTTTATTATTATTTGTTAAGATTATTAGCATTATTATTACATTGTAGTTATTGTTGCATGTTTTGTTTTGTTTTGTTTTTGTGTGTACATGTAATTTAGCCAGTATCCAATGAGATGTGTTACAAAGGACCTTTACCTCCTAGTAGATTGTGCAGTGCTTCATCTCATGATTCAGGTTTTACATCCCAAGATACAATATATACAAAACGACAGTCATATGTAAAGGTAAGTGCCTAATGAAAGATATGCATTTAAAACAGATTATGCATTCTAGAATAATAATTACCATTTCATAATTTTATGATTTGTATTGTTGTTTATAGTAGTAATATATTTTTGTTTAACTTTTAGGCACCAAATTCGTCCGATTCTAATAGTAGTAGTGCTGGAAGCAGTACACCATCCACACCATTTGCCAGTTCTGAAGGTGGTTGCGGAACATGGCCCAATGCACAGGAAACATTACAATTTGAACGTGCTGCATCAGCTATTATGAATGACGCCAGACCGCATACAATATCTGGTGGTGCCCACCATCAACGTCCAGCCCTTAGTGCATACACATTTCAACCAGACTCTTCTATTGATAAAACTCCCGTTGTCTCGCCTCAAGATGATTATGCTCACGTTCCTGATGTTCCGTCCAGAGATATGCACAAAAGTTGTAAACCAACCTCATTAAAAACAATTGGTATGTAAATTATTGTACAACAATTAATATTGTTTTTCTTTAAATGTTGAATTTTCTGAAAGAAGTAAAAAAGTTAATTTTTTACAGTACTGTATATTTTTGGAATTTTCTATCATTCATTCTTCATATAGATACTTATTAAATATAATATATATTATATACTCATATAGATCATATATTGGATTTGCAACACATTTTTTTTTTTTTTTAACCAGAGTTAGTTACTCTCTGCACATTTGTTATTATTCGCTGGTGACAAATTGATAGTGCATTATTTTAGTACGGTTAAAAACTTATAGTAATCTGTGTAATAAAGCTATTCGTTTAAAACTTCTTCCATACCTGATGACTTCACCCGTCTTTCAACCAAATTAAAAAAAAGTTTTGAATAATTGTTGTAATTGGGTTGTAATTATTTAAAACAAAAATTGAATTAAACATTTAAAATAAACTCTACTATTAAATTTAATTGATTATTTGATAATATTATGATCATAAAAAAAATGAACACATTGTCAAATGGGTTAAATAAGGAAAAGTAAAATTTTAAATAGGATGACAAAAAGTCACCACTCATCACTATCTATCCAAGATGATAACAAAATGTTGTGACTAATTAAACAAAACAATTTTCATTATTTTATAACTACTTCCAATTGGAAAAGCAGTCACTGGGAACTATAAACAAATTTGTGGTTGGTGGTTTGCTTTATTTTACACCTTTATTTACCTCAAAGCAAAATTGAATAATATTTGTATATCAACTTTTATATTATTTAAACCACTGTAATATAAGGATTTAATTTTTTTGTTATATACTTAAATATACAATTTCTTGTGTACAGTTTTTTCTTGTAACAAATCAAAAGTCTTCTTAATCAACAATACCTTCCTATTTAGTAGTAAAGAAAATATGACAGATGGCCAGTTAAGTTCTTTGTAGCATATTTCACATTTCATATAATTAATACTGACTTTTTAAATAAAATTATTCATGCTCCCAAGTGTACTCATATATTTAAAATTACTTTTTTAACTATCATTTTTAATAATATAACTAATTTTATAATTTAGAAAAAAAAACAACACTGTTTTCAATTTATTCATTTTCTACCATCTGTGTATTATTAAAACTACTTGTAAGATCTACCCCAAAATATTACTAAAAGAAAAGTTTGTAAAAAGATTAAATTCATAAATTTTATATAAAATACCCTAGAATGTTTGTTTAAAATGAAACTATATAGCCTTAATCTACATCTTAATCTTATCATGTATATGTTTACTTATTTGTATTTCTAAAATGTAATTATTATAATTTTTTTAATTTCTATTTGTTTTTATTATTATTATTATTATTATTATTTTTTTTTTTTTTTTTTTTTTTTTTTTTTTAGAATATATTCAACCTACTTATGTCAATATGCATGAATTGGCTAGTATGGCTGCCAACAAAGCTCAAGAAAGAAATGCACAACGTAATGAGCCTACTTCAAATTTAAATTTAAAAGTAATTTTCTATTGTGTTTAATAATATAATGTTTAAATCTCTCGAAAATAAATCTACTCACAATATTTTGTCGCATGTCAATCTTTTCATCTAAATAAAAATAACTGTTTTCGTTATCTACTTGTTGACAACACAAATAATAGTGTACGCTAACTTGCACGTATACTTTTTATTTAATTTTTCTAAGCTTTTCAGTCAGAATTAGCATTAATTTTATATATATATATAAAAAAAAAAAATAGAATTATTAAGTTTATTTTAATCTAATGAGCTTATTAGCTGGTTAATGTATTTCTCTGGAGATGAAATCCACAATGTTAAGTAGATTTTAACATTCTTTTCAACATATTTTTTAAATTTAATTTTAATCATATTTGGATATAGTATTAATTTAGTATGTCTATCATTAATTAAATTAAATGATTTTTTTTATCAACACAGAATGATGGTGATAGAAAAGAGAGTACCAGTGAGAGTTCATTGGAGTCGTCAAGTGGCTACAGTAGCCAAACAGCAATATCTAATGCAACACCAGATGAAGGTATATATTATATTTATGTTGTATTTTATTGCAAAAATAATTGTAAATAGTAATTGCACATGTCTAGTATTGGTACAATATTCTATTTGGTGTCAATTTTATTTTCTTCTGAATCTATTTTGGATATTTAGTCTTTTTGGTTTTTATAGTATCCAGAAGTAATTTATTTTACCCTTATAAATATATTTAATAATTTATACATATTATTTGTGTTTAACTTTAATACGAACATTGATTACATTATGAAATTATGTATACCATAAATTCATTTCAATCAAGATGTGTTGTAATTTTATTAAATTAGTAATTTAAAAATATAGAGTGGATTCCGCTTAATGTGGGCAAACAGAGCTGGTCCCGATTTGCCCACATTAAGCGACTGCCCATAAAAAATCAAATTAATAAAAACACAAAAATTTGTAATATCAAAAATGTTAAATTACTACATAAATAAAACTAAATATAACATACTAAATAAAATTACTATTTGGATGTAGAAGGTGTACAAAATATTATTGCTTGTTGTCTAAGCTGTTTAGTATAGATCTGGTTAATAAAATGTGGGCACACTCTTCAAGTTTATCAGACAGACTATTTTCTTTACCTTCCCGCATGAACTCATACGCAAGTCTATGTATTTAGTCAACAAAATCCCATTAAGGTTTTAATGTTAATGCTTTTTATTATAATAATTTTCTATAAACATAATCTCCTAGATACGACAAAATCCAATTACATCAATCGTTTTTAAATACATATGTATACATTCTAACCGAATCGAGTGCCCTTATTATGTGATTTTTTTTATAACCTTGTTAATATACATTTGTATTGAGACCAGACCATTTTGCCTATATTATGCGGATGCCCATATTAACTGGTACCCACATTAGGCGGAATCTACTGTATATATTTATGGAATTTAGTATGTAGAAAAAAAACGTCCATTATTTAATAACTAATAGTATAGTGAAGACTGAATATCTATGTACTGCACATTATTAATTATCTAGTGTTGTTATTAAATATAACTCTTTGCATGCTTGTGTGTGTTTTTCTCATTTGTACATAGAAGTGGAAAGTACACTTTTGAAATACTGCACATTGGATAGTCGAAATAGTAGTGCCGTCAAGGAACGTATAAGGCCAACATCTACATTGGGTATGTACTCCCAATGCAGTAATTTTTTACTGATACAAACTAAAAAACATTTAAAGTATTCATATTTTCTATATAATAGTGTTATAATATATTATAATTATGATATTTTATTCTAGTATATATTTTTAAACATAAATTGTAAAGGGTGAAACTTTGTAATTGTAATAATAATATATTTTTATGAATTATAAATTATTGATAATATGATATTACTAGATTTGTATGAGTTCCCTTGAAAAATAATCATATTTTGTTATACAGGGTATCCTACAGTGTTTTATGAATGTTATATAACTCTTTATTTATTTTGTTTTCATCCCTTAATAACTGAAAAAAAACTTAATTTTTTCACTTTTCAAAATTTTAAAAATAACTTTTTTGTAAAAATTATTATTCTGAAAATTCTAATATATCATTTATTGAAAATTAGTTGTTTTCACACAAATTTTCTAGAAATTAAAATGGCTATTACTCAGAAACTATTGATCGAATATGAATGTATAGAACATTAGAATTTTCAGAATAATATTTTTTACAAATTGGCTATTTTAAGTTTTTTTTTTTTTTTGTTTTTGTTTTGATGAAAACAAAATAAATAATTATAAAACATTCATATAACACTGTATATTTTTTAAAATTGAGTAAATTATTATTGTTATTATTATTAAAAGAAGAAATTCCTTAGCCTACAAATTTATTTTAAAGTCGGACAATCTCTCGATTACTTGTCTATTTATGATGGCATAGATACTAAATTTTAAAATATTAAATTTATTTGAATAGTCTTTCTAAGATTTTTAAGAGGTATTTACCAGTTTCAACTGTTTTTTTCAAAAATACATTATAATAAAATTATTAAATAATTTTATAAAAAAAATTTAAAAACTACTGAACCAAATTTTAGGTTACTCCAGTCTGAGAAGTGGTACATTATGCCGTCGTTCTTCTGTGCAAAGCAACAAACCGCCTCCACCAATACGTCGTACACCGTCCATCCTAAACAATTCAGTGCAAAATCTACCTCCACCGCCGCCATTTTTGTTGGATATTGCTGCTGAGCAACGTCAGCAGAGTCGTTCGCAGACTTCTTTGACATCAGAAAAGGTATATGCTGAACCCATGACACATCAACGCAAACCATTTGGTGGTAGTGTTGCCGAAACTGTACATAATTTAACACAATTGAATCATACACCTGCAAGTCCCATTTTGTTACGGCGCACTCCCAGTAATCGATCAACAAGTGCAGACCGTTGTAATAGCCGCTCATCCGAACCAGTTACTGGATTTATAGCAGCTTTAGGTTCTAGACTATTACAGCAGCAACCCAAAGCAGCAGGCGGATCTCCAAAGTCAGCCAGACGTTGGAATGCTCCCGCTAGACATTCTGTTGTAGATCCAGCCACATGTCACGATTCGTTGATGGAAGAGATAAAAAAAGGTATGGTGTTAAGAAGAACTATTGTTGTCAATGACAGATCAGCGCCCAAAACTAATTAGTAATAATTAGTTTATATTTTAATAATATTGTTTGTTCTTAATAATTAATTTTCGTGATTTTAATTTTTACAGTAATAAAACCTAATCAATTTAATTTATAAAAAATGTTAATAATATATTCATAATTTAAAATTATTTCCATTGTTTTTGTAATTGGATTTATTTAAATTACAATAATTAACCCTACATGGATATCTCAATATACATAATAATTCTAAAAGTTAATAATTATATTCAAAATGTCTACTTATAACTTATAATTTCCAAATACTCAAAATGTGTTTCTATAAAACTAGTTATAAAAAACAAAAAAATTAAAAATGGTTAGCTTTTTTTCCTAGCAATTTATTATATGTAAAAGTTGTTTTTACTGAAGAGATATCAAGTATGTATGCTCTATCGATTCTTTAATTGAGAATATTATGACTTGAGCTGAATACATTATTCCATTCCAAATATTATAATATATATGTTTAATATAATATAATATATACATATATATATATTTATCTAACACATTCCTCTTAGATCACTTGTAATTATAATATTCATTGTATGAAAATAAATCTCAGATTAATTGATTTGATGTCTCTGAATATTAATTGTTCCAAAAAAATGTATACATTTAGTTGCCATTCCATGTCATATTAAATAATTACATTGATATGTGTTTATAAATTTTAATTTATTTACTGTGCAAGTTAAGTATAATTTATTTGGATGTTCAGGTAAAGCAAATTGCATAATGTTTAATTGTATTTACTTAATGCTCATTGAGATAATTTAAATCAACAAGTGCATATAAACGTGGTATATATGTATACATTTGTGTTCATTGGTTAACCAATATAATGTTTTGACTTTCCGTTTATTCTACTATACTATAATATGACTACTCTTTTAGATTTATAATTATAATGTCGTTTATACAAAAATAAATAAACAATTATTATATAAAACCAGAGTCAATTTGACATCCGTCTTTACATATTTATCAATACTTATCAAATATTAGTGTATTTTTTTTTTTTTAATTTATTACAACTATTAATGTATTATATAATTAATCTTTATTATTATTAATTTTTCGTAGTTGATTATTATTATTATTATTTTTTTTTTTTTGTGTAACAAATATTTATTATAATCTTGTTTTGTGTGTATATAGAAAATTGTGGATTTGTTTTAAGGGTTCTAAATAACCATTTGTTGTTTGATTAATCATAAAAAAAAATATTTAAAAATAAAGATTACATTTATCTAACTTTTATTTGAAAATCTGTATGTTTGTTGTTATTTGAATATTACTATGTAAGTATTAGGTATATTAGGTATATTACATTTTTTTACTTATAATCAATATAAATTACTGAATTTAGTTTAAAAATTTGTTCTTTATGTAAATTGATTACAGAAAAAAAAACGTTTTTACACTACTCTATCATTCATACCAAATACCTTGATAATAAATAATTGTGTAACTATATAATCAAAGCTATGACTAACATCGTTCATAATGAAAAATATGTGTAAATATTACTATTATGTTGTCTCCGTTCACACAAAACGTGAAGTCGAAAAATTATTATTTGGGGATGCATATTGTGCGTGGTAGAGATTTTAATATTCTCCCGAATACAATATGAATTCCAAGAGAGCAATTTTTGAACTTAACAAATTGTGCGTGAAAGGGGCTGATACAACCTTAAACCATGGCAGTATTATTAAATTGTGTGAACGTTAAAAAATCAGATTACAATTTAATATATTTAAATTTAGTATTAAAATGGATTTTCTTATATTCTGATTACCCACATCAAATAGTATTACATTAGATTTTGCATGGTATTTCTTTATTTGAAATAAATATTGTCATGTATTATTTAACAGTGATCTAAAGATGATCTTAAGTAATGTTGGAAGTGTAAAAAGAGTTGAAAATAGTCAAATTTATGTTAAATTGTTCAATTAGTTTTAACAAAAACATTTTCTACTTGCTGTGCCAGTTGTACATTTCATAAAAAAATTATTGAAAATTATGATATTATGGCAAATATTGACATGAAAACATTGTTATAAAAATTAATTGATGATTTATGCACAGTGACAGGATAAAGGGGGCAGCTGTCTGGGGCTGCACCTTTTTGGGGGAGGAAATTTTTTGACTGCGAAAACAAAAGTTGACATTTTCTAATGTATTATAAATTTCAGGAAGAATTATTAATTATTTATTATTGAAAAATTTGCAAAACAAATAATAATATTAATATAGTATTATTACATTAAACTGCTTGCCGCAGAGTTATTTCAGTGAGCGTTCAGCGTATTATTGTGGTAAAACCATATTATTTTATTTAATCGCTCGGACCGACGCATTTATATGTATAATTTATAACCATCAGATAACGGTTTACCGAAATGTATCCGGACACCTTGCCGCCTAAACCTAGCAACATTTGACCAACGACTACTGCAGAACACAATGTGTAAAGCTATAATCTGCAGCTTGTAAAATAATTTTAGTAGTAATATTTATAAGCAGCGTCTTAAAAATAAAAAGCAACTGTCATCAAATATTGCTCAACAAAAATTCTATTCTCCTGCCCCCTAAAAATTGGTTATCAGTTATACAGGATTACACACAAATGTATTAACACTTAACCTTTAATTCCATAGTAAACCTATTCTGAATAGCGGACAATATTGCCGTAGCTGTAGGGAAAAAGCACTGTAGGCACGCCCTCCTATTTATTTGGTTTTATATTGGTTATTTCGGTGTATTTTATCGTTCTAAAAAATAGTTGGCAATGTTCAAAGTATTAACCGGATTATTTTATTTTTTTTTTTTTTTTGTGCTACGGTACCTTGTTTTATACAAGTACAAAATCACGTCGGGTTGGTACAGAAGAAAACGTCTTATTTTAACACGAACAAACTCGTCGAAAAATATTTTCGTAAAAAAAAGTGCATTGGGGGGGGGTTTTATTTCTGTCGAGTCTTGATTTGCCCATGAGAACTGACGTGTTTTAATGTAATGTATGGGCCCTTTTACAATTATCTCTCGAATCTCATGGTCATAGTTTTATCAAGTCCAATTGATTGAAATATGAACGAACTTAATATTTCTGTCCTGCGTTTTTTTTTCCTATCAATATGAGTGGGAAGCGCATAAAGTTAAGTGGTGCTGAATTTCATAAAAGAGCAGAGGAAAAAAGTAAAAGACCAACTAATTATTTTTCAAACACCTAGAATTCAAAATGTCTTCAAAAAGGTAAAAACTAACATAACATAATATAACAATAAATTTATAATTAAAACAAAATAATAGAATTCAGATTTATGATTTTTATTTTTTATTCCATCGATTGGACATAAAAGTAAAGAAATTGAAATTGCAATATTAACGAAATTAACTGATTTAAATATCAACATAAATTACTGTCGTGGATAATCGTACGACAATGCAAAAAATATGTCTGGAATGTATAACAGTTTACAAACTCGAATCAAAGAAAAATCAAAAAACGCAATTTTTAGTCCATGTTGAGCACATTTATCATATGAGTTGATTTTTATGCTGACAATGTAACTAAGAATGGTTATAACTTTTTTTCACTCGCCCAAAATATCTATGTCTTTTTTGCTGCTTTGGCATGGCGTTAGGAACAACTTTTAATGAGTTTAAAAAATATTCCAAACTCAATGTTTGTAAAAAAACGTATGTCTTATAAGATGGCTATCAAGATATAGTGTTTGCAAGAGTTTTAAAATTGAGTTTAAAGGTGTGTTAAGTTCATTGAAAACTATAGCTTTGAGTTAGGCTCAGAAAACTAATGTAAAGCATGAAGCAGAATCTATATATGAAAACATTGAGACGCTCAAGTTCTCATTTATAGCTTTATGGATTCCAATATTAGAAAGATTCGACGCAACAAGTAAACATTTACAACGTATTAGTATTGATTTATTTTGTGTTGTGAAATTATATGAATCTCTTGGAATGTATGTACAAGATATAAGAAATAGATTCGATAATATTTTATTGGAAGCAAAGCAAATGAGTGGACATGAAACGTTTTCTTACGGAGGACAAAAAATGAACAAAACAAATATTTTCATGATGATTCTAATGTTCAAGTAACAATATTTCACGGACAAGAGAAATTCAAAAATGAAACATTTTAACCAATTTGTAACACAATCATTATATATTTAAATAAAAGAAAAATGGCAAAATTGAAATAAATATGTTATTTGAAATTTTTTTCAAATACAGAGGGAATTGACAATAATATTTTACGAGAAAAATCAAAACAATTAGATATTTATAGTGAAGATTTATAACGTGACCTTGAGAATGAGATTATTCAATTTAAAAGAATAATGAAATATTTTTCAGAAGAAGAAAAGTTATCTATACATGGTTTACTTGAGCATTAACAACATCAAAGTTAAACGATTCATTTCCTAATTTGGAAATAGTTTTAAAACATTTTGTACCGATACCATACCCAAACGCCGCTGGCGACGAGAGATCTTTCTCAGTTTTAAAAAGAATGAAGAACTACCTGAGAACATCATCATCCAATGAAAAGATATCATCATTGGCTCTAATGTCTATTAAGAATAGTGTTCTACAAATTATAGATTTGAATGATATTATTAAAGAGTTTGCTGTACAGAAAGCTGGAAAAAAATTATACATTTTTAGTATTGAATAATCAACCTGTATTCAAATGCTTATACTTTGTACTATTAATTTAAAAACTACTAATGTTACGATATATTTATAAATATATATTAACTGCACAATTTTAACTATTTTGTTGTGAATATAGTTTTTAAATCTGCCCCCAGGCGTCACATTCGTTAACCCAGCACTGTTTATGCAATGTATCTACAAACAAATATCGTCATGAGGGGCTCTTTTAAGCAAACCACTTTTATGGATGAGTTGAATATCTATATCGATCTATATTTCGTTTATCTATGGCCATGGTTTGGATGGGAGAGTGAGTCCAAATTTGGTTTAATCATATTTATTTATTTTATATATATATAATTAAACTCATATTATAATGAATTTATATTATTTTAGGTGCATTAATTTTATTTTATTAAGTATCTATATAATCATAAGTTTTAAATGCACTCTCCATCTCCATCACGAGTCTAGCTTAAAGGAAATAGAAAATCGAGAATTTAATTTATTGAATTTACTATGTATTGTTTCTTTTCGATTCAATAAATAAAACTGCACTTTTTTTTATAAATTAAATCAGCAAATGCGATGTTTGGGCGACAATATCTGCAAATTAAAATTGAATTTTTTACTGTCTACTTAGGAAATTGCATGACTATACACATATGTATGTGACTACTAGCCGTATCACCAGGCTTCGCCCGTATGCAGTTTTGTAACGTGAAATATTATAGGGCCTTGTGTTCGACGGCGAGCATGTCAGACACGTCGAACACGTCTGCTCGTACGTTCGTGTCAGCGTCGGGCGGCGCACCGAGGCGTTGTGCGTAACTTCTGTTTTAACGGCAGTGGCGTCCAATGTTTCGTAACTCGTATAACATAATTATGTAAAATTAACACCCGCCTACCTAGCCGCACCAAAATAAAATTATACTAGTTAATAATATATTATTTAGAGTTTTTTCGTTCAATGTATAGGTCGCTTGCACACCTTGCATATAGGCTGGGCGCCGCTGTTTAACGGGTGTTACATAGGGTGTCTCCCTATGTACATTTCAATAGTTCAATAGTATCGTCCGAAACGTGGAAGGTGGAACATTAAGAAGTCCTGTTCTTCTCCCTATGCGTATACAAGGATCCAGCCCATCTGGGAAATTCCCATTCCCAGACCGACCACTCCATCCCTGACCGTGACTTAAAGGCTAGTAACTATACGGGCGGACACAACGGGGGTGTAACATAACTACGAGGTGTTCCAAACTTATGTTTAGAAACCCAAAATCGCATTTAAAAATCGGTATTTTATATTCGTATAATGATAATAATTAAATAATAAATACAAAATACGTTTAAAATATAATAATATATATATATCAAATTATAATATAATTATACGCGCACGAGGTCGAGGTAAATATCATATACAGGTATATTATTAATAATATTATTATTTCAACGGTATTGTAATAATTAAACATAGGTAACATTATATTTCATTTCGAATAGGACTTGACATAATAATAATAATATAATATTTTTACGGCGTGTGTTGCATACTGTACGATTTATTATATATGATGGTCATAATGTTATTGTTGAACTCGCGTGGTTGTTGGTTGGTTGGCTGTTTTTTTTTTTTTTCATGAAACGTTTTTGTATTATACTCGACTTGTGGTGACATTGACTTATGCTGCCACATCTTTAGTCGACGACGGAAGCTTTGACAACATTATTGTTATTATTAGTAGTTACATTATTACAAATAATTTGTTCACAATCTCTTCTCGGGTCTCAACAGAAAAGAATCTCCTACAGTAGGTATCCAATTATTAATTTCCACTCGTCTTTTTCGTAGATCATCATAGCATTGTAATAATAATATGTGGAATCGACGATGATGATATTTGTTTGACTTTCTATGACGCAATTATATGGGCACCGGTCCGGATATGTACAATTTGTTATTCCCTCCTAGAGTGGCCATCGTGACGTATCTAAAAAATAGTAGGCATTAGGTAGGTACACGAAAAATCCGCGAGTAAACATTACAGAACGTTTCTCCAGTGCCCCCTCCCCAAATTTTCGGTTATAACGTTTGTATGTAGGCCAAACAAATTCTGAAAACCATTAAAAAAATTACAAACTAATTCGAGGTGGTATTTAAAAACCCGAAATCCGGGGAGTGTGACGTACGTAATTTAAATGTTACCATTTTAATTTTAAGTCACATAATTTCGCTATGTTTCCCGGTTCTGTAAACTGTTTGTTTAATCATTTATCGGTTCTGTAAAATTACGGTTATTAAACAAATTGCACTTCATAGACGTATTTCATTACCTATTTGAATACAAATGTTCTGTACATCATGTATATAAATTAACAATCGACCTCACACATATTGCACTATTATAATAAATTAATATTTACTAACAAAAAATGAAAATTAAATTATGTGTCGTTAATTGTGTTTGAAGTTTGAGTAAAAAGTAATAAAATTTTTCAATTTTCAAATCTAAATCATATTCGTCTTCAAGATAATTCTCTAAACCGTCTTGACCTTTATGATTAATCATCATTTTAAAATCATTATCATATTTTCAACAAAATTATCAAATGAAAATGGCACATTATTATTTATGTTTTATAGATATTATTATGTCACTGAACAGAATAACGCCTGAGTAACAAGAAAATTAAATAATAAGAGGATTGGCCACACGATGTCTTATGGTTAAATAGCTCTGTTATTTTACATATCTGAAATTAGTTCAATAACTCATAAATTTTATACTTCTGTATTTAATAACATTTATTCTTTTTACAGAACGATTTTTAATTTTACAGGACCGATAGTCCTCTAGGTATTGATTCTATAAAGTTTCACGTAACCCGGCATGAGATAATAAATAGCTATGCAATTATCACGTTTTCTTAAATTTTACTCTATCATGTTTATAATAATAATTTTTACTTTAATTGTCTAGGTGGTAAAGGAGGCGGCGTGTCGTCAATATCACCGACGTCGTCGTCGCAAGTTTGTTCGACGTTAATACGCGAGATCTCTTCGTACTCGTCGTCTTCTTCTATTTTTCCGTCGATCTTTGGGTGTTCATCTTCGTCGATTATACCCTGCAAACGTCTGCTTAGTATGTGTTGGTCGATCAACCGTAAATCTTGCATCGAATTAGGTTCGCTATAACCGGGGGTAGCCAACAGCAATCCCACGTTGGTCAACAAATAGTGTGATGAACTCTGAACATAATTTCAAAAAGTTATTTTTAAAGCCATTAGTAATTTGTGTAATCAGTAAAAGTATAATAATATATGAAGTGTCAATACTCGTATATCATGATTAAATATAATCAAATGTTGTCTCTCAATAGGGAAGATGAAGAGGATTACTGCATAACAGCTCAGGTCCTACAGGAGGCTGAGATAGTGGAATAAAGAGTGTTTATAATATAAAATACTTCGTTGTATTTCCGATATTTTATTCGATGGTTTCATATTGTATATTTGTATTAGATTCTGAACGAAAGGAGGAATCTATTGGTTTTACTAAGTATGTGTTTTATTTTTAATTTTGTTTGTACGTTGTACCTGTGAATAAATTTTCTACTAGAAATCTTGCTCTAATCAAAAAACAAAAAGGGCTTTTTGTAGAATTTTATAACTACATGGTGCACTGAGGCCGACATGTTTTGATTCTCCTAGCAATTTTCATAATGATTGAAAAAAAAAGTAAGAAAACTGAGAAATTTTATGGGAATACTGCAACGGTTTCATTACTTTCGATTTTGTTTTTTTATTCCAATTCGAATCAAAATAACTGTTGAGGTCTGACATTTACACTGAATACACCAAATAATTAATATTTTCTAAATATGGTAAAATTTTAAAAATATTCTGACATTTTCTAACTATTTACAGGCATTTAATATTTTCAAGTTTTTTAGTTTTCATTTTATAAGTTTTTAGATTCTGAGTGTAACGAGAATGTATTGGTTTTACTAAAATGTTTTTTTTTTTTTTCTGTACAAAAGTCTATCAGACATCTTGCTCAAATATATACACGTGGCACCATTTTTGAAAGGGAATGTTGTCCAGATGATACATTTGAGAAGTAATTTTTTATACCTATAACAGTGGCCACACCTGTCCTCAGTATCAGCTCTTTATTTTTAAAGATATGTATATTGCCAATTTAAGAACGGTGGTGAATTGAGCGGACTGACTTATTTTTGAAATTAAAGCTTTTGAAGTTCTGATATTAGGCAGATATTATATGTTATGTTAAATAACTAAATATTGTCAACTTTATAATATGTTTGTCTTAGCTGAATGGTTACACATACCTAGTTTCATCCTAAGGTTCACGAGTTTTAATCCCGTGTTTCGAAAAATAATTTTCGCATTTATTTTGTCCCTTTTACATAAACAAGGAAAAAACAAATGCATTTTAAGTGTACTTAAAGAACCAGCTATCGATCGCTCGGACTATTTTAATCGACAAATACCCCTCGATTCGTTGTGCAAACTTTTTTACCTGAAATCTTGCTTCGATGTATCAAGTATAGCTTATTTTATAAAAGGAAATTTTTCTCCATGGTAATTTAAGGAGGTTATTTTTCGATTTTCCCAGGAGTTTTCTAAAAAAAGGTGAAAAATCGGGAAAAAACACGGGGAAAACGGGAAAATCGGTACAATATTAAATAAATATTACTAAAGACAATATTTAATGCCTATTTAATTATTTATCATAATATGACATTATATTGTTGACAAAGCATCACTATGAACTGAATTGCGCTTGCTTACAGGTATGCATTAAATTACCTATAACAGTGGCTGCACACATGTCCATTATCCTAAGACGTCTTTTTATGTTTAAATTTTAACGAAAATCGTGAAAATCGTGACATTTCAAAACATGTCGAACCGAATTTCGTTCGCTATTTTTAAATTAATTTTTTTAAAGAAAACACAAATAGTTCATAAATTGTACCTATGGATTGGTTGCCAATATAATAGGTAAAACACCCTATGAGTAGGTCGATCGCTTTTAAAAAAAAAAAAAAAATATCTTACTTTTTGCGCCAAATTATTCTGAGGAAATATCAAAAGATGTTGTTGAGAGCCGGCCGACCGCAGTAGCGGTGCCTGTTGTAAAACAAACTTCTTTAGGTCCCCTTCGCTTCGACTCATTCGTCTGGATTCTAATAGACACCGGGGTGGCGTCAACGACGGTGATTCGGACCAGTTGCTATTATTATTGTACGTTTGCACTTCTTTTGGTGTGGGTGGCAATGGAGTAGTGGCGATTCTGGGCAACGGTCGCGGACATGACATCATTTCTTTGTGCAGTTCATCCGCTTCAGTACAATAAAGTTCCAAGTCACCGTCGCCTGCCTTAAATTTGCTGTGCACAAATTATATTTAAAAAAACACGAGTGTAATAAAATATATTATTACAGCCTGGGCGATACCTAATTTATTTTTTTCGAATATAAAGACTTTACTACATTGTTTTTTGTCTATTATATCTTTGGTCCCAAGTGAAAAACGAGGGTCTCGCCAGCCAAATCCCCTCCCCTTATTTCAAAATAATAATTTTTATTTTTCATCTTAATATTTAGATGATCCATTTAAGTGAGTACATTCATTATTTCGAAAAGTATTAACTTTCTTCGTAATTTGTTTTCTAGGACATTTAAGAAACAAGCAGCTCTACAATTTTATATTTATGTTATTTTTGGGGTAAAACTAATACCTAATTTTGAATTTAAAATGGCAACCTATATTAAAACGTCAAATAAATTTTTGTGTTGGTATTTTTAATTTCCGTCAATCCGTTGATGAGATATTTCACTTTTAAGTTTGGGTTAGGAGAGAGTGGTAGTGCATTATTAACACGCCGCGCGCCAAACCGCCACACAAATGATATTCCACTACTCTCCTCCAACCCAAACACAAAAGTGGAATACCTCGTCAATGGACTAACGGAAATCAAAAATTCAGTTTTCCTCAGTTTCCGATTTTTTCAATATAGTGAAAACTAAAAACTCTTGAGAAAATCACTTGTAAATCGGAACAATATTTCTGGTAGAAAAGTTGTTCACGGATAAAAAATAAAATAAAATAATAAACATCATTGTAAAACCATAAGCTTTTTCACTCCATTCAAAATTTAAAATTACAAAAAACTGTTGAAATATGGAATTAAGAAATAGTAGTACACAGTCATGGTATAACTATAGAAAATTATAAAAAAAAAGGCATAAGAAAATTATAAAAATTGACTAAAGCTCTCCTTCTTAGAGATCAAAAATATATAAAGTTATGTATTATGTTTATGTATATACAATATCTATATTTCATAATATATAATATTTATTTTTTTCCCCGCTACATTTAGACACTTTTAGCGGCCAAACGTGTTCAATCTCAGGAATTGCTTTTATAATAGATGGATTGAAAAGTAATAAACATCGAGTTGAATTCCAGTATCGAAATATTAAGTTAAGTCAATACGTTGAATCATCCCATATCGATGCGGGGCGAAGATTTTTTTTTTAGCTTTAAATATCCCTCAGATATCCAAAATGAAACCAAGGACATACTATCATATATATGTTTGGCGAGAATGTACCTTTACCATTTTTATGTTCAAATATCTCATCATTTTTTAGAATTAGAATATAATTTTATTACAATGTTGTAACTAGCGAGCTTACCCCTTGTAACGGCGTTTACAGCCCTTCCCCCCAAAATCGTGACTAAGTAGGTATTTTATTACTTAAGGCGACCCGAGACTTATTGGGTGATCCGTTAGTAGAGCCCCGGTAACTTAAAAATCATATATTTACGCCTATGATTAAAGTGTATATAATATTGTATTGTTATAGTATTTTCTTACCGAACACCTATACCCACTATCCGGGATACGCGAATTATTATAATGTTACAGACATAATGGAAATTACAATATAATAACGCACGGTTTATAATATTTTTAGAAAATATATTTCCAGTTTTCACCCACTCAACCACAAAACGAAATGGTTCATTGCTCTGGAAATAGATTTAAATTATTTTGATTTTTTAAGTCGTTCGTTATAAATTATCTTTAGTTCACATTGAATTATGCCACAACGATCCTAATTTATAATAGTACTCATTAAAAAATTGTTGCGTGACGTCACAATAATAAAGCATACCAATTGTTAAAAAATAAAACATAATACTATATTATTAGTATTGTTATTTAAAATATACAAGGTAGGTAACCTTTAATAAATTTTAACTAATATAAATTCAGTTGTACATTACCTGTTCGTACGTATCGTACACACTTTATGTAAATCATCGGGTATAGCCGGCAAAGGTAAGTAACTACACTGTATTTGTGTCCAATGAAGTGTTACTTTGATCTTGCCAGTGTGAGGGTCCGTTATCGATATTTCGTCTGCTTTTACCAATAAAGTACCGTAAAGACCCGTTAGTCCGGCCGTTTTAGAATGTTCGTTGTCGATTATTGACACAGTGTACTCGTTTTTTGTCTCTGTTAATAAACAAAATTAACAAAATATTACTATACGATAAATGCACGCGATTATCCAGAGTGGATTGGTAACCAGAATCCAGATCGATGTATGCATTATTTTCTTCTGGTCGAGCTTTCGAATAAGCAATTATAATTTATGATTCTAGAGAAAAGTGCAAAAGCGCCACGTCTGTGACAAAATTACTTAACATAATGCTATTATAGGCGATCGAAATAATTTGTAATTTAATTCACAAATATATATATTTTTTTTTTAATTCGTCTATGTTGTCTGTTTCACTAATAACTTTCATAAACTAAAATTATTTCATAGATGTAATAATATTTCTTAAAAAAAAAAAAAAAAAAAAGCAAAAGTGTTTAATTGGTTATTTATACAAAACTACTATTTAAATAACGGTTATTAAATGATGACTATCATAAATTATGATATACCGTTTTAATATTTATATTTGACGATATGAGAATTAATAACGAAAATTCAATAAGGGAAAAATCTTTACTATAAATTAAGAGCCAATTATCAATATAAATCACTACGTTATAAAAAAAAATACGAACTTCTTCAAATATAGATGTAGCACAATAAATTTTTTTATTTTTTTTTACATAGATGATAATACCACGTGGGTTGAACATAATATAGAACCGATTGCCAAATATAGAAAAAAATTTAAACTTTAGAAGAAATACAAAATATGTATGAAAATAAAAAAAAAATTCATTATTTTAAACAATCTAAGAGTGAATGTTAATAAATGTTTTCAAATTATTATAAAATTATAATTTTTTATTTTAATTCAATCTAAAAAAAAAAAAATGTTATATAATTTATATAATTTAAATATCTGTAATTGTGATTAATCTTACTTGGATGTACAGGTGGTTTTAAAATATCTCTCATTGATCGCATCCAATTTTGTGATTCGGTTTCTGATTTTCCGGCCAGAAAAATACACGGCTGTTGTTCTTTTTCTCCTGCATAAAATATTCCAAAAGCATATGCTTTAGTCCTATAAATAATGCCGGAACAATAATTATGAATGTACATTAATATTTTAAATTTGTATTATTATTGTTATTAATATTATATACTGAATATAATAACCTGGATTTAATTCTGTAGATAATTGCGTTGTTAGGTACTGCTAAACAAGACGTTACATTCCCTTCATTGTGCCCTATATTGATGACCATACTGGATTCCTTTTTGTGAATCTCGCACCATTGATTTTTCCACGTCTAGATAAACATAAAATCAAAATCTAATCGTGTTATAAAAGTAAAAATACGCATTTATCGATTGTTTTTAATGTTTTTATGGGATCTAAATTCAACTGTAGGTAGCGCTGATCTCGGTTATTGCAAGAGACACCATCGTCCCTCATCTTTCAAACGTGTTTGATTACGTCATAAAAGTGTCCCACGATAATATACCTATTGAATAATATCTTCTGAGATAACAATAATCTAATTGTGTGTTTTTTTTTTTTTTTTTTATGTATTATTTAGACTTTAGAGGGATAAGGACTACAAATATTTTTTTTTTAATTACATTTTTCATGTTTCGGTAAAACAGTTAAAAAAAAAATGAAGTTTTATTTTCTTATTTTTGAACAATTTAAAGACAGCCATTTTATAGAGTTTATTCTTTTGAAAATGTTAACGTTTCAGCTTTTTATTTTTATTGAATTCGTTATTTTTAATCATTCTTTGAATGATCAGAAAATAAAAGTGTACATAATTATCCATAATAATAGTTAATTAGCAAATGCGATTACAAACTGCTACATAATTGTAGGGTAATCGAAATAATAACTAAGGTAACATAATTAATAGATTCGGAAAGTAAATCTTTCATTTAATAGTTTTACTAAGATGTGTATTCTTTTATCTATTTTTATCTATAACAACTTTTTGAAAATAATACATGCTCCAATATATCAAGTGTAGCATCTTTTCTGAATGTTCTATCAAGTTGGTGTATTAAAGAGGTCATTTTTTGAATTTTCCAAGTGATTTTAATTAAATAATACTGTATGTAACCAACCTTCTCAATTTCCCACCTGCAATTATTAATTAAATTTTTTTACCAAAACATAAATATTTTTAGTCGTTGTTCTACGGGCGTATTTACGAGGGGATATAGGGGATACATTCCCCCCAAAGGCCTTTTTTATTTTATTAACAGAAAATGACGTGTATTAAAGTATTGTTATATTGTTATTTCACAAATCGTCATAATCATTATCACTCATTATCATTTTTTGTTCCAAGCGATAGGCATTTTACCAAAACGTACATGGTGCATATGCTTCGGAACTATGTGTAAAATAAGCCAATACCATTTGCTAATTTAAAATGGGCGATTTGCCGCTTTTCATGAATAATAAAAAATTGAATTGTGAAATAACTGATACCAGTGGCTTGCTGAAAATGTTTTATGCCTGAGGAAAAACAAAAAAAAATTATCAACATTAGGTAAAACACTTATTAGTAATAAGTTATTTACATAAGAAAGTATTAACTTTTTTCGCAACTTGTTTTACAACAAATCATAGGAACAGGCAGTAAGCTAGTATGCTATTAAATGTGTAGGAAGAGAAGTTTGGAAAACTATTTAAATGCCGCTCGCCGCGCCACCATACAAATTATACTCCACAATACATCTCCTTATATCCGAACTTAAAAGTGGAATATCTCGCCAACGAATTGACGGAAATCAATAATTTTAACACCGAAATTTATTTAAACTTAAACTATTCATCTTTTTAATAGGATTTTTAGTATAGGTTCCTATTTGTAAATCAAAAATGGATAGGGTTTCATCCTATAAAATAAAGGGGTCAAAAATAACGGCATTGTAACATTTCAAAACAGCTTATTTCTTAAATTTTTTTAAAAAGTTAATATATTTCGAGATAATGAGTGTCTAACGTTATGTTGATCAACCTATATTTTATACAAATGGCGTGTGATGTAGATATTGATTAGTCTAAAGAAAAATTTAAAAACAATATTATTAATTATCGATAAAATAATAAAATCCTAACTACGTACCTTCCACGAACCGAATTTTCTCCCTTTAGACGGTAACTTTATATCGATCATACCGGACATTTCCATAGTCGGTCTAGTCACTGATTTAGTTCTGGTCTATAATCATAATTACAATTTCATTTATTATTCCAGTAACTTCATTTCAGCTTCTTTTTATTTTCTAAACATGTATAGGTACATTTATAGAAAAACCGTTTACATGAATGGAGTAATATTTTATTGCGATTTCTGTTTTCTCTTCACGCTATATATGATTTATCAGTGTAATATGAGAATTCATTATTTTCTCTTTGATTATATAATTTAAGTGAAAAATAGTTACGGGATAAAAAAAACTCGGTAATTTGTTTTCTATCCGTTTCACGTAAACGCCGAGACGAATGGTGACGAAATTAAATATATTAAACAAATATCTTTTACAACTTTATATTTATACGAAATATTAGAACTCTTAGTCAAAGCATTATCATTTTGATATAGATACCTACCAAACCAGTTACTCGTTCTAAATTTGATTACGATTGATAAAATATTAACCCTGATGAGTCAATTCTCAATTCTATTCATCGTCAAACCGTATTATTTTCTCATCAAGTTCACCATCACCTTCGCGACAATAAAAAGATAAAAATCTACAATCGATTTTAGTACGTATTAACCTTAAAATACAAAATCGATAACACATATATTATTATTAGGTTTGTAAATCACGTTTGAAAATAACGTTCCGCCCATAACAAGAAAATATCTATTGAACCATAATGTGTAAACATAAAAAAAGAAAAACTGTTTACATTCGTGACTAAAAAACTCTCACTTTTTACGCTGTCTATCTGCTCTTACTGAAAAGTAATTTCATTCATTTTTATTATGTGAGTTATGTCCTTTTGGGGTTTTATTAAATACATAATATACCTTTACAATGCATTAATGCATCACTCGGTTCGACATCTTCTGTACATTTATTAGAATCTCTGTCCACATTTGGATTGCACTCTGTTCATTAACAATGGCAACATATTTTTATTCGTATGACAATGTTTTTATAATAAATATATATATATATATATATAAATTAATAATGGTTGACTTAGATTGCACTTTAATTATGTTTTATATATTTTTTTGTCAATTTGTATTTGTTTTAATATTATGAAAAACCAGCTGCTGCGAAGGACGTGAAGGTCAAATAAAAGAAGAAACAGTGGGAAACTACCTGTTAGTCTCGTATATTGTTCTAACAAAAACCACAAGTATCTACTTAGCCATGGTATAATGATTTTTATATGAACATTGGTAATTATTATATTCAGAGTCATTGCAATTTAGTTTATTATAAAATACAAGTATATAATTTATCTTAAAACTAAACTTAAACATTTATTTAACTTTTAAAGTACGACTTGTACTTGTACTTGTTTATTTTTGTAAATCATTATACTTATGATAATCATATAAGTAAAATAATTAATTTGTTAGAGTTATCAAAATATATTGAAATTCCGAAATGTTTCGATCGTTTATAAAATATCATATTATAAAATTATTCGAATTTAAACTTTTAAACCATTTAAATGCGATTGGAACATATAGCGTATACATTTGGACTTTTTAAAGAATAAGAGTAATGCATTGTTATCTATATTATATAATACTTACACAAAAAACTTGGTATATTTCTACGGTTATTTAATAATATTTTATAATATTCTTTAAAATAACTGATAAAATGTGAAATTCCGGAGAAAGAAAAATGTTATCAACAATATAAAGCACCTTGGCGTACCTAAAGGGTATGGAAACAAGAATACCCGTGTGTAATATGATTTTTATATTTTTTAGATGGAAATTATATATGAAGTGAAAAAATTGATTATTTCTGGTTCTGCGAACAAATCGAACCCTCACAAATGCATACCAGTAAAGATTTCTTTAACGCGAAAGTAATATTAAAACATTCATTTTCAAATGTGCGAACCTTGGTTTTCTTATTAAAATCGTTCTGTGTTGAATTTCCTGTGTATAAATTATACATATGTATAATTGAAATTCCCAGACTTATATTTTATAAATTATGAACTGCATTGCATAGCTCAAAGCTATATATTATTTTTTGGCTATTGTTAGTCTCAAGGTGGGTACACACAGTTATAACGTTTAATTTTACGAAGCTGTGCAGATTTACCATGAAGTTTTTGAACAAATATTTTGATATTTCCGAGGTCCGTGGTTCAGTGAAGCATAAATATTATGACGTTGAATTGTACGACATAGCCAGCCTTGAAGTTTTTCAGATCTAAATATGGAGGTTGATCGGAAAATGAAATATTTTTATCTTTATGTGTCGGAAGGTATTTATTAGTTATGGTTTTTTTTTTTTTTTTTTTTTGCACCGTCTATTGTGTTTCGCTGTAAATCTCATTTAATACGCATGGGAAAATGTTTTAACCTTTTGATGATAAATACTGGAATAAAATTTTAAATCAAAAATTAAACCTTTTTTAAGTGAATAATTTTTACTTTAAAATTATTTCGGTGACTATGTGTACGTATTGAATAACCGCCATTATTTCTTTGTCTTGAATAGCATATTATAGTTATTTTAGCGAAACATTTGTCCAATTAAAAACTATATTATATAATTATTATTATCTGTGCATATATCTATATAATATATATGTACACGATGTTTATTTATTAATCTTGAAATGTAAGTAGTGTTAATGGATTCCATGCGGAGAAGGTTTTAACTGTTTGACACTGGTGATGTACAAGCAAGTAGAACATTATTATAGACAAGGCCGAATAAATAATACGTACCTGTCACATCTTAGATCGCGGTGAATATTAAACATTTTTGTCGTTCAAACAGTTATCGATACCTAATAATTAATAATAACCGTGTTTAAATAGTTTAACGGATAACAAATTTAAATTTATTATCCGCGGGCTACAATTTAATGTAACCCGCTAAATAAATCATTAACATTTTTTTAATCTAGTTCGGTGAAACGTATGTGACTAACATGATTATTATGTATTAAAATACAGTGGGCGTCGCTTATAAGACTCACTTTGTGCTGGTCCCAAAATGAATCCTATAACCGAATGAACCTTATAGGCAAAGTTGAGAAAGGATAGAATATATTTGGATATGTCCGGACTGCTCTGAGTGATTTTGAGTCTAATAAGTGACTGAACCTTATATCCGTCCACTTTAGTAAAAACATATAATTTTTTTTATTCATATTATTGATCTCATAGGAAACTTTACAGGTATTTAAGTGATAAGCAATCAGTATTTAATTGTTATTTTGGAACTGAAATCGAAGATGAACCAATTTATACAAAAAAAAAAAAATCAAAACTAAACAATAATTCTGAGTAAGGTATACCTACAGAAATAATATTAAAAATTATTTTATTAAGGAATTATAACTATATCTCTATATCTATAAATGAAAATCTTAAATATATTATAAATTTATCTTCAGGGCGTTTCTCGTAATAAATCATCTCCATTTCACTAATTCGAATGATCGCTTATATTCAGTCACTTCTGCACCGATATTACATTGCTCAGTGCTCACAATCAATTACTATAGGTACCGTACGCACTACTTATTTAACATTGTTTTATTACAAATAGAAAATCGATTAGGTATTGGCTTTTATTGCACAATAGAACAAATCCAAAAATAATACAACGTAGACATAATTTGAAGGGTAACAAAATATTGCTGGGGCTACAATCTGGTGTAAGACATAACGTGTAGCAAATTACAATGTTTCCTACAATACTACATAACGCGCTTTTAGAATTTATAATATTTAAATCTTGCATTATTATTTTTTTGAATTTAAGAGAATTTTGAAATGACTCGATATGATGTTCAATTTTTTCGGTAGACACATTATATAAAATACTGATAACTATATTAAAACAGATTATAATATATATCATAATATTATGTTAAACTTTGTCTTTTTTCCTAAGTTAATAAATTAGGGTTTGTTTGAACTGCACATAGGTTTTTAAGAGGTCATGCCTTATAAATTATTTGAATCGTGACTTTCATAAAATATAAATAATATACATAACATAATTATTAGCAACATTGATTTTACAAACAATAAACGTTTGTATAATATGCATATAGTTTATTTTATATTATCTTCTATGTAGTTCATTTTTTAAATTTTTTCATCATGGTGTAAATACTGAGGTAAGTATGTATTTATTTTAATGATTTTTCTAACTATTTTTTATACATTCTAAGTTATAAAAAATATATTAAACTGACTATGTAGTCAAGTCAACTATTTATGATTAACATTTGTATTCTTTGACAATAATAACCAACCATAATATTTTCACAGAAAAAAAAAAATGCTGATACGTACAGAAAATCAGGTCTAACGATTTTATTTTTACAAAATATGTCCAATGTTCATAATAATAAATATTTCCATACCTACCATAGAATTTAAAATATTTAATTCTCGCATTATTATTTTTTGAATGTAGGAAAATAGGGAAATTTTAAAATGACATTCAATTATTTTTTCACTATAGGTAAACACAAATATTATAACGTATTAAAGGTTGGAAATTATCTACGCTACGTATTTGTTGTTTGAATAGTGATATATCTACCTAGTGTGATAGTTTTTATTTTTACATTTTTCAAGATTTTTTTCGATCAATTTTTGTTCTATGTAATGTATGGTTTTTTTTTTTTAATAGCTTATTTATGTGTTGCTAGGAAACCAGATAACGGTTACCACGAAACTGACTAAAATAAATAATAAAAAAATGTCATCAAAATCTTATTTCTAGTTATAATAAATACTTACAAGTAAGAACCTATTAGTTTTTTAATTATTATAATATTAATACCTATACCTAATTGGCTATTTTATATAGTTTCTTTGTTATGCTCATAATAGTCAAACAGATTTTAAATTGAATAGATACCTTACATTTTTTCAAATCAAAATAGTTGTTAAAATAACAGTTCTAATCGGTTCAATGGTCTACGCGTATCGCAATATTCAAAATAATCTAATAACCAAACAGACAAATTTAAAAAGTTTTTATTAATACAACAATTGACAAACATTTATTTTTCTTTAAACTTATAAGTTTAGGTATCAAATAAATTAGTTTAAAAGAAAATTATATTATTGTTAGCTGAATAGGTTAGGTTAGATTAGATAAGATTAGGTACCTATATCTTATACGTCAGTGATCCTCAGCCTATTTTATTATACAATACGTTTGTAGATTTTTTCAAAAATCTCACGCATAGAGTGAAAAATTTGATGCATATTTTTAAATACCCATTGTCGTTATTATTTTTTTGTTTTTTCTCTCCTTTATGAAAATATAAAATAAATACACATTTTACTTAGTAATGACTGCTTTCACCTCCCCAACAATGACTTAATGGTTAAGTGCTGATAAATATGATAATCTAAACAATATTGAATGTTAAGAAAATTTATTGTACACACTACAAGTATTTTGAGTAATTATCTACGATTACCCATATCTTTTATAAGATGTCCCCACTGTGTTGTTATGTATACGTCAACATTATTTATTTACTAATTAGAACCGTTATCTTTGATTGGTTTAGATCTAATTATCCAAATTTATGAGTTACTCAGCATTTTTTAAAATATACTAATTACATGAGTATATAACTACATTTTGTACTATAATTTCAAATTTCGATTATAAGAATATGATAAACGATTTGATGATGCCACATTAGGAAGACATAATACTCACACATGCTGTCTCTCATTTAAAAACGTGTAACATAGCAAATTTGCGTTCAACATGAACAATATTTGTGCAATTAGTTTTAATATTAGAATGAATTGACTTATATAAAACTTAAGAATCCTCAAAATAGAATAAGGTAAGAATCATCAGAATTATCTGTACAACATTGGTGCTTTTTTTTCTATATTTTAATTTTTAAGAGATATATGAATATGTGAATTTATTATCATACATTTAATGATGCTTATACCTCGCTTGAAAATTAAAATATTGAAAAAATAGTACCAGTGTTGCACAATTAATGTTCTTATCTTTAAGTATGATAGTAGGTTAATTCACTCTAATATTAAACTAACAGCACAAAGTTGTCCCTGCTGAACGTAAATTTGCTATTTCGTAGGTTTGTAAGACGGAGACACATCACGGGTAACATGTTCTCTTAAAAACAATACACTGACGTCAGTCAGACAGTCTCGTTTAGAATATTATCTATGGTTAGTGTTTTTTTTTATTATTGTTGTGCGTTGACTTTCAAACAATACTGTTCGTGCAGAAATAAATTGTTTCTATTGGAATACTGTGTAGTAAGTATACACATTGATATTTATCTAGATAATAGATGTTCTAAAGTAGTTTTGCTATCTCAATTAAATGTATAATGCAGGTACAAAGATATGTAGATACACTAATAACATTTAAAATTTACAAAACTATAACATAGTTATTTTTTAACTCATAAATCTATCTACTACTCAAAACAAATATTTTTAAAATAATACCTGCTGATAAGAAATACAATAGTTTGGTGTTAGTATACCTAACAGGCTAATATATTATTGCAAAATAGTCGGACTATACGACAAATTAAATATTTTTTTTTTTATATATATATACACCTAAACAATAAATATATTTTAAAAACTTGCAAACAATAAGTAGGTAATTTAACAATTTTTCTCTCCAAATAAGTAGAATATTATATTCTTTGATGAATATAATTTTAAACACTAAAATTTGCAAGCAGAAAATTATATATTATATTCTGATGACAAATCAATTAATTTGAGAAAAATATTCTATATTCAATACAACAATTTAAATAGGTACTAAAAGTATCTACGATATTTTTAATTGTTAAAATTGTATCAACTTAGTATAACTTTTAATTTATTACCTACAGGTAAAACGAATCTCAACCATTCGATAGTTTTTTCTAAGAAATTATCACGATAATTAATTAACTCACTTTTTGAATGTACTTTTTTTGTTAACCATACAATTTTAATTACCGAAAATTCATTATAATAATATATTCCTAACATATGACAATTATTATTTCTACTTTAAATTAACTTAATTTCTTAATGTACAATATAACTTACAAATAATTTCTGCTAAAATTACAATATACATATCTACCTACCTACATAGTTAAACCGAATACGCATAATATATGACGTAACTCCTATAGTATAACATGTATTGTTCTGAAATAGGAACTCTTGGTTCATCTGGTAAAACTTACAATCAGTGAGTTGTGTCGACTGGGAAAATTAGGAAATATGATGGTAAATTTTATATAATTTTATCGTTTTAGTATAACGTACATATTCATTTATTGAATGAGTTATGGTTATAGTAATTTAAAAATTAATATTAACTCGATACTACTTATACACAAATTTTCATGGAAATAACAATATTATTTCTACCGGGTCTCTACTGTCTTACAGGTCCTTACAGGTCTTACAGGTAGAATATACCCATGGTTCGTCTCTGACTGTCATAAAAGAAAACTAAAAGAGACCTAGAGGTAGGCAGCATCTAATCTAGATAGATGCTGTAATATCAGGTATAGTTATAAACTAGATAATAGTAAATGATCTTAATACTAAGATAGCGACTATTATATTATACTGAGAAAGACAACGGGAAACTATCTCATTAAAATACCTAGCTGAACAATAATTAAATTGACATTCCATTCTAGTGGACCCTGGCTGCTAGCAAAGAATCGGGAGGAATAAAATTCGAAGTTATATGTTGTTAACTAACCGTACGGTTAAACATTAAAAACAAAAAATTGAATAATATACATGGAATGAAGGCGTGAGATAAAATGAAGGTGAAGGAGAATCAGGCTAATAAATAATAAACGTAATTATATTCAAACTAAAATAATATAATAACTTATTATTCTTAAAACTATAGTATTTATGTTTGCAATATTAAAAAAATATTTTTGCAAGTTTTGCTATTGCGTAAACCGTCACGTTTACTATTTTTAAATTTATACTCAAACAGAAGAAAAAATAGAATTTATAATTTTTTTGTGAAAGTAAAATTTGAAAATCTATAATTGTGATATAAAACTGATATAACTTTTACAAATGAAAGGTAAAGAGAACGGCGTGTTTACAGGAATCGTAGGTACTTTTCATAGTAAACATTACATAGAATATGTTAATTAATGTTAATTAAACTGTCAATATATAGTACGATTGAATTTTAATATGATTAATATATTATATTTTAAAAATAAAAGGTTACCTACCTACATTGAAATGTTTTTACATTTCATGCATTCTCGGTAAAAACTATTGTATTGACTATTGGTGTATTACGTAACATGTTTAATATGAATAATCAAGGTAGACATGAAATAACTGTGTGATATTTATAATTGTGTTTACAAACCCGTCATGTTTTTTCAGAAAATAAATTTGATAAAAAAAAGACGCCATTACTATAACTAAAACTATTATGGTAGCATATTTAATAAAAAGTTAAAATGACAATATTGTAGTAGGTGCCTAACAAAATTTCATAATTTAGAAAAAAACATCGAAAAAAATAAGTGCAACAATAAATAAATAAATATTTAAACCGGCATAATTGTATATATTATTTTATAGATGTCATCACTTATTTATCCTTAATATGTATTTTATTAAAACAATAATAATTATAGTAATAATGTTATAAACAAATAAACAATGGTCAACTACATAAGTCATTTATATAGGTAATTTATTAAAAACTGTACTTATTTAAACTATTAATACATTTTCACTTATTATTATATTAGGTATTCGCAGATAAAGTATCTAGTGGTTGAATGTAATATGGAAATATATTACAGTTTCTTAAATCAATACAGCCCCATTAATGTATACTGCACATTATTTGTCTGATGATACAATGAAGGAAGGGTATCCATCACTGTGTACCAGTTTCACCTACCATCATTTCTGTATATATATCTCTATCACTTAAATAACAAAAAAAAAACTATCTCGATTTTTTTTATTAATAAAATCATTTTTTTATTTTTATTATTATAAAAACTCAAAGGTTGGTTAGTGGTGGAAAATAAAATCAGAATTTCCCAAAGTTCGATAAACCGGAATTTTAAATCCTAAATCGAAAATACATATAATATCCGGCTTTCAGACATATATTTTTTACACAAATCATTAAATAAGTATTTGTTAATTAGAGAAAATACAACAAAATCAAAAACTTGAATTTTGTAACTCTAAATTCAAATTTTTCGGATTTTCAGATAATCTAGATTTATATCACTAGTCAATAAACTTATGTCCCAACAACTAATTAAAACAACTCAGATATGATATCTTATTTAAATTGTCTTCTTCGTGTATCTTCTATATTATCGTTATTTTCTATTAAAAGAATGTTAACTATTAATAACTGGCATTTACTTCTTTTTTTATATAATTACTGACTACTATATATTAGGTACGTTTACAAACTTTTCTAATCCGCACTTACACACTTTTAATTTATTCCAGGCTATATCCACACAGTGCCGACTGCTGGTTTCTTAAAATTAATAATGACAGAGAACACAATATTTTCATCTGTTTGTCACGAATATCGAATGTTATAGGAACTTGTTTTGTTAGAATTAACTTATATTATATGTAAGTACAATATGGGTACGTTTAATGATTTAAACATTACACAAAAAGTGTATTTATATTTTTGCAGTTTTAATTAGAAAATTTGATCTTTCTGTTTGAATAATATTTGTGAAACCAAGTATGATCCCAAGTATACGCATTAAAATAGGTACGTACATATAACCTTGAAAATGTAATATAGAAAGCCCTTAAAGAATTAAAGTCATAAAAAAAATATTATGATTACACAGTTACGAAAATATTTATGTAACAAAAAATTTATTATCTAATGAAATTATGTTTTATGTAGTAATTTTAAAATATATAAGTACTGCATAGCACCATAAATGAAATATATAAAATAAATAAATATGATTCATAAATTATAAGCCAAAGTCATAAGTGTAAAAATCATATGAAAAGTTTATCAAATCAATGTACGTATAAGTGCCTACTTTTGTCGATTTTAAATGTTCCGCCTAGATAATAAAATATTGATTCAGAATTACCGTAAATTATAAAACATTAACAGTTTGTACTCACTATAAGATATACTCAAAATTCAAAACAAGATCTGGATGTGGATTTGATATTTTCACTGTTATTATTATTAATTTATAATTAATATTAAAGTAAATAATATTACTAGTTAATTTATGTACATAAATATTAAATACATACCTAATATTATTCTAATGATATATTTCTACGTTTTTGTAACATATTCCCTTTTAATTTCTTTTTGTATGCAATTATAATAATAATAAAATATGTGTATCATTTTCAAATTAATGTCCATATTTTTATGTACCTATACCTAAGAATAATAAATTACAATAACATTGAAATTATGCTAGAGAGTTTATTATAAAATATAAATTAGACGTACAACTTTAGATTTGGTATATTATGTACTATGGTAGATTTATGCAGGTATTTTACAATTGTTATACAATAATTCTACTGCAATCGATGTCAAAATATCGTTTTGTGTTTTGTTACCTACACGAATTTTAAACGAAAAAAAAAATCGATCGGACAAAATATTCGATATTATTCGAAACTATTATGTTAAGCATTTGTTTTCAATTATTATTTACCTTTGTATTAGAAAGCGCAGCGTTTAATTCTCTTCGCAACCGATCGATCGACGATAACTCCGTGACACAAACGACTATATTATCGTAGTGATTTAAAATGCAAACACAATGATCACGGTAGGCAAAGTAATCGTCGTCAAAATAATTATTGTGTTAAAAAACGCGCGATTTTCCCGGATGTTAAATCACCGATTATCACTAAACGCCGATGAACCGTATGCGATCAGTGCGAATTTATCGAACGCGGGTACATAATGAATAGTACACAGTCAAATAAATGCAAGTATTATTTTATATTATCATTACGTTCAAGCGAATGTGTGCATGATTTGATTGCAGTTTTAGTACTGTTGCCGTCGGTAGTTTGAAATCGTTCGTATAGGTACGCTGCCGCGGCCGCCCTGCCGTTGTTGTGTAGCAGCTATACAGGTACTAACTACAATATAGTAGTCATCATCATCGTTACTGTGACGAAATAATAGTCGTGCGATTATGATCGTAGTGTCGGAATAGTTTGGTTTGGTGCCTAACTAGACAGGAAATAAAATGGTAAACAACAATAATACATAGGTATATAATATATAGGTACTGATATTATAGATACGCTAATATTGTCTAAAATAATTGTTTTTTCGTGCCGTGGACGTGTTTTTTTTTTCTGCTGTATTTATATTATTATTCACACTTAAAATGCGTTATTACCGTACGATCAACAATGTATTTTGTTTACTTGTAAATTATCGTACTCTGCAGTAATGCACGACGTCGTACACCTTTATATTATTATCCGTAGGTACACCTAATATACAACAAAACAAAACTATCACTTTTACTAATCACTGTTCGCCGCCGTTATTAAAAAGTTTTATACATTACGGTTGACAAAGTTTGGTCGATATTTGCCCTATATATCGGATAGGTAGGTCTAACTATTTGAACATTCTTGGTAGAAAAAAAACCCCGTTATTCTCGTACCTGCCTACTTCATTCGTCTTGTACCTGTTTAAGGGTATACACAGTACACGACCACAATAAAAATATATACCAGTTGTATATTTTTGAATAACTGTAAAAACCATGAATGAGATGACGAGTAATAATAACATGGAGAGTTTTAAGGAAGAGTCGGTCAAAGACAAACAAGAAGAAAATGATATAATATTAGAGGATAATACTGCGGTCGAGGTAGGTATATAATACTAGCCATTTAAATAAAGCGCGGTCTTGTTAATTTCATTTTGATTTTTTTTTAATTCGTACCATATTATAATATACCTACTTACTCTTTATTACATTTTGTCTATTATTTAACAAGTGAACAAGTCGGTACTTTCGTAACTTTAAATTATTGTTTTTCATAATGTGATTACAAAATAATTTTTATTCGAGTAGTTGTATTATAGGTACTGGTATAGCGATTGAGATTAAAGCGTAACACGTCAAATATTATTTTTAAAAAATAATGAGCTAAGTAATTGGTATACCAAAATAATTGTTGTTTACAATATTTTTCTTACTCGTATTATATTTCGAGTTTGACTTTATGACGTAGTACACATAGTTTCCTAAATAACATTTAATCAATTTTATAGCTCTCAACATAGTCTTCTATAATTATGTTTAAAAATTTAATTTTAAAAGTATACGTAACAAAAACTAATACTGTTCATAGGTGTACCACTACAGTAGGTAGGAAGTTAGGAAGATAGGATACATACAATTAATTATAATTTATACAAGTACATAGAAATGAATTGTTTCTAACGAAATACGATTTTGAATGAAGTTCTACAAAAAAATTACTACATTTCGCTTAATTTTTTTTATTATTATTGTTATAAAATACAACTTATGATGAACATTGTATTAAATTTCAAACATTTGGCTTTTCAAAAAAACTATATTCACATAATTAAAAAATAATAATACATGAGATTTTTAAGATATTCGTCAAAATTTGAACTTAAAACTTAAAATTTGAACATAAACTACTGTCTACTTCATAACACTCAATTTTTATTATTATTCATAAAGTAAAATCGAGTAAAATGTTTAACAATTTTTACAAAATTCACATACGTCATAGTATAATGTATTTACAATTTCTTTTTTTGCTCGGAATCTAAAATAAAATTGTAAATAATTATCGTTATTGTCGTAAACTTTACCATTTTTCTTAAATTTTCCCTAATTTTTATCAATTATTAGGAAAACTGCTAAGAAAACCGAAAAAACCTCAATGCTTAATTTTGGTCAATCATAGTTATGTATGATTTTGTTTACTAAATGTAACTTTTTTTTTATTATGACTTCCTTAAAAAAAAATAACAAATCTAAATAAATTGTAGGTATAATAGTATAATAAATCATATTGCATATTATACGAATATAGGAATAACTAATATAATCAAATATTTTATAATACATAATCATAAATATAGGGTAAATTTACCTAAACGAATTATAAAGCTTTTTTAACCTGTCTCTCGAGACTTCTAAAATCCCGACCCAAAATGCGTATTTTACTATTTATACACGTCTGTATTAAATTATAAAGGATCAAACAGGCGTTTATAGCTCTATTATTATACCACTTTATAGGTACTATTTGTCTTGGCCTTAACATATGCAAAATGGGTCGACTATCTGTACTCGAGTCCTTATTTTTCCTGTTACTTTGTCACTACCATCTCTATTTTTACTATAAACGCCATTTTCTTTTAATAACCTTCATCATGTACTCATTTTCATTGATCAACATGAAGGCCCATCGGTTGTCACTATTTCTAAATTTTATCCACATAAACTCCCCTCACCGTCTATAATTTTATAATAGCGATTTTGTTTATTACCTTTTACTCTAAACGGCGTATAATTATTTCACAGTACATCAACTATTCATTGGGAAATTTACACCATGTTTAGTTTAATAATTTTAAATAATTAAAATATAAGTATAGATACTTTGCCTACCTTCCAACTATATTAAATTAATGATATCAATTTGTTGGCATTAGGCCTCGAGTACATTGTGCACTTTAATGGTCGAGGAACCTGCACAATCTGACGACAGTTCAAGTTACAGTATGACATTGAGCGAGTTTGAAGAAGACAGATGGTATAATCCGGCATCGTTATCTGATGACGTGGCTGAAATAGAAAGCATCCAAAGATTGATTAAATATATACGAGTATAACATAATGCGTATTTTAAATTTTTAAAATTTATTACTATTCTATATTATATATCATTCTAGATTTTAATTTTGGTACTCGTTTATTTTTAGGTAGGCAATCAAACAGCCACAACAATTGCATTGGCTGCATTGGTAGATCACAATTTACGCGATGAATCCACACAAAGTATCGTGATTGCTACTGGTGGTACAGAATTACTAATCAATTTATTAGAAGCAGACCACTGTGAATGCAGAGTAATGTTTAATAAAAATATTTTATGTTTTATAATTTATGGTTAGTTGATTAATATTACACATATCATATAAAAAAACGTTACGTCCATACGTTATGATTTTAATGATTTTAATTTTTAAATTATTTTTAACTATTGTACAAATCTATATTATTAAATATAATAAATGTCTATTCATCAATTATATTAAAAAACCAAATATTTATACATAAAATATTTTTTCAAAATAAGAATTTTTTTTAAAATTAATTAAATATTTGTTTTTATTTAGTTAAAAAGTGAAATATTAACATTTTGTTAAAAAAAAAATTGAGCGTCATTTAGAAGTTTTTTTTTATAAGCGTTTAAGTTCAAATGTTGACAAATATAGTAAAATCTTGAAATTTTGATAGAAAATCTATATTTGCATTTTCTAGTCGTAGTAAAATTTCAATATTTGAACTATTTTTGATTTATTCATAGACATTTTAATTTTGTGAATGTTTTTATGTAACTTGGTAAGTACTCTGTGAATAAAACTGTAGACTAAACGGAAATGCTTTAAAATTTGACAGGAGGTTCATTATATGTCGTATTTAATAACAAAATTTAAAAAATATAGAGAGTAATGTATTATTGTTTTTTTTTTATATACAATAGTTTTAAAATCAAATTTTGACAAAAATCGTAAATATTTCAAAACATGTACAACCGAACTTCGCTCCGAATAGTTTTTATTAACAATGGATTATCATTGGTTACATGTATTAATTAAATTATTTGATGTAGTCCACCTTCACAACTAACCACCTATAATAATGGCCACACCCAACTTCAATATATGCTTTCGTTTTATTATTTTTTTTTAAACATCCTATTCAACTATATTAAATAAACGGTACGCTAACGAAATATTATTTTTATCACCATAAGGTATTTGCCATTATAATACCTATACGTATTATTCGGTATATTTTGTTAGCATCTTCGATTATTGAACACTATTTAAGCTGTAATACTGTCTGAGACTAGTAAATACCTAATTATTTCTTAATAAATACAGAAGGAAAAACTAAAATTTTTTTGTGCGACTTTTGTATTTTTACCTAGATCTAGGTAATACTACAAAACCTGGATAATAATATTGTTTTTAGTCAACCATACTAGTAACGCAATTATATAAACATATATATTATAACTGAGTGTACCTGCCAATTTAATATTCATGTATATATAATTTATGTACATAAAAAAAAGTTTTCTTAGAATGACTAATTTATCGTTTAAACATAAATAATAATAATAGAACTGATACTGCTGATGGGTGTGCCACAGTTGTAGATAGGAATCTCGGAAGATAGGAAGTGATGTAATATATACATATGATACATAATATATTTTTACGAAACGATAAACTATTGCTAATGGAAATTAATTTGAAGCAAAAGTTCGGTAAATGTTTTGAAATGCCGAAATTTATACAATTTCGACAAAATTTGATCTTAAAATGCTTTTATTAAAAAATTACTACATTATGTTCAACTTTTTTTTTACCACTAAAGTTAAACTTGTAAGTGCATTACGTCTAGAAAAGACTAATATAATTATTCTGCCAAAATGTTAGCTCTCTGTGATTATACTTAAATGGTACAACAAAAAAAAAAAAAAAACCAAAAATGTATATTTTGAAATATTAGAAGTTTAAATTTAAAAAAGAAAATGGTCATACTTCGCACGATTGGAGGGTCACTGTTGTAAGTGAGAATTTTAAAAGGTATTATATAAAGGGTAATTTAATGTATATCTGTAAGCAATAGTTTATCGTTGGTTGAATAGGATATTTAAAAAAAAAAAAAAAACATGAACTTATATTAAGGATGGGTGTAGTCACTATTGTAGGTAGGTAGTTGGGGAGGTGGGACATATCAAATTTTTTATTAATACCTGTAACCAATAATAATCTATTGCTAACTATAAACGATTCAGAGTAAAGTTTGGTTATATATGTTTTGATAGGACGTATATTTACGATTTTCGTCACAATTTGATTTTAAAACTATTATACATAAAAAAAAAATACTACATTTAAGTCAACTTTTTTTGCTAACCACTAAGTAAAACTTATAATGAATTTCCTATCAAACTTTCAAGCATTTCCATTAGCTTAAGTCAACAATTTTATTCACAAAATACTTACTAAATAGAAGTTATGTAAAAAACATTTAAAATTAAAATGTCTATAAATAAATCAAAAACGACTCAAATATTTTGAAACGTTTATTACGACTAGAAAAGGGAAATATAGATTTTCTGTCAAAGAGTCTCTACAAATATTTTGAATTGAATTATAGCAAAAAAAAAAATTTTAAATTATAAAAGTATAATTTTCGTAAATTTTCCCGATAATTTTTAAATACCTATTATAAGAGATCTACGTAATACAGGAATATCAATACATAACACTCATATTTTAAATATTGAGTGTTGTACGTTAAATATTGCTCCTTTAACGTTAACTATTTAAGTATTTCATATTAATTATAAGTAATTCATAATAAAATGTTTAGATTGTAAAGAAAATTGTACGTTTAATGTTTAGCACGGTGCTCTCGCTGTGTTACGTGATATGTCATTTATGCTGGGTACAAGAAGAAATTTAACAAATTTAGGCGCTATTCCAATTTTAGTAAAACTATTGTTTGACAGGTCGTCTGATTTACAAATTCTTTCAGCCGAGATTTTGGCTAATGTAGCAAAGATTAGAAAAGGAAGAAAGTTCATACGAAAAGCTGGTGGTATTAAATTAATGGTAAATAAAAATCAATACATTTATTCATGCTTAATAACTATTTACATCGTAATAGGTGAATTATATGGACGTACCCTATCAAATACTGAAAGCTGAAAGTGAAACGTTACCAGTATTTCAACAAAAATCATTCAATTTAATGCGTAACTGTGCAAAAGCGTTATGGGCTATGTCTAAATCAAATAAAAACAAAGATGTAATGCGCCGATCTGGAATTATACCAGTAATGGCAAAACTATTGACCTCAGTTCACGAGGATGTTGTCCGTTCGATTTTGGGGATTATCGTTAATTGTGCAACACAGGTAGGTACACAAAATAATTTGACTGCTAATCAATCGGTACCTAACGAACAAATTATCCTAAATAAGTTTAAAAAAAAAAAAAAAAATTCTGAATAATTTTAGCCAGTTTTTCGAACAGCTATTAAAGAACAAGGCATGTTAGTAGATATATTAAAGTTACTAAAGAGTTCAGAAATCGAAATGATGAAGAACGCTGCTACAATAACATTCAATGTGAGTATTACACTAATAAATTATAATATATTAAACAACTTTTCATGATATCGATACAGTGTGCCGAGGATCCTGAAAGCCGAAGATTGATCAAAGAACAAGGGGGACTTAACTCATTGGTTAATATTGTAAAAGTCGAATCACACAAGTCTGAAACGAAATTAATGGAAGCTGCTACAGGAGCAATATGGAAATGCCTGATAAATCCAGACAATGTAAAACGTTTGGAAGACATAAATGGTATACATATACTGGTGAAACTTTTAGACTGTGATTGTGAAGAAGTACGGACATTTTTATTTTCATTTTAAATTATAAATAGTTCTATTTTTACATATTTTAGATTCTGAAGTCATCGAGAATTGTATTGGTTTTACTAGAATGTGGTTTTTTTTTCCTTAACAAATTTTCTTCGTATTTTTCTTAATAATTGATAAAAAAAAAAAACAAAATGCTAGAAAACTAGAACATTTACGTAATAACGATTTCTATTCATTTTGTTTTTGTTTTTTAGTTGTAATTCGGTTTAAAATAATTGTAAAAACATGAAACCGAATACTCATTACTAACAATTAGTAATTTATTAGTTATTATTTATCTCTTCTAGATGACGTGGCAAAAATTTCAAAACATTCTGGTGATTTTTGAGCTATTTATAGCCATTTTAAATTTTCGAGTTTTTGTTTTATTTGGTATTTTATGTAGAAAAAATAATATTAAAAATGATGAAATATTTGAGGTAACAAAACAACGTCCATTTCCCTGGCACCTCCACCAATTAATTTTGAAACGATACCAAGGGCTTTTTTTTGTGCTACATTTGTGATGATTTGTGCCGTTAATCCCGACATTTGTGCTAATTTCAGTAAAAAATAAATTGAAATTAGCAGATGGAATTTGTGAATTTATTAACAAATGTTTATCGTTTACACTGTAGATATTTGGATAGTAGATGTTGAGAAATAGTGGAATTTTATTTTCCTACAAGTTTTTTACTAAAAAAATTATCTCAAATTAAAACTAAAAAGAAAACGTAAAAATTTCAAATGGCTGTAAAATATTTTTTTTCATTTGTTTAATTTATTTTTTAGTTACGAATTAATACACTTTTAAATTTAAGTTTATCAAAACATATTTAATCGTACCGGCAGTTAATCGAGTTTCTACTATACTTCGTTCAGAATCTTTTTTTCATTATCAATAATGATCATGACGTACAGATATAAATTAAAGTATATTATATCCGACCTTCCTGATTCCCTTCCTACATAACAGTAGCACACAGATGGTGCATAGAATGTCCGTCTTTTTTAAATATGCACAACATATTTTAGTTAGCTAGCTTTCCTCACTTGTTTTAATTTTTTTTTTTTAGGTAATTGCTAATACAGTAGCATCATTGGCAGAATGTACGAAAATAGGACGTAACAAAATTGCTCTAAGGGCTGCTGATGGTTTAATACCCATTATAAAATTATTGCAAGACACCAGTCATGAAAGAATACTCGTAAATGTGTGTCGAGTAATAGATAATTGTGCATCTGACTCACAGTGCATGGAACAAGTCGTTATCAACGATGGCATACGGTTAGTATGGTCAATGATGAAATTTGATTCAACTATCGTTCAATCCACTGCGGGACATACATTGGTTACGTTACTTAAAAATACAAAAGTGAGTAAACTTATCAATAAACATTAATGTTCTATAACACTTGTATCATAAAGATTTAATTTTTGATCGTTTAAATTTTATATGCCAACCACTTTTATATTCAAGTTTAATAATGAAAAATTGTATTTTCATTTTTAATTATTGCTCAATTATTGTTATTATTATACGCATACAGTTACTCGAATATATGTAAACATATTATTTTGACTCAAAAAATATTTGCACTATAAGTAAATTATATTCTTAAATTATTTGGTTAATCCAGTTGAGATGAGATTGTAGTATTGTATTAGTATAATTGTAACTTAATTACATAATATGATTCAAATTTTAATTTGTGTGTTGATTAATAAATAAAAAATAATAAATATTGTTATTTTAAAATGTTAGCTTTATGGCTTAGTAATATTTTCTAACGAATTTAAATATTATTTATATTTAAATTCAAATTGAACTATTAAATTGATACATTAATCTCTATAGAAGGACTTTTACCAGACAGTGCATAAGTTTTCTCAACAAAGAAAATATTTCGTTTATTAATTATTTTTATACTTTATATTAATACCACTTCCACCTTTCAGTCATATTTTATGGTAATTATTATGAAATATTATGTTAATCACTGGTATTACCAACGTATAAGTACGACGTACTAATATGACATATGCAAAGTAATGTTTTACGATTATAATAACAAATATGAAAGATCACGCTCTTTGAATATATTAACTTAAGCTATATTACTATAGAATAACAATATGCAATATTATTAATATTATCAATATTTAATTGATTAATCGAATTAGATTTATTAAAATTGGTATCGGCGTATATTTAAACAATACGATGATGCATATCATATACACATTACACACTTTAACATAAAATACAATTTTATAATTATTCCAATAGGATTCAAGTGATATTATGCGTTCACTGGTTACCGGATTGGTTATGTTAGTTGATTTATTAAAATCACATGATACGAGGGTCTTGGCTGCTGCATGTGCCGTCATTGGAATTTTAGCGAAAGAACCAGAAAATTTGGCAATTCTCACCGATTATGATATCGTACAAAGGTTGTCCAGCTTGGTGCATACAGTAGGTTTAACATATTCATTTAGAAATTAAAATTTACAATATATTAACTGTTTGGTAACATTTTCATTTGCAGAGTAATTCCGACCTCCAGGCCCATTTGTCTCGAGCCATTGGCTCTTGCTGTTTATTAGACCGCAACTGTCACACGTTTGGCAGGCTTGATGTAGTACTACCTATTTCAAAATATATATATTCAAATTCTGAGCTTGTCAAAGAAAATGTTACATTCGCTCTAAACGGCCTATCTGGTGATGCGACAAATTGTGTGACTATGGAATCTTGTGGTGTCGTTCCTGTACGATGACAATGAATAATAATCAAGTTTGACATGTTTAACGCTCAACTGCATGAAGCTAATATCACTTCTCCCTGGGTAATAAATAATCACAAAAAAATGTACTATCTATTAAAATTTTAATTTAGTATTGGTAGGAATTTAATAACAACGAATTGACGACTCCGGACTAGGATAGGCAAAATTATCGAATTTTCTACTTTAAAATGTAGCCTATCCGACATTGTTTTTATCTTTTACTTCTATCTTTATTTATACCTATAGTAGTTTTTTAACTAGTAAAGGTTTTAAGCTTTATGTTTATACTTAGCATAACTAACAACTTCCTTGGAGCAGATTCAGGTTTGAAGTTCGAACAAGATTTTAATATTTTGAAGTTGATATACCTGGATCTCAGGTTTTTGGCCGTTTTTTTTATTACCCAGAGAAAAGTGAATATATTCCTACTGCATGCAAAGCTGGATTAAGATATTTTGTGCTTGTAGACAAACAATTTGTTTGGCACCTCTCTCTCTCCTCCCCAATACTGGATATTGGTTTTAAAAATATACATTAGAGGCATTGTACAGTTATTTTTTTCGAAATCCATGCTTTTAATAAAAAAAAAATATGTACACGGAAGTTAATAATAATTTGTTTTAATTACAGTTTCTTATGGAAACTATTGCTTCTCGAGACCCTGACGTACAAGAGGCTTCAGCTGGGTGTTTGGCCAATATTCGAAAAATCGCTCTAAATGCTCGGCGATTAAAATGACGTTTATTATATGACTATAGAAAATCATATTATAGTCTAAAAAAAATGATTAGTTTACTTAATTTTTTATACACACTGTCAAAATTTACCTATTTTTAAAAAATGTTGTTAGTTGACTATGTCTATATAGGTAGACACCTATATGATAATAAATTATTAATTCAGAGCCAAGTTAAACCATAAACCAACAATTAATATGATGTACCCAATGTTTCATTTTTCTAGTCTTGGTATCTGAACCGTGTTATTAAGTTTGCAACAGTTTATCTATTTGTTTTTGTTGATATTTGTTGATAAATAATATAGTTAATATAATGTGAATGTTTATATCTTATACCATATTCATAAAACCCTTAATTCGTCCATCGAACCGTCTTAACACTTTAATGATTTACTTTTGGCAACCAAATCTACCATAACCATTCATTGCTTCATGTATAACAGTGGAATATAACTAGTTTTAAATAAAATTCCTTTTCTTTAATGAACTACTTCCATCAAAATGTATAGGGAAATTTATAGATGTATACTAGGATCATAAAGCTAGTTGTTTTTTTTTTTTTTTGATAATGCAAATAAAATAGGTACGTAGTTGGATGAAAAATGCCTATAGCAATAAAATAATGCAGTTAAATAATGCAATATTTAACATTATTTATCGAAAAATACAGACATACTGATATACCGAAAAAAACCTGTATGTAAACACATACCGGGTACCGGTATCAATTCTACAAACCGCTAGCTCTACGTGGTAATAAATAAAAATCTAAGCATAATGTAGTAATTTTTCGTGTAAGCTTCTTAAGTTCAAATTTTGACGAAAATTGTATAAATCGTGGCATTTTAAAACATATTTAATCGAATTTCAATCAGACTCTAGTCTGAATTCATCTTTGCGTTCGGATATAAATTAAATGACTTAATGTGTGTATGTATCCTATTTTCATAATTTTCTACCTACAACAGTGCCACACTCATTAGCAGTATCAGCTCATTTTTTAATCTATAAGAAAATTAAAAATGTACTCACTATTTAACATGAATCTTATATAGATAATCAAAATCATTTTAAGATTCATGATGTCGTTCTGATGTATCTGTTGGTGTTACAATTCGACCAAATGTTTTGCGTAATGAAAGTATTAAACAAATTGCTATTAACGCTAATATCGCATCCAACCACTGCATTGTAATAACGCTAGTACAACTATAATAACTATTTATTCTTAATATTTGTTTAAATTTGATTTTTATTACAGTCTTTTATTTTATATATTTTAGCATTGAATTATTAGTATAATTAATATAATAGTATTTACATAACGTAATTAATAATAATTGGACAAACCGTATAATTATTAGTTGTAATTGAAACGATTTTCAATAATTACATCAATTACTATACCTAATTATTTCAATTGTAAGTACCTACCTGCATAACTGTATTAAAGATTAAAAATAATTCATTCATATAAAAACAATTATTTTTTAATTATTACCTACAATTTTTTATAGGAAATTCATATATTTACCGAAATAATCTATATTATGTATAAGTATAATAGGGTAATATGTAATATCATATTATTAAAAACATATTAGTTATTATACCAATATTTAATTGTATAGTATTTGTTTTTTAATCTTAGGTAAATCTATGTTGTTATAAAATTTAGTTTAAATGAAATCAATTAATTAATTAATTATAATTGGAGAACTTGTATATTGTATTTACATGGATGAAAGACCAGATTGATCTTTCACTGAGCCAGAGGTATGGTCTTTGCTAATGGTGTATGACAAAAAGACTTGTATATTTCCGGTTGGTTTTGTTGTATCCCCAAGAAATTTTACGTTCGGGGCAACTATTACACATAATGTTATTCCGTAAAAAATCGTATTAATTTTAAAACATAAAATAAATTACAATTTAACCGTTCGTGTTTTTAACTAATTTTATTATACATTTTAACTTAGAACGCTGATAAAAATACAATGCAATGCGAAATAAAATACAAATGAAAACACTTTATCTGCAGATAATTTTTTTTTGTTAAGCATCAACAGAAAATTTACCACCCCCTTCATGGGCTAAACAAATTATCTCTACGTGCTACAAAATACACTTGTCCCACTTTTATATACTGATCTGTATAGTATTTATCATTCCACCTTAATAGTGCCAACTGGTCTTAATGAGCAACAATCTTATTCTAGCGTCTCTTTTCGTTTATTGATGTCCTCCGATTTCGATGTTATGAATTTCTCTTTCTTTCTCTCTCTCTCTCTCTCTCTCTTCCTGTCTTTGTTTAAACACAATTTATATTCCATTTACTATTTACATGTTGTTTTTCTAAACAAATAAAATACAAACAAAAATGTGATTCTAGTCGGTCATTTTCTAGGGAGTATTGTTAAGGCAACTTATTGTACTTTATGATACGACATGTTAGTATGTACGCCGAGAAGTCTATAACCGCCCACAATAAATAACTTGTGTGTGCGCTCTATTTAATTATATGGATAACAAAATCTAACAATAAACCTAATAAACTACGTATATATATTTAATGCGATATTTGGTCATAAAGTTGTTAATAGACCGGGAAAAAAAATAAGTACAAAGTTTATATATTTATACAATTATATACAATGAATTATTATTCATGATATATTTGTTTTAAATTTATATTTATATATTTTGTGGGCCGCTGAGTCATGGCATGGCAATTGGCTAAATTCCTTATATAATTTATCGCTTTTTGGGTTGCACTTTGAATTTTTTAACTTGAATAGTTGATCGAATCATTTCTTAAGAGATTTTTGTAGCGTTTTAAATTTTGTTGATACTTCCTAAAGGTCACTTTTTGAAATACCTCAAGGTTAGACTATACGGTTAGTTATTGTCCGTTTTTTTGAAATGTCACGATATTTAAGATTTTTTTTTCTGTTTATTAAAAACTTTTCGACTAGAAATTTAATCAAATACAGTGGGTGTATTTTATTGAGTTTATTATTTCAAATTTCATGCAGAAGATAAGGTTTACGTATTGGGACAGATTTAAGAACTAGATCAGGGTTTATATAAAAAATTTCTATGCGCGGTAAAAATGTATTTTTAATATACCTAAGTAAAGTTATAATTTATATAATTCCTATTTATTTAAAGTATCAACATATGCTTAAAGCGAGCTTCAATGCTTCAGTACTCATAGTTTCCTCTAATATACACCCATGTTTACGCATACAAATAATTCGTAAACATAGCTCATAAACCATTTTAAATACGTCATATCTTTTTTTCGGTTAACCAACAGCAGAAGCGGTTCTGTGTTAATATTACGACATCCCAAAAAATACTTCATATCTAATGAATATAGATAGGCACATGTAACGAATTTTTCGCACATGAGTTAATATACGAGTAGTACGTATACGTTTGGTCGTTTTTATTTTTAGAAAATAGTACCCTTAGAAACAATATATTGATAAAACAATAAAACATTAAGAAATAATGCAGATCGTTGGCAGTAACCAATAACCATAATGCCATATTATACGCTCATTATCAGTGTTGTGCACGATCTTTAAACATCTATAACTTCCAAACAAAGTTTGACCTATTTTTTTTTTAATAGTAGGTAATAAAAGATTTAAAAAAATACACAATAGATACATTTGAAAATACAATCAATTCAAAGATACAAAAACACATATTTTGAAAAACAATTTTTTTAAATTTTAGAAGCTAAACTGCATTTTTATATATTATAAGATCGGATAGTCTGATACAGGTATATGTATTTATATTCATTTTGATTCTTTTTTTTTTCCAATGCAATAGGTCCCCATGAAAACAAAAAGATATGTATGTAACCTAAATATACCTAAACATAATTTCAAATAATAATAACTGAGCCCGGCTAGCAATGTTTATCAACACAAATCATATACGAATATCCTGAGTGAGCTATTTTCTTGCCAAAGACGACGACGCCGTAAATGTATGCTCACATAATAAAGATAACACCACTAAACCTACATAAAATAAGTTGCTTCTTGAGAGGGGCGTTACCTATCCTTTGCAACGTTACTAGCTATTATCATTGTCTCAGAGTGTGTGCATACTACCTAAAATCGCCTACATACCTAAACTTTACGCAGTCAACCGGTACCATCATTTCGCCGGAATTCGATTTATTTATTTTAAACTCAAGAATATAATTCATAATAGATAAATAGTGATTCGTAAAAACCATAAAACCATTGTAAATATCTTCGCGATCATATATTTTATATAGTCTACACCGTTACCTATTTATTATACGTATAATAACGGTGGCAAGTTTCAACCATCCAAACTTCAAAAAAGGTTAGTGAATTTATTAAAATTCAAAATTACTGAATAAACTATTTATTTTAGTCGCTATAATATACCATATATAGTATGAAGAAGTGTAGTGCATTCTGTGGTGAAGCTTACTCGTACATTAGTTCTTGGAACATTTTTTATCGAATACATTTAGACAGTTTTGAAACATGGCGTATATATGTCACGTTTACTTGTAATTGCCTGCTGGAATTTGTTTTCTTCTAAATAAATTTAATGTATAACATGCTCCGATTTACGACTGACAAGATTGTGTGGCGTTGAATCTGTTATTGTTCCATTATTACAATTTGCAAATAATGTGGAGTGATCCGACTTCCAACTGACAATTAGATGTATTGCAATACGTAGTTGTATGAGTTCAAACTATTTTCCATTAAAACGTAGTTTTCACTTTAAATTTGTATTTACTTTTACAGTATACCAAATTCTATATATCGAATGTTTAAACAGAACATAAATATATAATTTATTTAAATATACTATTAGTATATTTGTCATATTATTCATAATATAATTATAAAATAAACAAACTGTTTTTAATAGTTTAATAAATAAATATATATATACATTAAGATATCATAGGAATAACACTTGAAATATTATC